TAAGATACTTGCAGAATCCCTTGCAAAGCTTGAAGCCGAGAGGGATGCTGCGCTTCTCCGGTATAATCAATCCATGCAGAAAATAGCGGAACTGGAGGAATCTTTTGGTCAAGTACAAGAAGATATGAAGAGGTTCACCAACCGAGCAACTAAAGCAGAAACAGAAGTGCACAGTCTCACGCAAGAGAAATGTAGATTGTATTCAGAGAAGGAGGCTGGCTTAGCCCAATACAATCAATGCCTAGAGATGATATCTGCGCTGGAGAAGAAGGTTAGAGAGGCCGAAGAGAATGCTCAAATGTTTAGTGATAAAGCTGCAAAAGCAGAAGAAGAGATTAAAGCGTTGAGACATGAACTTCTGAAGGTAAATGAAGTGAAGGATGGTTTGAGTTTTCGGTACAATCAGTGTTTAGAAACCATATCTAAGCTAGAGAGAGAAGTTTCTCATGCTCAGGACAATGCCAAAAGACTGAGTAGTGAAGTTCTGGCTGGAGCTGCAAAATTGAAGACTGTAGAGGACCAGTGTACTCTTTTGGAGAGCTCAAATGAAACTTTGAAGCTAGAAGCAGATGGTTTAACGCACAAATTAGCAGCTAAGGATCATGAAATTTTTCAGAAGCAAAACGAGCTTGAGAAGTTTCAGTCACTAATCCAAGATGAGCATTCTCGATTTTTAGATATCGAAGCCAGCCTTAAGAGTTTGCAAAGTGTGTATTCTCAATCTCAAGAGGAACAAAAGGTGCTCACTTCAGAACTTCAAAGCAGGATTGGCATGTTGAAGGACTTAGAAACTCGTAATCAGAAGTTAGAAGGGGTTATCAGCTCAGTCAACGAAGAAAAGCAAAACTTAAGCAAACGAAATGAATCTTCTATGATCTCCCTGGAGACTCAGAAAGGCGAGATTTCTAGCTTGATGGAGATAAAAGAAAAACTTGAGGAAGAAGTTGCAAGACAGATTAACCAAAGCAGTGCCTTTCAAGAAGAGATCTGTCGTCTGAAGGATGAAATTGATAGCTTGAATAGGAGGTACCAAATGATAATGGAGCAAGTGAAGCTCGCAGGATTGGATCCCGAATCCCTTGCCTGCTCTGTAAGGAAACTACAAGATGAGAACTCAAAGCTGACCGAGTTATGCAACCACCAGAGAGATGAAAAAGATTCTCTTACTGAGAAGCTGCAGGAAATGGATAACATTCTAAGGAAGAATGTTTCTTTAGAGAAATTGCTTCTTGAATCAAACACCAAGCTAGATGGTTCTAGGGAGAAGACGAAGGATCTGCAAGAAAGATGCGACTCTTTACGACGAGAGAAATCTGAGTTTATTGCTGAGAGAGCTAATCTGCTTTCTCAACTGCAAATCATGACTGAGAATATGCAGAAGCTCTTGGAAAAGAACTCGTTATTGGAGACATCCCTTTCTGGTGCAAACATTGAGCTACAAGGTGTAAGAGAGAAATCAAAATGCTTTGAAGAATTCTTCAAGTTGCTCAAAAATGATAAGGCCGAGCTTATAAAAGAAAGAGAATCTCTGCTGTCTCAACTAAATGCAGTTAAGGAGAAGCTAGGAGTTTTGGAGAAGAACTTCACTGAATTGGAAAGAAAATATGCTGACCTCCAGAGGGAAAAACAATTCAAAAATCTTCAAGTGGAAGAGTTAAGAGTCTCACTTGCTACTGAGAAGCAAGAGCGAGCTAGTTATGAAAGATCGACTGACAGCAGATTAGCTGATCTTCAGAGTAACGTGAGTTTTCTTCGAGAAGAATGTCGCTCCAGGAAAAAGGAGTTTGAGGAAGAGCTTGACAGAGCTGTAAATGCGCAAGTCGAGATCTTCATCTTGCAAAAGTTTATAGAAGACTTGGAGCAGAAGAACTTTGCTCTTCTGATTGAGTGCCAGAAATATGCTGAAGCATCAACATTTTCAGAGAAACTCATTACTGAGCTGGAAAGTGAGAATCTTGAGCAACAGATGGAGGCAGAATTTTTGGTGCATGAGATTGATAATTTCAGGGGTGCAATTTATCAAGTGTTTAAGGCACTTCAACTTGAAGCAGATTGCAAAACAGCTGACCAGAAGATTGTAAAAGAGAGAATTCCTGTTTCACGTGTCTTGGGTGAAATTAAAGAACTAAAATGTTCACTCTCTAGCGCTGAGCATGAGACGCAGCGACTTGTGATTGAGAACTCTGTACTCTTATCCCTACTTGGACAGTTCCAATCAGATGGTATGAAAGTGGAATCAGAGAAACGTATTGTAGAGAAAGATCTGGAGACAATAGTACATCGCTATGGAATGCTGAAAAAGGACCGGCTCGAGCTATTGGAGATGAACCGGCAGTTGAAATCAGAATTGATTGACAGAGAGCAGCGGGAGCTACAGCTTAGAGCTGAACTACAAACTGAGCATTTAAAGTTTGAGAGTCTGCATGAGTCATACATGGCTTTACAACAAGATTACTCAAATGCTCTCAACAAAAACGAAACTTTGCTTCTGAAATTTTCAGAACTTAAAGATGAGATGTGTATACTTGAAGAAGAAAACGTTGCAGTTCTTGAGGAAGCTATTGCCTTGAAGAACATGTCTGTCGTTTACCAGTCCTATGGGTCTGAAAAAGCTGAACAAGTTGAAGCTTTTGCCGAAAACCTGACTAGTTTACAAGACATTAATAATGGCCTGAAACAGAAGATTGAGGCTCTGGAGGGAAAGTTAAAAGGGAAAGATGTAGACAGTCAGGAGCTTAATAGCAAGCTGGAAAAGTTACAGGAAAGCCTCGAAGAAGCCAATGAGCTAAATGATCTCTTAGAACATCAAATTCTAAATAAAGAGGACATCTTGAGACAGAAGATGATGGAACTCCTAGAAGCTGAAGAGATGCTCAAAGCTACGCATAATGCAAATGCTGAACTATGTGAAGCAGTTGAAGAGCTCAGGAAAGACTGTAAAGAATCTAGGAAATTGAGGGGAAATTTGGAGGGGCGGATTACTGAACTGTGTGACCTTACTGGGAGACAGGATGAAGAGATCAAAAACCTTAGCGATTTGAAGGAGAATTTGGAGTCGGAGGTAGAGTTATTACACAGAGAAGTCCAAGAACACCAAGTTCGAGAGGAGTTCTTGAGTTCAGAGCTGCAAGAGAAAAACACTGAGTTTGGACTTTGGGATGCAGAAGCAACATCTTTTTACTTCGATCTACAGATTTCAGCTGTCCGTGAAGTCTTGCTTGAGAACAAAGTTAAAGAACTCACTGGAGTTTGTGAAAATCTCAAAGATGAAGCTGTTACAAAGACCACAGAAATGAAACAAATGAAAGAAACAGTTGGATTCTTGGAATATGAAGTGACTGAGCTGAAGACTCAATTGTCTGCCTATGATCCTGTGGTAGCATCTCTAGCAGAAGATGTCAGGTCTCTTGAACAAAATGCCCTGTCTTTGTTGAAACTCCCTGCACCAGCTGATCGTCACAGAGAGGTAAACTTATTCCTTTTCCTTCTGTTTGACATCTTATCTAATCTTTCTCAGTCTTCCGGTCCTTGAAACATGATTAAACATGACATCTTACCATTTGATGACACTGTGCCTTTTTATATGTATGCATCATGAGTTAATATCTTCCATTTTCCTCAGGGCGTCCAGAATGATGAACATCCGGAAGCAGCAGTCTCTCAAGAAGCTGTTGGACATAGCAGTACCAACCTAGACAAAGGATTTATGCTTCTGCAGGACATGAAAACAAGAATCAAAACAATTAAGAAAGCAGTTGGTGAGGAGAAAAAAAGACGTGGTAAACTGAGAAGACGAAGCTCTTCATACAGAAGCAGAGACCGCAAGCTGTTTGAAGAGATTGAACTTGACGACCAATTCTCGGGTGAAATCAGACAGCCTAGATCACCTGCGATGACTGAGTTGAAAAATGGTTCATTGATGAAAGACATTCCACTTGATCAAGTTGCAGACTCAACGTTCTATGGAAGAAGCAGGAGAACTAGTCGTGGTTCCAGTGACCAGATGCTTGAATTATGGGAAGAATCTGCTGAACCAGAATCCAGCATTAAGTCTCTGATCACCAATAAAAGCTCAAAGAAGCCTCTGATCCCCCGTCTTCATCGCAGAAGCAGGAATCCTTCGATTGAATCACAATCTGAGAAACTAATTGGAGTTGTTGACAAACTAGAGTTATCTAGAAGCACTGAGGACAATGCAAAGATTCTGGAGAGACTTTTGTCTGATTCTCGAAGATTAGCAAGCCTCAGAATCAGCCTAAGGGATCTGAAAAGCAAGCTGGAAGTGAACGAGAAGCCAGGCAAGTTCACTAACCCTGAGTTTTCTAGAGTGAGGAAACAGTTGAAAGAAATGGAGGAAGCCATCTTTCAGCTTGCAAACACAAATGAGATTCTTTCGAATGAAATTGAGGAGACCGGAGATGCCAGAGATATATATAGAAAAGTGGTTATAGAGAAGTCAAAGAATGGGTCTGAGAAGATTGAGCAGATGCAGCAAGAAATGCAGAACATTGAGCGAACAGTGCTAAAGCTTGAAGAGGGAGCATCAAAGAGTAAAGTCAGGAAAAAATTCTCTGAGAGTAGGACAGTGATACTCTTGAGAGACATTATCCATAAAGGTGGCAAAAGGACAGCAAGAAAGAAGAAAAATCGTTTCTGCGGGTGTATGAGATCTTCGGGTAATGAAGAGTAGGGTGGATAATAACGTAACAGCATCTAGTTCACTATCTATTCCTCACTTTAATCATGAAACTGACTCTAGGAGTACTTTGTGGAATGGTTTTTGAAATATTTATTAGATCAAATTAGTAAACCTTGTAGCTTCTGCTAATGTGTACGTGTCTTGGTTTGACTCTTTATGTTTCAAACTCAGTTTTTCTTAAAGTCTATTTTGGACTCTCTTTATTGAAGCAGGAAGATTATGAACTACACTGATATTATTATATTACCTACTGGAATAAAAAAAGCTTACAAGAACGTTCCTTATGTTATGGAAGCAGGAAGATTATGAACTAGAATGTGATTTACCTACTGGAATCAAAGTATCTTACAAGACGTTGCTTATGTTATGGAAACAGTGATGTAGACTAACAGGATCTGGAACATTACAAGATACAAAGAATTTATGATTAACCAAATAGTTTATGATTCACTGATTTGGGTTGAGAGAAGGAAATGCTGGAATAGACCGTAGTATCAGCTTCCGGCCATTACCTCTCCTCCCCAGGTTTGAGCCAGATTCCGAGGAGCCGAGCTGAGGGGGAGAGACTCTCTTACTGTTTGGAGAGATGGCCTTGATGTTAGCTATAGGGGAATTGAGGAGAATATCAGGCATAGTCTCTGTTTTATCTTCAGTCACAAGTTCACAAGGCCTCTTCTCATTATGTGACTGTGTCAAATCACTGTCTGGTTTTCTGAAAGAAGAAGAACCCGTGCCAAGAAAAAACTGTGTCGGAGGCAGTCTGTTCTTAGACAAGAACGGCTGATGAACCACCAAATGTCTGTAAAACAAAGGTTACAGGAATTCAAGAGCTGTCTCGATTGAATATTGTTTCAAACACCGATACAATTACCTGTACGGTGGCAGTGGTGTCAAAGGTTGATCAGAACTTGCGTTCTGCTCCACTTCTTTTGACACATCAATGTTGTGTTGGATCTTTGCTGTTCTTTTCTCATATGTCTCCTGATCCTCCTCTTGTTTGCTCTCCATAATAACAAGTAAAGACCCTGAGATTGTAATTATGTCAAACCAAAGACTTTTGGAAATAGACAGTTATCAAAATTTGAGCAAGGAAGCTTACCATCTTTTCTGCCAAATGCATTTTTGCATCCTTCGCATCTACAGTTTATGGAACAGCCGACTCCACCCTATATGATTATCAGGAACAAAGTATCTAAATCAGACCATGGAAATATAAACTACGCAGACGAGTATTGAGAACAATGATGAATAGATGATGAAAGAAAACCTGATAACATTCACAGTATTTCTTTAGACAGTTTGATTTCTTGCAGTTGCAGCCACGTTTGTGTCGTGCAGAAGCTGGAGTTTTACTTGCATCATCCTGTGCAAGATAACAGTGTCATCACTCAGATTAATGGAGGACAGAGAGGAGAGAGGGGGTATAAGAAAATGGATCAGAGAGCTCTTACACCAGCTTCCATGATGGAATCTGCGCTTCTGATGACTTTAGGAGCAAATGCAAGTGGATTTCGGGATTCAATCTGTTTACGGGTAGCCAGGACAGTATCTTCATGGATAGGTTTATTAAAGCAATCTATACACGAACATGGCTCTATACAATAAACTCCAGCAGCAAAGCATTCACAGTAACTGCAGAGAGAAAAGAGACTCAAACAATGGTTAACTACTTCAAGGCAATTCAGTTTAAATATTTGAACAGGCAAGAATTAAAGAGAAGTTAGAGGTATGCAGCTTACAGCTTCAAACACTTTGACTTTTTGCAGTTGCATCGCTTACATGAATCCTCTCCAGCTTGTTCAGAGACACGCCTGCACAATTTTATGCCAACTGATAAGAAAAACAAAAAAGAAGATATACAAATCTCTAATGTAAATTTTTACAGGAAAAGACTTGCTTCTTTTTCTTCAGGCTGCCCGGATTCAACTCTGGGAACACAAATGCTTTCGGAACTTCTTCTACAGGTTCATTTTCTGCTTGATCCGAAATTTCTTGCATAGTTTCTTGGGAATGAATTGGAGTGGTAGAGTCTGAAAAACTCTTTTGAATCTCTCCAGATATGGAATAGTCATGTATGACATTGATGTTAGTGTCCCTTGAGGACAATGCAACAGCGTTTAAATGAAGACCAATACCAGGTACAACACATCTCGAGGAAGATTCACCAGCCGCCTTATTGTCACACACAGATTGCTGATCATCAGCTATGTCCTTCTTCCGCTTCCCTGGCATCTCAAAGTCCAGGCAGCGTCTTCGCATGCCACCACGATGCAAGTTAAAGACAGGCTAGCACAAACAAACACAAGGCAAAATAGCCAATTCAATATAATCAAGATCCCAAAGATAATTAATATTCACATCTGAAGGGAAAAATAAGCCATTCCGAAATGTATTCCTGAATTTACCTCGTTGGGAAGCAAAGCCAAAGGCTCATTTTCATTACGGGATCCATTGGCTGGATTATCTTCGGTGATATCAGGCCGCTTTGTTGACTTGACACCAGCACAGAAACGTCTTTCTGAGCTTGATATTTTATCCACCAAGCACCTAAAAGCCTCAGAATCATTCGGAGAGCGAAATACCAACAGCTCAGTTGCATCTGAGATCAAACGTCCGCAATCAGGAGTGTCATTCCCTTCCCGAACATCAAGCATCTTCTGAAGACCCATCTTGAAATCCTCAGAACAGGAACCACTGTCTCCTCGAGGAATATCAGATGGAGCTTCCATGGTAACATCTTCATTGCAAGGTGAATCACTACGGTCAGGAGTTTGGCTGTCAGACTTGAGGATCTGTGGCAGCTCAGAAGACGTTTCAACGGAAGTTTCTTCTTCTTCATCTTCCAAGGTAGCTTCTTTGTTTAGATCTTCAATTACTGGTACTACAACTTCTTTAGAAACAGATCCATCTAGAGCTTCTAAGGGCTTTGTACGATCAATAGAGTTATGACTGCAACCACAACACCAATTAACAACAATAAACAACAACATCCTCTACTAAAACGACAAGAAGAGAATTAGTCATCCAAGAAAATGATTGTTTACCATCTGAAGAATCTGGATTCTCTGTGAGAATTGACATGAGGAGAGGTGAAGACAGGAGGAGGAGATGTAAAACTCAGAGAGCTAAACGTCTGAGCAGAGGAGATGGATTTGACCGACTCAATGGGAGAGAGATTGCTTATGTAGTTGAACACTGGAGAATCCTACATTAAAGGCCAATTACAAAATTAGCAAAAGCAAAACAAAAATGCATTTGACCAAAAAGACAAAATCTCTGATTTTTCGGGAACAAAGTGATAAGTTTATTTTTGGCCAATTCATGAAATTTGCAAAACCCAACAAAGTTGCAAAACCCTGAAGTAAAACCTAGAAAACACGACACCATCTTCATAACACTAAAAAAAAATTAGAGAGGCAACGAAAGGAGTGAACTTTGAGCAGAGAAAAAGATGGGTTTATGGAAAATAAAGAAAAAAAAACCTCGAATTTGGATTTAGGAGTTGAAGTTCCGATCTGGGAAGTAGGATTCTTCTGAGGTTTGTCCATTTTCCAACAAGAATCACATCTACATTGCCTCAATACAGACACTGATTTTGTTCTTTTTATTTTTTGCACTAATCTAGGGTTGTTGGATTTTTTCGAACAGACAAAAAAAAAAAAAAAAATGTCCGCGCCGGTGCGAAAACAGTGCGAAGAAGAGCGTAACACAGTGGGAAAATGATAAAAGTCCAAATCATATCACTCTTTTAGTCCACTACATGACGTCATCTTTATCCTTACCTGGACCTTCTTTTAACACTCAGGCCCAGTTCTTACATTTGGTGGCCCAAACATATGTGAGTGTTTGGTTCTTCATTTTTGATGTGTTCTTTGTTTCATTTATCTCGGTTTGTCTTTAACATTTATACAAAAAAAAGGAAACATGGATCTTTAAGTTTCATGTATGATTTTAGAGAACTCATTGATACAACCATTGTAAGAAACAAACGCAAACTACTACTACTAATCTAGTAAATGTTTGCTTATGTTGAGTGTAACACTGTAAGTTAAATTACCAACTAGAAGTTGACATTCATCAAAAGAATTTAAAGATTCAAAGAATTCTAATGGTGTGGGGTGAGAGAAGGAAACGTTGGGATCGAAAGTATCAGTTTCCTGCCACCATTTCTTCTCCATGGAGTCGTCTCTGATGAATCAAGATGCTGCAAAGAAACCCTTTTGCTGTTGGGAGACACTACAGCTTTCATGTTATTTAATGGAGATTGGATTAGGTTCTCAGACATATCATCATCAATATCTTCTGTGATTGCCTCGATCCTTGAATGAGACAGCAAACTCATGTCTGGTTTTCTGATGTTGTATATTCCCGAGGACGATGATCCTGAAGCTCCGTGATGAAAATGAGATGCTGAAGGAAGCAGTCTATTGTTGGATGGGATGGGAAGTTGAGCCAGTGGTTGTCTGCATTAGAAAACAAAGGTTAATAAAGCAGAATAGGATCAGACATTGTTTGATTGTCTTTGAGATTCATGTTTCTTTACCTTAATGGCATTGGTGTTGAAGGTAGAGGATTGAATAACTCGACATTTGATTGTGTTTTCGTTGTTACAATTTTGCCAGAAACTTCGTTTTCCTCATCTTGTTCGAACAAAGATCCTGCAGGGGTTGTAATTTTTGTCAAATCAAAGATCAAGAAAATTCAAATATAAAGGTTACGAAAAATGGGACATGTAAAAGACTAACCATCTTTCCTGCCAAATGCATTTTTGCATCCTTCACATCTACAGTTTATGGAACAGCCAACTCCACCCTATAGAACCAATGTATCAGAATTCAGAACCAATCTAATGAAAGGAATCGAGATGTGTAGGACTATTAAGGAAAATACCTGATAGCATTCACAGTATTTCTTCAGACAGTTTGATTTCTTGCAGTTACAGCCTCGTTTGTGTCGCGCTGAAGCAGGAGTTTTACTTGTATCATCCTGTGTACCAATGCAGAATTTTATAGCCTTCTGAAAGAGATAAAATGGATTGAGGCTAATAAGAAAACGGAAATGAGAACACTTACACCAACTTCAATGATGGAATCTGAGCTTCTTATGACTTTAGGAGCAAATGCAAGTGGATTGCGGGATTCAATCTGTTTGCGAGTAGCCAAAACAACGTCTTCATGGATAGATTTATTGAAGCAATCTATACATGAACATGGCTCTATGCAATAAACTCCAGCAGCAAAGCATTCACAGTAACTGCAGAGATAACATCAATGGAGACTCAGAAAAAAAGACTGAACATTTCAAGATAGTACAAGATTAAAAAATGATTTGGGGTATTAAGCTTACAGCTTCAAACACTTGGATTTTTTGCAGTTGCACCGTTTACATGACGACTCGCCTTCTCCTGATTGTTCGGACTTTCGCCTGCACATTTTAGTATCAACTGATTGTTAAGAAAACGGAAAAAGATTTACCATAAATCTATTTGTACAAGTTTCAGATAAAACTTGCCTTTTCTTCTTGGGGCTTATTGGCAACCCTTCTAAAGCTGAAGACTTTGGAAACTCTTCTAAAGCTTGACCTGCATCTTTCCCGATTTCGTTTTCTCTCACAATGTGGTGCTTCGAGTGAAGATCCGAAGTGGTAAAACTTTGCGAACCGACTTTGATGTTACCGGAAAATGAGTACTCATTAACAACATTGTTGTCCTTAGATGACATTGGTATGGCATTAAGATGCAGACCAATGCTAGGTACTACACAACTTGATGAAGATTCACCCAATGTTTGCTGACTATTCCTTGGAATCTCGAAGTCCAGACAACGTCTTCTCACACCACGGTGCGAGATCGAAAGATCCTGTTACACACACAAATAAAAAACATCACTTCAGAGAGTGATCAATCAAAAACCAAAAGCTAATGCAATACCAACAACGCTTTTACTCACATCAAAGGACTCATTTTCATTGTTGGCTACATTGGTCTTTGAAACAGACTCCAATGTTGACATTGTACCACCACGTACATGTTCACCAGAGTTGGATGTTCTCTTCAACAAGCAACTATAAGCCTCTGACTCACTCGTTAAGTTATAAATAAGTTCTGTTGTAGCAGAAATCAGAGTACCCCAATCCGGAGTATCACTCTTTGGCTTGACATTGTCACACATCTTAACCAGATTCATTCCACCATCTTCACAACAACCATTGTCTCTCACATCATTGGCAACTCTGGGCGTATTACACTCATTCTTAGGAATTTGTGACTGTTCAATTTCGGTTAAAGCTTCTTCCTTTCCTTTTTCTCCAATGGAACCAGCTTCTTCATTAGAACCAACCCCATCTTTGGAATGATCAGAGGAGTTAACTTGACTGCAACCACACACAAAAAAAAACATCCCAAGTCAAGAACTTTGAAGAGTACAACTACTAACAAGGACTCAAGATGAGAGAAACTTTGTTCATTTACCTTCTGAAACGAGACTCTTTGTGAGAAACAGCATGAGGAGAAGTGAAAACAGAAGGTGGAGATGTGAAATTGAGAGAGCTTAAGGTATGAGTGATAGGGATTGATTTAGTACTCTTAATTGGAGAAAGACTGCATATATAATTGAACACTGGTGAATCCTGCATTACACACAAAAATAAAAAAAATAAACTTTGATCTCAAATATATCTCAAAATCATCCAAACTCAATTCTCAGAAACCGTTTAAGATTCTCGTAACCGATTACAAATATCGAATAAAAACTAAACCTTTGACTAAAATGCAACAAACTAAGAGATGGGTATTGCACAAAAACATACGATCCATTCGAAGAGACACACAAAACCAATCACAGAAACAGAGGAAACAATAAAGCATGAAACTTTGACAAAAACAAAGAGATGGGTATTGAAGTAAAAGACCTCGGCTTTGAGTTTAGAAACTGGAGTCCCGATCTGGGTTATACTCTTTTGCGGTGTATCCATTTTTATTTTATTCTCCTTTCCCTTACAACAACAAAGACACAATCTCTCTCACATCCACATCCTCTATCTCTCTGTCTCTACTCTTTTAAGGGTTTGAGAAGTTAAAGGAAGAGAGAGATTCAAAGGAGAGTAGAGGCGGGAAGATGAGGATAGTCTCGTGAAGATTAGTCCAAACCAAATCCAACAGAGGCCACCACACCACACCACACCACACCACACCACACCACACCAACACACAACAAAAGGTCACTACTTGGTGACCCCAACACCTTTGTCTCTCTCTTTCTTTTATGTTTTCTTCTAATTTATACACACCTCTACGTTCATCTCTCTCTCTCTGTAAATAAATTTTTGGGCTTTTAATAAAGTAACGGACATCACCTTGATCTTTGCTTCTTTCTTTTCTTCGTCATTGTAAAAGAGAAAGAGAAACAAAAAAAAAACGAATAAAAATAAGAAACTGCAATAATTACACAGTTCCTTTTCGTTGCTTCTGTTTTGTTTGCATTACGAAGATGAATAAAGAAAAGGGAATAAAGAAATAAATTCCTCTTTATTTTTTTTGTTTTATATCTTCTTTTATATATGTGGTTTTACTGACTTCGTTGACTATACTCGAGATTGTTGTTTGTTGATAAACTAATTAATAGTATTATTGTTTTCATAAAACTTTTATAATTTTGACCGTATCAACAGTGATTTGTTGAGATACCTAATCGAATTTTTATTACATAAATATATATTAAGGTTTATCACATCATTTGACTTTGTCACGTTTTTCTTTCCTTAATTTCCAAATATTGTGTAACTGTGAAAAAAAATTAAATTAATATTTGCTCGATTAATGTAATGATAGGAAAAAACAAATGATATAATTATCTCGTGAGGATACACAAGTATGATAATAATTAATTAATGATACACTAATACGAGTGTTGGATTAAGCAAAGATTCTAGATCGGAATGAAAAAAGAAAACACACGTTACAGAAGAGAGGTGAAATTACAACTTACAAGGCTTTGTTTAACATGGAGATTTGTAATTTTAATTAAATATATTGCCGCTTACTATGCTAATCACGAGAAAGCACTTAAGTGTAATCATCACGACACTTAAATTTGTTAAATTAATTGGTCAATTATTCCAAGTATAATAGTTAGTGATAATGATTCAATAGTTATAACCTTTTCGTTTTTTAAAAAAAAATGTATGTAACGTTCTGAGATATTCAAGCCTCTTAAACTGCATGAATTATCATTAAATCTCTCTTAATATTATTAACCTATAATTTCTCTTCCGTTTTATATATGATCGATTAGTATACAAATTATATGTTTCGACAATAAGTGGCCACAATGTAGCATGTAACACAGAGAGATTTTGTAATATAGTAATATAGTAACAGTGAATGGCCTCAACGTCGAAGTAAGTTGGTAACTTTAACAACTTGCAAACAAAATTATATTTAACGTACGTCTACGTGTAAAATCAAAAAAGAGTTGTTGAAAAGTTATAAATGTCACCTCTTATATAATAACTAGTGCATGTACATGATGAAGAATTGTGAATACAGTTATTACGCACCTATTGTGAACTGTGAATAAGGGATTTTTTCACATATATATGTTGTTGATTCAATATATTACTTAGGAGCTAGTGTATTTATTTCTCATAGCCAAACAAAAATGTCTTACCCGTGACGCCCATAAAGCGAATGCTCCAAACGTTCGCAGCAGCGGTCCCTTTCATTTTGTACGTGAATGTAAGATATGTTAGAAAGGGAACATATGGAACACAAAATTTTATCTTTCTGTATAATGAAAAAAATTATATTTTACTTGCTCAATTCATTTTAATTCACAGTTAATGTTGCGGATAATTTCAGCCATCAATTGAAGTTTATATAAGAGAACAACGAAACTGATCAGTTCTCAATTCTCCCAAAGCTAACTCTTCGAACTCATATATTCTAAGTTTCTAACTATTTAGTTAACTATAGGTTAAATTATGATCTCATCGCACCTCCGGGAGAGTCTGCAAATACACTTATACTAGATGTAACGCAAAAAAACGTTACTCAACCAAATCAAAACTATTGACATTGGCCAAAGGATGTAAATAGCTTAGCTATAAAACTCAGTATACTAAGTAAGTATAAGACAACTTATTAAAGTACGTAGTCATATAATATATAAGTCTCGGAGTCGGAGTATTGAAATGATACGGATAGAACCAAAAGCACTGTTTCTGGCAAAAGGGGCTCCATGCCATAATCATAATGTCGACCATTCTTCGTTCATGCTGCTGCCTCGTTGTCACGTGCCACATGACACATCACGTGACCATCAAAAACATAAAACTATAGAGTACCATAAAACATTTTTGATAGATATCTATTGTATTATTTGTCAGTCTTTAAATATATTTTTATGAGTATATACATGTATACTAAATCAGGTGTTAAAAGAGATTGGGATATATTCAAAAAAAGCTGTTCCATGAACTGTTTGTGCATGTCAGGTTGTTTAATAACGGAATATTTCATATATTAATTAAGTAAACAATCAGTTTTAGATCCTTTTGCTTACCACAAATGGCCATAAGAAAAGCCAATTTACCAAAGTCATCATTTAGCCTTTGTGTTTGTACCATAGAATCTCCATTATACATCTAATACAATTGTATCTTAAAATTTAAGAAGTTTTAATCCACTATGTGATCCTTCAGCCACATCCATGCCTAAACAAGATATATTTTTGCATAATCAATTGATCTTTTAATGTCAAAATCAAGAGTAGCTTAAAATTTGTGTGTAATGAGAATCAATCCGCGGCTTAATTAGATCAATTTGGTAAACCCCGCTGAATTATACCGCATTTTCACATCATGGTTGCTTACTTGCTTTTTAAATCTTGAACTTGGTAAACATGTTCATGATGACATATCGTCCTATGATGTAACAAATCGGCAAATATGTGATCCCACTAAAATGTTCTTTATTTGCTATGATATCTTTTCGATAACTTTTCGCACTTAAGAGACTAGCACTAGCTATGTATATTGTTGAAATCTATATAATTCATATTCGAATCTAAGCGTTTTGTTGGATGTCAACACCGAATATTTCATATTTCAAGTGTACAATACAACTGAGAGCAAACGTTAAGAAACAAAAGACAGAACAAACGACGTTGTTTGGATTTTCAAAATGAGTTTACACTCTTGCTATTTGGCTTTTCTTCAGTTACCATAGTCGGACTTGAGACAAGTATGAGACGACAAATTCATTTCTTTCATCTTATATATATATATATATATATATATACATTATCAGATTATCTGTCTGTCCATATCTCTTCATATATAATTTGTATACACTGTTTTTTATTTTCATTTTATATGCATATATTGTTGAAACTATTGCGTATACGGTTTTGGTTGACCTTGGGGTTTGCAACCCTCGCTCTCTCTGTTTTTATTTCGTTAGTGAACACTTATCAATTGATATGGAGGTGTTGTGTATCTCTTGACTTATGTACTTGCAAAGTATACTTAACAAACAAAGCTTAGTTTCATCTTTTATCTTAACAAAAAACATGTCCTACTCCTATAACCTATTGTCTAGACTCTCCTAGGAAAAATTTATCAAGTACTTAAATTTAGAGGATGTAGTTTTGATTACTCAATAATAGTTAAGAATTAAGATTGACCAAAAAATAATATGCAGTTTTGATATTCGTACTACAAGGTAAAGCCCATTTCATATTTTTATGTTGAGCTTTGACGTGAAACATTACATGGGCCACTACTAGAAACTATCAACGTATAACCTCAGACTTCAAACCAAAAAGTCTCGGACAACAGTTGTCACTAGGCATGTCAACTAGGGCTAAAGCCCGTGGGCTAGTTTGGCCCGGCCCTGAAAAACATCGGGCTCGGGATTCAATATATATGTCCAGAAAAAACCGGGCCTTTTGGGCTAAGCCCATTTGGGCTAAAGGGTTTTTTGGGCTTAGCCCGGTCGGACTCGGGCCGGCCCGAAAAGCCCTTATACAAATATATTTTGAATTTTTTGAATATTTTAGTTTGATTAAAAGATTTGATTAATGTTATAGTTTTCATATTTACTTACTAGTCTTACTTATTACTTTTAAAATCTTTATACAAAGCTAAAACTAAATATATATAAGTATCATGATTTTGAAATCATCAAAATATCTATTAAATTTTGACTCTATCTTATACTTTAAAGTATTTTAGTTCCATGTTTTATTGGGTTAAAGTGTAAATAATTTATTTGGCTTTTATTTTTTTCTCTTAAATTAAGTTAGTTTTATTGAATATTGATAAGTTATTTAAAATTTGATGCATTATTTTTATAGTAGACCTTTAAATATAGTTTTTAAAATCATGAACTTAAAAATTGATTCTTTTATCGGTAAATAAAGCCCAAAAAATCCCGAAAAGCCCTGTAGTCCTGTTAGGGCCGGGCCGGGCTTTGAAATATAGGCTCGGAAATTTTTCGGGCCGGGCCGGGCCGGGCTCACATATGTGAGGGTTTTACGGGTTTCGGGCCGGGCCGGGCCGGGCTAGCCCGATTGACATGCCTAGTTGTCACTTGTCAAATATGGAAGCTTATTATACCAGCTTCACTAAAACAAAAACTCATAATTTAATTTAACATTTATTCGTGGACAGAAGAATACTATTATTTATCATTTATTAATACGTAAAATTCTAAAAATACATAACTTAAAAAATGGAAGAACTGGATTATAAGTTAGATTCATGTACATCCGACATAACTATATTATTAGTAGTAGTGATCATCATCATCATCGCGAATAAAAATTACAAAAAGGGGAACCCATTGAGTGTTTCTGCTGTTTTTAAAATTGAAATCTTATCTGTAAAGGCATAATAATAATAATAAATGAAAGAGGCGACAAAGTCGTAAATTCGCAAATAGATTACACAAATGAAAGATGTCAAACCTTATCTCGTTCGTTTCACGACAAAACACAAACAAGAACCAACGAATGAAATGAATAAAAGATGGTACTACCTAACCTTGTACGTATCGTACTCTTTCACATCTTCCTCTTTATACACTTCTTTATACATAAAGATCTTAGTATACAATAGGCAAATATGGACCTACCTATGTCATTCAATCAAACTTTCTAAAAATGATATGTTGTGATATCTAATAGCAATACATATGTTTTTAAGCATTTCTATAAAAAAATTAGCTTAAATATTCAATCTCAATCAAAGTTAGCTTATATACATACTGTTATAATATATTTGTTCAATTAAGTTTTCCTTTTGAAATGAAGGAAAGAATAACTTAATTAAGATTGTAAGGAAGAAAAATTATCAAACGGAACATATCAGTCGGGAATAATGAACATGGCCACAGAAACATGCGAAAGGACACGTTAGCGACAATAAACTATGTATACTTGTGGTGTAGTTGCTGTGAAACAATCGTATAAGTATGAGTCTAATTCACATACAAAAACTAGTTACATACTTACGTTTAAGAGTTGAAATTCGCAGCGTAAAATTATAAATTATATCAGACATTATCAAAATTTGATGTGAGTTATTATATTTTAGCATCTATTTTATTCACTTACATTCGGTTAGACATCTGAATCGTAAATTTTATAAAACTGAACATTTACAGTAGTGTAGAATCGAAAAATTGTAACCACATTAAAAATATCTTTACATTACACCCAAAAACTATATCGTAAATGAATGTTTTATAATATACAATAATTATTTACACTATACCACAAATTATCAAAAATCTCTATTTGAGATATATCAGATGTTAACAAGTAGAAAATTGTTTTAAATTAATCTTCGATTAGACTAATATTATCAACTAATTGTTTTAGAAAATAGTTCTGGAAAGTGAAAAACATTTTAGTAAGTACATTTGTTAGTACAGAATTTACAAACGTTAGTTTAGTAACACGTGGATTCAGTTTCCGAATCTATACTGAAAAGCATTATGTTCGGTACGGCAAAAGATACATAATACATTGACACATGTATCGCTGAGTGGCTGACTCTTAAACATTCGATTTGTGTTTTTATGTTATTTTAATTACTGTATTATATATTTACTGTCTCTGTGACTGTGAGTGACAATTTCACATCTTGAGCTTAGAACTTAGAAGTGTATATTTTATTTCCTTTTTCTGTTTTTTTTATATGAAGAGATCATGTTGTATATGTCAATTAATGGTTAGATCTCAATTAAAATTAAATTTCAGTTGATTCCATATATTATCAAGAATACAAAATAAAAATATTTTGTTTTAAAATACATCAATAGCCACTTCTAAAATTTACATAGATGTAAAAAAAAAAGAGAATATTTGAACAGAAAACAAACATTATAAATTTTGTAAAATAAAATACAACATATATATATATATATATTGTATATATAGAACATAAAAGGGTCTTCATTAAAAAACATTAGGACTACAAATTGAAGTTGATGCTTACTTACCAATAAAATTGTTGTATATATGACTTCCATTATTCTGTAGACTCTATAGTCCATACAATACTACAAAGCATTTTTTTTTTCATTATTCTAGTTCTAGTGCAAATGGTTCAAATTTTTGGTTCAAAGTGTTGAAAGTAAAAAAAAAAAAGTTTCATTAGTTGCACCTTATTTAAAGTTTTTAAACTATAATAAATTATCAATTTAAAAAAGGAAAGAAAAATTCATACCATCCATATATATCACATACCAATCCCACTAACAGACTTATTAGGACTAAAAAAAAATCAAGAAACTTTTCAACGGTTGGAAAAACAAATTGTCAATATAGAAACGAATATTTTATTTTTTGCATAAATTGTTTCTGTATATTTATGTTTGCCTAAAATAAGTCAAATACTACTATCTCTCTCTGTATCTTATTTTTTTTTTGTTTCTCTGAGTAGAAGAATAGCCAAAAAAAAATACGTCTCCTTAAAACTAGCTTTGACTCAAAATTCTAAACCATTCTTTTTTTTTTCTTTTTCTTTCCGTCTTTCACTCTCAGCCTCTCCTTCTTCATTTCCTAAACTTTCATTCTTTCTTAGATTCTTTCTTTTGTTCTTCTTCCTCAGATCTCTCTCTCTCTCTCACTTCCTTGATCCTCTGTTCTATTTCATCATCTATCTGAGGTTGTTTTTCGGAGGAAGAATCGTGTAAAACCTTTCTTTCAAATCTCTTCTTTACCAAATTCTCAGATTTCTTTTTTTTTTTTTTTGCATGATAACGTTTGATTTCTAAAATTTTCTTGTGACGTTTCTGGTTACGATAATATAGAATAAATTATAATTTTATATGGGTCAATGATAATAGTGGTCGACGAGTCGGTGTCTTAGGGTTTACTTTTTTAAAATACAAATTTTCTTGTTGAATTATTGGTTTTTCACATTTGGTGATTTTTCAACGCTATAATTGTAGAAAACATTCATGTCATATTAGAATTTTTGTAATGTCAGAACAACGTGTGCTGGGGTTGGTGTAATAGTTTTTAAAAAATTTCTTATGAAAAAAGAAAAAAAAATCAAGTTCTCTGCATAATCATTGTTTAACATATTTGCTAAATTCTCTTTTCTTTTTTTTTCTTAAACATATTTGATGATGATGAAAATTTTGATTAGTTCTGGGTTGTATATGGTGGTTGCTTGAACCAAAGTCTAATTGATTCTTAAGGGATACTTTTGAGTTGTGTCTCTGTGTGTTTGGAGATTGTTTTTATTACAAGGAAGAAACGAGATGGAAACAAGAAACGAAACAAAAGCTTCACCGGAAAACAACCTCAGAAACAGAGCTTCTGTTGGGAACAACAGCAAGAAAGACATGATTTTCCGAGCTGATAAGATCGATCTGAAGAATTTGGACATCCAGCTTGAGAAACATCTGAGTAGGGTTTGGTCAAGAAATATTGAGAAGAACCCTAAGCCTAAAGAAGAGTGGGAAATCGAATTAGCTAAACTTGAGATGAGGAATGTTATTGCTCGTGGTGCTTATGGTATTGTCTACAAAGGCATCTATGATGGCCAAGATGTTGCAGGTTTAGATATACATATATATATATTGAAATGTTTTTGATTAGTAATGAGCTTTGTGTAACTGTTTTAGTGTGTGGTTTTGTGTTAAAATGGCAGTGAAAGTGCTAGATTGGGGAGAAGATGGTTACGCTACCGCGGCTGAGACATCTGCTCTTCGTGCTTCATTCCGTCAAGAAGTTGCTGTTTGGCACAAACTTGACCATCCTAATGTCACAAAGGTAAGTGTAATAACCTCTTTAGTGATCTCTCTCTTTAATTTGTGTATGTATGTTTGTAATGAGTCTATGTGGATGATAATAATAAACAGTTTGTGGGAGCATCAATGGGAACTACGAATCTGAAGATACCTTCATCAGCTGAGACACAGAACTCATTGCCTCAGCGAGCTTGTTGTGTCGTTGTGGAATATCTTCCTGGTGGAACTCTTAAACAGTGTTTGTTCCGAAACAGGAGAAAGAAACTTGCTTTTAAAGTCGTTGTTCAACTCGCTCTTGATCTTGCCCGAGGGTATGAATCTACAAAATTCGTTCTTTATACTTCCAAGAAAGTAACTTGTGATACAATCATGTTGATGATGATGATGACTTCTCTGTAGGCTAAGTTATTTGCATTCGAAGAAGATTGTTCATCGCGATGTGAAAACAGAGAATATGCTTTTGGATTATCAGAGGAATCTAAAGATTGCTGATTTTGGAGTAGCTAGAGTTGAAGCTCAGAATCCAAAAGACATGACTGGAGAAACCGGAACGCTTGGATACATGGCTCCAGAGGTACAACATAAACATATATCACATCAAACACAAAATGCGGTTATTTGTTTTGAGTTTTTCAAAGGCTGATTTTGAACTACTCTCTGATTAGGTTCTTGATGGTAAGCCATACAATAGGAGATGTGATGTTTACAGCTTTGGGATATGCTTATGGGAGATTTATTGTTGTGACATGCCTTATCCTGATCTCAGTTTTGCTGATGTTTCTTCTGCGGTTGTTCGTCAGGTATCTCAAATCTTGCAAAGTTCTTGAATTTGGTTTATGGGTTTTATATTAACATGTGAGACCTATCATTTGTATGTTTATGTTAGTTTCTCATTTTGTAATGTTGTCTTAAAACAGAATTTGAGACCGGACATGCCAAGATGTTGTCCAACATCATTGGCGACCATAATGAAGAGATGTTGGGAAGCTAATCCAGAGAAGCGACCAGAGATGGATGAAGTGGTGAGGATGCTTGAAGCTGTTGACACCTCTAAAGGTGGTGGAATGATCCCTGAAGATCAAATATCTGGTTGTTTCTGCTTTGTCTCTGGTCGTGGTCCATAATTTTTTACCTTTTTCACCGTGTGGTCTCTATTTTTACCCTTCTTCTTCTTACTTTTACATTCACTTTGAATTTTGGAGCAATGCTCTGTTTTTTTTTTCTATCTCTTTAAATTTGTCAAGTTGAAAAAAAAGTTTTCAATTGTTTATTACAAAAATACATTATAATTACTGTTTTTGTCACTGTGAATGTAATTATTGAAGATAAGTCACTCGTTTTTTTGCTTAAATCATGAAATATTGGAAAATAGCGCATTTATCATCATCACTTTGCTTATATAAAACCAATTATGTGAAATTGAGTTGAACAAATTAACATTTCACTCCTTCCACTAGGAAAACAAAAAGAAAGTTCCAAATTACACTGACAAAAGAAAATATACTTTTAGATCCATTCCTAGTTGCAATCAAATCTATTGTAGTATTCTTAATCTCTCTTATATTTAATTTCCTCTGTTTTCTCATTTTGTTATGTGTTTCCAATAAGAACCGCTACTATTTACCAGTTTGGATTGATTTATGGGAGTTTTGATTTTAAAGGATATTAAAATTAAGAATATTAATGAGATACCCTATGAATATCTTACCAATATATAGATGCTCCCATTTACATGAATTGGTAAGAAGAAGAAAAAGTTATAACAAAATATATTAATATTTGAGGTGTATTACAAAGTGTAGAAACAACATGTAACGTGGCACATGGCTGGATGGGTGATCTCCCACACGGCAGGCGAAGAGAGAGCCTCACGTAACATTGCTGTCTGATCCCAAAGTATTCTCATAAATATCCACTTTCTTTTTGTTAACACAAGTATCCACTTTCTAGTTAGTACTACTACTTTCAGTTCACTCGTTTTCCTCATTACAAAAGCTCATAGGTCGGTACAAAGCATATAGGTCGATCCACACAACTATATCACCAACATTACCATAATAAGGGGTATGTATGTAACTTCGATATTTCTCATATATATATGTAATCTCACGATCAAAGATATATAACACATCTCATCTTCGATATAGTTCGAGTCACAGACGTACGTATCGAAAGAAGATGGGATCTTTGGTGAAGAAAGAGGAAACGTCTTCGTCGTTGATGACGGAGTTTTTGGAGAAGTGCGGAGGATATGCGGTGGTGGACGGAGGGTTTGCGACGGAGCTAGAACGTCACGGGGCTGATATCAATGATCCACTTTGGAGTGCCAAGTGCCTTATTACTTCTCCTCATCTCGTCACAAAGGTCATATATACATATGTATACAAATAATGATTTGTCACTCTATACGGGGATATCTAATCTTGAAAACTTGTTTATTTCAGACGCTTTAATTACTGTTCTATAAGATCTAGAATTCTAACCTTCACTGTGAAAAGTGAGAACCTACGTACGGACAAAATAGGACATATATTATAATTATAGATCTTCTATTAACTATAGAATTAAGCCAACCTATTTGTCCGATTATATTTTTGGTTTATTGTTGATTCTACTAACTCTATAAACTTGGTTTTATTTATTTGCAACGAGTCTTTTTGTTCCCCTAATTTTTAAAAATCATGTTCTATGCTTTTTGATGAAACTCGTATATGCACAAATAAATTAAAGAGCTCCTCGTATAGTCGTATGCACAAATCGAGATAAGAAATAACAATTTGCCACGTTGTAACTCTTAACGTTAGCTGCCACGCAAACGTGTACGTACGTCTTACCACAACGTATACTAGATTGTCACTCAAATTTTTCTAGTAACACCTTCCTAAAACGTAAAAACTACGTACTATTAGTCCTTATTTTGCAGCTGTGAATAAAAGATCTGAAATTTTTAATAAAGATATATTAATATTGTTTTTTTTTCCTAACAGGTGCATTTGGATTACCTCGAGTCTGGAGCAAATATCATCATTACCGCATCTTACCAGGTACTTTGACATATATTACTAAAGAGTTTGATTGGTTTAGCTACCTGAAGAAACTATGTAATAAAACAAAAAATGGAAACTAGAAGTTGATTATCTGAATAAAATACATATAACTATAGAATCAATTAAATGCATAAAGATGCTTAGTTAGACAGATCAGTTCACAATTGAGTTTAAACAAATTAATTCTTTACACAGGCGACGATACAAGGATTTGTGGCGAAAGGTTTATCGGTAGGAGAAGCAGAAAATTTATTAAGGAGGAGCATTGAAATAACGTGCGAGGCACGTGAGATTTTCTACAACAGGTGCACCAAAGGTTCATGGGATTTCGCCTACGCTGGAACTGCTTCTCGACGACCGGTTCTTGTCGCAGCTTCCGTTGGTAGCTATGGAGCTTATCTCGCCGACGGCTCCGAGTACAGGTTCTTTGGTTGATCTGCCCTAAGTCATTTTTATTACATTTTAGTTTAACAATATTGGAATGATAAAGTTTTAGTTTATTGGTTGAATCAGTATAAAATAGTTACGGTCTATTAAGGAAATTTAAATTCATCTCTCATGATTGTTTTGCAGCGGGATATATGGAGATTCTGTGAGCAAGGAGACATTGAAGGACTTCCATAGAAGAAGAGTTCAAATCTTAGCAAAATCTGGAGCTGATCTAATAGCATTCGAGACTATTCCAAATAAGCTCGAAGCCGAGGTATTGGCATTTGTTGTGGTCATATTTCACATGCGTGGTTGTTATATGATATAACATATAAGTGTAGCTAGACTTTGAGCTACATAATATATAAGTTTTCACGTATTATATAGGCTTATGCTGATCTCCTTGAGGAGGAAGGTATTGAGATTCCGGCATGGTTCTCATTCACTTCAAAAGACGGAGTCACTGTGCCACGAGGAGATTCAGTTGTCGAATGTGCGAAAGTGGCAGATTCTTGCAAGAAAGTGGTGGCCATTGGAATCAACTGTACTGCACCAAGATACATTCATGATTTGATCATCTCCTTGCGCCAAGTAACTTATAAACAACGATATGGGATTAGTGTTTTTAGGTTTTTTACTCTGTTCTGTGGCTTGTGGCTGAAGCAACTGATCATTTCTTTTACTAGGTAACCCGCAAGCCAATTGTTGTCTACCCAAATAGCGGGGAAGTCTACGACGGTCTGAACAAGAAATGGATTGTGAGTGTTCTTTAAATCAAACTGTAATAAAACACAATCTATATACCAATCTGATTTTGTATTTTTGTTACGTATTAATGCAGAAGTCAGGGGAAGAGTCAGAGGAGGATTTTGTGTCGTACGTGAGTAAATGGAGAGATGAAGGAGCGTCGCTGTTTGGAGGATGTTGTCGGACTACTCCAAACACCATCAGAGCCATTGCTAAAGTTCTCTCCAGTGAATCTCCCGCAGCGTCAAAACTCAAACTCAAGCAGTAGACTTGTCAACGGTGACTTTCTATATATGCTTGTGGTGTGAGGAAGGAGTTTGAAATGTACAATACAAAAGTGTAATTTTGTAATCTATAAACTTATCTACGTGAAGTTGGGCGGTTGGGGTGTTTAATTAATCTGTTCTTTTGTGTGTGTGTGTGTGTGTTATTAAATAAAATACATATGTATCCTTATGGTGAAACTAATATATATGATGGTAACTGTGTAATTAGAGTATGATAAGTATGATTATTGGGGTTAACGATAGTTTGATGTTGATATAAGCTTAATTCGATTACTGTGTTGTAAAAATATGTTAAGGTAATATAAAAGAAAAACTACAAATATTTAGCTCCACAAGATTTTTTTTCAGGAAAAAAAATCAAAATTTATTTTAATTCACATATATTAAGCTAATTATTTTTAATATATGTGAATTATTTTATTTGACATAAGTAATTAATAAGCTAAAAATTATGGATAAAACTGAAAATTTGATTCATAAGTTTGTATTAATCAAACTTTTACGGTAAATAGAAAACAACAAGTATAATATGAAATAAATATTTTAACTCGAATACGACAGCTAGAAAAAGCATATAGAGAGTATTTTACTTGTCGTATTAGAGTTAAAAATTATATTTGATATTAAAAAATTTTCGAACTCTAATATGATAACTAAAAAAGCATAGAGAGTATTTTGGTTTTATAAAAATTGTTAACATTTATTGTTACTTATAATCATTTTAATAGTGTAACGGGGAAGTGTAAAAGTCCGAAGCTGGTTTTTATTTCATTGTCTATGAAACAGAGATAACCTGTTTATTGGATTCCTAACAATGGAAGAGTTGGAAGCTGTATTGTGGATAAGTTCGTATATTGTGTTATGTTTATCTTCTTATTATGATAAGGATTAGCAGCTCTAAAGTGTATAGGATTAGCACCAACTTGACTTTATTAATGTATGAACTTGTCTATTTATACAAGAGACTTAGCATCTAAATAAGCCCTAATCCTATACACTTTAGGACTGCTAATCTTTATCATAATAAGAAGATAAACATAACACAATATATGAACTTATCCACAATAAGCTGGTTTCTGAATTACTATATATAAAAATTAAAAATGAATATTCTCTCTGTTCCTTATTGATATATTTTCTAGAAATATTTTTTTTTTTGCTTCAAAAAGATATATCTGTTCCAAATAACTTGTTTTTGTTCCATTTTGTTAGATTTTCTCGGTGCATAATTTAAGTGTTATAACTATTAGAATTCAACTATCTTTTTATCTATTGGTCACAGTTTTTTAATTGAATTTTTTTTTTCTTTGAAACAGATTAATTGAAATATTCTATGTAAAAATAACAAGGTATCTATGGTTTCTTAAACATTGTGCAGTTTATCTTAAAAATCTTACAAAATGGAACCGATAAAATATTTTTAAAGTTATCTAAGCATTCTTAATTAGTTATTGATGATGAATTGTAAATTTGAAAAAAAAATGTTGGTTTAAACTTATCGAAAATTGTTAATCATAAAAAAACAATGGATTTATAATTTGTAATATGTATAGAAATCTAGAAAATAGACTAAATCTAGAAAATAGACTAATTATAAACAAAAGGAGTAGGAAATACAAATCCTCATAGGAAAACTCGTTTCTCGTTTCTATTAGACTACTATATAAAGTCATGATTAGTTCAGGACTTCAGGGGCAAACGAGAATCTGAAAACAAAGCCCTAACTTTGACTTACATATATAGTTTGAGTCGCTTTCTTTTTTCCTAAGGAAGATCAAACGAGTATGTTGTATCTTCAACCAGATTTGATAGAAGAAATACTTTCTAGGGTTCCAGCCACATCTTTAAAACGGTTACGATCTACTTGCAAAAGATGGAACGCTTTACTTAACAACCCAAGATTCAACGAGAAGCAATTCCGTAGAGCACCAAAGGAGTCTCTAGCTCTCATGTTGAAAGAAAACAGGATTTATCCAATGAGTGTCAATCTAAACACTTCACCTCCATCCATAGAGTTTAAAGGTGCACTTGGCGGCCTAAAGAATAATTCTCCTAGGTCAGAAGAAGTTGATATAGTCGAAGTTTTTCATTGCGACGGTTTATTGCTATGCAAAACAATGTTCAGTAAACTAGTAGTTTGGAACCCATGTTTAGGGGAAACAAGGTGGATCATCCAAACCACAAGGACCTCTATGTTTGCTCTAGGATACGAGAACAACAAATGTGGCCATATCTACAAAATCTTGAAGTATTGCGATGGTAATACATTTCCAGGCCTTGGAGTTGATAAGTCAGAAATCTATGATTTTAGATTTGATAGATGGAGGGTTCTTAATCATGTGGCCGCTCCTGATCGTTTCCTAATAAAAGATATTGGCGTTTCTTTGAAGGGAAATACTTACTGGGTTGCTGACGATGTACAAACCAACTCTAAATTCTTACTCAGGTTTGATTTTACGGGAGAGATATTTACACATTTGTAGCTCTTACTTTATGATTCCGTTCTCTTACGTGACCTTTTCTCTTAAGGATGATTTTCCTTCTTGGCTTAAATGGGGGAGATATCACTCTAAGGGTTTGCCGAGAAGATACAGAACTACCCTAACCTAGTCCTAACTGGGACTTGGGCTTCAAGCATGAGCTCAAGACTTGGATTTGTAAAGTAGAGCACTCAGTGTCAAATTTATAATTATAACAAAGTCAGAAAAATCTAAGTCAAGTGTTTGATGCAGAAGTCAAAGAGAGAATACTCGAAGATTTGTGCAATCGTCAACTCCAAATACCAATAGAGCCAAAAGCCACTGCTAAAGTTCTCTCAGATGGAAGCTGAGTACTCGATCCGTTCAAGAACAAGTTGTGTCGAGGAGGAGTGGAAATCAAATATGTGCGAAGTGTCATCAGCCCATGGATTATGGGCTTCAGCCTAAATCCTCTGATCTAATTATAATATTGGTTTAGGGCAATATTTATAAACCAAAACCCTAGTTTAGCCGCTTACTTCTTCGTTGAAAAGAGATCACAAATATAGAAATGCAGTTACTATGGTGCTTGATCTTCCTTTGGATTTGGTAGATGAAATACTCTATAAGGTTCCAGCGACATCTTTGATACGATTACGATCTACTTGCAAACGATGGAACGCTTTATTCAAAGACTCAAGATTCACCGAGAAGCAGTTTCGTAAAGCAGCTTCGTCAAGGTCTATGATTCTCTTGTTGAAAGACTATAGGATTTGTCCAGTAAGCGTCAATCTCAACGTTACTCCTCCATCTATCAAGTTTCAAGGTACACTTAGCCTAAAGTGTTCCGATACTTCTAAATCAAAAGAAGTAGACGTAGCCCGAGTTTTTCACTGTGATGGTGTGTTGTTATGCACAACCAAGAAAAAGAGTCTCGTGGTTTGGAATCCTTGTTTGGGAGAAACCAGGTGGATTGAATTGAGTGATGCTAACGTTAAAGCCCCAAGATTTGCTCTAGGATATATCCAAAACAACAAATCTTGCCGTAACTACAAAATTTTGAGGTGGTGGGATGAGTATGATAAGAAACTACGTGAGCGAGTTTTGAGGTTTGAAATATACGAGTTCAGCTCATGTTCTTGGAGGTTTCTTGATGAGGTCTTTATCCAAGGCCATATACTACCAAATAATCACATTGGGGTGTCGTCTTTGAATGGAAATATTTACTTGCTAGCTACTAAAATAAAAGATGGTTGCAAATCCTTGTTCAGTTTTGACTTTACAGCAGAGAGAGTTAAACATTTGTGTCTTCCTCTAGTTGAGCAATCTAGTCGTATGATGAGGCTATCAGTTGTTAGAGAAGAACGGCTCTCGATATTGCTAGGTCCGAGCAGTAGTTTTTTAAATATGGAGATTTGGGTGACCAATAAAATTGATTCTGTATCCGAGACAGAGTTGTTGTGGACCAGATCCTTCATACTGGATTCACTGGCTACTAATGGTAACTGGTTTAGGATTTTCACGAGTCTTGTACTCGACGAGGAGAAAAAGGTGTTCTTGTGTTGTAATTTTGGTAATGAGAAGAGCGGGAACTTGGTATACACTATTGGAGAGGAAGAGAAATATTACACAGAGTTCCCTTATTTTACAAAGAGGCGATGGAGTCGATTACTAACCAAATGTAGAGAACCAGGCATGATATGGTCTCCTGTTATTTTCAATTATGTTCCAAGTTTGTTTCCAATCCAGTAAGGTGGAGAAAAAAGAGATGAAGGGAACTAGTTTTGTTTATGTTTTTGAAGACAATGTCATTTGAATAATTTAATGAATGTATTTTGGTACCTTTCTTCTTTTTGTTATACAGTTAGTTTTAATTAAAAAAATCATTTGACTCAATGGTCAAAGACAATAGACAATAGACTCAATGATCAAAGACAATACTGTGACGGTTTGTTGTTATGTATCACCAAAGACAATAGACTCGTGGTTTGGAACCCGTGTTTGGGAATAACCAAGTGAATCAAACACAAAGATCACATGACAAGAGGATCCAGGTTTACTCTAGGATACGAAAACAACAAATCTTGCCGTAGCTACAAAATCTTGAGGCGGTGGGGTATTTACGGTGACCAAAGGTATGAATATATGAGTTTAGCTCTAGATTCATGGAGGGTTCTTGATAACGTCGACTGCCACATGCAATGTAGCGGTTATAATAGTGCCTCGTCGTCTTTGAAAGGAAATACTTATTGGGTAGCCAGTGAAGACGAGTATGATAATTTCTTACTCAGTTTTGATTTTACAGCAGAAAAATTTAAACGTCTACGTCTTCCGCTATTTCAGTATAATGGTAATGTGAGTATTTCAGTTAGTAGAGAAGAAGAGCTTTCAGCGTTAAGCTTGAGCTATAAGACATCAAAGATAGAGATGTGGGTGACCAACAAAATTGATATTGATTCAGAATCCGAGTTGTTGTGGAGAAAATGTTTTGTAGTGGATTTATGTATTGTCCGTAGTCGCTTTGGTATTTTCACGAGTCTATTACTCGATGCAGAGAAAAAAAAAAAAAAAAACTTGATGACTAATGATAGAGCTTCGATTATAAAGTGAGAAACTTTTTAAAAAGATAACGAATACTGAATCAGTAAAGAGCAAACAATGGCGATGTTGGTAGGGAGTGTTCTTCATCTCTCTCCATTGGTGTTAGCCACCACCACTACGAAACCATTTCTTCAAAACCAGACCGAGCGTACTCAAGCCGCAACGACTAATACCGTCTCATCGTTGTCTCCGATTACGTCGTTGAAGAATTGCAAAACCATTGATGAACTTAGGATGTTTCATCGTTCGCTCACGAAGCGAGGCTTTGATAAGGATGTCTTACCAAGCTTGTAGCACGAAGCTGCGATTTGGGTACTCGTGAAAGCTTGAGCTTTGCTAAAGAGGTGTTTGATTACTCAGAAGGGAATGGTGAATCGTATGGATCTTGTTTCATGTACAATTCTATGATTCGAGGATATGCATCTGCTGGGTTATGCGACGAAGCTATTTTGCTCTTTCTTCGAATGATGAACTCTGGGATTTCTCCGGATAAGTACACGTTTCCTTTTGGATTGAGTGCGTGTGCGAAAAGAAGAGCGAAAGGTAATGGGATTCAGATTCATGGGTTGATTGTTAAGATGGATTACGCTAAGGATCTGTTTGTGCAGAACTCGCTGGTTCATTTCTACGCTGAGTGTGGAGAGCTTGATAGTGCACGCAAAGTGTTTGATGAAATGTCTGAGAGAAATGTAGTTTCTTGGACTAGTATGATTTGTGGGTACGCGAGGCGGGATTTCGCTAAAGACGCTGTTGATTTGTTTTTCCAGATGGTGAGAGATGAAGACGTGACTCCTAATCCAGTTACAATGGTGTGTGCGATATCGGCTTGTGCTAAGCTGGAGGATCTTGAAACGGGTGAGAAGATTTATGCTTTTATCAGCAATTCTGGGATTGAAGTTAATGACCTTATGATTAGTGCACTGGTCGATATGTACATGAAATGCAACGCCATCGATACAGCAAAACGGCTTTTTGAGCAATACGGTGCTAGTAATTTGGATTTGTGCAATGCAATGGCATCGAATTATGTGCGACAAGGATTTACAAAGGAGGCTCTAGGTGTCTTGAATTTGATGATGGAATCTGGTATTAGACCTGATAGGATTTCGATGTTAAGTGCGATCTCAGCTTGTTCACAATTGAGAAACATCTCGTGGGGAAAGAGCTGTCACGGGTATGTACTGAGGAATGGGTTTGAAAGTTGGGACAACATATGTAATGCGTTGATTGATATGTACATGAAACATCATAGGCAAGATACTGCGTTCAAGATCTTTGATCGGATGTCGAACAAGACAGTGGTCACATGGAACTCGATAATCGCTGGCCATATAGAGAACGGTGAGGTGGATGCAGCCTGGGAAACATTTAAAATCATGCCTGACAAAAACATTGTTTCTTGGAACACGATCATCGGCGCTCTGGTGCAAGAAAGCATGTTTGAGGAAGCAATTGAAGTTTTCCGGTCTATGCAAAGCCAAGAGGGTGTCAATGCGGATGGTGTGACAATGATGTGTATTGCATCTGCTTGTGGGCACTTGGGAGCTCTTGATGTTGCGAAATGGATATATTACTACATTGAGAAGAACGGAATTCAGCTTGATGTTAAACTTGGTACAACCTTAGTAGATATGTTTTCCAGGTGTGGGGATCCTGAAAGCGCAATGTCGGTTTTCGATAATTTGGCAAACAGAGATGTCTCAGCTTGGACAGCAGCTATAGGAGCAATGGCTATGGCAGGGAACGCTGAGCGAGCGATTGAGCTTTTCAATGAGATGATTGAACTAGGGTTGAAACCCGATGGAATAGTATTTGTTGGAGCTTTGACAGCTTGCAGCCATGGTGGATTGGTCCAACAGGGTAAAGAAATCTTCAATTCAATGAAGAAACTCCACGGAGTTCCCCCAGAAGATGTGCACTATGGATGCATGGTTGATCTGCTTGGTCGAGCAGGATTGTTAGAGGAGGCTCTACAGCTCATAAAGGACATGCCTATGGAACCAAACGATGTGATGTGGAATTCTCTTCTGGCTGCTTGTCGTGTTCAGGGAAATGTGGAGATGGCAGCTTATGCCGCTGAGAGGATACAAGTCTTGGCTCCAGAGAGAACTGGAAGTTATGTTCTTCTATCAAGTGTCTATGCATCAGCTGGAAGATGGAATGATATGGCTAAAGTAAGGCTGAGTATGAAGGAGAAAGGGTTACGTAAACCACCAGGAACTAGTTTAATACAGATTCTAGGTAAGACCCATGAATTCACATCAGGAGATGAGTCACACCCTGAAATGCCAAAAATAGAAGTAATGCTCGAGGAAATCACCGAAAAAGCGAGTCACTTAGGCCATGTACCTGATCTTAGTAATGCTCTAATGGATGTAGATGAGAAAGAGAAGATCTTTATGCTTAGTCGACATAGCGAGAAACTTGCAATGGCCTTTGGCCTCATTAGCTCACAGAAAGGCACAACACTCGGAATAGTCAAGAACTTAAGAGTATGCTCTGATTGTCATTCATTTGCCAAATTTGCATCTAAAGTATACAACCGAGAAATCATTCTAAGAGACAATAACCGGTTTCATTTCATCCATCAAGGTAAGTGTTCTTGCGGTGACTTCTGGTAATTGCAGAAACACAAGTAAAAGATGAAGAGGAAGAAGATTCACATTTCATTTTCTAAAGTTAAAAAAGAGGAGACATAGACCCTGCAATTATTTATAAGCTCCAATGCTTGAACAAGGTTTCCGGAAACAAAGTAGATACAAAAAGAGGTGTTCATCGCATTTCATTGCTCAGGAAAGATTGGGTCAATGAAAGAGTGATACATGGGATCAGAACTCCAGAGATGAGCAATGTGAAGATGAGACGAAGTGATGCGATGTATCTCTTCAACAAGCCAGATTGTAGCTTCAGCTTTAGAAGGATGAATGATTGAATCCAAAGCCTGGTCTTCAGAATCAGTACCAAGTCTTGATTGATCCCATCGTTGTAACAGAACATTGGTGAGGTAGTGCAAAGGCTGACCATAAAGCTGCTTGATAGAGATGCTTAATCCAGCCCAACTTGTAAACGGAATCAATGAACCACGATTTGTCGGAATAGGAACTTGCTTCATGTAATCTTGATACATCTCTGCTCTTCTCAGCAACGAACCTGACTCAAATGCAGAGTCTTTATTAGCAAAAATCGAAACTTGAGGTTCAAAAATGGTAACAAAGGAGCATTTTTGCAACAAAAAAAAACCAAAACTTTTGGATCAAAATCGTGTACCTTCATCAGCGACGTCTCTGTGAGATGTATCGAGCGGTGAAAAGCCATCGCTGATCTCAGCTTCGACATCAGATGAACCAGAATCACCTGACGGCCGTAGATTCATCGTCATTGAGGTTTGCATGGTCATAAACGAGCCGTTAGATTTTGACGGCGTAGACAGGCAAACAAAAAAAGAAGTACGACGACGATGACTACACGAGGCTCCTTAAAATTAGGTTTTTAAAAGGAAGAAGACGAAGAGGACGACCTGTACACGTGTCAGTAAAATCGTCACTAGTCATTTGTGGGGTTTAAACCAGATATCTAAAAATTAAAATTGAATAAAATCGAACCGGGCCTGCTCAAATGATTCGAACCGGGTTTATTCCTTTGACTCGTACCCGACCCGACGCAAAGCAGCAAGCTTTAGGTCTAAAAGATTCCAACTTTGAAGTTTGATCGGAACAAAAACAGAGACAAATCTGCGTCTGATTTCAAACGGAACAAAAATGCTCAGTAGGGTTAGAATTAGTAAGCTTGTTTCGTATACTTTACCTCGGAGAGTCTTCGAACGGAGGTTTTTGGTGACGAACAACGCTTTCTCTAACACTGAGGAGTCGACGGTTGTTGCCGCAGAGTCGCCGGAGCTTCCGTCTTGGATCAGAGACTTCTTATCAAACAAGCCTTCTTCTTCTTCTTCGAGTTTGGTTCCCGAAGACGATGAAGATTTCGTTATCCCATCTTTGGCGAATTGGGTTGAGAGTCAGAAGTTTAGTCGTGAACAAGTCTCAGAGGGTAATGTGGTGAAGAAACCAGTGGAAGATATTGAGAAAGTCTGCGAATTTTTGAATAAGAAGGACGCGTCTCATGGGGATGTTGTTAAAGAGTTGAGTGGATGTGATGTAGTGGTTACAGAGAGTTTGGTTTTGCAAGTTCTGAGAAGGTTTAGTAATGGGTGGAATAAAGCTTACGGGTTTTTCATTTGGGCAAATTCGCAAACAGGTTATAGGCATTCAGCGAAGAGTTATAACGCAATGGTTGATGTGTTGGGGAAATGTAGGAACTTTGATTTGATGTGGGAATTAGTTGATGAGATGATGAAGAAGAGTGATGAATCTGGGCTTGTTACGCTTGATACGATGAGTAAGGTAATGAGGAGATTGGCGAAATCTGGGAAATATAGTGAAGCTGTTGAGGCGTTTTTAGGGATGGAGAAGAGTTATGGTGTTAAAACAGATACTATTGCTATGAACAGTTTGATGGATGCACTTGTTAAAGAGAACAGTATAGAGCATGCTCATGAAGTGTTTCTGAAGCTTTTCGATACAATCAAGCCGGATGCTCGGACATTCAACATTTTAATTCACGGGTTTTGTAAAGCTCGGAAATTTGATGATGCTAGGACAATGATGGATTTGATGAAGGTTACTGAGTTTACTCCTGATGTTGTTACGTACACAAGCTTTGTAGAGGCTTATTGTAGGGAAGGAGATTTTAGGAGAGTTAATGAGATATTGGAGAAAATGAGAGAGAATGGGAGTAAACCTAATGTTGTGACTTATACGATCGTGATGCATTCTTTGGGAAAATCTAAACAAGTAACTGAAGCTTTAGGAGTTTATGAGAAGATGAAAGAAGACGGGTGTGTTCCTGATGCTAAGTTTTATAGCTCATTGATACATATTCTGTCAAAGACTGGTAGGTTTAAGGACGCATCTGAGATATTTGAGGACATGACGAATCAAGGAGTTTCTCGTGATGTTTTAGTCTACAATACCATGATTTCTGCAGCCCTTCATCATTCTCGAGATGAGATGGCCTTGCGTTTGCTTAAAAGGATGGTGGATGAAGAAGAGGAATCTTGCAGTCCAAACGTTGAGACTTACGCTCCATTACTGAAGATGTGTTGCCAAAAGAAGAAGATGAAGCTACTTGGAATCCTGTTGCATCACATGGTGAAAAACGATGTCAGCATCGATGTGTCGACATATATCCTTCTCATTAGAGGATTGTGTATGAGCGGGAAAGTTGAAGAAGCTTGCTTGTTCTTCGAGGAAGCGGTGCGGAAAGGAATGGTTCCTAGAGATAGCACTTGCAAAATGTTGGTGGAGGAGCTTGAGAAGAAAAATATGGCAGAAGCAAAACTTAAGATCCAGAGTTTGGTTCAGTCGAAAACTATGACAGATTTAGGCAGTCCTTTATCTGTTGTTGCGTAGAGATTATTAGAGTTTGGAGCCATTATTAGAGTTTGGAGCCATGGCTCAAAGTTTTGTTTTCTTTTCTGTGGAATGATAATCATATACTCTGTTAGTCTGTTAGATCACAAACCATGCTCCTACCTTACTGATATGAAATGAATTCACATGATTATGTATGTTTGATGAAACAAATCAATGGATGACAAATTTTTGAATAGTTTTTACATTCTTGAACCAGTTAGCAGGTATGAGAACGAGTGGAAAGACTTCCATGTCTAAATTGCAAAGACTTCCAGTTTGCAGGTATGAGTGAAAAAACTTCCATACCAGTTTGCAGGTATCTTGTTTGGTTCTCCAAAACTATGACATATGATTGACTTCATGCAAAGTGACACAAAACACGGTTAAACCGGTTACATTAAATCGGTATAAATGACCCAAAAACTAGAGAAAGCAGAATAGGAACTGCTTCAGTCTTAAATACTAGCTAGCCTAGCATTGTAATACAAAACAACAACAAATTTTGGCATTTATACAAGTTAGTCGTCTAAGAAGTAGTATGATCCTGCAACCTTTTGCTCCCTGTCCTTGGTGGAATCTAATTTGTTGATCCTTGGCCTGAAGTTAGTCGGATCACGTCTGAATGTGATGTTGAGGTGCTGCAAAAGGTCAACAAGTTTTAATTCAAGTTTCTAAAGGAATCGATAGATAACAAACACGAAAAAAGTGTTTTTAGTTACCGATAAGAAAAGGTTCATTCCGGTTAGGAGCGACTGTGGAGAGTGAGCAGTACACTTGAGAGCAGGCTGTCCTTCATAAACGATGACTTTGTCCGCAAGATAGGTCGCCATTATGAAGTCATGCTCCACAATAAAGGCGGTTTTCTTGGCGTGTAAGATGAACCGTTTAATGACCTTTGAAGCTGTGATCCTTTGCTCAGAGTCAAGATACGCACTTGGCTCATCAATCAGATAGATATCTGCAGGTTTCCCGAGGCATAGAGTTATGGCAACCCTCTGCATCTCTCCACCAGAGAGGTTGCTTATCTGTTTATCCAAGAGCTGCTCAATCTGAAGTGGCTTCACTACATCCGACACAAACTGAGGTTGCACATATGCATCAGGAATCTTGTTAAGCAGCGACTGTCTCACAGTACACACGCGCTTCGAATAAATCCCTTGCGGTTTGTATGATACATTAAACTCTGGCATATCTGATTCTTCTACACCTTCTTCACGTGGGAATGCACCTGCCTTTGCATAAGAAAACAAAGTTTCATTACTTCAAAGTATTAACCACAACTACAATGGAGAGAGTGAAAATACAAAGGAGACAGAGGAACTCTAGCTACCAGCATCTTGATGAAGGTTGTTTTCCCTGTACCGTTCTCCCCAAGCATTACAATAATCTGAGAGTCAGTGAACTCCCCTTCCATCACATCCAGATTGAAATCTCCAATCTTTTTACTCATTTTTGGGTATTTGTATCTTGCGTAAGACTTCACTTCCCCACCGCTCTCTTGTGGAGTATCAGAAACCTTGGAGAGAAACAAAACAAACAATGATCAGTCACTATTCACAAAACACATAGACTGATCATTTTTTATTTACGTACCTTGAAGGTCAGAGATTCATCCCTGAAACGCAAGTTCTCTGTGGGGATAAAGCCGGACAAGAACACGTTGATACCTTCTCTAACAGAAAAGGGAAGAGTCACGACACCATATGCTGTCGGCTTTCCATACAAACAGCAAACGAAATCCGACAAATAGTCAAGGACGCTGAGGTCATGCTCCACCACAATTATATAGCTGCAACAAAACACAATGCCATAAGTATATATATATATGCTCAAATAAAAACAGAGTATATGAATATGATGATAGAGTCGGACTTGTCATATCTGAGGAGCGAGCGTATAACTTGAGCAGCTTTGACTCTTTGTCTCACATCCAGGTAACTGGATGGTTCATCAAACATGTATATAACTGCCTTCTTCAGGAAAACTGAAGCAATCGCAAACCTCTGTAGCTCTCCACCAGATATATCTGTTGCTTCACGCTCAAGGATCTTGTTCAACTCCAAATCAGCACAAACCTCAGCCATCAATCCTTTCTCGTCCATCTTCTCAAGTGTCTCCCCAAGCTTTCCTGGAGCATATCTTCTTATATCTTCTAAATCTTGTGGCTTCGTAACGGCCTGTCATGCATCCGTTAGACTCACTGCTTCCTTAGGAGGAATAAATATCAAGATATCAACATCTTTACACCCTAGTTACCTTTAGATTCTCTTCTAAGAGTCTGGTGAAATAGCTTTGAAGTTCTGACCCGCGGAAGTGATTCAAAATCTCCTGCCAAGGCGGAGGATTCTGCCCAACATGGTAAGGTAAGTAGTAGAACAATGTCATAACATTATATCAGTTACATAAAGGACTACAGTTACCTCGTATCTGCCAAGATTTGGTTTGACTAATCCAGCCAAGATTTTGAGAGCAGTTGATTTACCAATACCGTTTTTTCCAACCAAACCTAGGACTTGTCCTGGCCTTGGAACTGGAAGCCTGTGCAATTTGAAGGAGTTTCCTCTGTAGCGGTAGATTGTATCTTTCTCCAAGTCCTTGGGAAGATTGACAATCTGAATAGCTCCAAAAGGGCACTTCTGCAGTTGTGCAAAACAATGAATCTCACTTAATTAGTGTGTCCTACATGAATGAATGTGTTGTAACCCAAATAAGTACCTTCACACAGATGCCACATCCTATACACAGCTCCTCTGATAAGAAAGCAGCCTTGGATGCTGGTGTCACCTCGATACAAAGCTTTCCTATAAAGAGAAAACAAACCGTGTGAGGCACTCCATGTTCCCACAGAGAGGTTAGTGAGAGAATTGAAACGCGGAGAGAGCAAGTAAGTACCGGTCTTGACAACAGGACAGCTCTTCTTGCACTCCTGTCGGCATTTATTCGGCTTGCACCTGTCATTATTCAATATAGCAATACGCGCCAATCGATCTGCCATCACGCAACTGCAAGGTATGAAAACGTGAAAAGTATGTATAGCTTAACCAGTATAAGCGCAGAACGAAGCTAAGCTCGGAGATGAGAAGATCTCAGGAAGAGAGTAATGAGAAAGATGGATGATCGGCAGATTAGGGTTTAGGGTTTTACTCTGTCTTCTTTCTTTTTCTTTGGTTCTCTACTTCTCTTCAAAGTATTTTATTTAAATAAATATTTTCTTTTGTCATAAGTTACACCCGCTGACAAACATACCAAATTCAATATATGAAAACAAAAACAAAAAAAAAGTAAAGTAAAAGTTGTGACTTCGTGCTCATAGGTGGAGAAGGGTTTGGGCAAATCTAAACAAGTAGCTGAAGCTTTAGGAGTCTATGAGAAGATGAGAGAAGACGGGTGTATTCCTAATGCTAAGTTCTATAGCTCATTGTTTAGTCTCTCTAGTCTCTCTGTTTCGTTACTCTCCTCTGTTGAAACAAAGAAAACGTTGTTCCCTTCTTTCTCTCCTCTGTTTTGTATATTTTCTAACACAAAACGTATAGTAACTTAGTAGAGAGATAGGGAAACTGAATTTGATAACATTGATCTCAAGGATTAATCTTCTTACCACACCACACACACACATACTCTGCTTGATATAACTCAATTACTCAGCTCTAGACTTGACAACTATTAGTCCTTGTCTCTAAAATTTTAGACTACTTTTACAAGAAGTGTTAAAAACAACTCTAACCTTTAGCTAGGCATTAACCAATACAACACTCTTTCTTATTATTAGTCCAACAAGCCTAATGATCACCTCTTAACATGATTGTTGTGACTAAACTCACACAACCCAACGCTTCTTCTTAGTCTTCTTCTTGAATTCCCTTTTTTTGCTTGATATATCTCAAGGATCCGGTACGTTCCGGTTTATTATATGAGTAATCGAAACCAATCAAGAGATAATTGTACCCGGTTTAGTGAAATTTCCGGTATGGTTAAAGCAGGAAAGGGTTTTAGTTACAAAACAGAACCCTTTAAAACTTTGCCTCTTCTTCTTCTTCTTCTTCATCTTTGCGCCGGCGTTTACTATCTCTCTTCTACCTCTCTCTAAAACCCTTCTCAAGCTTTGCTTCTTCAATCCTCTCCGTAGTTAACTGTAAGTTTCCTTCTATTCCTTTCTCAAAGGTTTTGTATCAATCTCAGTGTTCATCGTCTTCGGAATCTCCAAGTATAATAAATTGTTAAACCCTAATTTTGTTCACGGTTATAATCGTCTGTCCTTAGATAAAGAATCGAACTTTATTGCTATATAGAAGGTAACGGAACCATTTAGTGAGTCGTTCGTAGTGTTGGTGCTATATAAACCCTAGTTTCTGGGACTCGCCAAGTTTATTCCTTTTTACCCAAATGCTGAAAAGTTTGAATCTTTTGATTCTGAATCGAGTTTTGTTGTTAATTACGTATCTCTCTGAACCTAATTGTGTTTGCTTTTGATTGACTTGTGAGTAGATGTCGTTTGAAGAGGATATAGTATCAGATGATGAGATGAACATGATTGATGAGGATGTAGAGACTGACTCTGAAGCAGAATCTCTTTCGGATTCAGAAACAGAGAACGAGATAACAGAGAAATTGGCTGAGCCTACCAAGACTGCTGTATACAACAGAGCTGGGTTGCTTGATAAACTTCAAGATATTAGTTGGCCTGAAGATGTTGATTGGATTCATAAGCTTACGCTTGACATTGACCTGGGACAAGCTGTAGATGTGAACGATGACCTTGCGAGGGAGTCGGCTCTCTACAATCAAGCTCTTCAAGGGACAAGAGAAGGGTATGCGAAATTCGAAGATATGAATTTGCTTTTCCTCAGGCCTGCGAATTACTATGCGGAGATGGTGAAATCTGATACTCATATGGAGAAAGTGAAGTCTCGGCTATTGCACGAGAAGAAACAGATGGAGGAGTCTGAAGAGAGGAGGAAGGCTAGGGATAATAAGAGAATGGCTAAGGAGGTACAGTCTCAGAAGATGAAGGAACGTGCGAAGCAGAAGAAGGATGATATTGAGTCTGTGAAGAAGTGGAGGAAACAGAGGCAGCAGAGCGGTTTTAGTGATAAAGCTGGTGAGCCTGAACTTGATTTTGAAAGTGGAAAGAGTTTCCAGAGGGGAGGAGGTAAGAAAAGACCAGGTGTGTCTCCCGGTGATCGATCAGGAGGCAAAGGAAAGCCTACTTCGAGGATGAACAACAAGAAGAGGGAGTTTCGGGATTCCAAGTTTGGTCATGGTGGTAGGAAGGGTTTGAGCAAGCAGAACACAGCAGAGACAACAAATGATTTCAAAGGCGGATTTCGTGGTGGAAAAGCCAGCGGAAACAAGAGGCAGAAGAGGTAGAAGGTTTGATCATCTAAACCCACTTCAAAACTACTATAAACTATTTGTCTTCTTCTTTGTGTTAAGAACATGTATTTTGTTTTGGAAACCCTGTGTTAAGGGATTTAGAACCAATATCTTTACCTACAATTTTGTACTAGTGATGATTACTTGAATTAACAAAGTCCCTTGTGTTTTAAAAGACTCGAGAGTTAGATAGAACTTATCTGGCAGTAAGTATTCAGCTACTATAGTAACATAGGGTTCTAATTTCCAAACCCACTTTTTCCTCATAGAAATTTCCAACAACACCCACAAATTCTGAACCAAACCTAGTCCTTTCAAGATCACAATAGTAAGACTAGCTCCTCAAAAAGAACTATGCTTTTAAATGTTTCAACAGTGAAACATTTATAGACTATGTAGTCTCATAGTTTAATACTTGAAACAAATATGACTAAATACATGAAAAACAAAGCTTAGAACATAAAATATCCTGAAACAACTAGTAGCACCCTCCCCACAAGTTCTATTCCGGAACCGGAACTAGACTTGGAACATATACATAACGGCAGACAAAAGGCCTATCATCATCGCCACACACATCACATCGTCCCGCATCAACTTGTTTCTCAACTGTCCCATCTTTACTAATCTTGCAAACGCTAACGCATACATCATTTGTTTCATCTTCAGTCCTCTCCTCACACCATACCATGATACTATCATTCGTGTCAATGATATAACTTGGATGTGCGAGATCTTTATCGGTATGTAATGTCGGGAGATCGAAACCACTCACGTCTAAGTACTTGGTCCACGAGACAACCTCATCGCTTAAAGTGTTTGTGATCCAAACCTCGATCTTCATTGTTTCTTCATGCTGATATAACAAAGATAGGCTTTCTCCTCGGAAACTCGATAAGGCTGCTATATCTAACACATCACACTCAAATGGAAGATCGCTAACGACTTTAAATGTCTCTGTCGAGAAATCGAAACTTTGGATGAAAAGTTCGGGTCTATTGTTCCAATGTGCAACCCAATACATGTTTCCTATCACAGACACACCTTTGCAAGGCGGATCTATAGACCAATCCAAAGTAGTATCATCAACAAGTCTCCACGAATCAGATTTAAAGTCATAAATCTGAATCTTTGGTTCACAAGATCCCGCGATTTCACTCTCATCTTCATCAAGCTCTCCATCGAAAATCCTTAAAACTTTGTACTCATCACGACATACACTGTCATATCCAATACCGTAGAAGTCATTACTCGAATAAAAATCCATTGGCTCGATCCATTTGACTCGGTTCAAGAACGGGTTCCAAACTACGAGTTTGCAGCCTCTTGAACTCATGTTCTTGCATCTACATAACAACAATCCATCACAATGGACCATAGCTGAGATTTGAGCTACATCGTGAAACACGTCCGGAACTGGTGAAGATGAGCGAGCTACGTTCACCGGATCGATGATCTGAACCGTATGATCGATTCTCATGAAACGTTCTTGATCTTGGAAAAGATCCAAGTGTTTGTAAATGAATCTCTTGTCCTTCAAGAGTGCATGCCATTGTCTGCACGTCAGTTTGAATTGCGTCAAATATTCTACTGGAATCCTACAAAAGATATCTTCTATTATATCAATAGGAAGCAACGAACGTTCAGATGAAGAAGCCATGCAAAATTTGAGAAAAAAAGAAAACAAATTTACAAATAACAAAAATAGTGATCGATCTCGTTTCTTATATATACGACGTCGTGAATGGTTTGGTTGGTTTATAAACAACAATTAAACATTACCTCTAGTTTTTGCATTAAATTATGTGACGTGAATGGCTTTTTCGTATATGGTTGACAAGTTTCCCCATTTTTCCGAGTTTGATTTGAGGTTAATATTGAAGAATGTAATAACAAGCAAAGTAAATCTCTAAATATTTCTCTTTTTACGTCTAGAATTGTTTACTACTAACTTTACAAGAGTTTTTGTTTCAAACCAAGCTTGTTGCGAGTTGCGACATAAAGGTATGTGAATCAGAGAAGCCTATGATGATCACGTGATGCTAGAAATAAAGAACGAGACAAAAGTAAGTGTGATGAGTGTCTTAGTCATGCCATTTGAAGTGGAACAAAACTTGGTGATGAGACACGTAACATCACTGAGAATCAAGATCCACCTTCGTACTTATCGGACGTACCACGTCCACGGTCCACCTAAGTGTTATCCATATCAGCTGTTACATGTCAACATTCAAATTTCTACATCAACTTATACATAATTATAATTAGATACAAAATCTTAAATGTTAAAAACATACATGAATCTCCAAAATCCAAAAACAAGAGCCAATTCTATTAGATAATTTTAAAAAAAAATTGTATTTGATTAAATTTTACAATTTGCATCATTAAAACTGGTCATTGATTTCTATACTAACTTCTAGATCTCATTGAATGTTGATCTCCATTTATTATTTCCTTGTGTTGGGATAAACGTCTGGATTGTGTCCAATCGTGGCTTTAGTGCGTTAAGAACACTCGTCACCTTGCATGTCAATGTCTCCTTACTATATAAACAAAAAAACAATCCATTATTTACACACACACATCAACAACAAAAATGACAATGACCAAGAAACTAATCATAACACTTCTCCTTCTCATCTCCATAGCTTTCGTCCATTGCTTGGCCTTCCATGTGGAGTTTGAAGAGTTCGAACCACCGCAGCAAGAGGAACAAGATGTTCCTCGCCGTATCCTCGCCGTAGTCCTGGCCGTCGTCCCGGGGGCGGCTCAGGCGAGGGATGGGAGGAAGAGTCAACGACCTCGTTTCCTTACCAGTTTCAAGAATTGGTTCCAATCAAATGAAGGGTTCGTGAAAATATTGCCTAAGTTCACAAAACGCGCACCAAATCTCTTCCGTGGGATTGGAAACTACAGATTCGCGTTGTTTGAGATGGAGCCAAACACTTTCCTTGTGCCTCACCATTTGGATGCTGATTTCGTGGTGATAATACTACAAGGCCAAGGAGTGGTTGAGTATGTGACGGACAAAACAAAAGAATCGTTCCAAGTAACCAAAGGTGATGTGGTGAGACTCCCTTCCGGCGTCACCCACTTTGCCACCAACACTAACCAGACCGTTCCTCTTCGTTTCGCGAAGATCATGGTCCCCGTCAACAATCCTGGCCAGTTCAAGGTCCACTTTATTAATTTTAATCATTCCTAGCTATTAAATTATTTTTTTCACAATTAATAATAATGTTACATTTTTTTACCATGTTTGACCAAGACAGTGTACTATATAGGTTGTGTTAGTAATGTTGGTTTTGTCTTGATTTGTTCCAGGATTACTTCCCTGCTCGATCCCAGTTTCAACAATCCTACTTCACAGGGTTTAGCAAAGAAGTCCTCTCTGCGAGTTTCAACGTATGCTTCTTAATTAACTTCTTCATCTTTTTAAATATTCAGCATGTATATATGAGTCTAGAGTAGCTTTTGTATTTAGTAAGGATCAAGTCAAGTTTGTGGTGACCAAGTTTTTTCTAATAATTATTGTTAAATGTATAGATACCGGAAGAGTTGGTAGGGAGAGTATTTTTTGGCTCACAACAAATGGGACAAGGGATTATGCGGAGAATTTCACCAGACCAGATCAAAGAACTTACCGAAGGCGCTACTTCTCCTTCAAACAAACACAAAGAAAAAAAGTCCAAGCACAAAGACACGAACACGAAGTGGAACCCTTTCAATATCTTTAAACACGATTCAGTTGAAACATACACCAACGACTTTGGTCATTTCCACGAGGCACATCCTGAGAGTTTTGATCAACTACAAGACCTTCACATTTCCGTCGCTTGGGTCAACATGAAACAGGTCTTATACAAAATCAACTAATCTTTATCTAACTATTGTTTGATAGGAGCCAATGGTTAATAACTAGCTAATATGTGATACGGTTTGTGGAATATGCAGGGTTCCTTGTTCCTTCCTCACTATAACTCTAGGACAACTTTTGTTACCTTCGTGGAGAATGGTTGTGCTCGCTATGAGATGGCTTCTCCGTATACATCCCAAGGAGAGAAGCAACAACAACAACAATTGTGGCCTGAACAAGGAGGGGAAGAACAAGAAGAAGATATGAGTGGACAAGTACACAAGATTGTCTCAAGAGTGTGCAAAGGCGACGTCTTTATCATTCCGGCAGGTCATCCAGTCACTTTAGTCTCACACGACGAGAACTTTGTCTCAGTAGGGTTTGGTATCCATGCATCCAACTGCACAAGAACGTTCCTTGCAGGTAAAGAAAGGGTTTTTTTCTTTTCTAATAAATGGGTTTTGGTATTCTTGGAGTGTCCCTCTCTCAAAAGGTAACTCGAGTGTGGTTGTGTTTTAGGGGAAGAGAATATGTTGAGCAACCTTGACACTGTGGCGACTAAAGTCACGTTCAGTGTAGGAAGTAAAATGGCGGAGAAACTGTTCACGAGCCAAAACTATTCATACTTTGCACCTACGACTCGTAGCCATCAACAAACCCAAGAAAAACGTGAGCCATCGTTCCAATCAATCTTCAGCTTCGCCGGTTTTTGAAAATGCGTTCAGAGGTTCTAAGAAAAAGAAACGTTTGATAAATCTCTTGACTACGTAATAAAAAAAAGAGTACGGTGACGCTTTGTAAGTTCTGTCTACCGAGGTTTCTTGAGTTGTAAATAGCTCTTGGACGGCTCTGTTTGATAAATAATATAACCGGAAGGTTTGGTTATGGTGTGAATCTATTCAAAAAAAAAAAAAAAAAAAAAAACAAGTGAACAAGTCAGAAAAATTAACATTAAATAAGATCCCAAAATTTATAACAATTTTACTTACAAACAAAAAAAAACTCTTACGATTTTAACTAAACGATTGACATAGGGGTTTAACAAGTATTTATAAATTATACAATTTATATGTTATGATTTTTAAAAAAATAATATATGATTTTTGTTTGGATTTCTAAAGTTATTAAATTCCATGAACCAATAACCCTTATTAAGATAAAAAAAATTCGGATCTACATTCCATGTGTAAATCAATACATGTTTATTTTTAGAACCACACCTTGCAAGGGTTGTATCATCGACAACCAGATTTCCAAAAATTTTGGTTCCTAAAACCTCGAGATTTCACACTTAAGTTGTCAAGCTCTCCATTCAAAATACTTTTGTTATACTCATCACGACATACATTTTCGTATCCAATAATGTTAGATAGAAGTCATTTACTCGAGTAAAAACCACCAATCTAGAAAATATTGGATAACATATTAGAACAACAGAACTCTCTTTTTATGTGTGTTTGATTGATAGTTTAGAAATTTGGATTCACGAGCCAAAACTATTCCAACTTTGAGCCTATTTATGAAAAAATATATTTAAAAAGAACAAGAACAAAACTAAACCGAAACATGAACCAAGTAATTTAAGCAAGGAAAAACATAAAATCTAAAAAATTAACATAGTCAATAAGAAAAAAAAGAAGAAGAAGAGTAACGTTCAATAACTGAAATATGAAAACTAACTAATGGTGTGTTGTATATCTTCATGGAGAGGATGTGGTGGTCAAAAAAACTTCCAATTCAATCTCTATAGTCAAAGAGTCATCTTTCCCCAAGTAAGCCTTGCGAAGTTTATCTAAAGAGATATATTGAGTCCAACCCCAATCTTGACTTGAAGTCTGACTTGAAGCTTGACTTGAAGTCGTGTAACTGAATATGTTGTCAACTGCAATAAAACATAAAGTAATCTCTAATGAAGTATCTTATAAGTATATTAATCTCATCAAGTGGTGAATATATCTAGGTAAAAGAGCTTTACCCTTTCCTGACATGTGATCGTTTCCAAATGGGTCAAGAAGTCGACAATCCCCTCGCGCGTGATACTTCTCACCTGCCTTCATTGTTCCACCATCAGGTAGAGACACAAAGATGGACAAGAATTTGGAATATGTTGTAGAGTAGCCCTTGGGATACAACTTTATAACCCTACAAAAACATTACAATTAATGGTTGTTATTACTTATCACTTAGCAAACACACACAAAGTCGTGGATGTTATTCAAGATTACAAAAGCGTAGTAATTTTATATGGATTTGATTAGTTACCAGTTCTTTCCTCCTCCCATAGAGAACTTGTCTGATGTGTAGCAATGCTCTTTCAACTTAGAGAATTTGTTGACAGTCCAAGAAAACTTAGGATTAAGGGGTTTCTTAGGGAAAGAGACAACTTCCCAATTGGTAAGTGGAGCCATCACATCAACACCAAACTCACATTGATCTCCCTCGAACACATATCCGTTTTTAGGATCATTGAATGTATCAAGCGGAAGCACTTGCGCAAATCCCCACACCGGTCTTATTGCATTGAACTGCTTCCCTTCAACATCTGAATATGATACATATATTTCATTAATATACACACACACACACACACACACACACACATCACAACGGTATATATGAAAGTACGAACCTTGAATAGTAAAATATTTGTTTTCTTTCTTATTGTAGACGAAGAAGGTGAAATATGCAAACACAGTGGACGCCGTAGGGCTGGTCGTATCTAACTCGACATACATTGAAAGAAACCCGTTCCCATTGTCCTTCTCGTTTCCTGTTGGGTATATAACTAGTTTCCTGAATATATGAATAACATATATATATTAGCATGTACTATAATAATTTTAATAAAATTTCAGGATTTTTATATATCAAAAACCGATTTACGGGATGAACAAACCAGATATAAGAACCTTAGATAAAGCAGAAAATATATAGATATAAAGCTCAACAGGGTATATAGTTTTGTCTAGGCTTTTGCCAAAAGATCTTGGTACTTGGGGGATACTACTTTCTTAAAAAGGAAATAAAAGGTTTTAGTATATTCAGTTACGAGTACCAGTTGTATTTGCCGGAAGAGAAAGTAGCGGATTTGTATTCGGATTTAGGGAAGAGTTTCTTGAGTTGAGAGAGGCTTTGGATCTTCATGGTATAGGTACAAGGAGGACGACATAGGGACGTGTTATTAGTCATTGTAGAATCTGTTACTAGGCTTGAATTATCTATCTGTTGTCCACGTTCTGACTTGCTTGATATAAATAGAGACAAAGATCTTTATCACACGATTATATATATAAGCAAAAAGAGTCTTTGTTTGTTTGTTTCCTTTTCCTTTTCCTAGTGTGAATAGGTTTCGAGGCCCATTTTACTGATGAGAGAGGAGAAATAAGAAAAAATCATGATGGGCCTTTGTAATGAAAGGCCCATTTTATTCAAAGCTCGTGTTTTGTTTTGATATGACTAAAATACCCCTGACAATCTCGTGAATTTTACCAAATCACCTTCCTTCGTCTTCTTCTTCTCCGTAAGAGTTAGAAGAAGGCTTGTTCTCCAAGACGCTTTTAAATCACTCTCTCACATACGCCGGAGAGAATCAAATCGGGATCGGAGTCCTGAGACGAACAGATCTGTAGAAGAATTCAATTATGGAGTGCGTATTTGGTCTTGTTGGGAATGGATTCGCCATCGTTGCTGCTGATACATCGGCGGTTCACAGTATCCTTCTTCACAAAAACAACGAAGACAAGATCATGGTACTCGACTCTCACAAGCTTGTCGCTGCTAGTGGCGAGCCTGGTGATAGGTAAAATTTTCTCCTCCGATACTGTTCTTCGCTTTTTATAATTTAGCGGTGGATACAGTAATTTGAGCTGGTTTCGCTATTGGGTTTGATTAGGGTTCAGTTTACGGAGTACGTTCAGAAGAATGTTTCCTTGTACAAATTCAGAAATGGAATCCCTTTGACTACTGCTGCTGCTGCGAATTTTACTCGGGGAGAGCTCGCTACTGCGTTGAGGAAGGTAAATGCTTTTGCCTTATGTGCATGTGTTAAACTTTGGGGATAATCTGGAGATAGTTTGAATGATGAAGCAATTTTGAAGTGGTGAGAGTAGTATTGTAAAGCAGGTTTATCTTGATTACATTTTACATCGGGGATTGAGTTCGATTGCTGTTCTATGTGAATTGAATTAAAGCTACCCTATGTGATGCTGTGGTTATGATTACACTAAGGTTCTGATAGCCAATGGTTCTTTGTTTCTTGAAGTCCATGGTCTCTTCAGGTTTCACTTCCATTTCTATGTGGCAGTGTTAGGTAGTTCTGAGATGACTTATTTGATTGCTGTTCTATGTTAATGAATTGAAGCTACCCTATATGATGCTGTGGTTATGTTTACGTTAAGGTTGCTGATAGCTAATGGGTCTTTGATTCTTGAAGTCTATAGACTCTTCAGGTTTCATTTTCATTTCTATGTGGCAGTGTTAAGTAGTTTTGAGATGACTTATTAGTTGGAACTGTTTAGTTAAGTTCGTCTTATTTGGACTTCAGAGTAATTAGGAGATTTGATTTGAGGAAATGTTTTTGTTATTGTTGTTGGGATTGTAGTGTGACTATCACGGACTTGAAGGAACTTACTATTTTTGTTCTGTGCGTGAATGTCGTGTAAAGCGTGGTAGATGATAGTGTATAGCCAAATCATCCCTACAAGAGTTGTAGAAGTTTCCTGGTAGTTGTAATTGATAGTTTCTTGTGTTCACGCTTTGTTACAATTTGTGTTAGACTTTACAAGGCTAGAATGACTTGATTATGTTAAATGTGAGGGTAATTTATTATCATTTTCGGATTGATATCCAAACATTATACAGTCTTGAGGGCTATAAACAATAAACTCATATGGCCTTTGCTCTGGATTTCCATGTTTCTGTTTAGTTTATAATTGGCTACTTATCATTGATGGAGAATTTTATTGAGATATCTCTGTGCTTTTTCTTTATGCTTTTTTAATCAGAATCCATATTCGGTGAATATCCTTATGGCTGGCTATGACAATGAGAGTGGTGCATCACTTTACTACATCGACTACATTGCAACCCTTCACAAAGTTGACAAGGGAGCTTTTGGTTACGGCTCCTACTTCTCTCTCTCCACAATGGACAGACATTACCGCAGCGACATGTCTGTAGAAGAAGCCATTGAACTGGTCGACAAATGCATACTTGAGATCCGTTCAAGACTGGTCATTGCGCCACCAAACTTTGTGATCAAGATTGTTGACAAAGATGGAGCTCGTGACTATGCTTGGCGCCAGTCCGTAAAGGACGTCACGACTGCTGTTGTCTGAGTTTGTTTGTGTTTGGTTTCATATGTTGGTGTGTGACATTTGCTTTTGATTATAAGAAGTTTAGTGTTTTGACATTTTTAATCTATAAGCATCAATAGTGTTGCGATTCCATAAAAATTGATGATATGTTTACTTCAATAGTACAAAGTAAATCTCACTCGAAACAAACACTATAATCCACAAAGCAATGACCAAATAAATGATTTTTTTTTTTCTGTAATCCACGATGCATAAATCAAATCAGCAAGAAGGTAGAATACAAAGAAAAACAAAATAAATCATCAGTAGAATTTGAGAGCTACGAGGGCGATGCTGAAGAAGAGAAGAGACGGTGAGAGTGCGTAGGCGGAGGAAGGAGTCTCAGAAGGTCTACTGCTGCTTCCTCCATCGTCTGAAGTCGGAGCTCCACCGTCGACAGATGGTGTAAAAGGTCGGGTTGTGTCAGACTGTGGTGTCTGAGCTGCTGGAGTCGGCTCTGGAACAATTGGATTCGTCGCTGGACCTGGAGACATCGATGGTCCAAATGTAGCAGCAGGTCCTGTTTCCAGAAGAGAAAAATTCTTATCAATTTATCTTCCAAACAATTAAGTATTTGATCAGTTGAGATAATAATGTGATTGATTGTTTACCAGGAGCAGCAGCTGGAGCAATATTGGCTGTAAACAAATGGAAAGATCAAAACTTGTATTAGATAGCTAATTCAAGAATATGTATATAAAATGTAATGACTAGAAGGGAATGATTTAGTTTTATTTGCCTTGGCATTGAAGAGGCACTCTAGGCATGTTACAAGCACGGGGAAGAGAGACAGCGGTTGTGCGGTTAATCGGAATATTGAAAGGAACAGTTCCAGTGACAATAAGACAGAGACATCCCATTCCTCCGGTGGTCAAAGACCTCAGCGCGTTACAACAATCAGACGTCGGCGAAGTTCCGTTACTGCTACTGTTTGTTATGAAGCTCATACAAGGACTCACGGTGGTCATCATCGACGGAGTACATTGGCTAAGCGGCTGTTGTTGACCATGGATCGGCAAAGCTAGCACGGCGATCAGCGCAACCACCACGACAAGAATCTTCGACATTGTTGGATAGATTAAGCTTGTTTGTTGATTGTGTTCTTTGGATGTTTAAAGATTTGTGGTAATGTGATTGATGTGTGATGAGAAAGGAAGCAATTGTGGGATTTGGTTTTATAGATTGGAGAAAATGGAGGGAAGATAAAGGGAGTAAGTATAGGTCAACTACTAATAACTAACTCATGTTCGTTTCTTCGTTAACTGGGGTCGTTGGTGGAAGTGAACTAGCCAATGGGATGCGTTCACGTGTACCGGAAGAGTGTGGTAGATACATGTCTTGTAATGTATTAGATGAACCACTCTTTCATGGTTGTTCTGTTTTGGTAACTAAACAAGAGACCAAAGAGATTCCATTACTATCCTGTTGAGTTAAAACAAACACCATACACATGTTCTCTCAATGATGGAGAGATGATTGGTTCTTTAGATTGATGATAAAACGTGATAAGAGTTACTAACTTAAATCACATTTTGTAACATGTTATATTTTATAGATATATAGCATAATCAGTTTGTATTACCATTTGCCATATACCATTGACTAAAAAAGCAAAATCATTCATGGCTATTGATTTTCTTAGTTTCCTTTCAGTTTGTCTTATAGGTGTTATCTTCTTCTTTACTGTAAGATAATTCAAACTTTCCTAAACTTTGAAAATACGGCAACTATGACTAAAATAACTCACCAATGATAACAAAAATCAAACATATGTTAATCTAGAACGTCAAAAGACTTGTAAAAGATGATGTCTTTGCTGAGAAATTTTCGACACCAGTTGTTATTAGGGATTAGTCAAGTCAAATACAAAGAAAATAATACAAAACAATTCTGTATTATTGTATAGTAATTAGCTAAACTCCATAAACCTTTAATCAGAGTAAGTAGTTCAACAACCAAAGCCTAAGCTAGACCGTCACAAAGACCACCGACCCCTAAATTACAAACGGATCAGTTCTGTTCACAACACAACACTCATTTTTGTCCCTGAGTCTGAACAGATCAAAACAAAAACTGTTAGAAAAGTAGGAAAGAGTTGGCCATCCAGATTAAGCCACCTTTACTTCCTCGATTCCTTTATTTATACCCAAAGGCTCCACAATATCTAATCAAACAAACAAACACAACAAAACCCAAAACAAAAACAAACTCAAAGGATTCTTCTTCTCCATACACAACATCTCAAGAAAACATGAAAATGGGTATGGGTTTAGTGTTTCTTACAGTTTTTATGGCTGTGATGTCCTCGACAAGGGTCTCTGCTCAGACGGGCTGCACAAACGTGTTGATCAGCTTGTCGCCATGTCTCAACTACATAACCGGAAACTCTACCTCTCCAACTCAGCAATGCTGTCGTCAGTTGGGTAGCGTAGTCCAGTCTTCTCCTGACTGTTTGTGTCAAGTCCTTAACGGTGGTGGCTCTCAGCTTGGTTTCAATGTTAACCAAACACAAGCTCTTGGTCTGCCAAAGGCTTGTAATGTTCAGACTCCTCCAGTCAGTCGCTGTAATACCGGTAAGAATTTCAAAACATCAGTTTCTGAAGATTGTTCCAATCCCAAATCTTGTAAATCTTACGCTGAATTATGGTTTTGCAGGTGGTGGTGGTGGTAGTGGTTCTACTTCTGACTCTCCTGCAGAATCACCAAACTCTTCAGGTAACTGACTTAAAACAGATGTAAGGAAGAAACACCAGTCTCAGTATAGTCTTTTTGTTATCTAACGCATCCATATCGCGAATTTTTGTTAGGACCAGGAAATGGTTCGAAAACCGTACCAGTAGGAGAAGGAGAAGGAGACGGACCATCGTCTGATGGAAGCTCTATCAAGTTCTCATTTCCTCTTCTTGCCTTCCTTTCCTTGGCTTCCTACATTGCAATCTTCTGAGTTATTGATTTTTCCCATCCACGTTTCTACTGAAACTGATGAAGCTTTTGTGCCCCTCAGATTGTATTCTTTATTTGTCCCTATTTATTCACATTTCGTCGTGATTTTGTGTGATATATTTTATGCTCTGTGAATCCCTATGCTCCCGCTGATATTGCTTTGTTGTACCAACGGTGAGCATGTTGGATCTATTTACCCTTTACAATAAACATAACTTTTCAGAACAGATCAGTAGCTCTCGCAACAAATATCAGTTTAGATGGCAGCAATCTAACTATTTTGGATTCAAAACTCAAGAACCAGAGATGGTAGATAGAAAAAGATATCTTAAGGAATTGTTGTCAACTTGGCATGAAATAAAACACCCTACAGAATATGACAAACTTTAGCCGGCAAACAACGATCTAGTGTTAATTGGAACATGAAACCTAATGAGAGATAAACTTTTAAAGTTAGATATGAGAAGAACCAACCTTCAGTCGATGTATGCAATGGGAACAAACCAACAGAAGACAGTCAATATCCATATCGGATCTGCGCGAACATATTATTTACATACGAAAAGCAAGAAGCCTAATAAGTTAAATTAAACGCTGCATAGCATAAAAGGTGCAAAAGAGAATTTGATCGATATTTCCTCTTTTGTTATGAACAAGAGCAAAACATGTTAGATAATGCAGTACATTTGTTTCATACCTGAAACTTCAATTGGCAAGAACCATGGTGGATAGTTAAGGTAAGACAATCTTCACAGGTCAAGCTAAATGGATGTCAGAAACTTACTCACCATAATTAGAGCTCAATCAAGAAAAGCTAGTCTTCTGAAATATCATCTGTAGGACTTCAACCTGTAACAAAAACAAGATAGAAAAAGATGACTGTGAGGACGTCTGTTCTTCGGATATTACCCAGTGCTTTGCAGGCTGTCTGCCCTTCTCCAAGTGTTGGAGAATATACATATAATGTTTTTGAAAGAAGGGAGAAAATACAAATCTTAGCAATAAGATATTGTATATCTTGATATATTGATCTTCGGAAGCTAATGAACAATTTCAATTTACCATTCATAGAAAAGAACCACATTGCATAAATTTTTTATCACTATGTTATAATGTTACAGAAAGTATTAAGACTATCAGAAGAAAAATGATGAAAATGATACAGAAAATAATATTCTACAACGGAATAAATATTAAGAATGTGACCGAGATCGCACAAACTCCTCGAGTTTTTCCCAGACTTCTAATGCAGCAGTCCGGTCATGATGCCTCTTATTCTTGCTAATCTGATTGATTCAGAAACACACACAAGAAATTCCTAGATTCAGTAAATCATATCTGGATGATAATTTTATCATAACAGCATATTAATTAAAGGAATTAAATTTCTCACCGAGATAATCTTTACATTCCACTGCTTCACTGTCTTGGCTGATTCGATACTGTCATCTGCAAACCGCATGAAGAACCCAATGACTGGAAACAGTAGAAAAACAAAATTGTCAGCTAAAACCACACAAGACAAAAGCTTAGTATCAGATTTGAATCTCAGCGTATAATGCTCATAGAATCATATAGCTTACTCTTATTGAATATCTCAACGTGATCCTTGAAAGGCCAACCCTTGAACTGCCAATCTTTTCCCAATACGAAAACCGCAACAACACGATCCCAATCATCAGGCTTCAAGGCAGATGGCTTATCCCTAACTTCATAAGCAGTCACAACTCTCTCTCTATCTCGACTAAACTTCTTCTGAACCGTAATACAATCAGGCTTTAACCCCTTCATCTCCTTAGCCTTAACATCACTCTCTATAAAAACTCCATCTTCAAGAAACTCTTTAACATTATATATGGTAATCAAAGTCTGAGACGCACTTGGCACAAGAATTATCGGGACACCTTCTCCAATCTTCCCAGCTTTAAAATGAAGCTTAGATTTAGGATTAGCATCATAGCCATTATCATCTCCACCGCCACTAAACCCTACAATACCTCTCTCTTCAGCACCCATTAACCTACTCTTAGCAACTAATCCATCTTTCCTTTGATGAGACTCAATCCTCTGTCTCTCTTCTTCCCTCTTAGTCGAATTCACCAACACACTATAAAAATCCCTATTCTTACACTGAAGAATCGCGTCTCTGCTCTTCAACGGCCGTTCATTGGATCGAATCAGCATAATGTAATCAACATCCTCGCCGGATTTACCGAAATCTTCAACCTCCATATCCTCAATCGCGCTCTCCCTAGAAACAAAAGCTGAATTGTCTTGATCTGGTCGATACTCTTCGTTCTGCTTCTGACTCTGTGCGTTTTGCTGCTGGAGCAATAGATAATCAATCGAATCAGAAGAAGCTACTCTCCCGGTGAGGTAATCGAGGAGAGGTTTCCGATCTGGTAAAGTCACCGCCGGGACGGAGCTTTTAACGGTTGATTGCATATACTCTCCGTGTTTCAGATGCTGATTCTTCGCATAGTGAACCAGTGCTTCTAGCGTGTAGAGAGTCCCACCTTTTGATCTGTACGCCGTCTCCGTCGCGCATGGGAACGAATATTCCGATCCGAATCTGTAATTGGCTCCGACTCGCTCGATTTTATCAACGTCTCCTCGTACTGTGAAGTCCTTCAGCACTGATAACGGATCCATAGTTTCAAAGATTCGTCTTTCGAATATTGATATTTAGGGTTTATGATATGCCACACACACTACAAACAAAGCTCACAGATTGAATGAAGAAGAAAGAGCAGGAGAACAACAATAAACATTAAACAAACCGCAATGGGTAAATTGGTAATTTACCTAAGTCCCGAAATATATGGATCTAACGAGAAAAGGCCCAAAACAATAATGGGCTTTCCAAGTCTTAATAAAATAATCTCTTCCATGTTACGTGTAAACGATGTTTCTAGTTTTAACATAACCACCACCAATGGTCCAATGGAACCACCAAGAATCTTTCTCCGGCCGTTCAAAGCATCTGATGCTGAAGACGTCTTTAAATGGGCAAGTGAAGATGACGTCACACGTTACCTCCGTTGGGACTCTGTTAAGACCTTAGAAGAAGCCGAACAACACATCCTTAACAAGGCCATACCACACCCATGGCGCCGTTCCATCTCTCTCCTCCAAGACGGTCGTTCGATAGGTTACGTATCCGTCAAGCCAGATTCCGGCGATGGTCGTTGCCGGGCTGACCTCGCCTACGCTGTGGGTAAAGAGTTTTGGGGGCGGGGGATAGCCACGGCAGCGGTGAGGATGGCTGTTGAACAAGCTTTCGAGGATTTCCCGGAGGTGGTGAGGATTCAAGCGGTGGTGGAGGTGGAGAACAAAGCGTCTCAGAGGGTGTCGGAGAAAGTTGGGTTTCGAAAAGAGGGTTTGCTTGAGAAGTATGGTCTTAGCAAAGGGGTGATCAAAGACATGTTTCTGTATGGTTTTGTCAAAGGATTATGATTGTTTATGTGATGATTAACGGTGAAATAATGGGGGAAACTAACTAAGTAAATAATGTTGAACATTTGGTTTACTACAGAAAAAAGATGTTTACGGCAACGAATGATGCCATGATGGTTACCTTTTGTCTTCATGCATGTGTTCTTATCATGTTTATGTGTCATTTCATACTCATAAGTTAATAACTCTTGTCGTGTGGTGACTCTTTTTATCTTTCTTAAATGTTTTTCTTGGTTTGGTTACATCCGTGAAAAGATGAATTAAACTCTATAATGATTGTAATCTTAACTGGAAAAGAAAGTTACCGGATATGTTTTGTCCAAAGGCAATAACAACTCCCTAATTTTTATGATAGTAGTGAATATAATCCCATATAAGAAAGAGAACATATTTTTTATTGGCATTGGTCTCACTAGCTGCATAGATGGGAACGAGAAGGAAGGTTCCGAGAGACCGAGACCCAACAAAATCTGCCTAGCTAGAGAGAAATTAGAAGAATTGATTCTAATAAAGTGATGCTATTCTATTAAAATTATATTTTATTCTAACAAAATGATGCAAAAAATAATCGCTAGAATCAAAGAGAATATTTTGAAGATCGTATCGTTTACAATACACAAGAGTTTATAATTTATATCTTCAATTCAATTCATGCAAATTCTATTAAACTCCTTATAGTTTAATACATCGTTTAGAAGGCTGCAAAAACAAATACGTACTATATAGAACGTGTAAAGACGTGTTAATTATATATGAGTCTACCTGCGAAATCAAACAAGAATGAGAAAAAAAATTATAGTAATACGAACTATATATACGGTATATAATATGGCTACATGTTGGCTATTATTGGTTAAGTCAACCAAAAATAACTTAACAAAATTAAATTGCAAAACATGCTGTATTAATTTATAACTGAAAGATAATATTAAAGATTTTTGGAAATATTCCAAATATATTGTATCAGTAATTAGCATAACTACAACGTGCAGTCAAATCAAACAAAAATGACATAAATTACATATAGTAATATGAACTAATGTATGTAATGCATGGCTACATGTTGACTAAGTCAAACAAAAGTAAGAACAAACGTATATATAGTACCAATCAGCAAGTCTCTGGAAAAAAAAAACGTATCTAAACTAATCAAAACAAAACTCAAAAGGATTCATCTCCAAGCAGATATCTCAAGGAAACATGAAGATGGGAATGGTTTTAGTGTTGCTTACAGTTTTCATGGCTATGATGTCTCCTTCTACAAAGGTCTCTGCTCAGACGAACTGCACAAACGTGTTGACCGGACTTAGCCCGTGTTTCAGCTTCCTGACAAGTCTTTCCTCTCCTGCTTATTTGGATTGTTGTTCTTCAGTGACTAACATAGCATATACTTCTGTTGACTGTTTTTGTCAATTCCTCAACAGTGGAGGCTCTAATCTTGATATCAGATTTGTTAACCAAACACAAGCTCTTCGTCTGCCATCTATTTGTGGCGTTGGGAGTAATGTTCTTGATCAGTGTGACAACGTTGTGAACTCTCCTCCAAGTGTCCCTCCTCAGTCGAACTGCACAAACTCTTTGACGGAATCACTGAGGCCGTGTTTCAGCTATCTGACTAATCCTACCTCTCTTGCTTATTTGGATTGTTGTTCTTCGGTGGCTGTCGTAGCACATACTTCTCTTGACTGTCTTTGTGAGTTCGTCGACAGTGGAGGCTCTATTCTCGATATCAGATTTGTTAACCAAACACGAGCTCTTCGTTTGCCATCGGTTTGTGGCATTGGGACTAATGTTCTCAGTCAGTGTGACAGCGGTAAGAATTTCAAAACATCTCATCAATTTATGAAAATATTACATCCATCTTTATGAAAATATTACATCCATCCTATAGTATATAGTCTCTATGGTATCTGATGCATCCATATCGTGAATTTATGTTAGGAACAGGAAATTGATCATTGGAAAGTACTATATATAGGGTGATGGAGCTGCTGAACCGGTTAGGAGGACAAACCGATGTCCCCAAACCGAAAGTATTTAATTTGAATTAATTATATTGTTTGGTTAAATCATTGTTTGGTTATATTGTGTGTTGGATGAGTTGTTGTATCAGTTGAGTCAATAATGTGGTCTTCCTTGTGTTAAATAAAAAACCAGCTCCCACTTTCCCTATTCTGGTTTGTAGGATTTACAAATCCAACGTTCTATTGAAGATAACAATAATAATTAAAAAAAAAAACCAAAAAAAAGGCAATCTTAATGGCTCAAAGAAAAGTGTTAATTACTACAATTTGGATTTGAGTTTTAAATCTGAAACACATCATAGGGAAGGAGCGATGGAACATGCATCATATAATTGAAGCTCTATCAAATTCCCATTTCCTCTTTTGAGAACCATCATAGGGAAAGGAGATTGAACATCCTATAGTATTGAAAGACTTGTAATTAAGGGAGAAGCAACAATCTATCGACACATGAGAGAGACCTTATTAATGCAAGATAAGCTCTTGAAGTTTAAGATATAAGAACAAACTTTCAAACAGTGTATGCAATGAAAAGAAACCAATAAAAGACAGTAAGCTAGTTTCCACATAGGAACCTTGTAGAAGAGTCTCAGGGGGTGTTGGATAAAACTAGGTTTCGAAAAGAGGGTTGCTTAAGAAGTATGCATGGTTGTAGCAAAAGTAGTGATCATAGATATGTTTCTCTATAGTTTCGTTAAAAGATGATTAATGTTTATGCGATACTTAACGGTTAGATGATGAGGAAGTAACTATAATAAAAAATAATCCAAAGGTTTGACCTAATTATTTACGGGACTTACGGCAACAAATGATGGTTGCCTTTTTGTCTCCATGCAGGCATGTTCTTATCATAATGTCATAAGTTTATATAAGTCGTGTCGTGTGTCTATGGTGACTCTTTTTATCTTTCCATGTTTTCTTGGTTTGGTTACATCCGTGAAAACATTGATGAAACATTATAATAATAGTAAATATCTTCTCGGAGGTTTTGTCCAAAGGCAATAATAATTTTAATAGTGTAGCTGACCACGAAATTTATTGTGACAGTTCTAATTAAGTATACAAATATACGTCATTGGCATGGCGTCTATTTACAGAATAGCAAATATTCGGCATTATACATGTCGGACGCATTATAAACTGTAATATTTGGAACGTCAGAGTTGGTCCATATATTTAATTGTCCATGTATTTAAATTTTCAGTAAGAAATTCGAGAAAAGAAAAGTATGTGAAAGTCTTTGAGAAGTAGTATCAAGGAGCACGCACGCATGCGTCTTGAACAGAAGTCATGTAATAGTGTCGTCAAAATCAAATTGATATATGTTTTTACATTTCTTGTCCTATCAAATCTTAAATGTGGCAACTGATCATATTCAACTTGTATATACGTGTACTGTACATAAATAAAACTTTGGTTATAATACCATTCTTAAACTTTGCATAAATCGAACATATGCGTTGGCTATAGTAGTTATAATTAACACAAGATTTTGTAGTAATTAAGTTATAATCGACTTGTGATATAGTTTATTGATGGATTTAGTTACTACATAATGACAAACTAACGATACCATTTTTGTTAAATCTTAACCATCCATTTATTTCTAGTTTAGGCAACCAACAAAAATATTGTAAAACGACGTCAAATTTTTATATCATCGGTGTATTGTAGTATTCAAGACTTAATTTGGAAATGGTATACAATGTCATTATAGATTGGTTGGAAAGTGTTTTATCTTTTCCTAAGATTTTTTGTGAGTATATATATATAGTTAAGATCGGTGGTAAAACGACATAATTAGTCAAGTTTCCTGATTTGTGCTTGTCATTTCAGAGACCTTAATTAGAACAGCGATACAGAAATGCTGATGGAAACGCACAAACACATCACAACTTTAATTTAATTGTGTAACTAATGCACTTGCTCTAACCTCTATAACCTCTAAATCAAAGAGTAAGTCCAAAACCTTAATTTTGCAAATTGTTTTTATTCATGATCGAGTTTTGGTGGATGTGGTCACTCACGCCTCTACCATAACCATTATTACCTCTCTTATTATTACTATTATTTTTTACTTTCTGCGTAAAAAGATAGATGATGCGACATGAAGCAGTGAATGCTGCTGATGTGAGAGCTTATAATGGTCCCTTTTAACTCACTCGACGTGTGTGGAGCCAAGTCTTAGTGCCATCAGAGAGGTTACGGGGACCCAACTTTTATAATTCTTGAAAAAAAGTGGGCTCATTTGGCTTCTGACAGCAACAGAGAGATTAGATTCTTGATCTCATGGACGGTCACGATGATATGATGATGGATTGTTTGTGTTCACGAGCCCATGACACGACTCATGATGCTTCATCAGTTCTCCACTGTGAGTAGAGGAGTCTCTTTCTTCTTCACACTATTATTATTTTTATTACTATAGTCACATTTTATGATTATCATGTTTTGCAAAAAGAACACTGCTTAAACCCTTTTCTTGTCCATCAACTCCGAATAGTTTATTGATTTATCTTTTGTATAATGGAAAACAGTCACAACACACACAAAGAAGTTAGTAAACAGTAATCAAATCCGTATAAGATAATGGGAACTTTTAGGCAAATGTGGAAAATTCTATATTTTTAAATTGAATTTATGAAAGTTTAGTAATATATATCTTTACACAGTTTCGAAAAAGTCGATGGAATCACTACTCACTTGAACTGCTTCTCTAGCAACTTTGATTAGTAACACAATTTGAGGTATGAATCAGAGAGGTGAGGGAGTTATCAAATAATAAATAAATGGCTATAGACTAACAAAGATGATGTCTTACTTCACTTGTAATATAATTATAAAACAATAGGTTATACGAATTTATTATACCAATTCCACTAGTCTGGTTTTAAAGTAACGTTAATCTTTTTGATTTCGGGTTATACATATATAGCAAGTGTGTGTAGTGTCCACCCAAAGAGAGACTAGCCAGCTATGAAAGCAAAAGAGATATTCAGTTAAGATTGTGAAATATATTCGTACGTATGATCGTATCTCATTCCATTTCGATTCTGAGCGACCAAGTCCACTCCACTCCCACACCCCCATGCTTACAATATATATTCATCATCATCATCACCACACAACGTACCATAAAATCATTACCCAAGAAATTTTGTCATATGTAATGATCATGAATTATTGTATCTATATAAAAGATCAGCCAAAAGTTCTCGTAATCATCATCTCGATTTGTCCCCCGTCGAGAAAACTACTTATTACTCCTCTTTCTTGTAACATTTTTTCATTTATTTTTTGGTTTGCTAAGACTTTGTAAAATCTACTTAGATTATGAAACTCTTAACTACTGTTATCAATGAAAAATAATGAAACACATAGTACGATAATAAACTATACTTTCTCTGTTTCACATAGTACGATGTTTTAAGATTTTTTTGTTGTTTCTGAAAAATTGATGTTGTAGATTAAGAAACTAAAAGTAGATTTTTATTTTAGGTTTTTCAACACATGGTAATTATCATGTGGTTTATATTTTTGTTTATTCCAAAAAATAATTATAAATGAAATTATAAACAAATATTTATATTTATTCTAATATGTGTGAAAAAACCAAAACATCAATCTTTTTGAAACGGAGGGAGTATGTTGTTTTAAAGTAAAAAATCAAGATTTGAAAATTATAACAATAAAGAGTAAATATTAAGAAGAAAAAAGTGATATGTAATTGTAAAATCATTTTATGAAAATTTGGGAGATGTATAAGAATGATTTAACCTGAACAAATCTCATCTCTAGTTTTAGAATAAGAAACTTAATTACAACTTAGCATTTTCTCTTCTCATCGTTTATCATATAGAGATGTTACCTATATCACATCAGTGTGATAGACAATTACCTAATCGTCATATAAGCGAAAAGTACATTTTCTTCTATATATTATAAATGTCATGCGAGACGTAAACAACTTTGCAAACTTCTGCGTTGAAAGCGTTTTAGCACAATTGAGTGAACTCCTGAACAAAATTATGAAAAGATCATATAATGTTATTCAAAAAAATCTGATTTATCGTCTTCATAACATTATTTTGTTAAATTAACAAATAGTTTTTAGATAGTCATAACTAATAAGAAAATACGATAACATTAATCATCTCGAAAGCCTTCTATATAATTATGTTGTGTCGTTACCTAACAGTGATAGACAATTACGTGAGAACTTAGAAATACATTTAGCCTCTCTATTATATTAAATGACATGCAAGACGTAAACAACTTTGCAAACGTTTCAAGTACTACATTCCTAATCGATATACGAAAGATTAATTATATCACTTATAAAATTATGAAAAAAAATTCATATATTTTATATTATTATTATCCCACTTAAACGTTTTGTGTTATACTCCATTGTTAGCAAGATTAGTCGTGACCCGTACGATATGCAACACACACGAGTTCTTTCAAGTTTCAACTTCTTCTTTTTTTTCTTTCTTTTTGGGACAACTTTAATAGTTTTGTTCTATTTCCAACTTCTTTTTTTCATTAAATTTGTAAAGTTTTTTTTATATATATACAACAATAAACAGAAAAGAATATATAGAAAGAAAACTAAAAGAAAAATCCAAAAGAAAAAAATAATAAAAAGACGAAAGGGTCAGTAGAAAACGACGTGAGTGGTTCCTTGGCATAACCCAAAAGCAAAACACAATAATAAGTAAAGAATAAAAAGACAAATACAAAATAATAATAATCGAATTTAGGTAGTTTCCACTGCTCAAGTTAAAAAAAAAAAGCTTCAAGTGGTTTTCTTCTTCACCCACTGATTCTTCAAAAACTATCTCTCTCTCTCTCTCTCTCTTTCTCTATATACAAATGAATACAAACTGTGTGTATATATATATATGTATGTATGTTAGTAGTTGATGATACAGGAGCTTGTAAGTAAGTAAGTAAGAAAGTGGGTGAGTGTGTCTCTTTAGTGCTCCTCACTGCTGCTGCTCTGTTTTAATTTCTCTGCTCTATGAAACTTCATGGCGAATTTTGAGGATCACACACTACTAACAATCACAAACTTCTGTTTTATTATTTTCTTCTTTTCTCAGTTCATCGAAACTATAACCCACTACTAACAATCACACACACCCACAAACTTAAAAATATATTAGAAAAAGCAAAAAAAAAACAAAACAAAACGGATCAATTCTTTTGCTTTTGTTTTCTTCTTCCTTCTTCTTTCTCCAATCTCTCTCTATTGTAACGTTTCATGTTGTTACTTACACACTTGAGAAAGTGCGATAAACTCGGGAGTTATAAAACAAGATAAATTATATATATACAAAAATCTCTCTTTCTTTTCAGTTACTTTGTTCTGATTTGGTTTCTCCTTTTTTTCTCTACTTTTTCTCTCTTTGTGTGACACTTTCATTTCTCAAAATCATGGAGGCAACAGAGTTGCATTAAGCTTCATTTTTCTCTGAAGAAAGCTTACACAATCTTGAAACTTCTCTTCTGATCTTTGAGGTTAGTTCAATTGAGTTCAGAGTTTATGATATTTTTGCCTAGTTGTGTTTTAAAGTTTTGGTTTTTATTTGCATAATTGAGTTATAAAGTTATGGTTTTTGCGTAATTGAGTTGTTAAGTATGAATATTTGGTGTAATTGGGTTATAAAGTTTTGATTTTTACTCTGTTATGGAGTTCTAAAGTTTGATCTTTGCGTGAAGTTATGATTTTTGTTTGTGTGTAGTTGAGTTATGAAGTTATGGTTTGTGTAATTGATATGTTATAAAGTTCTGATTTTTATTGTAATTGAGCAGTGAATTATGCTAAAGAAGAGATCAAGAAGCAAGCAAGCTTTAATGGCGGATACGAACCAGAAACAGAGCAAACCGACGCCGTTTCCAAGGCTCTTCACAGCTTTCAGTAGCTTCAAAAGCTTCACTGAGAACGACGCCGTCGCTAGCCCGACTTCGATCCTCGACACCAAACCTTTCTCCGTTTTGAAAAACCCATTCGGATCCGATAACCCGAAAACCCAAGAACCCGAAACCCGTCTCAAACCCGAGCCCAGAAGAATCGGACTCGCCATCGTCGACTCTCTCATCCAAGACGAAAACCTTGAACCCGGATCCGGTACAATCCTATTCGGGTCACAACTTCGGATCCGGGTCCCGGATTCTCCACGCTCATCGTCCGATTTCGGGATCAAAACGAGGAACTCTCAGCCGGAGACGACGACGACGAAGATACCAACTCCCGGGTCGGGTCTCGGGTCACCCCGGATAATCTCCGGCTACTTCTCGGCCAGCGATATGGAGCTATCGGAGGATTACACATGCGTGACGTGTCACGGGCCAAACCCCAGAACAATTCATATATTCGATAACTGTATCGTGGAGAGCCAACCGGGCGTGGTGTTCTTCCGAAGCTCCGACCCGGTAAACGAATCGGATTCGGATAGTTTCCCACCCGACAGCTTTCTCAGTAGTTGCTGTAACTGTAAGAAGAGTCTTGGACCTCGTGATGACATTTTCATGTACAGGTTTGGTTTTGTCCTTTTAAAGTTTTTGTAACATTTTTTTTTTTAATTAGTTGATTGAGAGAAGTAAACTAAGTTAGTGATTTGATTTATTAATTTTGCAGGGGAGATAGAGCTTTCTGTAGCAGTGAGTGCAGGGAATTGGAGATGATGACAGAAGAAAATGATATTAAATGAATGTTTTTATTTGAGAGAGATATATAATAATTAATTTTAAAAAAAAAGTTATGATAATGATGACTATAATTAATAAAATGTTTAGATATGATATGATGAATTTTGTTTAGTTGCTTTTTTTTTATTTTGGGTTCGGAGAAGAGAGTATGGTATTTGTATTTATGTGTATTATGTGTTTACTTGCATAATCATATACATCTTTTACTTTAATGATTTACTTTAATAAAATTAGAGATTACCCATTACTCTAATCATGAACATAATAAATAAAGCACTTTCAAGAGTTGGTTAATTTTATGATTTTATCCCAAAAATAAAAGTAAAGTTTAACTTACTTGACAACAACAAAAAAAGGAAAAAAATTATAGTCCAAGCTCGTTAAGGATCATCAGATTATTACTATTCTGGATCATGGACCAATTATGTTTGGTCCTCTATTGATTAAACTACAAGCCCGAGCCCATTTCAGTTATCATTGTTATCGTCTTCATTCAATTTGTTTGTACTGTTTTTTTTTTTTTTTTGCATGTGTCTCTTATTGTCTTACTCTTACATAAAAGCATTGCCTTGTAATATTCGTAGACGAGTCTAAAGCGAACTGTTAATAGTAATTATAAATGAATTAACTGTAATTACATAAATAGTTTAGGGGTTGAAAAAGAGATATAATCTTTTTCGTAATTTGTGTGAAGAGTGTCAAATGACATCCTTTGTAAAACAGATGAAGTATTATCTACACACAGACATATTTGTTACTTTGTGTATAAGTTTAGGAAGAGTTACTAGTTGATATGCTCCCACAAGTATGCAACTTTGAAGCAAAATCCAACTTTGGAGTCAGCATATGGTCCTACGAGTGGCGGCTTGATTGACTGATACACGTGGTGGGGTTAGGTATTGCTGATATACATTTTTTTCATTACCTTTGTGAACAATCTATTTGGTAGAAACTATAAACTATATACATTCATAATGTAATATCTTACAAATGATCATCGAACATTCTTTGACTGGCCAGTTCATATGTGAATGTGATCTATGATTTACTTCGTAATTCATAAAATATTGAAATGAAAGATTGTCAAGACCTTAGAAAAGGAATGAAATATCTTAGAGCGCTCTAGGGATTAGAGTTTACAAAGACCAATATTTCACTCTTTTTGTATCACTAACGTAAATGATAATCCTTATAAGAATTTCTAATAAACAAATTCGTGGGTTTGAGCACATTGACATATACAAACAAAGACATACCCACATGTAAACATGTACACGTGATTTTTTTGTTTTTTTTTTGTTGGTTAATGGTTATTACATATATAACATGCGAGTATGCAACCATTAGTTAAATCGTAAGAGTACTTCATTAAAAGGAAGAAAAGCTAATAAAAGAAAATGAATTAGATCCCCTTTTTTTCAAGTGTTAAGAACTTGAGATGATCTCAAATATAGTTAAATAAGTAAACACTTACCTACTCCGCTAATTTTGTCAAAACTCCAATCAAAGCGTCATTGTGTTTAATCAAAGCACATGCAATGAGTGAACAGCCTTGATGTTTGATCATATTTATACACAATTATCAAACCTAACTCGAACATATACTCATGCATGGAGGAGAGAGTAAGAGGGGATAATTAGTCATAAAACATCACATTAAATACAATAAATCATAAAACTTAAATAGTTCTATTAAAAAGAAACAAAATGTATATATTATTTTACCACTGTTTATTTTAAGATACGCGACAAATATATAATTATCCATTTTAGGACATGCATGAATGAGACATGTGATGGGTAGGAAAAGCATTACCATATTGCTGCAAGGTCGAGAGGTTGAACGGAACCCAACGAACCTATTGGACAAACGAATTCTGTTTTCGTATCCACCAATCAATTTTTCTACTTATACCAATTTTGTTTTTATGTCTCAAGTTAAATTTTACTAGCTAGTCACACCCAAAAGTACAAAACAATCGAAATATATCAGTTGTATGGTAATCCTCCTATTTTAATATTTTGATTATCTCTAGTTGGGTTTATTATATATTAGCTAGGCACCACATGCATATAGGTATGGCCCTTTACTACAACATCGTTGGTCTCATATGCACACATGGCAACTATTGCTGACTCTTGTTTCATTCACAAGATTCATATCGCTTATATTAGATTGTGGGCTTCCAACATAAAACCAATTGGCAATGAGTGAAGAGGCCCATATATCTTATATACTAGTCAGGATCCTACTCAAGTTCCAATGTGGGATATTGTATCCCTAATACGCTCCCTCGAGATGATGGCTCTTCTGGCCATAGATCTCGGTATATTCGAGCATGAATCGGTGAACCAACTATGGGCCAGACCGATTGTGGATTGGGTTGAGTATGTGCGGACCGGGCTCTGATACCATATTAGATTGTGGGCTTCCAACCTAAAACCAATTGGCAATGAGTGGAAAGGCCCATATATCTTATAAACTAGTCAAGATCCTACTCAACTTCCAATGTGGGATATTGTATCCCTAATAGCTTATAATTGGTTGTGATTCATGGTATCATCACTTTCATAATCAACATTTTTCATGTAAAAGAGGAGGATATATATACTTACAAGGATGGTCTGTGGTTATAATGTAACATACTTCGATAATTAATTGATTTTGACTTTTGCTTGTTAATGTAATTAATATGACTTTACTAGATCATCATTTATATCGGCCAAAGTTATAATCATTAGCAATCTTTTCAATTCTTTATTTATTTTTCTTCAATTATTGAGATTGATTATTAAAAATTTGGAGAATATATGTAAGAAAGACCAACTTGGCCAAGGGCAGGCAACTATATAGTATGGTATCGAATGTAGTGGATGAGAATCATTATATGACTCACGTTGAGTGGTTTGATTGAATGCTTCAAGTTTGAACGTTTAATTAGTCAAATGAATACTAATGATGTTCTTGTAATTATGAACAGATTCTTTAAAATATTGGGGCCATTTTGGAAAAAGAAAAATCTTATGGCAGATTCTCCTAATCCAACCAAGTTGATTTATGTTGCCACCACAACCAATCCCATTATAGATTGCTTGGATTAGCAATCCAACCCTTTTGGTCAATAAATTGTTATTTGCATTTGGCTAGCTTAATATAGAAATCATTTATGGTCATCATCATAAATAACCAGTATTAAATTTATACGTTATGTAGCTTAATATCAAACATAATTAGTGTAACACTTAGAAAAAAATCCTAGGGTAATCTTATTTTGTTTAAAATTATCCAAACAGTGTAGTCATGCACAAATTGTTGTTGCAATTATACTAAAAAGACTAGGATTTAGCCCGTGGTACACCACGGATCCATAATTTAATATATTTGTTTGATCATTTCCGTAATTGGTTTATATAGTCTAGTTTTATAGGTGTTTATATCATTTAAATTTTTGTATAATTTTATGAATTTGTATTATAAGTAGATTTATAGATATATGTGGTCAACCCGTGGTATACCACGGGACGATTTTGTTGTAAATAAAAAAATATACTTTAATTTAACCCGTAAAAGATTTAAATATAGACAACCCGTCAGAAAAATATAATCATATTTATGTAAACTCAAACCCGTTCAATCATATTTATGTACAATATCATTATATTTTAAATATTTTTAGAGTTAAAATATTAATAATACTTTTGTAGAGTTTAAATATTTTTAATACTCTATAAAACTTAATTTAAATATTATAATTTGCAGCTTTTACAAGTGTTAATATTTATAATATTTTAAAAATTTTTTAAAATAAAAATTTATAATATTTTGAAACTTTTTATAAGTTTTATTTTTCTTAAATAAAGAACCAGATTAACTGAATAGAAATTTTAATTTGAATACCTGAAAAATCAAAGTTCATGCTCATTGGTAGTTGTGAGATTCCACGTCATATTTATAATAGTTTTGAACTATTATCTAAAATTTTCTACCTTATGTAAACATTGTACATATAGTTTTTTTTAATTGATTGAGTTATATATGTCTGTTTAAAAAAATTTAAATTGCAAAATGTGTGGAAAAAAAATTGTATTTTTATTATAAATATACTTTATGTAATAATATAAATTTAAACAAATAAGATTATATAAATATATTGGAAAGAGATTCGATTTATTAGAGATAAATTTTAGGAAACTTTTTTGATGTGATAAATATTTGTTTCCAGTTTTGCGATTTGCTTGTGATTTAATTACAAAATCTACTTTTAAATTTTGTTATTTATTCAAATGTCATGAGTTTGATTATGTAAATATTATAAAATAAAAGGTTATAACCCAAAATAGATTATAGTACAAAATGTACTTAAAAAATGTTAAGATAGATTCTAAACTGTCAAATTCACGACATTGTATAATCCAGAGTAAACTATATATGGATATTTATCTTATGTTTTAAATAGCTAGCTATTATGCGTGTGAAGTAAAACTCCCATAAACCGATATACTGATATGATTATGTACATTGAAACTATATATACATAGTTAGTGACATGATTCTTGAAAGTAACTCAAAACCAAACCCACACGAGCATGGCTACAGACAGATATGTAAAAATTTATCCTCATATAATCATTGGTGGCAAACTTTTCCTTCAAGTGATGTAAGAGCGCATCATTGACAAAGAAAGCAATGAAGAAAGAAAAGAGAGAAAAAGTCCAAGCATGGGGCAAAAAATGATTGCATGCATGATGCAAAGTCTAGTGTTGTGTTAATTACATTACGGTCCACCATTTATGATTTCTGGTGAGCCACACTCCCTCTAGCTAGGTGAATTCGAAACCTAACATTCAAGCGAGCGTGTTTAATTCACTATATGAAAACAAAGCCTCTTCATTGAGCTTTCCACTGTCCAACCATAGTTACTCTCGTTTCTCTACTATCACTGAGCTATGAATATATGTGAATCGAAGAACCTGATTACATACTCTTAATTAAGACTCTTAATCCTTTGTTATACGACCACTTAATAAAACGTTCATATGTTTTTTTATTTTTAATAATAAAAACAATGCGTTATACGATTCAGAAAAGCAGAAAAAAAGAAGAAGCAGTCAATGGAAAGAAAAGTTGTCAGCATTATTGCAAGACAACGTCGTAAGTAACGCCTCATGCTCATGTCTTGTAACTCTTCTTGTAATTGCATCATATTCACAAATATGCTTATTATATTTTTCAGCCAAAAAACTTGCCCAACTTGTTTGTTTGCTTCTTGATGGGAAATATAGTATTTTTATAGACTTGTATGATGTGTTTATCCGCTCTTATGAAGCCCACTTGACATGAAGCTACATGAAACACAAACACATAATGTTACTGTAGATTTTTTGTTCTTGTTTATAATCTAAAGAAGTATTACTATATACATATAAGTATCAATGTTGTTAACAAGCATATTATTAGCAAAAGAAAAAAAGTTGGATACTTATAAGTGATGTGTAATGCACGATGACATGGCATTTATATAGACAAATCTGTGGTTGAAGAAACTGTGAAAGACAAGCCACAAGCTAAGTCAAGCAACTGTCGAGAGAAGACATGGCAAATAGGGTAACTGAAACTAACTAACCCTACTCACATTGTGCATTCAATTTCTCTTTTTAATATCTTTATTTTGTTTATTACAACCCAAAAAAAAAAGAAAAAACTTTAACTCCCCACAGAGTTTATGCCTCGAGAGCTAGCAGTGCTATTGAATAAAATTATCTCTACTCCAAGACAAAACCTTTAACCACAGACCAGTGACCGCCCTTGTGTATATATACTTTTTCTAATTATCATATTATTTAACCTGAGATTAGAAATTATTTAGTATTCAAGAAATTATAAATTAAGTTACCTAAAATAATGGTAGATTCGAAAAAGTGGGAGGAAAATGTGTAGACTAATAACTTTATCTAACTTTTCTTCGAATTTTTTTTAACAACTTTTTTCTTTGATATATAGTAATAAGACTACTATACATACATTATTGTGTGGCTAAAAGACTCATAGGCCTTTAATTATTGTTCCTTCTTTTGGGGGACGAGTGTGTTTTGGATCTTTTAACCCCGACTCATCTTTTATGTTGAAGAGCGTTATGGGAATTTCAAATGTATGTATTTTAGAAGAAGACTATACGTTTAGATCTACGTAATAAATCAAACTAAAGTAAAAACAACGATCTTATAAGACGTAATTGACAAAAGATTCGTTACCAAACGTCTAGAACGTAACTCTCGCGGTTAACGAAAAGAACTTATCTTTAATTAAGTGATTTAAGTCATAACCCTATAGCATATGCTTTGAAAAAATGATGAGAAAGCATGAACATTGGTGATAAAAGCATATATGAAGATATTTCATGAATTATATATGTGTTGTTTATATATAGATAGATAGATAATGGTAATTAAGAACCATCATATATGTGTATATGTGTGTGGATATAACAAAATTTGGAGGAGATAGAGAGAAGTGTGTTATATAATTTGGTAGGTGATGGACCCTTCTATATCCAACCACCTTTGTCTCTATTTCCACCTTCACATGTCCCTTAGAACATGGAGCAAATTATGGCAACTCACCCCTCTCTACCCTCTTTTTCTCTCTTTTCTTTTGTTAATTCTTTCTAATCTTCTCTTTATATTTATAGTTTTCTGCTAGCTAGGTTTTTATAAACACCAACAAATAATAATAATTCATAACTATATATAAAAATCTAGTCAAAAATGGAAAATTTTAGACAGTTTTGAAAAACGCCCATAGATTTTTGGTCAAAATGTATATGTCTTCTATTGCCAATATAGACAGCATCCGAACATGGCTACGCAATTGGTTACTGAACCCACGACAAATTTATCTGACAACAACGGTGATTGATTAGAACTCTCTACATATAGATTCAATGATTCATAGTTTCATACAGTTTTTAGACTATACTAACATATTTTCATGTACATATGCATTAGCATGTCTTCTTTTACTTCTAAGCTTTGAGGATTAGTCAAAACTCAATAACTTAATATACACTGATCATCCACTTGTAATTTGTACTAGTGAAAAAAAATTTTTGGTCACTATCCAATGTTATATTGTCAGTTAAAAAAACCAATGTAACCGTTAGATTTATGACTATATGACTATATATGTATCTGCCCAATCATACACACCTCTCAAGACTCAAGAGTCAAGAGTATAATATTAATTGTTGAAAGTGTCTAGAGCCGGCCAAAGAATGCAACATATAAAGCAATTCACTTTGGTGTTTTTTTCAATACCCACAACACAAAAAAACCATTCTCCATCACCCAAAAAAAAAAAAACACTTTTCTTTGTTTTTGTTTGCCATATTGAAAAGCTCGTGAAAATGGAGATAGAATCTGTGAGGTGTGAGTGTTGTGGGTTGATGGAAGATTGCACACAAGACTACATTAGTGAGGTCAAATCTAACTTCGACAACAAATGGCTATGTGGTCTTTGCTCCGAGGCCGTGAGGGATGAGGTGAGTCGCCGGAAGATGACCACCGTCGATGAAGCTGTTAAGGCACACGTGTCTTTTTGTGGAAATTTCAAGAAAGATAACCCGGCGGTTCATGTCGCCGATGGTATGAGGCAGATGCTACGGAGGAGGTCCGGTGACTTGACGACTTCCTCTGCGTCCAAGAAGTTTGGTAGATCTAACACCACCAAGTTGTACTGATCCAATTTTTTTTTATATTTTCGCTAATTAATTTTATGTATAATATTTGATGCTACTTTGTATCGTTTTGTTTAATGTCATAAATCATAAAATGATGGTCGGTGATGCTATAACTACTAATCAATTAATTTTCATAAACTAGTCTTGTCATTTAGTTTCCACCCAGTTCAATCTCTTTAGACATTGCTTAACATGCCCAAAACTATCCCATGATTAGGAACCATAAAGATGAATCATTAATCTTGAATTTATGTTATGTTATTTTTGCTTGGTAACCAAGAAGTTCTATAACCTTTTGAATCGGGTCAAAGTTTCAGAGAGACCATAACATGTTAATCTAGTAACCGAACTCGTGCTTTTGAATACTCTATCTATTTTAGGTGGCTAGCTATTATCATATATCAGTTGAGCTACTAATAACGTTACGAAAGTTTAATGACATTTTTGATAATGTTAGTCGTCCACGAGTCTGATTGACAAGTTATTTAACCCGTGTCTTGGGCTGATAATGGGCTTTGATTTCATCTAATGGACTTAAATTAATCAAAAATGTCACTGAACTCATCATATAAAGAGCTCCATCTAATGGACTTCAAGTTCAAATACTGGAAGTGACTTGTATCAAGCTAAGTGTCCATCAAGTGTTTTTGTTCTACTCTTATTCACACTAAACAATTATTGCCATTGAACCTTCTATGTAACTGTTATATATATATATATTTTTTTTTTTGGCTCAACGTCAACTATTCATTCACCAAATCGATATTACAATTCATTTGACCTCGACAATTTTCACTCAAATACAATGATTTAGTCTAGTATCGCCCTGAAACACTAGCGGATCCAACGCTACCCGACTACGAATCATTGTATCATTTCCACCATACCGAGATGAACCACACCACGACTCGGTGTTGAATCATCTCTTAAACCACCTAAATTGATCCTAATGACACGAGAACAATTACTAACACGGAGAAGACCAAAATCTAAACTGAAATACAAATACAAATCAAACCAAGTTATTAGTCCCTTATGATCGGAGTCTAGAGCTTGTCCCAATAACATCACCACCCGGAGGCGCATTATCAGAAAGACGTGGTTTCCCGGCTTTTATCGTTCCGGTCTTAAACCAAAATGGACAACACGTCCGACTGAACCGACCAAGAGGCGCAAAACAATCAGCATAGCCATAGACATCTCCGAATTATCCAAGCAGAACTCGTATACTTATCACCTAATGATTATAGTGGAGCACGGATTAGTATACCTTCACCTCCCGGTGCGTTTCTGGAATGCCAACATCGCATCTGCCTTGTTGCTTTGCTTCTTGGCCGGACTGAAACCAGAGAGTTGAGGAAACCCTCAAGAACGCCGGCTTTGAGGACATCCTCAAATCTCAGCCATCCTCAAATGTAACTGTTATATTTACTTTTAGTTTTTTTTTCTTTCTTCTGAAAACTTATATTTACGTTTAGTTAGTAATAAAGTAGTAACATATTGATAGATCTTATGAAGTAGATTATAATGTTAAGTTGTTAACACGTAAACGATTTAAAGTTTTCTAGTTAACACGTAAGCTATTAAAGTTTTCTAGTCTACTTATAACATGTAAAATACAAATATAAAATCGGAAAATTTTAAAAAATATTCTTCTGCTCACACACATGTGAACATTTTGGAATTTTTAGTTTCACTTAATTATCCAAGATCTTACGACTATAACATTTGGTCCGTGACATATATTTTTTCTTGTCCCTAAGTTACATACAACCAATACCAATGTCATATACTACATATGGTTTTGTTTTTTTAATTTTTGTTTTATTATGTATTTTTAAGTTGGGCTAACACTCAAAAAACCAAGAAGAGTACTAAATATTTGGGTGGAATAAAACCAAAAAACCTAATTTGTGTGGCCAAATTGATAGCCTAATTAATAGATATAAAGAGATGAAAGAATAGGAGAATTATTTTGGTTCACAAAAACAAAGCAAAAATATTATTTCAAAATAATCTTTTTGTCATAAGGAGGAAATGACCAAAGAAGTTTTGTTGCGTATCGATTTGTTTCCCCTCAATTTTCATTACTACCAAACATTTTTATGTCTCTATCTTCCGTACGTCTGCAATTACGTTATTCGTTTTTTAATTTCTCTCTAAATAAGAAAAATTTGCACGACTCTTATTCAACTCTTATGAGAAATTAAAACACGTTCATGTGATATTCGTCGTCATTATATATGAGTTAATATTAATACGTAGTAAAGTAATTAGAACCTTTAATTAGAATAACTCCTGCATATTGGAAACGTGTTACAAGAATGACTCAAGGAATATATAGTATTAACTTTGTGTATCCATAAAGTTTAACAAGAAAAAGGTTCTTTCACCTTTGTTTTTGCCTTTGAACCAGCATGAAACCAATTGTTAAATATACACATGTCCTACAAATCACTTTTTTTATGATAACTTTAAGTCTTTAACACATACGAGGTAATCAATCACTTAATACTAGCCTCATAATCACAATGTTTAGTTGACATAGCAACTTTAAATATAGGATCGCATCAGCACTAATGAATCTCATCAAAACTCTGCAGTTAAGCATATTTCGATGAGAGTAGTACTAGGATAGATGAACTCCCGAAAAATCTTCGTGTTGTATATCTTTTTTGGTTTTTCAAAAGAAAAAAATACAATCTTAAATATACGGTCTATAACCATTCATTACTTAATGATATCTCACGTTTGAGATGTAAAATAGTTTCTACTAAATACGGTTGAACTAGTGGTTTTGAATTGTCATTTTTAAAACTTTTAACCCATCATCTATTTGATAATATTTATGCAATTCAAAAGATAAATTTACATATAACAAATAAAATGTGTCAAAATTAGATATAATGGCATTGAAGCGTTTTTGTGAATCAAATTTATTAAATTCAAAACCTACATTTTTTTTGTTGGTGAAATAAAAACCTACTTATCTTAGAATATAAGTTTCAGAATTTCATCAGTTTAATTGTTACTTTTATACCATTACTTACTAAAATTGAATCGCATAAGTAAAAAAAAAAATATATATATATATATATATATATATATAACAAAAATGACATATGTATGTCAGTATGTGAATTAATCAATACAATAAAATAAGGGTATTTCGGTAAATAAAGAAGAGCCCTTATCTCATTTCCGATCATCCTTCCATTGCTGCCGCCTTCGCACCCATTCATAAAAAAGGAAAGACGCAATCTTTTCTTGTCTCTCTCTCTTTCTTCTTCTCATTCTTCAACCAAATCTTAAAGCTTTCCTCTTTCACTTTCTTTTATCCCTTTGACCCCATTTATATAATCCAATCTCAAAAGACTCCATCTTTCGATATAAAAATCCAACATTTTTGCGGATTTGTGTTTTAGGGTTCTTCCTTGTATGATTTTGATTCCCATAAAGGTTCGATCAGTTTTCTCATATCTCTTGTTGCTGAGTTTGATCCAATCGATCGACAAACCAAACCCAGAAGCCATGAGAGTCCACCCAATTCCCAGAAACCTCAACAACACTTTGATCCATCACCATCTTCGTAACCCGACCCGAGAGCCCGGGAAGAATCTCCGGCGATTGCCACATATCTTCAACCGTGTTCTGGAGCTTCCATTGAGGTCAGAGGCAGATGTCTCTGTGGAAGAGAGACAAGACTGTTTTCGATTCGTGGCGGAGACGGTAGGTCTCTGTGACGGCGACGGTGAAATGAGGGCTTATATGGTTGAGATTCATCCGGGTATTACCAAAATCGTGGTGAGGACAAATGAGTCTTCGTCTTTGGGTTTGTCTTTAGACGAGTTAGAGCTTGACGTGTGGCGTTTTAGGCTACCGGAATCAACTAGGCCTGAGCTTGTTACTGTGGCTTGCGTTGATGGTGCTTTGATTGTTACGGTGCCTAAGAATGCAGAAGAAGAAGTTGATGATGATGGTGGTGGTGGAGATTTTGGACAAGGTATGGGTAGTGGAAGGCTAGTGCTTGTTCAGTGAATCAAGTAATGTCCTTTATGTAATGTTATGATGATACACTCTTGGAATGTTTTCTGAGTTCTTTATCACGAAACGTGAGAGAAGACAAATCTCTAATCTTCCTCGTTTCTACGATATTGTGTAGCCTTGTGTTTTATTGTTGGCAATTTAGTTCTAAATAAAAGAAAGATTGGATCTTTGATCTCTCATTTTGTAAGATCAGGAAGGATTATTTGAAGCTGTGTTAAATCAAAGATAAAGAAGCACAAAAAGTCTAATTTTTATCACCTAACGGATAGTTTTCCATAGTACATCAACATATAATAGATTGCCAAGTCAGAAAACAACTTTCAAGAGACTTGCAACTTAAACAAAAGAGCTAAGATGATACAACAAGACTGGCTAAAGGTTATAAGGATACAATACGACGCCAGATTTAGAAGAAGAAGCCTTTGAGAGAAGTGAATTTAGAGAGGATCTCTGCTTCACGCTTAAGAGCATTATCCTTCTTACATTCCCATTCATGTTTCTTAGAGTTAGCTGATTGAACTTCCTGTACAACTTTTGGGATTGAGTTCGCTACCATTTTCTGACCGTAGCTTAGATCAACCCTTTCTTTCTCCTTGGTCCCGATGTACCGCTTCAACTCTGACCGTCTAGCTTGAAGCTGAGCAATTTGGTCATCGATTTGGCGGATTGTCTCAGAGTTTGAGTCGACTTCCATCTGGATGCTCCCTAGTTTTTCCCTCAGGTCGCTGTATTCGTATTTAAGTGATGCTACCTTAGCTTTGTTAAGCTCCAGTGCAGAGAAGAACCTATCAGCTTCTTCAATCACCCCTTTGTTCTCCTGGAAAACTTCGCTAAACGTTGGAATCTCTTCCATCAGCTTCAATCTCACAATCTCTTCAGCAGAAAGGTTTGGATCTTTCCTCAGTTTAGTTGCCAATGCTGCTATCTCTGTTGCGTCCTTGGAGAGGAACAAAGTAGTGAAATCCTTCTCCAGAAGAGATGAAATCTTCATTCGAGCTTCAGCCCATTCATATTCTCTCATTGGAGAGCTTACACTAACAAGAACAGACGAGTCTCCCCCAACCTCTTCTGGAGGTTGCTGCATAAGGTTATCAAGAGAGTTCAGGTAGCTGTCAAACTCTTCTGGGTTAACATCGATAGGCGAGTGTGAGACCGCAAGGACACCATTCATAGGAGAGACATATATATGAGGAATAGAAACATCTTCTTCCTCGTAGTTAGCTCCGCGTTTCTTTCTCTTGTTACTAGTATTTGGTGCAGTAGCAGGTTCACCCTCTTCGTTCTGGAAGTTCAAGTTCACAGCACCACCACGCTGCTGGTTTGAGGCACGTCTTGCGGATTGTCGAGATGATTTCGGTTTGGGCGTGGACTGCGGTCCAGTGCCAGGAGTTGTGGCTCCTTTCTTCTTCTTGCTACTAGCTCGGGGAGTTGGTTTAGGTTTCGCTTCAACAGGTTCATACGTTTGTGTTGGCATTGGTTTTCTCTTCCTTTGGCTGTATCGGGAGTTTCCTTCTTTTTTCCCAACCTGAGCATCATCATTCTGGCCAACCTCGCTCTGTACTTCCTTTGGTGTCTCCTCAAAAAGAGATGCAGCATCAACTACAAAAGAAAGAAAACATGTTAAATTGGATAATTCAAATCACTAAACTAACTAGAAAGTAAACCTTGCAAAAAAAAAATCTGTAAAACATCAGCAGAGATCGTTTAGTAGTCCTTAGACCAAAACACAAGAATCATCAGAAATCCATATCATGTAGTAATATAACTGATTAAGTTCATCCATGAGAAAGGTACATCAGCATCATCTTACTCTCTTGCATAGCTTAAATTACCTTTATTTGCAGGCTGGAAGAGAGCTGGAATCTTCCAGCTAAAAGAAGATAAGAATGCATCAGCATCCATGCCTGGGAAATTCGACTGAATATAACGACCAAGATGGACTTTGCTTGCGAAAGACTTTGGGACATTCTTTTGCTGAAGCCTTTGAGGGAGAATCAGAAATCTATCCTGATGATACCCAGTAGCAGTCACTCTCCTCCCAACTCTCCAAGTCCAAACATCTCCAGGGCTTGGCCAATCAACAGGGGCATATGGCAGACCTTGACCAGTTGAAACAGGGGGAATCGCTGGAAGTTGGTTTAGATCGGTTTTCCCATGAGTGAAGGAGCTGTTATCTACACTTCTCTTTCCATTTTCCTTCGCCTGAGAGGGCTCTGGATCGTCAATGGCCTCTTCTCTGTTGAAACCGTTTTCCCAGAAGTCGTCTTTCTCTTGCTGAGTGGAGTCGAGATCATCTGAATCATTTTCTCGGTAAGTTGAAAGCGGGACAGGTTCAGTGTCATGGTAAGTACTGATTGGGACTGGCTCCGAATCAAACCTGTAAGCAAATTAACAATAGAGGAGCTGAGAGAGAAGTGGTATGAAACAAACAACAAACACAAGAATCAATTTAAAGCAAAAAACAACAACATTAACGCCTCAAATCCTTTCCATCCACAAGGACTACAAATCATTTGCCTTCTCCATAGCACCAATAAAACATGTAGACAAACAATGTACTAGACATTTCATTATATCATAATGTCGAAAAAATCATACTCCGAACACAAACTCAGACTAAAACATGAAGACTCCACACCCACACCACAATCAACCCTAAAGGCACATCCTTTCTGGTAACAGCAGTTCGTCTAAGAACCTAAACTTTTGCTCAAAGTAAGTTTCACCCTAATCCCAAAGACAAACATGTTCCTCTCTACAAAATTTGATCTTGTCTCATCTAAACTCAAGAACTATTGATGCTTAGGTCAGAATTTTGAGCAAATGACAGCGAAAACACTACAAATCCAATTCTAAGAGAGTTAAATTACTATCATTTCCCCGACATAAACCCATCAAAAGCTCTTATTTTTTCAAAAAACCACAGCAAAAGATACAGACACAGTATAAACCAAAACAAACCAGAGCTGAGAAAAAAAACAAGTTTTTGTTCGAAATTATAACATAGCAATAGAAAAGAATAAGTACCCAGGAGGATTTTGAACGATCTCTTGTATATCTATCGAAGAATAAAACGGAGCAGACATGGCCACTCAATACCCTAATTTCCTGCAGAAACAGAAACACCCATTGAAGCAAAGATGAGAAAAAAAACAAAAAAAAAAACAGAATTCGGAATGAAATTCAACTTTAGAAACACGAAAGTTATGAGCTTTATGTTTGATTCAGAAGCAGTACGAACAATTTTGGAAGCAGATCTAAAGCTTTTCACTTTCTCTTCTTCTTCTCGTCCTTTTGGTATTTTCTAACTCTGGGAAATGTGGTTAAAGTCTTCAAGCTCAGAGAGAGAGAGAGCAAGATGTGTAAAACAATTTACCATTATATCCTTTATTTGGTTCAGTCCCTTTTTTACGTGTTGCACGGTAAGTTTTTTTTTTTTTTTTTTACTTACCGTGATCGCTCGCACACAAATTGGACTACAACTGTTCATTTGTAACATTAACACGAAATCAATACGAGGATATACCACACATCAACGTAAGTCACATTGTTTCCAAGATTTTATTGACAAAAACAAGATTGTCAAGAACCTAATAGTATATTTTTAGGTTTGTGTCTAATGTCATAAACTCATGATCTTGGCCTCTTGTGTGTCATATTTGTTTCAATATGAAAATTCTTGCGTTAAATCGGTCAATTGGTATAAGCATGTCCACAAGGCTACAATCATGATGGACTTGTCTTACCATTAGTTAGTACGAGATTACATTAGGCGAACTAATTAACAAAATACAAATGATTACATCAAATAAGCATTGATCTAGATTCATATTCTCTGTATGTTACATTGACAACTACAAAGGGGAGATCACATTATTAACGCACCAAAAAATGATCTATAACGTTCAAGCTACCGCCTTAGTGAGTACTTCCACGCAAATGTTCTTCATGGAGTATCATCAATTGTTCAGCCACCTAACAAGTCACACGACACGATCGAGGTTTTAGTCTACAAGTAGATATGATCTACATTTTAAGGAAATTAACAGTACCTCTTCAATGCTACCATCTTCGATCTCTGTGTTGAAAGAAAGAAGCAAGCTTTCATGTAGCAAGTTCTCAATATCTTCCACCGTAACCACTGCTCAAAATGTAATCCAGATCAATATCTTTATGAATTATGATCATGAGAAGAAAAAAAATATCAAGAAAGTGAATAACAAATCGAACCATTTGATTCAGAGAAGAGGTGGTAAAGATGATGAGCAAGATCTTGAGATTTCTTGAGAGAATCGTGGCCTCCCCATTGATTCTTCACGGCCATCTGAAGCCCACCCCACCGCGAAAGAAGCTCTCCGATGCCTCTCCGGAGAACAGAGTCGTCGGTCACGGGACGCACGTGCTTTTCATGCCACGTGGTGGAGAGAACGTGAGTAGTATCGAACGTTCGTCCACCGGCTCCCATATCCTCTGACTTTTCCGGGCCGCAGACAACGGTTCTTCCGCCTTGTAACTCCGTTTAAAGCAAACGGAGAACAAATGCTGGAAGATTTTGCGTATGGAACACACAACGAGAAAAAAAAAAAAAACACGTTTCTGTTGTATACTCTATTTTCTAAAAATGGAGAAAAAACAAAGAAAAACGAAAAATAAGGATCTAGAGAAATAAGACAGATCCGAGGAGTTAGGGGGAAGTTTCTGAGTTTGCCAGGACTTGACAAAGATTTGTTCTTTTGACTTCAGACATTTGACATATTGGTGACTTCAGTTTTCTTGATGCTATGTTTTGTCTTGAAACTGAAACGTGTCTACAACAAGAAAAACAAAAAGTGAAACGTGTCCAATGCAACACGACGCATATGGTAACATTGGAGAAATATGTCCTTTTTAATTCTTAAATTTTGTGACACAGATATACAAAAAAAAAGGAAAAGTAAAATCCCCATCTCAATCTAATCTAACTCATCTTGCTATAAACTTGTAAACCTGACGCGTGTATCCTAGTCACCTCACTGACAAGTGTCAGAAGTCTTATAGTGTTGGCTCCATATTCTCATGCACATCTCTTTATTTATATACTCCATCTCGCTAGGAGTTGTTACGAGGTAACCAGACAGAACATATCAACATAACGTAACAAAACAGAGATGAGCCAAGAGCAACCAATTAGGCCAAAAGAGCCAGTCAAATATGGAGACGTTTTTGAAGTCTCTGGCGAACTCGCCGATAAGCCCGTAGCACCTGAGGATGCAAAGATGATGCAAGCTGAGGAGACACGTGTGTTTGGCCATACTCAGAAAGGTGGTCCAGCTGCTGTCATGCAATCTGCAGCCACCACCAACATACGCGGTGGCTTCGTCCATCGAGGTGACAAAACTGAACTTGCCGCTGAACGAGGCGTCACGGTGGAGCAAACAGTCCCTCCTTCAACTGTCACAACCGAATTCGTCGGTGGACAGGTCCAAACTCGTTTCCATAGTTACTACTTTTTTCATATATTCATATTTTTTGTTTGGCGTAATGGCGAAAGCTTTAGGTCGTTGGACAACATGTTGAACCGAGGCGCGTAGTAGCTGGAGCGCGGACGGATGAAGAAGCTTTGCAAAGTTCAATAACGATCGGAGAAGCATTGGAAGCGGCTGTGAAGACCGCTGGAAACAAACCCGTTGATCAAAGCGACGCAGCAGCGATTCAAGCGGCGGAGATGAGAGCTTCTGGTACCAACGTCATTCCTCTTGCTGGAATCGCCGCATCAGCTCAATCCGCAGCTGATCACAACGCCACTGTAGATCGTGACGAGAGAAAAATCAAGCTAGCTGATATTTTGACGGTTCAACTTCAAAACATTCTCATTAATGTTTTATCTGTTTCTTTAACAAGTGTCTAATATGTTTTAGAACCGGATGGGTTATTAGGGTGCAGCGGGGAACTGTGACGAGGCAAGATGCGGAGGGAGTGGTGAGCGCCGAGATGAGGAACAACCCTAAATTGTGTACTCACCCTGGTGGTGTGGCGGCTTCGCTTACCGCGGCTGCTAGGCTTAACGAGAGAGTCGATATATGAGTATGAAAAGACAAAATCTGGCGAGAGGAGTATGGTTGTGTAATTTTGTTTGTTTTCTCTCTCAAAACTTAGAAAACCTTGTGGTGTAAAATAGTCTAAGCTTGTGGTGACTTCGGTTTAAAGTTTGATAATCCCGCAAGAGGAGGATGGTGTTCAGATGCTTGTGATATAACAATCGCCTAGCTTTTGGTTTTTTTTTTTTGGTTTTTGTTCCCTTCTGTTTCAATAAAATTTTAAGAAGTGATGTCATAAGAATGGTCAAAACGGAGACTCTAGTTTGAAGTTAAAGGTTCTTTCGCTGATTTGCTTTGGGAATGAAACTGCCAACGACTGATTTATATAAACGGGAATCCTCAAGTCACTGGTTTTGTGATATTTCAAAACATTATGAGCTTTAACCAACAAATATACAACAATAATAAATATAAATAAAACGCCAAAGAAAAAGAGTTATACTGGCAGCTCCAACAACAAGATATACACCTCCACTATTATCTTCTTCCTTGTTATACTTTAGAATTTGAATTCTGTAAAGATCTTTTCTTCTTCTTCCCCAGTCCAGTTATGTTGGAGTAGATTTGGCTTGGCTGTGACATATTGCTGAGGGATGTGACTTTGGTTTCCATGTACTTTTAACTTGTCTTAAGATTGAAACGTGTCCGGTTGTATACGACACATTTGGTGAAATGTGGTACTAAAGCTAAATGGCAAAATCCTTATCTCAAATGGTCTAATTCATCTAAGCTGTCTCATCTTTGCTATAAACTTGGAAACTGGCACGTGTGTCTTTACTCTTTAGTCACGTCATTGACAAGTGTCAAAATCTCATAATGTTGGAACCACACTCATGCAGCTCCCTTTTATTATATACTCCATCTCTCCGGGAGTTGTTTGTGTATTGGTAACACAGATTTAGAACAGAACAGAACATACCAACAGAAGAAATGAGTCAAGAAGAGCAACCACGGAGGCCACAAGAGCCAGTCAAATATGGAGACGTTTTCGAAGTCTCCGGTGAACTCGCCGATAAGCCCATAGCGCCTGAGGATGCAAACATGATGCAAGCTGCGGAGACACGTGTGTTTGGTCACACTCAGAAAGGCGGTGCAGCTGCGGTCATGCAGTCTGCGGCTACCGCAAACAAACGTGGTGGTTTTGTCCATCCAGGTGACACAACTGACCTCGCTGCCGAAAGAGGTGTCACGGTGGCACAAACAGACGTCCCTGGTGCACGTGTTACTACAGAGTTCGTTGGTGGACAGGTCAAAACTAGTGTCCACAAAATTACATAAATTTTTCTAATATCATTCTTTTGCTTTGTAACGGTGAAGATTGTTTATTATAGGTGGTTGGACAATACGTTGAGCCAAGGCCTGTGGCGACTGCTGCTGCCACAGCCTCAGAAGTGTTGGGATTGAACTTACAAAGCGCGATAACGATTGGAGAAGCATTGGAAGCGACAGTGCAGACCGCTGGAAACAAACCGGTGGATCAGAGCGATGCAGCTGCGATTCAGGCGGCAGAAGTTAGAGCTTCTGGCACTAATGTCATTGCTCCTGGAGGAATCAGCGCTTCAGCTCAATCCGCAGCGAATCACAACGCTACTGTAGACCGCGACGAGGATAAAATCAAGCTCATTGATGTTTTGGCGGTTAAACACCAATTTCAAAACATTTTCATCAATGTTTGATGTTTTTCTTTAACAGTATCTAAATGTTTTTGAACCGGATGGATGCTAGGGTGCAACGGGAAAGTTATCCGCGGATAAAGCTGTGACGAGGCAGGATGCAGAAGGAGTGGTGACCGCTGAGCTGAGGAACAACCCTAATCTGTCTACTCACCCTGGTGGTATAGCAGCTTCTATTACCGCAGCTGCTAGGCTTAACCAGAAATCTGATATATGATAAAATCAGGCAGGAGGAGGATGGTTTGTTTAGAAGTTCTGTCCTTTTGCTTTTTCCTTGCAATATAGGGAACTTGTGATGTAAAATTGTCTTAAGTTTTGTTTCTGTTGTTCAAAAAAGTTCCAATGATAATGTTAGTATGGGAAAAAGTCACTTTGCTGTTAAAAAGTTGAAACCTTTCTTGAGCCTGATAGCTTCAATATCTAACACAACTGATCTACAAAATATGACGATTCTCCAGTCTTGCTAGTTTTTGTAACACTCAAAACATCCTTTTCCAGAAAAGGTTACGGCTTTTAAACAAAGAGATCCCAAAAAGAGATACAACAGTAAAACAGAACGCCAAAAGTAGAGTTTTACTGGCTCGAACTAGCAGCTCCAACGAGAACACCTTGAGCATTACCTTCCTTCTTGTTACCCTCTTCCTTGTTATCGTCCTGCTTCCTTATCCTGATCTTATACTTAGCTTCAAACTGTGTAAGATCTTTCTTCTTCTTCTCCAGCGTCTCGTATAGCTTCCTCACAACCTCTTCGAGCCCTTCCTTGTTGCGTAGCACAGCTGGGAGTACCTCTTTGATGGTTCTCTCGACAAGAACGCCTCCTATCATGCGGAAGCATTTCCTCGATTGGTCGAGAGGCTGAATGGCGTTGATAACCAGAGAGTGTTCGCTCACTTGCATCTCGAGTTCAGTTATGTTGGAGTAGATTTGACTCAGCTCTGATCTCATGCCTTCATACATGTTCAGAACAGCTTGCTCATTTGGTGGTTCTCTTAGGCCACCACTTCCAGACTTGCTGGCCATTGGTTAGATCCTACTAGGGGAAAAAATCAAGTTCATGAAATCAGGACTTGCTTTGATATTTGCCTAGTTAACTCAATCAAGATACTCAAACAACACTCAAAGAAACATTTGCATCCAACAGAAACTACATACCGAAAGATCCTTCAACAACAAAAAAAGTAGTTCCCTGAAACTATCTACCACAAGGAAGATCCAAACTCAGTTCAATATTCTTTCAGAAGTTAGAAATGTAAAACATGGTAAGGTATAAAGATTTTATCAAATCCAATATCAATCCTACAATCAATACAAGAACAAACCATGCCCTTGATGTATCTATCAGATCAACACTATACACAAAATTCATCTTCATATAACCCAATCACAGTAGCATATCCATCCACCAAATTCCATCAGCTTCATAGCACCAAAATCCACTTACACAAGTACAACACAACCAATACAGAACATTTCACTGAGTAGTAGGTAGTATGATAACTCAGTAACAAGTGTAGTGTCTATAGAACATAATAATCCTCTATCCTCAAAATATGATGCTCAAACATAGAAACGATGTCAACGACAAGATTTGTAACAATCAGGGCCATTTGTAACAAACTGTGCGACTGAAACTAGGGTTTCGTTGTCACTGATGATTCCATAACTAGGTTCTGTTCCCTAGAATAAATCTACGTTCCTAAAATAAGAAGCTTGATCCGGATCGAAGAAATTTTCTTAAAATCCCAGAACTTGATTTTGTTTATTTGAGATCGATATCGACAACAAACCTTTAAGAACACTTGAAAGGACAAGAAAAAAAAAATACACAAATCGAAATATGTAAAAAAAAACACTTACAGGAAAAAAAAGACGAAGATCGTAGAAGCTTTGGCTTTGAGAGGAAACAATCGAGAGAAAGATGGAGAAAACGCGGCGCAGAGAGTGAGGAAGAAGAAGACGAAACAAAGGGTTGGGTTTAACTCAATTAGAAACCGGTTTACAATTTAAATCAAAAAAAATTGAACCGGTTTTAAATATATGAATGATCAAATCACTCCTCTCTCCCACAACAACAAAAAGAAAAATTCAGAGAAAGGAACAACGAGTCGTATGAAGGAGAAGATGATACAGAGCTTGAGTCTTCTTAATCGAAAAGCTTCGAACTTTACTCAGCTTCTTGAGAAAGGTACATTGAGAACTTCTTTATTACATTGTTCTAGTCAAAACTGTAAAATGCTAATCTCTATGACTGACTAGTAGCATGATTAAAGCATCCTTTTTTTTTTCTTTTGTAATAAGAGAGAGTAAGAGAGAGATGATGATTCTCCAGTCCTCTTCTAGGCCATCGTTAGATGATTAGTCTTCTTCTTGAGTTTCCTCTGCTTAAGCTTCACTTTAACATTAACACCATTGTCAATGAGAGCTTGAAGCACGACCTGAAGCTTACCTTCAATTTTATCTCCTTTCCTAGGAGTGTATACAACGTCGTGTATGTCATCTTCCAAGCTTCTTTGAGCAAGGACTGCCCCAACTGCGGCGCAAGCTTCAGCGTTTCTAGTCGAACCAAGATCGAATTTCATGTCTTTTGAAATGGAATGAGCCACTGTGACAACCTTACTAGTCACCCTGTGAATCACGCATGCTCGAACCGAGGCCTTTGAGATGTAGATGTCCAAGCAAAACGGGTAATGGAAAGGAGCCGTGAGTTGGTTAAATGTAAATGTTCTTTCTCTCTTCTTCTCAGCTGCATTAGGATGAACCATTTCACCGGTAAAAAAGTTAATCATCGGCTCATCTCTCTTCTTGTATTCCTCACGAACTTCCTTCTTATTATTCTTCTTCATCTTTGTTCCTTCTTCTTGGTTTTGCTCTTTGCGAGCGTTCTTGTGTTGATTCTTGCGGTGGAAGTCGTAGTTGTATTCCTCGAATTCTTTTGAACCTCGATCAAGCTTGAAGAAAAGATCACCGCGAATTCTCATATTATCGATTTCATCATGATCAAGATCCGGATCTTCTTCATCATTGAGCATTGTTTCTTTTCCTACTTGTAATGTTAAGGGTGAGTGTTTTGCAGTGTCTGCTTGGAATTGTCGCCAGGCTTGGGATAAAGATGACGAGACATGCCAAGCTTCATCATCCACAGTTTCTATACCACAACCAGTCAAACCAACAGCGTTTTCACCTACTGAATCCTTTTTTCCAGTTTCACTATTGGAGAATCTCGTTGAGAAACAATGAGATGCTGGTCGTAAAACGGAGGTGGAATCCAGCAAACGGAGACAGTTTCTTCTCAAAACCATCAAAGCCATTGAAGGACGAGACCAATTCTGAAAACTAAACAGTAAGGTTTCACAGAGACAAATCGTCGAACACCTTGTGTGTAAGGTTTTGGTAAAAAGAAGTATCCCTCACTCACTCACCACTCGCTCTGTGTCTTGTTTCGATTGAGTCTCCACCAAAGTAGTGGGTATCGTAGACTAGCCCGACGAAGAAGAAAGGCAATTCATGAGAGAAGTTGTGAGAAATCTCCCCAAAGCAAAGATCTTTGGTAGAGACTTGTATGATCAGATTTTAAAGCAGGGGTTTTGGTGGAAACTTTATATGATCAGATTCAAAGCAATGATCTTTCGAAAGAACCAATGTTGATCAGAGACGGAACTGAGATGAACGGAGACTAAGGAGATCGGTAAAGTATAATCTGTGACAAAGAGAAGTTGTCATTTTGATTAACAGAAAGATAAGTCGTTGACTTCATATTAGGCATTACAAAAGCTGAGTTTTTTTTTATATGTAATAAAACACACCAGAGGATATAAGCTAAGTTACTAAAGAGAGAAAGAGACTGTTAGGCTGCGAAGAGATATTACAGACAAAAACGAGGACGTAGAAAGACAATATGCAGAAGATCCAGAGAGAGAGAGAGAGAAAGAGAGAACACCAGAGTAGGTACTTGTCACGGTATCAGTGATTGTTGGTTATTACCATCTTCTTCCTTCTTGTTTGTTGTCACACTGTCTCTAATTCAGTAGTAATGTTGCTGATGGTGGAATTGGTGGTGTTGATGATGGTGTGGGTGATAAACAGGAGGAGCTGGAGCAGGTACCGGACCATTGCAATAACCGTTGTACGCTGGGTAACCAATAGGAGAGCCTTGGTATGAGTTTGGGATGATCTCAGGGGAGTATGGGTAAGGGGGGCTTCTGTTGCTGTAGACTGTAGTAGGTGGGGATGGGTAAGCTGCTGGTGAGGCGTACTGAGGAGAGTGAGATGGTGATCTGATGAAGGGGAAGGAAGAGACGTATGCGTTTGTGATACGCCCGGCTTTGGCTGGTGGCATTGGACCGTTGTAGCTGGCTCGGGTTCTCTTGTTGGCGGGAACAGCTGCTGGTTTCCTCTTCTCGGTTTTGGTCTTTTCTAGCTGGTCCAATCGCTTCTTGAGGTTCTCTGGAGGAAACTCTTCCTCGAGTTTGTACTCTTCTATGCATTTTAAGACCGCCTTTAGCGCTGATTGCTCCTTGCGTGCCACAAGATGCTTAAGAAGAAAACATGACAAGGAAGATATTAAAATTTTAGAGACTCACAAATAAAAATATTTGGTTGTTACAGAAATGAATAGATACCGTAGCTCGGCTAGTATTGCTGGAGTCCTCCATCATAGAAGCTGCTGCCTTCTTTGCGTCCCTTAGATAAGCTTTGAGCAAAGGAACAGGAGGGAACTTATCCACAAGACCAACTTCAAAAGTAAAATGAACAGCATCAAGCTGTTGTCCCCTGCTGATTAATTCTTCAATCATATCTGCAGAAGTATAACAACTCATTCCATCATTCATAAGCTCAGATACCATAAAACAAGATACAAAGAAAAAGGCTTCAACTTCACACAGCCCATAATCAGTTCTAATCTACCACACATACAAATTGCTTCTTGCGCCACTAGTGTCAGACTTCACCGCAATATATAGCATACATAGTTCGCAAACACATCTCCAAATTACCTTACAACCGTAAACTATTTGTAACCTACCAAAACTATATATCTGTATGGGGTAGAAGGAGATAAGAGCTTTAGGAGGCTTACCAGGCATTTGATCACCCAAACCAACTGAAACAGCAAGCTTAGGCATCTGTTTACGCCAGGCAGATCCAACAACAAGCTTTCTATACAGAGCAAGATCTTCACTTCTAACAATTCCAAATGTAACAAGATGCTGCAGAAACGTATGCACATCAGGAGTCTTCACATTCTCTATCCTTCCTCTCTCTTCCAAGCTCTTCTTCCAAGTCTCAGCAATCTCCTTAGCCTTCTCCTTAACGCTGGGAGTAACAAGCAGCCTCGATTTCCCGATCACTGGATCAACCATTACAGGTGTTAAACTCTCAAGAATCACCACACAAGCCCATCCGTAATCATTGCTCATTTTCTCTGCTCTTTTATCCACCGGAAAAACCTCAGATATCGCCTCAAGCACTAACATCGCCGGATCCACACAATCCCCCAACGCCGCCGGAATCTTTGACCGGAGATTCTCAAGTTCCTTCTTCCTCGCCGTCACAAAGTTCCAGAATCCTCTCGCGTCCATTTTAAGACAGAGAGCTTTCAAAGCAGAGAGAAGCCCTTCTTCATCGTCGACCTCGCCGGAATCATCATTAGAACCATCACCACCGCCACCATCTCTAGCTTTCTCCAGCGACTCAAGAGCAGCTCTAGCTCGTTCCCCAACTTTCCCAGCTACGATCTCAACGCTATGGTCGATCGTAACCTCCCTACGATTGAGTGACTCGAGCGAGGTCTGAGTCTGGTTATCAAGGGATTCAATCATCTGCTTCAAGGCCTCGGATTTCTTCATAAGGTTCTGCTCCAAAGAAGTGAAGTGATCGGATAACTCTTGCCATAGTAGAGTACAGCTCGTCATCAACGACGTCTGTTTCTGAAACTCCTCGAAACTCGGCTGAGCTAACTCAGTCAACTCGCCTGGATCGGGGACTGACCCCATCGCCGGAAAATCTTATATAAATCTCAACCTCCGTCGAATTCGATTGATGATTACAGAAGCAAAACTCAAGAGAGAGAGAGAGAGAGAGAGAGAGAGTGAAATTGCAGAAACCCTAGAAATGGGAAAGAGTAAGAAAGAGAAGAAGATAAGAGACAAAAGAAACAGTGACGTGGACAACTCAAAAAGGGGACACGTCTCAGTGGAGTCTGATTAAAGGCGCGATTATTATTACAGCCTTCTTTCTCTAGTCTACATTGCGCCAGTTTACTGCGCAGGTTATTACGAAAATGCGTAGGATAAGAAGAAGTGTTGAGTGATGATGACGTATGAGTGAAAAATAAAATAAAATAAAATAAAATAAAAGGTGAAAGAGAAAAGTGGGTCAAGCCCACTGACCACCACCACATGCGTTTGAGTTGGAAACAATTTGGTTGGGTAAAAAATATAAATACGAAATTGAATAATAAAAACTATATAGTAGTATATATTTTTTGTTTATGAAATTATTGTAAATATGTAACAATGGCATGTGTTTTGTTTGAATCAGAGAGAGAACGCTGTGACTAAAATAAAATATTTGGACTGAAGAATATTTATTTTGTGTGTGTTTTCTTAGAAACGTGATAATTAAGCAACCACACACAAAAGAAAGACATTTTTGTATTTAACTTTTGCTAATCTTGGTACTATGTTTATATCTTTTCCAAACAGAAGCAAACGAAATTTCAAAAGTTTGGATTACTAAAATCTATTGCTTTTTTTTGTCATCATTGGAAATTTGATATGTACAAAACGTTAAACGGGAGAAGATGACATATAATCCATTATTGAGTTGAGGTGGGAAAAATATCCTTTTAAAACTATATGTCGACGACCTCTTTGCTAGTAGTAGTATTGGATTATCATTTTATAATTATATGAAAAAGTTACAAAAGACATTATAAAAATTAGAGTAAGACGAATATGAAAACTGACGGCTATAAGAGAATTATCTTATAAATTAAAATTTTGGTCCGTAATGGCTAGACTACAAAAATATCAACCCGCCGTTTACTGTTGTTACGCTTTTTACTTTACGGAGAGCTAAAATTTGAAAATGAGAAGGTAGAGAGATACATATATAAAAATATAATGATGTTTTCAATTCAGGCATTGATTTGACCTTAAGTCTAGCTAAGTCTTATAGTAAAATGATTATTATGACATTGCACAATACTCGAAAGACTACTTTTCTTCTTCTATTATATATATAGTGCATGTGTTAACTCTCTATCAAAGGCAGTAACAAAGTACTTCCCCATTAATCAAACATGTAAAATTTGTAAAGCTGAACAAAACCAAACCAAACATGTAGATTGGTAAAGCCAAAGAACCAAAGATTTTTGAATGGAAATGAATTTACACGAAATAAAGTTTTGTCAGAACACACGAGAAAGTAAACAAGGAAAAATAAAAAATCGTCCAACACTTTATACCTAACATGTCAATTAAAAACAGTCGTAAAATTTAAAGACTAAACAAGATTTATATAGTGGTTACCAAAAGCCCCCACAAACTAAATATACAGTGTCCTCTTATCTTATGATTTTTGTTTTCATCCCATTTTTTTTAGGTTTTTCTATAATCAATAAACTTTCAATTTAACACCACTATCACCAATCTAACTACTATTCACTAACTCAATGTCACTGACATCAATAGATACAAGTAACTCAAGGCACCATTGTTTTTGGTTCAAACGTAAACAGTCTTAAGAGTGCATGTGAGTGACCAACAAACAATTTCATTGGCTGCCTAAAGCCTTATGAACAACCAGCAGCCACTACTCGATTAGGAGGGCATAAAAACATGAACGAAGTAAGAAAATAAAAGGATCTAGAGACATCAAAAGCATCAAGAACTTGAAGGCTTGATGCTTGTATATATCAGGTTAAACTGATATAAGTCTATGCATTGCAATATGAACACTGAATCAAAGGATCAAAGATACCAAGACATTCATTCATCTATAAATAAGTAAAAAAAATATCAAACTTTTCTCTCCTCCTTTTGATTTTTTGAGCTTGTGATTAAAGAATCCAGACTCAATAGGCAATAAATACCTCGAACGTAAAGTGTACCTGTTGGGGTGAGCATAGAACTGTAATTTACTTAGTTCCTGTGAGTTCTCTAAGGCTCTCAACTGTGGTCTTCTTCTTTGTCTCCATATCGACTTTGTCCAAGTCTGCTACGGTCGCAAGATAACCATAAAGGATTCTCTTTTTCTCACCCGTCCTACCATCAACCTCGACAAGACTATGGTTTTTCTCATCATCTTTGCTTGGAGTAAATGGTTGTATTCTGCCCCAACTCTTACGCCCACGGTTCATCTTCTCAAAATGGTCTGCCATTTTCATAGCTTCCCTAAGCCCTGAATCGTCACCCGCAAACTTGAACAGGGTAATTCCCAAATGACCATCTCTTCCATACAGTGACTTTGATTTCCCACCAGTGAGTCCTAGTTCTGTAAATTTATATATAGACATCAAAATGAAAGCAGGATTGTGTCATCAAGTGTTGTTACATTATATAGGGAAATAACTAGATACGGTACTTGCACACCCACCATTAAACTACTCACATTTCAATTTGAAACCTACTACAACACACCCGAAGTTCTGAAATTAGATTCTGAGATTTCTATAGAAAAGGCCGGGGATAATGGTGACCCAACAAAGTTCCATTGAAGAAGATTAAATGCTTCTTAGACCATTGTTGCCTAGATTCTGATATTGTAAAGTATTAAATTCAAAGCTCAAACCAGAGTAAAACATTATTATAGAGGAAATGTTAATCACAGAAATATTGAGGAGAAATTGGAAGGGATCTAAGCAAAGTGAAGGCTTTGCCTAAGAAGGAATGCCAGATGATAATAAAACCTTGTTAGGTCCCAGACTCTAACTAAAAATACCTGTTGGGGTATTCTTATTGTGTTAGCAAAAGAAAGAGAGGTGTTTCGACCTTGAGCTTTCTACTGAAAGATCAACGAGATGATTATTGTTGCACAAATTCAGTAAAAACAAAGTGATGCCAGATCATTAAGAGTATTACATCCGGGAATCATCTCTATAGCTCTGGTTCTAAATCTAATTGATGAACATTAACTACTGTACAAACACATATCTAAAATGGAAGAGGAAAGAAAGAAGAAGAGAAAAGTGAGCAGAGAATCCTAAGGTGTGGATTAACCAATGAAAGATTCATTAACTGTGCCAGATGGTTCTAAGCGGGTATGTAAACGCAAGAATAGGAATGAAAGGCCGCATGTTATACCTCTGATTCTGTTATCCATTGTTTTGTTTCCAAAGCCTTCCATGCGCCCTTCTTTACCCTTCCCTGTACTGGTATTATGAACAATCACATGAGGTGGCCAAATAATCAGCTGTGCTTGATTGATTGCTGCCTCTTCAGCAGGTAGATTCTGGTATGCCTTTGTAATATCAGGAGCCTTTGTGAAATTCCAACCCATCAATACACAGAGAGCTTTGTGTAGGCCTAAGTGATGCACACGTGAGCTAGCATCGTCAGAAGATTCAGAACAGTATGTGTGCATTACCAAACTATGGGTATCCTGGACGTCTCTAGAAGACCTGTGTTTTAGCATAAGTCGAATTGGAAACACTCATTTAGATTCACCACACAAATAGTGCATATAGTAGTCTGAGGTATTTGATCCAAAAACAAAAAAAGTAGTCTGAGGTATTCAACTCAAGTAAATCAGAATCATGCAGTTAAGACCCTTCAATAGGGACACTAAGACTATTGTGTATACACACTTAAATGATTGAATGTCCAAAGCCACATCCACATATCAGCTTAGTAGGCAATCGACAAGAATCAAATGTAGATGGAAATACCAAATTCTAAGCTTAAGCTAACGCTAGGGGAAATAACTGATGTACTAATAACATATAAACATAAAGAATAATCACATAAACCTCTGCACAATTATGAGGAGTACCATCATAACGTAGCAGAAGGTCTGAAGAATGTTAAAGATGAAAACGAAGGAATTAGTGAACTTCATCATTAGCTTTCTACATATAAACAAGCTTATCTGTGACACAAAAGAACTTTCCTAATAGATTAGTAGCTACTAAAGCCTACTAATAAAGCATCCTTGACACTGATGGAAAATGGTCATAATATTTGACCATTTACTCATCATGCCAACATTGACAACCTCCATCTAGTTAGCAAGCTAGAACAAAGTTTTGACGAAAGCTTGTACACAAAGATATATAGAGTTAAATATCACAAGCACAAGACTGCAGACAAGTAAGAAAATTTAAGCAGTAGCACACACTCAATACCAGATATATGGTGCAGATAGTTCATCATCTGACCATTCGCAAATAGATTGCTTTTTGAAGGCCACCCAAAAATACCAAGGAACTGAATGATGATTAGAAAAACTGATTAACTGAAAAGCAACTACTTAATTGATATCTATTCAAAACCAAAATAAATATCAGCAAGCTAATTCTATTCAACACAATTGGTGGATGGCCGTCAAAAACCAATAAAAAAGATATATCAGCACGCTAATTCTAAACAACTGCAAGAAACTACCATTATGTTGTATTCAGAAGAAAAATAAGCGTGCATACGGCAAGGACTAATAGGTTGAGTCGAGAGATACAGAAAAACACTGAATAGAAAAAAGACCAAAACAGTTGAGATGCATGATTAATTCCAACAAATAATACCAATTATGATAGCAGAATCAACTGGACCAAATAGAACTTAAGCCTAAAGCCTAGAGGCTGCAGTATATACCCACAACTTTTGCTCTTAAGGCCAGCCAAAAAAGTAACTGCAAAAGAGTGGCCACGGGAGCGGTAGGTCCAAAGAAAATGAAAACTAAGTTCAATGATACCTAGTATCTAAATAAAACAGTTGAATAAATCTAAGAGGCTTATCGACAGGCAATGAACATCAGTCATAGTATATGAGTAATCTATAAAAGTATATGAAAGTTAGCGGAATATTAAAACAAGAATTTCAGTAATAATAAATATGTCGTAACAGAGGAACAAAATCAATGTGAAGCACACCATTCACCAGCTTAACTCACAAGTTGAACACATTTTGTTAAAAACACAACCACTAAAGCAAATCGATTATAAGTTTACAACTGTGAACAATTAATATAACGATGTAATAATTATACATGTCAACTTTTCAAGGTATATTAGTGTTCCTTCTTACTTTCTTCATGTTCATTTAGCGTTTTACGACATATAAGACCAATAAAAGCAACCACCAAGAACAAGTTCTTGGTAACTAGAGTTTCCAACACAAGTAAACTGAAACGAAGAAAAAAACAAACACAAGAGACAGATTGAAACCCATCAAACCTGCCACAAACGAGACATCGAAGCCGCCCTTTTCTCCCGTTCTCCAAGTAGTTCTTCTTCTCAGCTGGGTCCTCGAAAACTCGCTTAACAAAACTCAAAAACGATTTCTTTAGTGCAACCTGGTCAACCTGGAGACCTCCACTTTCATGCCTACTTGATCCTGTCCGCATATGCTTAGCTGGTCTACCATCGTCTCCGAACTGACCACTCGTACCAGCCATAACTGAGTGATCATTAGGATTCGCATACTGCATAAAATGTTGTCTTTGTCTCAGCATTTCAGCCCTCTCATCTCTCCTATCAAATTCCTCTTCACCTGGATACTTCCGTTTCATCGAACCCTCAGGCCGATCCCAGTGATTCCTCTGATCTCGAAACTCTTCAGGGTGATAGGGTGGGAATCGCCCAAATTCCGGTCCAGCTACTCGGCTTGGAGGAGGAAAATCCTGGTAATTAGGAGGAAGTGCGAAATAGGAACGGACACTACCATCAGCTAGAACAATTGTGCGCCGCTCCAGCATATGGGTTCCATAAGTCGGTGGAGGAGGAGGACCAAGCGCTGCTGCCAACGACGAATCAGGGAAAGGAAACGGAGCCATCGGCCGTGAAGATGTCGGAGCTGCTGGATTTGGATGATTCGAATTGGATTGATTCGGAATAGGAGCTAGCTTTGGAGAAGGATTCGGCCTCGGGAGCTTCTTATCGGCGATTTTCTGGCCTCCCGTCGTCGGTTTGCTTTCTTTGTTATTGTTGTTGTTACTGGTTCCGCCATCGTTACTATTCGCATTCCAACGGGATTTACGGTTCTGTGAAGACGAAGCTGCAGCGGTGGGAGCGGGTGTCGCCGGAGGAGGCTTGTTCGTCGACGGTTTAGCGTTGTTGTTGCCACCAACCATCGTCAATGGCCGTGGAAGAGGGCTTTTGAGCTCGTAGAACTGCTAATTCTAGCTTTCAGCAATTAGCGGAGAATGATACTGTATCTGCTATGGATGAATCGAGTACAGTATATAGAGAGGTTAGGGATTAGGATCAAATCATCGAAGCCGAAGGAGACGGAAGCATTCTCTGAGGATCTCTAAAACGGCATCGTTGTAGAGGTTTTGCAAAACGCAGTCGTTTAACCTAGATAGAATCATAGAAAACAGAACATTGGATTATTTTCGATTTTATTTTGTGTGTGGCAAATTACAGTCTTCTGCAGTTGATACAGCAATGGTAAGAGATTCAAAACACTCTCCAACAACATATATTAATATAAAAAAGATGAGGCCCATCATCTTCTGAGCTGTGTGGTCTTTCACATTTTGCTCTTCGTGCTTCTGCAATGGAACAGCAAAAGATCCAACAGGATTGACATTTGGCAACGTATGAAATTTGACAATTGGTTCATGAACTCAGACGATAAAGTGTGAACTTGGGAACTGTCTTGTGTGTTTGCTCAGCTCTCAAGACCGTGACAAGACTCCTTTTGAGCTGCAAATGCCATAAAACATTACATCAAATGCGTTTTCCAATGATATACATTCTTCACATCCCAAACAACAATCTCTCATACAACAAAAATGCATCCTCAGCTCATATGCTTTGACTTGTTTTGACTTCATGTTCTCTGCTTTGACACAATGAATCGTCCATTCTATATGATAATATATCCTGTGTGTGTGTGTGTGCAAAATGTGGTAGAGGATAAGTCAAACCTTGGTATCGTCCCACCACGGCGTGGATCATCCTCTGTTGCTTGTCGAAGGGCCCTGGCAAAGGCCTTAAAGGTCGCCTCTATTATGTGATGAGAATTTTCACCAGCAAGCTGTTGTAACAGTCAAATATTCAAAATTGTCATGAAACGGTTTCCAAACAGATAATAGAAGAAACACATGAAATTGTATGATTTTGTTTTGCTTTTGGGAGATTCAGATCACAATACCTGCCTGATGTGAAGTGTCATACCAGAAGTATTCACCAATGATTGAAAAAAATGCTCCACCAACTACAAATAGAGAAGTTTACAGTATTAAGCTAGACTTTCAATGTTTAAAAAACAGTATATACCACATTTAAACCCAAAAGCAGAAAACTCTAGGAGTGAAGAAATAACCTGAGTGTCATATGTTCCTACTCTCTGGGTTGGAATTTCCAAGTTGTAACCAAGATATGGTCGACCAGACAAGTCCTGCAAGAAATTTGTGTTCATTATAAGCAGTAGGAAAGTCTGTGGGGAATGTCAAGTAACGAGAGAATAAACACAGACGCAAGCAAAAGTTTCACAATTTTTATACCAGGGAAACATGTATAAGCGCTTCATCAAGAGGAGCAGTGAAGTCACCAAACCGGTTAATACCTTTCCGCTCACCAAGGGCCTTTAACAGAGCCTACAGAAGACATGATACGGTTTCTCATTGGTCTAATACGAGCTGAGAATATGGCTAAAAGTACTAAACAAGGAAAAGATCAGTAACACATACTGTTCCAATGGCAAGAGCTATATCTTCATTACTGTGATGATCATCGATGTGAATATCACCAGTAGCTATAACGTGCACATCAAACAAGCCATGTGAAGCAAGTTGCTATACCAAGACCAGGACAAGGAGTAAGAAACACACACAAAACATTAATCAATCAACACTACAATAATGAATCAAAACAACTCTCTTCAAATGGAAACTGAAGAAACCAAAATCCAATAAATCCAAGTCAAAAAGGTGTTAACTTTAAAAACAAACGACACTTACATCTAACATATGGTCAAGAAAAGGGATTCCAGTAGAACTATCTGCAACTCCAGTGCCATCTAAATTAATCTTCACTGAAACATTCGTTTCCTTTGTTACTCTCTTTACTTCTCCAATTCGAGCTGATTGAGAGAAACAAAACAAAAAGACGAATTTTGACTGAGAAAACAAAAACTTCAACGATGAAATAAGTTTCAATCTCAACCATATCCAAACCCAAAACTTACCTAATGCTATAGAAGAAGACGAATTTGTTGCCTGAGAAACATTCTCACTGAAAGAAGAAGCGCAGGAGATAGATTGGCGAAGCTGAGATTGAGATTCCATCCGCAAAAATCGAGGAAGGGAAGATGAAGAAACGATCACCGCTTGACGAGGAAGTAAATCCATAAACCCGAGCTTAGGTCTAAGAAGCTGAGCCGAGGAGTGGCCAAATATGGCGGACACAGACGAAAGCTCCATTTGTTGGCAGCTTGAGGAAGAAACACTCACAGGAACAACCAGAGACGACGCTTTTGATTTCTCCTCCTCAAACTTAACCGAAGCCGGTACATTAGAACCGATAAATAATTCTGATTTAATCCAGCTATCTTAACCGTACCACAAATTCCACTTTAACCAGTCCAACGCCAAACCATGCATCAGGAGATCACTCCAAGTCTCCAATGTATTCAGGAGAAAGTCTACTACTTCAACTAATGTTTAATGGTTCGGAGTTTTCAAAAATTGTTTGAAGGTTCAAAGAAAATTTTAACAAAAGTTGTAAAAAATGTCGAAACATACGAATAAGTTGATAAACTATAATCAGACTTTACAATGTCACATTATATCCACAGCATCCACAGGAAGTGATATCGCTCTGTAAAGAAGAGGAGGCGAAGCTGAGTATCCCATTCCTGGGGTAACAGAGATCTCTGTTGGTGTCTCGCATAGAGTTTGACCTCTCATTCTCATAAGCTGAATCTTATGCCTTGCCTTAAGCCATCTAAGTTCTCTCCTCATCTCATTCTCTGACCACCACCCACTTCTGACCTTCCTTGAGCCCTGCTTTTCTCCATCATCAGAATGTGATTCTCTCAAACCCCAAATATCCGCAAACCTACCGTGAACTGAAGAACAGCTCTTGTCGTCAGAACTATCAAACTCATGATGATGATGATGATGATGATGATGATGATGAGATACTTCTCCTGATGATACAGTCTCTTGTATATACCCATTTGAAGCACAATCTCCACAGAATCCTTCAGTGTTGTTCTTGTTGTTGTTGTTCACAATTAGGGAGCTTTCTGTATCAGTTTTCCAATCAGGGACCAATGCAGCAATCTCTGCATCGATCATCTCTGCGATTTTCGCAACATCTTGATTCGTTATGTCCAGCTCTGATACCATCTCTGTTGCTACACTCCATGCAGTATCAATAGCAGTCTCAAACGGGAAGTAAATGTTCCTTATCCTTCCTGCGTTACATAAAAGTCGAAAGGGTTTTAATGTTTTATGACCAAAGATCTTAAAACTATCCAAAAAGATTGAGACTTTACCTTCTGCATCAGAGATTCTGAGCCTCAAGAATATCCCATCATTATCATTTCTCTTCCCTTTAATCGAAATGTCAACATGGTCCTCATCATCGTTAGCGAAAAGATCGATCTCACATATCTGTGACGACTCATACTGATCATGGTAAAGAGGATCATCAATCAGAGGCTGTCTAAGGAACACACCAGTTTCATCATAACCATTATAGTAATCAATGGGTCTCATATCAAATCCATTAACATTATCATCTTGTAGAAAAGGGTCTTGTAAAAGCTCCAATGCAGTAAGCCTAGACGTCACAGTAGCTAAACACTTCTCAACAAACTCACGAACCTCAGGGTCCTTCACTAAGTAAAAAGCTTCAGGCTTTTTCCCCTGAAAATGAAGAAATGTAGAAAAGAAACAAAGACTTAACCTCAAATTCGCTTCAAGAACAAGCAAATCCAAGATCATTTTACCGAGGTAACTTTCTTGTAGATCTGAGCAGGGTGAGTGCACTCGCTGTAAGGGTAATCGAAAGTGACCATCTCCAACACACACATTCCAAAAGCATACACATCAACCAACTCATTGTACTCCTCATCATATACTTCTGGAGCCATGAACTCAGGGGTTCCTTTACAACACACAACACAACAAAGTAAATGGTAGGTCCAAACTTTTCAATACACTATTAAGCCAATAAAAGTTTAAAAGTTTCGAAAGTACCAACGCAACGAACAGCATGTGATTTACGAAGAATCGCAGCGAGTCCAAGATCACCAATCTTGACTTCACCTTGGTTCCCATTAATAAAGATGTTATCACATTTGAGATCTCTATGAATAATTGGAGGAGAACGACTATGAAGATAAAGAAGCCCTTTTAAAATCTGCTTGCACCATTGCTTCACTGCTTTTATATTCACCCTTCTATGTCTCAACCTATACCTACAACAACAGCATAAAACAGAGCAAAACGCTAAAGATTCAAACTTTTCACAAACCCGTTAATCAATCATACAGAAACCAACAAAGACAAGACACAGAATCGCTTACTGTCTGAGAGTACCAGAGGTGAAGAGTTCAGTAACAAAATTGATTGCTAAATTGTTAGTATCAACCCAAGAAGTGTAGAACTTCATAATGTTTTGATGATTCAAAGTCTTGAGAAGATGAATCTCTCTGAAGAACTTCTCTAATTCCTCAGGGTTCCTTGTGAAATTCCGAAGCTTTACTTGGTTCCATGCCACTTCTATCCCTTCATACTCATCAAATGCTCTGTACCTGAAATTTCAAATTAAACCAAATTAAGAACAGTGTTTGGATTAAGTAACCAATTCCCAAACCAACAAAGTAAAAAAAAACAATAAAAAAATGGTTTTTTTGAAAACGTTTAATTTCAAAGAGAGAAGAAGGATAAATGCGATTACACTGTCTTCGAAGCTCCTTTGCCAAGTATTTCATCGTACTGCACGCCCAAACAAAAAAAAACAACAAAAAATCAAAACCTCTTTTGAGTAAACCAAAAAGACCAAAACTTTGTCGAACAAGTTCAATTTCAGAAGAATCCTTACTCTTCCATATCTTCCAGAAGGATCAACCTCAACGAACTCAGAACAATCCTCTACAGAGCTTTCTTCACAATTCATGACTCTCTTCTCTTCTCCTGCAATTTAGTTTTGTTTTGAGAGAGAGAGAGAGATGTTTGGAATTTGTGGAGATGGTAGAAGAGGAAAAGATTAAGTTTTTAAAGAAGAAGAATATATAAGGAAACAAGTGTGTTTCTTTCTTCTTCTTTTTAAGTGAACAACTAAATCAGACAACTAGTTAGGCTTCTTAGTTCTTACCCAATCACACTTTACCAACACCATGCGTCGGTTTAATTCGGTTTAACAAAACCGGTTTTTTCCGGTTTGTATAATCAATAAATGATAAAACGCCAAAATAATTCGTACCTTAAGGACAACGGCATTGAACTAATTTCAAGTTACATCAGTACGAACTCTATACAAAAATTCTTCTAATCAATTTTTTCAAATATTGGAGAAAAAACATTTGAATTTTCTGGTCCAGCTGGAAATTTTTAAAAGAATGTTTGAATAAATTGGCATATTATACAACTTGGTTGGGAGGAGGAAAGGTGTGAACCAAAGAATCTTAAAGTGTGGATTTAAGACCACATAATAAACCTAGCTCTCTCTCTCTCTATGCGTTGTTATAAAGCTGTGATTGGTTTTAATTTTAGGGGATATATATATAAGCTAAATTCCAAGAACCGGATCATTCTCCAAACCGGTACGTGAGATAACCGAAGGAAATGCCAAAAAGACAAAAACAAAAAACAAAAACAGAAGTCGTAGGTTTATAGAACACTTGTGTAAATGGCATGTTGTCGTCTAGTGTGTCACGGGTTTGTGCGAAAGTGAAAAGATGAGAGAGCACATGGAACTGAGTCACGGCTGCAAACACACAGACACAGTCTTCTTTTTTTTTTTTGGTGATTGTGTAATTTGTGTTGAGACACATTTGGACCAACCATAACTCTTACTTTTTGTAATTTCATATCCACGTAACATGGTCTTTAAGTGAAAAGATTGTATTATCTATCTGTACGTTAAGGTTATATATAGTTGCGTAAACACGAAGAATATGATAGTAACGTATTTAATCTTGTATTTGGAATCGCTTGATCATGTACTATATAGTTGCTTTTTTTTTGGCAAAAGTTTCAAATTTTACAATCATTGTAGTTATGAAACTAGATGGATATTGAATAGAGCAAGTAATTACAAGCATGTGAGTTATATATTAATTGTAGCTTGTAGATTGTACTAAACTTTATCAATAATGTCGTAATCTTCATATAGTGGTGGTTTGTTTTAATTTGTGTGTTTAATACAGTGAAGTCAAGGTATTAGGTACTGCAGAGACAAGACTAAAAGAGAAGTAGTACATGTGACAACGTAACAGTCTATCTTACTCTCTATTGAGTTATAAATCAGATTCACGAAATTACATATAATTTAGCTAGAGAATTTTCAAGGAAGGCTGCTAGCTCACGGATTGCCAAATTAAACTGGATCAGTCAACCTTGTTACATCCCTTAACAAGTGACTTAACCGATCTAATTAATTTTTGGTTTGGTCAACTTGAAGTCTACAACAATCAACTAAAGATTGAATTAATCAAAATCCGTTGTAGTCTAGCTGGTCAGGATACTCGGCTCTCACCCGAGAGACCCGGGTTCGAGTCCCGGCAACGGAGCTTTTTTTTTTGTTTTTATTATACAGATGCCATGTGTTTGAAATCCAAGAAAACAAAATATTATCCCGACTAATATCTCTATGCAATTAACATTTTAAATATGATCTAACAATGAAACTGAAATTATCTTAAATAAAAATAGAAAAGAAAGAAAAAAAAATACACATTTCAAATTGTTATTGTTATATATAGATTAATTTAATTTTAATAAATAAATTTCATTGAAGATTTCATCTTTATTTGTATATATCGCAATTTTGTTTTAAAGATTTAGCAAAAGATCAACTAGTTGCATGTGGTGGGAGTGATTTCTATTTGAATTAACTCGAATTCACTATTTATACATTCTTTTTTCACGTAAGAGCTTTCTCAGTTTCTCAAATATTGTACCTTATTTTATTTTAGGATTTGATAAAATGTTTAAGAGAGACTATCTTTAATTAGTGTTCCACATGCAATCAAACTTCAATCTCTTTTGCGACTATATATCTTAATTATAATGTTACTGTTATTTTCTTCTTCTTTGTTGTCGGCAACGTATCTCTCAAATCTTCTATTATAACTTTGGACCGACGTAGATATTTTTTTCTCCAACACAGTTCTTTATATTTCAAACTGTTGATTACGCTCTCCTTGAAGAAGCATTTTGTTTTAAGGATGTGCCAGTTTTGTCTCCATATCATATGATTCGTATGTATATTTTCAAACAAAAATAACAAAGACCTTTTTCTACTTGTCGTTCCTTGTTACTATAGTCACTATGTGCTTGTCACTAACCTCATTACCATTATCACTCTAATTAATTAAAAACATGAAAACATGAAGGTTTAGTTAACTTCTTCACCTATCATAGTATCATACTAAAACATTCACGTTTTAAAAGTGCAATTAGGAAATATCAATATGCCAATTATCATGTTGCTAACCATTAAGCAAGTCTCACGTAAATCTAGTTGACATTGTCACATAATTACATATATTCAATTTTTGTTTTCATACCTTAGAAATTGATTATTCCCTAACCGTACGTTGGCAGATTAGAATCACGAACGAATGTTTTGATGTAAACCCTACCTTCAACATTTTATGTGGTATATAAACAATAGCATTATGGCAGAACAAGTACAATAAATTTGGGTTATCTTATGTCTAAATCATAACATTCTTCTTAGTTTTGTCCTCCTTAATTTATATAAACAAATGCTACATGTATATTCAACATTCATCAGACTTAAAACGAATAAGAAACGCAAAATGAAATCAACCGCAACTTTCCAACTAACGTCAAACCCAACCGACACAAGCCAAACAGTCTCCACGACAATCCAACTTCTATGATCACTATAGCTAGCTCTCCTTTTCACATCAAACTTTATCTTTTTTTCTATTATGTCTACCAATAAGAAAAAAAAAACATATGGTACATGTTTACTTGCTTTTTTGTTACGCAGACATATCATAGAGAGATGATAGATACTATAGCTATCACATTTTCCATATACACAATCATGCTCATATCTAATTATTTTCCCCCAAATAATGCAAATCTATCTTTGTATACCGACAGAGTCATGACAACACCCACCCTTGTTCAAATAAGGCATATGTCTTTGGGTTCCACACCTAAATGCATATAATTAGAGTCTCGTTTTATCTTAATTAGTGACATAACTCATAAGTAATGGTTTACACATCAAATATATAATGAGCACTAAACAAAAAAAATGGTTATTTTTAATAATTATTAATTTTTTTAATTTTTTTTTTGTCATCAAATAATTATTAATTAGTTCCATCTTTTTCATTATATTATCACTGTTTGGTAAAAAAAAAAATTTCTAATATAAAAGCGGGGAATTTACTCAAAACTCTAACCACTGTCCACATCTCTATACCAATATCAAGAATATGACTTGAAGAGAGAAAAATCGTGTATACGTAACAAGAACCGTATGGGAAAGATAGAGTCTCGTGTGTATTTATATTATATGTACAAGTGAGGAGAGAAAAAAACAGATATACGAATAATCATGCTGATATATCAGAACTTTCTTCTTCGTTTTCGACCTTTGAGCATGAACATTAATTCGATCGATGCATGAACCCTCCAAACCAAAAAGAGAAGTATGTAAAATGGATTCATCACTGTTTGAGTTGCAAAGTGTGTGGATGAGACTCCACAAGTATAGACCACAAAACATGCACATCTTCGTATGGACATGACTTCACGTCCTCATATAAGATGTATATCCCTCTTCCTGCACATTTTTACATATCTTTACATCAAGACAAAAGAAATGCATAGACATATATAGCAAACAAAACTCATTTTCATAATTTGCCATAAAAAAGAGTACTATCCGATCCAAAGAACCAAAAAACGAAAGAGGTAGAGACAAAGAGAGAAAGCATACTCTTCTTTTGAGCAGAATTGACGCTAAACCATAGTTTCTTCAAAGGAGAGAAGAAGGAATGGAGCCATCCCATTTCTTAGCTTATACAGTGCCTTTAGGCTCTTTGGAAAATATGAAATATAAATTACACTATCTTTATATATATAGAGAGAAATATAAATAGATATAATATGTTCAATGAACCAACTCAAGAAACCAACCAATGAAGGTGCTCCACCTTGGAAAATAAGTAATGCAGGCAGCCACATCAACGTGTTTTATATGTTCCTTCTTTTAAGTATGGCCCAAGCCACCATCTCCATCTTTCTTCATTTTCATTCTTTTATTGTTTACTCTACGAATTTATTGGTTAAATAAGTTCCCAAATACTTTTTAACCTTGACACATGGATCCCATCTCGATTAGTTTATTAGGATTTGTCTAGTGTGTAGTATTCATGAGTTTTTCTTGATGAAGTATAACGCAATATAGAGGAAGAGAGAATGATGAAACTGTGACTTAATGTTTTATAGTGATGGGCTCTCTTTTGGTATTAGGTGTTTGTCAAACATCTCTCTCTCTATCTCTCTCTGTTGGAGCTCACTTGTGCCTCAAGAACAATCCCATTTCACCTATCATGTTTTCTCTTCACACTTCTTCTTTATATATAATGAATTATTTTTACCACCTTATATAATCTCAATGTTATATGCTTCATTGTTTAGTTATGTTCAATATTGTAATGAATTAACAAAGGTAGATTTTCTATTTTCTCCTGAGATTTTTAACTAGTTTTTTTTTTTGGGGTGAATATATTCATATATTTTTTCATCTTACCAAAGAGAATCCTGTTACAGCATGTATATATCCTGCTACATATATAAACTAACGAGTACGTACTTTCATATGTGTTAAAAAAAATTATGTTAATTTTCATGTTATAACATTTAGTTAAGATATGTTAAATAACCTACCGACTCAATTGTTCATTTAAGTTATATAATGATTTCTTTTTCTTTTCTTTTGGAAGCTCCTTTGACCTACAAGAGTTTGTTTTAATATATCACACCAAGTTTATCTTTTGATTTCTTTAATGCGATTATAATATATTAATGGTAGTAAGATTGTTGAAGATCTCTAGCATGGTATAATCATATTATAAACTGTTTATTTTGAATTGTAATGTAAATAAGATTGTTTGTTATACATTTATATTTTGGAGTCATCTATATATAAAAAAAAATATTTGTCATATTATATATGTTCTAGAGAGTTACATTTGTGATGACAAAAACAAAAAAAAGAGAGTTACATTTGTTTCTGTGAATAGTAATTTTTTAAAAAAAAATGTGATGATGTAAACGAACTAAAATGGTTTAAATATTATAACTAAGACATATAAGTTATAAAATAATGGTCAATGAACCAATGATATATCGAATGTTTTTTGGTTTAATTAATATGACCTTTGGTCCCTTAAAAGAAGTGCGTGGGCCAAATCTCAGTAAACTACAAAGTTGTAGATTCGTATTAAAAGGTACATTACACACCAATTTGGACTAACCTCTAAAGATGAATGAAGTGAAATTTGAAGAAAGAGTAAACATGGAAGCAAATGACATATGTGGAGAGACAGCTGTGGTAATATGTTAGGGTGCCTTAGAAGTCGTCAATCTCCTTTTTCTTTCCTTACTTTAAAATCAATCTAACCAATTTCTCATAAAATAAACAAACACACATATATATATATATATATATATATATATAACATTTTATAATTTAGATACGAATAGAGATGACTTTATCCATGATCTTTGAAACATATACATGTTAACTTTTCTCCTTTTGAACCAGTGAAAATTTATCTTTGGAAAGTTAACAACTTAATTTGTCAAGCTAAATATGTAGTGAATACTGTTTCGAAAATTAAACACACTTTTTTTTCAAAATCATTAGTTTATCAGTATATATTCTTCCACTTATTTAAATTAGGGGGACACTTTAATCTAGAGTTGATTTGATATGTTTAAAAGATCAGTAAGTATATCACGTTGATTTTTAACAAATCCGGATGATTTAATAATCAAGTAAGACCATAAAGTTTTGTTAGTTGACTTCTTGTACTCTTACTACGACAATAATAATATTTACTTGGGACTTAATCAAAAATGAAAAAAATGTCATGTGACTCATGTCTAATGTTATTTGCTTTATTTACAAATTGATCTACTGAAATTGTAATTTGTATGGTCGCCAAAAAGATCATGACACGTCGACAACACATCTTTATTTTATTTTTTGTCATCACAACACATCTATAACTATAAGAATCGTCTTTGGAAAAGTCAACAGTTAAGTACTTAAGTTAAACTCAACTTCTCGAATGACCAAAATGTGACAGAGATCAGAAAAGAGATAAACATGTTGTACCAAACCAAGCCCGAGAGAAACATATGCTAAGACCATCAGCAGCAGATTCCTCAAGCAGGCCCATCATTTAATTTATAGGCCGAACTAAGTTCAACCCTCTTATTTGACAATTTGATCTTTGCATATCAAAACAGTGAAAAAAAAATCTATCATCATAAACGAGTTTTCTCTACTTCTCCTAAAATAAAACTGTCCAACCTAGTTAACTTCTAAAATGAACCATCCACCCAAATTCTCCTTAATGTTCAAGCATCATAATTACATCATCACTTTGCCTTATCCCCACCACCACTTCCACACTGTGTATCATCAGTATATATATGGAATAGTGAGGACCATCCATGCAATAATATTTGATATTTAGATTTTCAAATTTTGAAAAAATTTAGTGAAATTCCTATCTTCAATACATATCTAACATCAAATTTTGGCAGAAAATATCATAGATTCCAATTCCAAAAAAAAAAAAATGTAATTGTAGAATGAATAACAGATAGTCGCCACTATATCTTAAATTTTATAATATCAACCGAATTTATTGTTTCTAGTTTTAAATATACCGTCTAATCTAATAGCTTGTATTAGTGTCGTCGTTACATTATTATCTATAATCTAGATTGAAACCGTAAAATATCTATATATATATAATGTATTGTTTACAAAGAAATCATGTTTCAGATAACTTTTTTTTTTTTTTTAACTTTTATAAGCAGCTATCATAAATGGATATCTCATAATGTAATTTATTATTTAAAAAGGTGTATAATCGATCAATTTTATACGGTCGTCTCATTGATCATGAAAACTATACAAATCTTCTAGCTGTCCAAATCATATAAACTTTTAAAATTCATATGTCACATTCTTTAAAATAGTTGCTCGAGGCCTTTCACTGTGACATTTGAAGTTAATACAGGAGAGATCATCAATTGCGTTTTTGACTTTATTTGTCGGTGTGTGTCGTGGACATTAGACAAAAAGCATTTAGAGAAACGAGCACGTGAACTCTCTTTTTGTGTGTGGTTTGATATCTTTGCTTTCGACATGTGGCTTTTACTTTGTTACTATTTCATAGTATTTCACTACCACTAACCACGTACCGCCGTGACGACAACGGTCTCTTTTTTTCCAAGAATAATATTTACTCTCACACCGTTGTTTTTTTTTTTTTAATTCGTTTTGACCCATATTTAATAAAGTCGGATTAGTCGAATTAAACCACCTACTTCATTAACTGGTCTATGTTTAAGGACAATAGTTACTATGTTTAAGGACAATAGTTACTATATTCAGGTCACGAGAGATAATTAATTGATCCGGTTAAATGTTGATTTAGAAAAGATAGAAAAGATGTTTTTAGTTTTTTACGTGGGTAAAAAGTAAAACAGTTTGTAACTGAAACAATACATTGTACATATGATCGAAATGTTGAAGTACGAGTTAAAAAAAAATAGTAATAATTAGTCACATCAACCATTTCAATCCCAAAAAAATGTTAGTTTTCAAATATAAATAGAAGGGTTTTATAAATTTTCAATTGTTCAAATATTGGATTTTTTTTTTCTCTCATTGTTTATAACTTGATAGAGCTGTGGCATGTTAGTAAAAAAATATATATATCTTAAAGTATGTTTATAACTTGAAAAGAAATATATTAACAAAACCATATATAATATAAACTCATAACACGACGTCAAAAACATTGAATTAGCTTATATAATATGTCATTCTTACCGAGTTATTTTGATCGTCAGTAGGGAAACTTCAGAATTCTTTGTTACGGCGAAAGCATTCAATTGGCTAACGTCACTGTCGAAGTACTTGAGCTAGGTAATATAGTGGTTGACTATTATATGAACTTTGAGGTGTTTCTTTACTTAACTAAAAACCATATAAATTTCTATATTTTTTCATTTATACTAGAGTCTACATCTACAAGTTCCATCCCTTACAATGATGATATAGCACATCATAGGCTAGAGAGACCCGAGACTTTACTTACTCATATATGAACCGTCCATACAATATGATGAGGAGAGAACTCACCTTAAGAAAATGATTAATGAAAATAACTTTGTAAACTCGTGTGTATTATTGACAATGTAAAGAAGTATTTATACATAGCATAGTTTTCTATTTGCGATAGACCCAAATCAAGGTAGACATATATCGTTATCCTAATAATTAAGTACCTCTTAATCAAATTAATGTCCGTTAATCTAATGATATTACATGAGATGATTTAAAGAATAAACAAAAACTTTTGACTCGCCGAGTAACTTTTTTTTTTTTTTTTTTTGGTAAAAAACTTTACATAACCGAAGCCATTTTAACAGTGTAGATACCGTCACTGGCGGCCAACGGCTTATTTATTTCTATGCTTATAAAACATTTTTTTTAACGACTACAAAACGACATAACAGCGTCATCAGGGTAATAACTTCTCCAACATATGTAAGTTTTATTTTGTTCTTGCTCAAGAAGCTTTCAGACACAACAACACTCTCACTCTCTCTGTTTCTCTCTAGAGAGATACAAAACCAAAGTTTCGCTGCAAAGAAGAAGCTTGCGGCAGACATAACACAAATTACAATCATTGTTCAGCTTCTCTCTCTCTCTAGGTCTTATCCAATCTTTTTTTTCGTTCTTCAAGAAAAAAAAAACAGAGCAAAGAGATAGAGCATCATCATCAATGGGGAAGAAAGACGAGAAAGTCGAAGCTGTTCTTCATTTGGTCAAGAAACAAACTCCACTCACTTTCAAACAAGTACATTTTCTCAAAATCTTTTCCAAATAAACAAAACATATCTGCATGTATTTGTCCACCACAACCAAATAAATCTCATAACCGAAACAAAGCTTGTTTTTTTCTTTTTTAACAGGAGAAGTTCTGTAACAGAGAGTGTGTTGAGAGATTCTTGAAGGTTAAAGGAGATAATGTGAGAAAAGCTGCGAAACAACTACTCTCATGTCTTTCTTGGAGACAAAACCTCGATCTTGGTATATATTTGTTTTCATTCACCTTCATATACGTTTGTTTAACTTTGAATCAAAACACTTTTGTGTATTTTTGACATGTTAAGAAGAACGATTGGGAGCAGAAGAGTTCTCAACGGAGCTTGGCGACGGTGTAGCTTACATCGCCGGTCACGACAGAGACTCCAGACCCGTTATCGTAATTTCCTCTTAACCCATCTTGATTTCATCTAAAACTAATGGTAACAAAAAAATGAGTTTGATCTTTTTTTTAATAGGTTTTCCGGTTTAAGCATGATTATCAGAAGCTGCGTACACAAAAACAGTAAGTTTTAGATAATTAATTAAGAAAAAGACTAAATCCATATTCTTCAAATTGTAAAGAGTGTAATATATTTTTGTGTTTTTCTTCTTCTTGGGGGAAGATTTACGCGTTTATTGGCGTTCACGATGGAGACTGCGATCTCAAGCATGTCCAGAAACGCGGAACAGAGCCTTGTTCTTCTCTTCGATGCAAGTAAGTGTTGTGTTGTGTAGTAGTAACACATATTGAAAATTACCACTTTATCCTTGATAACCTTCCAAATCTCTCTGTACTAATCCGTAATTTACGTGGCGGATTTTGTGGTTTTTCTTTTTTTTTTTTGGATTGAGTTCGTTCGTTTGTGTCGGGGACCGAACACACTCGGACATGTAATGCCATTTAATTTGATGTTCCGATTTGTCTGCCCTTCATTGTGTCAACGTCAATGCTTTTGTACACCTTTTCGTTAATTACGGATGATTCACTAATTTCTTCACTTAACTTACCTGATTAAGTGATTTATGCAAGTGTTTTGCTCATGTTTTTGTTAATACTTACTATATAGTACTGCTATATTATTTAATGATTGGCTCTCTTATTTTTGAAATGTATACATTAGTTTACAAAGACCTACATATTTTTACAATGGATAATTATATTATACTTTCGCAACACGCTTCTAAAGATTTATGCTTTTTATTTGTCTGTTCAAAGTTTTTTTCTTTTTATCCACCTTTTTCGATTTTTATTCTTTTGTAAGGTTAAGTACAATTATTCGCTGCATCTTAAAAATTTTGTTCAAACTCGATTAGACTATTAATTTATAGTCCCACACATTTAGCTGTACAAAATCGATTAATATTCTTCTTTTTGTTAAAAAAAAAAAAAAAAAAACAGGCTTTTTCAGATCATCCTCTGCATTTGCGAATTTGCTTTTGGCGACTCTAAAGATAATTGGAGATTATTACCCATGCCGACTTTACAAAGCCTTTATCATCGACCCTCCCTCTTTTTTCTCATACCTTTGGAAGGTAAATATAAACATTTCTAAAATTATTAAACTCTCTAATTGTGTGATTAGTAAATGGATAAAATCTCAAAAGTATCGTCTTGTCTCGTACTCTACTTTATTGTGTGTCAGGGTGTTCGTCCTTTTGTGGAACTTTCAACGGTCACGATGATAGTGTCGTCGCTGGACTACGACGAACCGCTAGATATCAGCCACGTGTCATCAAATCCTAGATCAGCATCGTTACGGTTCGATGCATCGTCGATTAAATCAACGGCCACGGTTGGTTCAGCTTCTTCAAGATTCGCTTTCACCGTATCTCACAACTCCTTGAAGCCGTGGTATCTCTCCTTCACCGACACGACGTCACCTTACAACGCCGCCGCTCAAGTTTCTCCTCTCAGCGCACGGTCGTTATCTTTCGCGTCTCCGGCGGCGCGTGGTTTCAAAGACGCGAAACCAGCCGCATGCAGAAAGAGTCTCTTTCCGTCTACCCCGTTGCCGGAGAAGACGAAGACGGTTTCGCACCGGAAAACTCCACGGCCGTCGTTTTTTCAGTCTCCGGCGATGTTCTTTCGCAGGGAGAACAACGCCTCCGGAGGAGAAGGAGGAGGAGGGGAGAACAAGCAACGTGAAGCGTTCGTACCGTATTTGAAGCTTTACCGGAGACCGTACGATGAGACGGCGTATAGGTCTAAGCTTCGAGGTCCACGTGGGTTTGTGTCAGTCGTGTCTTCTCACAGAAGATGTCGCCACGTGTCTTTATCTCAACGGTTCTAAGTCAAAAGACGAGAGAGATTAGAGAACGAGAGAGTAAATAAACATTGATGATGATTGATCCAATGAGCTTCTTTGATTTTTCTATAATTACCAACCAATTAAGAAACAGACGAAAGCTGTTTTGTTCAATTTTACTCCTTCAAAAAAGAAAACCAAGTTGTGTTTAAGAAAAAGTTAAAACTATTTTTACTAGCTATATTGTTTTCGAGGAGAATTATATAATCTTGATCATGGAGAGTATTGTTTGCTCTTGTATCAAAAGAGTAGAAATGAAAATGTAATAAAGAACTTTCGGAATCATGTTTTTGCAATGCATGCTTCCTTGCATTTCCAAAAGATATTGATTGTGGAAGCGAGAATGAGAGCTTATGATAAAAAGATATTTATAATAAGTAAATTAAACAGACTCAAACAAAAATACAAGATATAATTATAAATTTCATCAATACTCTGTACGTTATTATTTTTTGTTCCATAAACTTTTGCAACACATTTTCCTCATAAATAAAAATTCATTTTGAAATACGTCATTAGATTAACGAGGTTTAATGCCGGAGAAAGTTACTTGGGCGACAGTCCAAGATTCTTCCTTATGCTTTTTTCTTGAAGAGGAAGCAGTAGTAGTGTGAAGAGGACTTGTACGGAGTAAAGAACTAGGCGGTTTAGGCAGAGGGATCTCTACGGTGTCGCTTGTGAGCATCACAGACACTGATAGCATTGTTGGTCTGTCATTTGGATGTTCTTGAACACACAAGAGACCAATCTGTATGCATCTTTTGACTTGGCGTGGTTGAAATACGGATGACTCGAGGTCAAGGACAAGTACCGGATCAATGATGTCGAGCCCTTTTCCTTCCTCCCACTTCCTCCATATCTAATGTTATTCATTATAGCGAAGCTCTTTTAATTAATCGTTTATCAATCACAAAAGAATTTTTAAAAAATAAAAAATAAAGAAGATGAAAACAATTTTGACTTACATAGTTAACGAGACTCTCTTCGTTATCCGAGTATCTATAAAAGTCTCTGTTCTTCTTTCCACAGAGAATCTCAAGAACCATGATTCCAAAGCTGAAGACATCTGACTTTGCTGAATAAGTTCCGTCTTCCGCGTATTCGGGAGCCATGTAACCGCTGTGTCATAAAGAAAATCGAAACGACGTATACAACTTATTATAAGAGTGTTTTATTTTTATTTTTGTTTCCAAATGTAATTAAAGATTATGATGCTGGTGGTCACTTACTAAGTCCCGACTATCTTTCTTGTGTTAGTTGCTCCCTTGTTCTTGTCAAATACTTTCCCCATCCCAAAATCCGATATCTTTGGAACCATGTCTTTGTCAAGTAGCACATTGCTTGGTTTTAAGTCCCTATGGACAATCGGAGACCGCGAATCATGGTGGAGATACAGAAGCCCCCGAGTGATTCCGTTAATAATTTGGAACCTCTTCTCCAAGTTTAGCTTAGAGCTTTTGCTTTCGTCTAAGAAATGATATATATATATATACAATGATAATCAAATTCTAATTTGTTCCAAGTAAGAGAACCTTGTAACATAAAAAATAATACAACTTGTTAAAAAAAAAAAGGGAGAGCCACTAACCAAATATGAAAGTGTCGAGACTTGAATTTTCCAGGTATTCATAAATTAGAATCATCTCACCCCCCTCAAAGCAGTAGCCAAGGAGTTGGACGAGGTTTACATGCTGAACACTTGCAATCAGATTTAACTCAGTTTTAAATCCCTCGATACCTTGAGTTGTAATCTTCAACAGCCTTTTCACGGCGATTTCTTGTCCGCCAAGTAACCTCCCCTTGTAAACAACTCCAAAACCACCTTTACCTATTTTATTTGAATCCGAGAAACCTTGGGTGGCCAGAACAATGTTATTTAGCTCCATTGACTCATAGTGTAGTTCTCCTGTTAAGTAGGAGAAGAAGAAACAAAATATATATATATATATATATATAGTTACTGACTTACGCTAGTTTTGAAAGAAAAAAAAACCCCCACAATTTCCACTCAAGACACAAATATTGAATAAGATACAGATATGATATATCATCACAATCATATTCATACGGTCATTCATACCAATATGTGCTGCAATTGCTTTTGTTGGCGGCCTCTTTTTTATTTTCCAAACGTAGAACAAGAGTATAATAAAACTTAGAATAACGAGTCCAACAACAATAATTGTTGTTTCTGTATTGTTGTTTCTGTATTGTTATTTCCTTCTTCACCTAAAAGCAAAACAAAAAAAAAAGTCACAAATTTTATATGTATCACGTTCCCATTATGTTTCATACTTACATGATGCATAAGCCTACATGGCTTGATGATGATACTTAGAAAAAGGAAAAAAAGAAGTTAAAAAAAAAAAGTGTCTTTACATATTACAACTCTCTAACCAAATCCCTATTTATTGCAAGTCTCTAACCACATCCCAGTCCCAGGTATACTACGTTCAAAACTTTGTTTGCCACATACTTATGAACTATATCGATTAACGAAATATAATATCCAAAGTAACCACAGTATTAATTTGCTAATATATCATCACTAAAGTAAGTAAGTATATGTAGCTTTATATATAGGCCTGATAATATTATATTTATTTTGTAGGTGTGTGTGTGTGGAATAACAATAAACTCAAATAGGGAAACTAACCGGTGGCATGATCAGTCTTAACATAAAGATCTTGACCAGCATTCTTGTATTTGCGGACATCGAGTAGGTCCCCTAGCCAAATAACACAACCGGATCCACCGTTTTCCAAATTCGCATTGGCATAGGCAGTACAGTTGCAATTATCAAAGCATTTGTACTTGCATTCGTTCAATCCGATGTTCATGTCCACAACTGACTTTGCCGTATCGGGTAGCTTCATGGTTTGTAGCTTTACAAAATGATCTCCATGACACCTTGACTGATGAGTAGTAGGCTTCCGCACACACCCGCCTTTCGCCCCTTTTGGTTTCTCGCCCTAAAACCGCTTAAACATTTACAGATCGGGAAGGTGTTTATGTCACAGAGACCATTAGGCCCACACGTGTTGTACCTGTCGCAGTCATCATTTGGGTGTTGATGAATTATCTTTTTCAATTTCCCTGCAGATCTCGGGATGATCCATGTAGACATACTCAAGACTCCGTTATATCTCAATCTCAATATTGAGGAGAAAGTAGCGTTCTTGTTGTTAAACGAAAATGTGATTTCCTCACTGCTCACGACTCGACTAACGGTTGCGTACCTCAGATTTCCTACTGCGTCAATGTCACGCACACTGTTCCACGGACCAGGTCGGAAAACTTGCTCTCGGGAGGCTCACGGATTTCTACTCTATAACTGACATCTCCGGTTGAAGGATCATCAATGCTTTTCCATGACCGTAAAACCCTATTTAGACCCGACTTTTTATCCCAACCCATTTTCATATCAGGGATTAATGCGTCAGCAGGATAGTCGAAGCTTTGCCAACAAAAACCTCTCGAGTCATGGCTGTCAAGGAGGTGGAGGTTGTTTTTTTTAAGATTTGGAGTGTTCCAATGGGCTTGGAGAGTGGGTTTTGTCTGTTTGCAACCCACACCACTTGCTTAGGCAGCCTTCGGTACCAACGGTCACCTACTGTTGCCGGTTTGAAAAGGCCAAGCATAAATACACTTTTTGCCGAATGGATTGGTTTATCTAGAGTTACGTTTTGTGGGAATGAAATCGTACTACTGTTCACGGATAAACTTTTATGCAATAGGATGAGTAATAATAAACTAACAACTATCCTCATTTTTCTTTTCTTTTTTTTTTGGCTTTCTAGTTTTGGTTCCTTCTTCTTCTACTCATTTATACTATATTATGTTTGGCCACGTTTTTCAACATTTTTCCCCCGGTTAATGATTTTCCACTTTTTTATTGACTTTTAACAAGTTGCATTTAATTTTAATTTGTCAAAGGGACATGAATGAAACTTGAACTACCAACATGTGAGATTAATTACTCTGTGAGCAAACATTGCATATACATGTTAGAGAATTAGTTGTTAAACAAAACTACTAACATGGGAGATTAATCCTAACACCAACTTGGCTTCATTTTCCCATATATATATATGTATTGTTTTTTATTATCTTTTCTATTAGATAATTCTATCTAAAGCTATGTTGTTAGGTTTTGTAGCAAGAGTTTCTCACGGGTGTCAATTGGTCATGGATTTTGAAAAAAAAAAATTTAATTAAAGTTTTTTAATTTATCTAAATTAACCCCTTTCTATTTAAGTTTTTATTTGGATTTCTTATTAAAACAGTTAACAAAGGTCAATAAGATGAATTTTAGTTTATGGTCTTTTTGTCTCTCCTATTTTTATCCCCCCCCCCTTTAGGGTTTCCATAGGCATTATATATGGATCATCTAGTATTTTATTTTTCCTTAAAAAATAAACCAAATCTCTTATATATAACAATGAGACGATTGAAAACATAAAACTATTTCATCTAAATAAACAAAGCACAAAAAATAAAGAAAAATGGCCAGTATCACAAATGGTGTTAGAATCATTGGTCTTTCAATAATTTTCATGTTGATATGGGGAGGTATTTACACTAATTTGTGTTTAATTAGCTCTGTGTTTTTATCATGTAATGTTTTATAAAGATTATTGATCTTAAACAATTTTAAAATTAATTTTAGGGCTATATTACTTTATATACATAGAAAACTGAAAACTTAAATATATTTAATCCTAGCTTTTTCTTAATTAGTTCTCTATCTTCAGACACAATTAATATAAAAAAAATATCCTTAGTCTACGCTAACAAATAAAGAAATAACGAGATAAAAAATTATCTATCAGCAACGCAAAAAGATGAATTTTATAATAACTTGGTCATGTTTTTGACAAAAATTTATTCGTTGCAATTTTATATTATTAACTATTTATTAGCATGACATATAATATTATTATTATATGGACAACATATATTGTTCTATTTTGATATAAATTTTTAAAACATGTTTTGGTAAAATATTTGTAAAAGTAAATATTGTTTGTCCAATGTCTTGATCAATGACTTTAGAGGTTATTTATTTGCTTAACAGTATATATCATATTGTATCGCAATAATTTTTTTTTTGTCATCATTGTATCGCGATACCGTATCATAATAAATTATATGTTATATGGTAAACTCATAATGGTGTTAAATTAATTATTATTTAATTTATATTTATTATGAATCGTGTTAATTTATTAATTATTGTGTCAAATCATAGTATCATATTGTCAAAGTTGAAAGCAGATGTCATATAAATAATGGATAAAATAATTTATAATTTATTTATATATACTTAATTATATCTTTAAACTATTTGTTATATATACGCATGTATGAGTATTTTTTGTCTAATTTATAGTAGTTAAGACAGAGAACTGATTAACAAAAAACTAGGCTAGATTCTGAAGTTTCCAATGTCATGTATATTCTTTCATATTATCCTTAATTTTAAACAAAACCAAATACCAAAGATTCAGTTTTTTACTTTTTTGATAATCATTTTTTTAATACATTGCAAAAATATTCTACCAAAAAAAAAAAAGAATAACGCATTCAAAATTGTTATGTTTCAAATACAACATAAGAGAAAAACTTGTGAATGAAAATCTAAACTGTTTCAAGCCAATCCAAACCCAAAATCATAACTTTTCTATTTGATTCGGTCATGATTCAGGAAATGCTCGCAAGTGGGAGCCACAGTTTGATTTTGCGTGTGAGAAGTTTCCAAGCAAATTAGCGGCACCTGGGACATGTCTAAAAAATAGTGACATTCGAAGAGTAAGAAAAACTCTCTCAAAAACCAGACCACCCTTGTTAGGGCTGTGGACCTTCTATCTGATCTAGTGTCTTTCATTAGGTTTTGATTAGAACTGTAGACTGGAAAAACTCTTTCCCTTTCAGTCGTCGTAACCTGTTTACTCTATCTTTTTCCTCTTTTGTGCTAAATCCATCGAGTTTTGTGTGTTTCTTCCTGAAGTTCTTCAGCAGTTCTTCTTCCCAGATCTAAGTGTTCTCTTTTCGTGTTGGATTTCTTGAAATCTTGTGAGATTCTATCGGGTCAGTAGGTTAGCTTATCCTCTTGTGATAGTCGACCATCTGTTTCTCCCCCAGCTCTAAATCATGTCGTCGGCTATGGACAAAGCGCTCATGGCCTTGTCGCTTGAAGAGGATGAAGAAGAAATCCCTTTTGAGATGCCAGATCTGCCTGAATTCCTTTCCATCGAGAGGAACTCGTTAAGTCTCATAGGGCGTACTCTTAATCCTGGGTGTCAACCGATGAAGAATCTCATCCGAGATATGCCACAAAAATGGCAGAAACCTGGTCGGATGAGAGGCGTTGCGTTATCGAATGAAAAATTCCAGTTTATCTTCAACAATGAGCATGACCTGCTGGAAGTGTTAGCGAAAGGTGCTCATACGTACAACGATTGGTCTCTTGCTGTCGATAGATGGTATGCGAATCCACCAGCCAACTACCTTCAAATAATACCGATTTGGGTTCAAATCTGGAATCTCCCGGTTAATTACTACACAGTCAAAGCCATTACGGCGCTTGGCGAGCTGATAGGTGAAGTAAAAGAGGTTGCTTTTGACCCGGATATACCTCAGATAAATGAGTATGTGAGGGTAAAAGTCATGTTTGATGTTTCCCGACCGTTGAGACGTGCAAAAGAGGTGAAGTTACGACAAGGTGGTTCTTCAATCATTCGCTTCCAATATGAGAGAGTCCAGAAACGGTGTTATGAATGTCAAAGGCTAACTCATGAGAAAGACTTCTGTCCCATTCTAGTTAAAAGAAGAGAGGAAGCAGCGGTTGCAAGGAGAGCTGGTACGCACGTTCCTAGACCTGCAAAAGAGCTCTTCCTTAAAGATTCTGATCCTCTCTTTGGCATTCTGCGTGAAGATCAAATAGGAGTGGACCCTCTTACTGGTCGCCAAAGGATTGCTCATGATGTCTTGGAAGGAATGAGACAGTACCTAAGAGCAAATAACAATGAAGACTGGCAAACCAAAGCAGACAGGATCAAGAAATCAGTTGGAGAAGTGGAGAAAGATCCCATTGCTAAAAAGACTATCCTCAGATTGGAACCTCATCCTATTGTGCACTTGGATGTCAACAAGGAGAAAGGTATAGTATTTGGCTTTGATAGCAGTCCTGTTGTGAGTCATAGTGGAAATGTGGCTTTGAGTCAGGAACCATCTCTCTCAGCGAATATGTCCTCTTCTGGAAGAGATTGGTTAATGGAGCCAAAGATGGTGCAAGATAAAGAAAGTTTTGGGGATTTCCTGGTTCTGTCTCAGCCGAGTCAGGATAGAGCAACGGGTTATCGACCTGGTTTCTTTGAAGCCGGTCATTCCGGCTCTATCCAGAAAAAACCTAAACAAAGAAGAAGACCTTACAAGAGTCTCAGGAAACCAAAACCAAAAGAACCGACTGCGAGTGTAGATGAACATCAGCTATCAGTAGGATTATCCAGAGGTGTGAAAGAGAAGAGGAAAGCAGATGTTGAAGGAACAAGCGCTGCCAAGTCGACCAAGCTTAATCCTTTGAAGGTGATCCCACATGAGGGATCACCCAATGTTTAAATGCGTATCCTCAGTTGGAATTGTCAGGGCTTGGGACGGTCTCAAGACTTGGTGATTCCTAGGCTCAAGGATTTGCGTAAAAAACATTTCCCTGAGATCTTATTTCTGATGGAAACAATGCAATGTAAGGATAATTTGTTTGATGTACAGTGTCTTCTTGGTTATGATAGATTATTCACAGTGGAGCCAGTGGGTAAATGTGGTGGTTTGGCTTTGATGTGGAAGAATAGTGTTCAGTTGGATATCTTGTTTGAGGATAAGAATTTGATCGATGTACAGGTTCAGTTTGGAGCGACCAATTTCTTCCTCTCTTGTGTTTATGGAGATCCAGATAGTAGTTTGAGAAACAATGTTTGGGAAAGACTCACTCGGTATGGAGTTGGTAGAAGAGAAAGATGGTGTATGATAGGGGACTTCAACGCTATCTTACACAATGGAGAAAAAATAGGAGGGCCAAGAAGGATTGAAAACCTCTTTAAACCTTTCTCTGAGATGTTGGAGGTTTGTGATATGGTTGAGCTTACAAGTTCGGGTAACATGTACACTTGGGCGGGGAGAAGAGGTAACCACTGGATACAATGTAGGCTGGACAGAGCTTTTGCTAACCAGGACTGGTTTCTGAATTTCCCAGCTTCAAACCAATCCTTTTTAGAGATGAGAGGTTCAGATCACAGACCTGTTCTCCTCAGCCTAATGTCAAGTGCAGAATCCTTTAAGGGTCAGTTTAGATTTGATAAGAGACTCATGCATAAACCAGCAGTCAAAGCAGCAATTATGAGAGCTTGGAAACCAGGGAATGTCAATGGAGGATTCTTGGTGGCTCACAGATTGAGAGACTGTCGGAAAGCTCTAAGCGCTTGGAAAAGGAGAAACAATTTGAATTCTAAGGATCGCATTCATCAATGTGAGGCTGCCTTAGAAAGGGTTCAATCGGAAAGATGGCCAAACCTTCAGCAAGTCCATGTTTTGAAAAGAGAGCTAATCAAAGCTTATAAAAATGAGGAACTATATTGGAGTCAGAGGAGTAGGCAAAAGTGGCTCAGGTCTGGGAACAGAAATTCTAAGTTCTTTCACGGGTCTGTTAAAGGGAATAGAGCTAGGAAGAGAATTAATACTCTTATTGATGAGAATGGAGTTGAGAAGAAATCAGAGGCAGCAAAAGGTGAAGTAGCCGCGTGTTACTTTACAAAACTTTTTAAATCTTCAAATCCCGAGAGCTTCAACAGCTGGTTTTCCGAGTTTCCCTCAAAGGTTTCTGAAGAGATGAACAAGGGTCTCATTGAAAAGGTTTCTTCTGAGGAGATTAGAGAGGCAATCTTCTCTATTGATGCGACTAGTGCACCTGGGCCGGATGGTATGACGGCCTTGTTCTTCCAGCAATATTGGGAGATTGTTGGAAAACAGGTGAATTCAGAGATTCAAGCATTCTTTGATTCTGGGACCTTCCCTATAGAGTGGAACTACACACATTTGTGTTTGTTGCCAAAGATCCAGCACCCTACAGAGATGACAGATTTGAGACCGATTAGCTTGTGTTCGGTGCTTTATAAAACTATTTCCAAGATTCTGGTGAAAAGGCTGCAGCCCATTCTTCCCTGGATTGTATCTGCCAATCAATCGGCCTTTGTTGCAGAAAGGTTAATAACGGATAATATCTTGGTAGCTCATGAAGTTGTCCATAGTCTCTCTACGCATCATGAGATTGCTTCAAACTTCATGGCTGTGAAAACAGACATGTCTAAAGCCTATGATAGAGTGGAATGGAGCTACTTGAGAGCTCTTTTGTTGGCCATGGGATTTCACATTAAATGGGTGGATTGGATCATGATCTGTGTTTCAACGGTTACTTTCTCGGTTTTAATCAATGATCAACCATTTGGCATGATCACTCCGCAAAGGGGAATTCGTCAAGGAGATCCCCTTTCCCCATTCCTTTTTGTGCTGTGTACTGAAGGGCTCACTCATCTTCTCAACAAAGGCCAAAGCGAAGGAAAAATTCAAGGAATCAATTTCTCCCCGGAAGGACCAGAAGTTCATCATCTTTTATTTGCAGATGACAGCCTCTTTATGTGCAAAGCTACAGATGAGCAAAGCTCCTTTCTTCAGGCTTCCCTGAATAAGTATGGAGCTGCTACGGGACAGGCCATTAACCTTAGTAAGTCGTCCATTACTTTTGGCTCAAAGGTTAACCAAACTACAAAGAATGGTATTCAAGGAAAATTGGGGATATTTAAAGAAGGAGGAGCAAGCAATTATTTGGGGTTACCAGAATGCTTTAGTAGCTCCAAGGTTGAACTTCTGGGCTACATAAAAGATAGGTTGAAAGGCAAGATATCTGGCTGGTTTACCAAGTTTTTATCTCAAGGGGGAAAGGAAGTTCTTCTTAAGTCTGTGGCTCTATCCATGCCGGTATTTGCAATGTCGTGCTTCAAGCTTCCAAAAACAACTTGTGACAACCTTTCAAGTGCAATGGCTGACTTTTGGTGGAGTAATGCAGAGCACTCTAAAAAGATCCATTGGCAAAGCTGGGAGAAACTTTGTTTGACCAAAGATGAGGGAGGTTTAGGTTTCAGAGACATACAAACCTTCAATCAAGCTCTCTTGGCTAAGCAAGCTTGGAGAATCCTACAGTTTCCGGATTGTCTGTTTGCTAAAATCATGAAAAGTCGGTACTTTCCTCACACTGACTTTTTAGAAGCTGTTAATGGTGCAAGACCCTCATATGCTTGGAGGAGTATCCTTCATGGAAGAGATTTGCTGCAGCAGGGTTTGAAAAAGAATATAGGCAATGGCAACTCTTTTAGAGTATGGATAGAGAATTGGATTGAAGATGAGGAGGAATGGCGTCCACCGTGGAGAAGAAATCAGTTTTTTAACCCGGATCTTAGAATATCTGAACTGATTAACTTTCGAAGAAGAGAGTGGGACCCAAATAAGCTCACTGAACACTTCCTCCCTGCAGATATCAGGAGAATCATGAAGATCAAGCCTGTCACTAACTCTGAGGATTTTTTCTCCTGGAAACATAATAAGAATGGTGAATTTTCAGTTAAATCTGCATACTGGCTTGCCTCTCTGGCAATAAATAAGGAAGTGAGAGATACAGCAACTCAGCTGCCGTCCACTAACGACCTCAAAGCTCAAGTATGGGACTTGCACACAGATCCAAAATTGAAAATTTTCTTGTGGAAAGCGTTGTGTGGCTCCATTCCTGTAGCTGAGGCATTAAAGAAGAGAGGTATGAGGATTGATGGGAGATGTCAGATCTGTGGTGGCGAGGAAGAGAATGTTAACCATGTCCTCTTTACTTGCTCCCTCTCAAGGCAAATATGGGCCTTATCAGGTTTCCCTTCTCCACAACATGGGTTTCATGACGCTTCGGTGTATTCTAATATTCATTACCTGCTGAGGAATGTTAAGAATTCACTTTGGCCTGAGGAACTGAGGAAATCGTTTCCATGGATTCTATGGAGAATCTGGAAAAACAGAAACTTAGCTTCCTTTGAAGGTAAAGAATTCTCTCCTCTTGAAACTGTGCAAAAAGTCAGAGATGATTGGGCGGAATGGTCTGAATCTCAAAAGGTCACGGTAGAGGATGAGAGTGAAAGAGAGATGCCTGTAGTTAGAGAAGGTGATGATCGAAGAAGTAGGTTTCATCTCTGTCTCAGGATTTGGAGAAGGCCTAAACAGAAATGGTTTAAGTGTAATGTGGGGATTTCTTGGTCGAGGAGGAATAGACTTGCAGGTTGTGCTTGGGTTTTGAGAGATCATGACGGAGATGTCTTACTACACAGTAGGATAGCTCTTCCTAGTGTGAATGACAGGCCAGAAGCTCAATTTAAAGGTCTGATGTGGGCTATCGAAAGCATGAAGAGTCATAGAGTGGAGAGAGTAGTGTTTGCTTTGCAGGAAGAGTTCTTGGTAAGAGCTATTACCAAACCTGCAAATTCACCGGCTTTTAGATATCAATCTATGGAAGCAGGGGTGTTGTTAAGGTCCTTTAGGGACTGGAAATTTTTTGTGGAAAACTCGTCTTCAAACAGGGGAGCTTTACTCATAGCACAGAGCGTCACCAACGATTGCAGGTTGCAGTCATACGTTGCTACTGGGTATCCTTGTTGGCTTGATGGTTTGTTTGTGGAAGAGAAAGCAAACTCGTCGGTTTGAATTGGAGTTTTTTGGTATGGTTAGAGGGCTGCAGGAAATTTTTTGTATAGACTAACCTTTAGTTTTGGGTGTAAGTCTAGAGTTTGGGCTGTCGTGGTTGTATCTTTAAGCTCTGTTTCTGCAGGGCTGTAGCCTTGTAATCGTTAATACGCTGCCTCTAGTGCATCTTTTAATACAACATCAGTTGACAAAAAAAAAAGGACATGTCTAAAAAAAAATGGTAATGCATTATGCAACGTGTCTTGCCACCGTGTCCATTATTTTCATGGCCAATGTCTACATCGCCCCAAACCACAGTCAAAAATAAATTGCTACTGCTCCATTTACAAAGAGTGTCACCACTGATACTCCAAAACCTTGCCTTGATTTAATTTCCCTTAAATAAATACTGTTCTGCTTCTTTTATTCACAGTGAGCGTAAGATATATATTTATTTTGGACATAAATATTTTTTACTATATTATTTATTTTCCTAAAACCACTATTGAATATAAAAAAATAAAATAAAAGCTAAGTTATGAGGTAGAAAAGAAAATAAAAACTAAAGTATTTTAATTAATGTAAAAAATTAAGATGAATGATGATGTGGCATAATGAGAAAAGAGGAAAAATTAACTTTTTATATATAAATATATGGAATCCTATGTATAAACTCAAATTAATTTGCTTCCATTAGAATATTTGAACTTGATTTAAATTCGAAAAAAACTTTTAATGTATTCACTTTCGAACGTAAAAGAAAGCACGCAAAACCCAATAATAATATTTTTTTAAAAAAATTGAAGTTAAAAGAAAGAGACAATAATAATTCAAATCTGGTGTTAAAAAAAGAGACAATAATCAAAGAAGAGTAATTTAACCCTAGATGGAGACACTGTTAGGGATGCCTTTCCCAGTAATCCCACCTTCTCTAGTGTAATCCGTAGTATTCGGGTACAGCAGAGTGTACGGTATGTTAACAGGTCCGGTCCTGTTCTTGAACCTCTTGTCATTGTTTCTCCTTATAATATTGTTCTCTATCAGCTCCAGTTCTTTCCCAAACCGCTTAAACGCCTCCAAAGGCTCATCATCCGCAGTCCAGTGCGTTGAATCTCTTTGTCCCAAGTAGACCTCGTCCGTTGAATGCATCGACAAGGTCTCTATGATGGAGATCCCAAGCAGAGTCTGTAACTGCGGCGTGATGGTCTTCAAGAACGCTACGTCAGCGTCTTCTGCCAGCTCAGCGTACTCTTCAGTGCCTGGTTCAGGCATAAACCGGCGGCTTACCGTAGGCCGGTTAGGGAGAAACCCGGCGTAAGGGTACTGTCCGAAATTGACTGCTGCGTGAAGAGCAGAGGCGATCCAAATGATGATCGTGCAGGATTCGATGAGGGCGTCGCGTGTTTGCATCGACGGCCACCATGGTTCATGTTGTTTGTCGCCGTGGCCTTTTGTTCGGAGCTCGGTCCACCATGATTGGATCTCTGTATCGGTTCGGACGGCTTTGTCATTCTTGTAATAAAATGAGCAGTACTCTGTGACCCACGTTTCGATCGCTGACCAAATCTCTAACCCGTCGACCGCATACGGGTAATCCTCGATCAAAAGCTTAACACCGTTCTCGCTGTTTGGATCTTCCACGGCAACTCCTCTGCGGAGACAGAGCATTTCAAGTTTACTTGTTGCTTACTCAAGAATGTGTAGAAAGAGACTTGATGCTTACCTTTTGAGGAGATCTTTGGGGAGAGCTTGGTCGGTGAAAACCCAATTCTTGTATATTGAAGAAGACAGTTCCATCGCGTATCGACCCGGGAAGACCGTTCTCTCCAGGACTCCATCCGAGTTTATGAGGACATGTCGGGCCAATGCATTGATGTTCATTGTGTCACGGAAATGAGGATGTAGAAGCTTATAGATGGGATGAACCACACTGAGTTGCCTATTCGTCGCAATTATAAACGGTTCAATCACAGCATGCGTCTGCAACCTGCAAAAACAAAAAAAAAAAGAAATGAACCGGTTACTTTATACCGAAATCAAATATTTGTTCTTTTCTAGCTATTTCACAATTTATTTACCAATGGCTTATGAGCTGGTGATAACCGGAATCATTAACAGCTGCGTAAGCCTTTGCAAGCTGCCAAATCGATCCCTCAACACCTTTCTCTGCTGGTGTGAAAACTTTGCTCACTGATCCACGTGAGTCGCCTTGTGCGTGTGGAAGACTCAGCTCTATCGCAAGAGGCTTCAGAGTTCCATCTTCTTGAAGCAACAGAAGGGTTCTAGTCGCGTAGGTTTTAGTGTTTGTTGAGTTTATCCGCCTCAGGTAAGGCATTAGTGCGTCGTGATGGTCCAAGATGTAGAGCTTATTCTGTTCCAAAGCCTATTTTGGATACAAAACCAAAACAAAACAAAACCAATTGCAGTTTTAACTACAGTAGCTATAGAGCTTTTACTTGACAAACAAGAAAAATATCTTTTACTCACTTCTTGGACACTGAAGCCATTCATGTATGCTTCTATGTGCTCTTCGCTTATGGAACTATCTTGATTTCCATACTTTGCAGAGTCCAAATTGCTCTTTGGTGGAAACTCCTAAAAATTTTTTGTATACTCAGATAATTAGGCGAGATCAATCGGTATATTTCAAATCTTCCAAAGAAGAAGTTGAATGTTAATGGTAAGATTTAAACCTGGAGACGACTAATCACCAATGGATTGAGACCAGCCAGCATTTCCCTAGCAAACTCTTCATCGGTTCTCCAAGCTGATCTACTCTCTGTAACAATATAAGATATTCTATGTCAAAATCTTAGGGATCTAAATCGACTATGTTTATACGTTACCTTTGAGGATGTCAGGCAAAGGAAACTTCAAGAACCGTTCTCCATCGTTACGGATAAGCTCTCTAAACATCTCCCAAGGAATAATGTCACGGAGCTTAGAAATGGTACCAGTATCGAGCTTAATACTACCATCATAGAGGTGAAAGATGTCTTCGAAGGAATCAAACTCGTTGATGGTCTTGTTGCAAACAGAGGCGATCTCAGGAACGAGCACTTGAGTCACAGCTTTGATTGCGTAAACTAGAACGTCAGAGAACTTAACGAGGCTAAACCTCTCGTCCCGTGGCACGTACATGTTCAGGTTTAGAATTGCCAGCCTACTCTCAGACTTGGGGTCTGTTAAAAACAACAATGACGTTTAGGTCAAGTAACCATTGAGTTTTGCAAAGTAATGTATATAAAAAAGTTTTGAGTTGACTAACCGGATTTAGTGGGTTTACGGCCGGATTTACAACGGCGGGGATAAGGGAGATCGGTTGAACCGCCGAGAACAGGACGGCTTGAGTCAGGACCTTTGTCCGGAGCACCTAAGTCGTTATAGTAAGCGTAGTCGTAAACTCTGTCCCAGTCTTTGAATTCTCCATCTTTCTCATCACCTCTTAGATTCATTAGCTCTTCTTCTCTTAGCTCTTTCATTAGCTCCGGTGTTTCACTTGGAAGATATGCCTTTAATACAAAAATGATAACATACAATAACGTTAGTACACCGTATTTAACATTAATCTATCGAATTAAATTATGGTGAATACATATATGTCTTTTTATACTTTTGTGTATGAAAAATCAAGGTTGTATGATAATAATAAAAACGACCAAAAAAAATGATTCATATAATATCAAAATCAAGGTTGTCGTTATCACGATATAAAAGATTCTAAGTAATATAGAAAAATATTTGAAATAAAGGTGTTAGAAGGTGACTTGTAAAAATAGACCGTAAGGTCCGGTTTCATTCTTTGGTACAATTATATGTTTTGTTTACACACACGTACACGAATATTCCAAAACTATATATCAATCATAATTAAATTATTAACTCTAAAGATAAAGTCATATGGATTACGACGTTTCCTATACTTTACACTTACCCACTAAACCTAATCATTAAACATTAGTATCCCTTTATATTTATCATTAATCTAATTCCTACCACTTATCAGATTAGATTCCCAAAGATTAGTTAGAAATTATGATCTGCGGATTAAGAATATTTTATTATAGCATTTCCACATGGACAATCTCACCAATCTAGGATTGGTTAGGAAAAAAAAAAGAAAAGAAAACATTATATCAAATCCCACTTTGTCACAATTCGTTTTTTTACCTTGTTGGAGAAGAAAACGCGGTCGGAGCGGTATCGATGATTCGGGTAGATCCAAGAATTGCAAAGGAAATGTATCGGACCGCCTTCGTGGCCGGGGAAGCCGCGGAGGGTGAGGGACTTGAGGTAGAATTGGCTATGGTGATGGTTCTTGATCACAAACGCAACCGGAGGTCCCATTGACTCGTCCCAATCAAAGGTAACTCCAAACGCAGTTTCCTCAGCGGTTACTGACGTTTTTATCTTTGTTACCCAATTCTCCAGATGTGCTGCTTTTCCAAGTCTTCCTCTCTTCTCATTGGCTGACTCATACATAGTTCACCAAAAAAAAAAAAATGTTTATTTTATCAAAACTAAATTACAAGACAGAAATCTAGGTTGGATAAATAAATAATGTATTTTGTCACAACATTAAGGTTTTTATAAGAAAAAATGAATCTACTATATTCTTCTAAAATTTGATAGACGACTGACCAAAGAAGAACAAGTTTGATGTAAGAAAAAAACAGAGTAAGTCCTCTGTTTCAAGCATCGAACCAATCAATCTTGATGATAAAAAGACTGAAACTTTAGTGATGAAATCGAAAGAATAAAAAAAAAAAAAAAGAGGACTGATTAAGATGGATCTGAAGAATGAGAAATGTAAACGGGTCGGGTAAAAAAGAAAGAAAGGGTAAACCTGGGTCGGGTTGGAGAGAGCTGATGAGGTGAAGAGAGACACGACGACCAAGAAGCTCATGGACTCGATCAAGAAGAGAAGCCATGACGTCTTTGAAATCAAGAACGTTCTTCTTCATCACAACCACTTCACCTTCTATCTTCATGGTCGTCTTCTTGGGTTTGACGCATAAGATCTCTGCGATGTCGGTGTTGACCATGGCGATATGTGTTGCAGGATTTTCTCAGAGTGAGGTTCAAGAAAAGGTAAAGAAGATAGATAGAGATAGAGATAGAGAGAGAGAGAGAGAGAGAGAGAGAGAGAGAGAGAGAGAGAGAGAGAGAGAGATGTGTTTTGCTTATCTGATGTAGAGATGTGATACTGTATTTATACTCAACACAAAAGTCTTTTTACATTCTTTTCTGCAATTAATTATCTCTTTATCCAGTTTCAGTCATTTATTTTTCCTCGAAATTACACTAATTGGTCAAAATGTTCACCTTGTTTATTAAGAAAAAAAAGAAAAGAAACTGAGTTGAATATGGAAAGATAATGATTTATTAATGTTATTTATTGTATACTACAGTAAAACCTCTATAAATTAATAATGTTCGGACCATGAAAATCTATTAATTTATAGAGGTATTAATTTATCGATAAATTAATAATTATTAATTTATAGAGAGATTTTTCTAATTTGAAAGTTTTTTCAGAAAAATATTTTAAAATGAGATTTAATCATGATAATTAGTATTTTATATAATCAATTACAAAGAAAATAATAATTATTATGTCTTGAAAGAGAATGCTAACCATTTTTGATATAGTAAAATATTAAAAATAAACTCTAACAAAAACTAATGTGTCTCTATATATATATATTTTGAAAATTTTACCTAATTATTAATTTATAATATTATTGGGACCATATATTTACAAAGGATTTTCAAAAAAATTATTATCTTATTATTTTATCGAATTATGTATAAAATTACACTGGTCCCAACTTGGGAACGAAGAAATTTATTAATTTATAGAGTATTAATTTATAGAGGTTTTACTGTAGTAGTAAATTAGTAATAACCAGTTGTCATACTTTAAAAAACTACTCGTCTTCTACTTAAGTTTTTTTCAATTTCTTGATAAATTTTATTGTAAATCAGTCTATACATGAATATACATTACATACTCTACTAGTTTTAGCCGGAAAATAATTATAACAGTGATTACAAAACTTTTTGTTTTGTTTCAATATTTTAAATATTTGGTCTGTTTGCATCTTTTTCCCCCACTTTATTCTAATATAATAAAAACTAAATAAAATATCATTAATTGCGTTATTAATTTTATGATACATTTATCAAAAAAAACAAAGTGTAAACTTTTATGAAATTTAGTACTAGGAATTGTGTAAACTTTTATGAAAGATTTTTTTTTTTTCTTAAATCTGTGAAAATTAAAAAGTCTTTTATTTCTGAGTCAACAAGTATATTTATTCACATTGACTAGTCTTCATTAAAACGGCGCGTGGCATAAATTTATAAATAAGCCATACGAATATATGTAAAACAGAAGACTATTTGTTCATATAAACTATGATAAGCTTTATATTTAAATAGGATACTGAGATTTTTGTGTTTATGAAAAATACTGTTCTCGATCATGTCAAATTATATAAGCTAATGAAATAGTTGAAAATAATATTTCATAATTCTTCATTAACAGAAAAAAACATTGTTTCATATATATTCTTATATGTTTTGGCAATAGTGTACCATTACCATTTGCTAATAATGTATAATGGAAAATTACATAGACTATATTTCTTTTTTTTTCTTTTTTTGTTTGTGTTTCTTTTGCTTTTACGTGTACGTTTGTTTGTTTTGTCCTCCATGTCTTCTCTGAACATCAAATAAGAAAGATTGTGTAATATTTTGTTTGAGCATCGTTGACACACATCTTCGTATCAAGTCAAGTCGTGGAAGATAACCAAAAGCAACTGCGCCTTCTAATGGTTGGATAGCTTCTTATATCATATCATCATCATAAATCCAAAAATTCACGACATTGAATTATTAAGTCTAAAAGCTAGAATTAATGGATAGTCAATTCTGAACAAGTCGAGAGACTAGTTAGTTATAAATCCATACGATCGAATACTATCATAAAGGACATCATCATTTCCCAATGTTATTTGATCAATACATTGCCCAATGACATAGTCAAATAAACTAATACCAATACACAAACATCAATTAAATGCCACAATATTAAAACACTCTCAAATACACATAAACAACATTAAATTTAATTACAAATGGTTATTACAATACACTGAATTAAACCATATTTCACATTACACGAACCATCATGAAATGTAATTACCATTTTCAGTAAATTAAACTTCGTCCCATGTAATTCAAATTATTTAGGATGTTTTTAGTAACAACGAAAAAGCTATTATAAACCAAAGTTTCTACAAAAGTATAAAGCATTTAAACATAATTCAATTAATTTATAATGTATCTAGAAAATTGAAAAAATATGACGAAATAAAATAAAACTTCTTTTTTTTTTTTTTTGGTCAAACTTCTTATATGTTTACAATATAAGGAGTAACGAACAAGTTTGAAAACTAAAATTCAATTATGAATAGATCAAAAAGCTACTTGTTATTCTATTGAAAAGTATAAAGTAGGATAATTACAAGGACAAGAATATTCTATATATATTGATTACTCCATAAAGAAAGATTAGGTACGTAATGTTTTTTTTAAATTTTCTCTTCTCTAATTGGAGTGGATACTCTTCTTTTACTTGTTAACCGTGTTACGAATCAACACACGCTTTTTTATTGGATTTACTTTAAAACGAATTCTTTATTTTTGGTTTTTGGCTGCCAATGAAAGAAATGAATCTTGCAAATGAAATGTGAATCACATGTGTTTAATCTAATATATTATAACCCTCTTGTCAAGTCTCAACCAAACATGATGATTAATGAGTATATATGTCCTGATCATATGGTTGTTCTTGACCCATGTGTCATAACACACTTACGGAATCATCATATATGTTCCGCAACTGTCCCAATGAGCCAACCCCGTGTTGCATGCCAGTGGTAGACTCACTGGTACGTACGTACGAAGTAGGTGAGACAGATAGGCAAATTACTAATAGGATCATCATCTTTCAGACTAACTAGGTTAGCACTTATGTAGTAGATTAAGGCTTAGTTAGAGCATAATCTCTATAGTTAGATTAAGGATTAAGTAAGGTTACATAATCTCTATTGTTTAACTTCCTATGTTTCTTTTGCAGTTCTGCTGCGTGGAAATCATCGAGACATATTTTTACATTTGTCCTCAATATTCAGTTTTTATTGGGTCATATCATAGCCCATAAATCTAACTTGTGGACTCTAGTAATAGTATCAACTATTTATAAGTGATATGGAATTATTAAAATTGTAATAAACACTAATATCAGTTATACAAAGTGATTTTATAAAATAGCAACAGTTTTTGTTATTGACAGAAACTTAACATCATTTACAACAACTGGCTCAAATGTTATGTATAATTACATCAATTGTTAATAAAAGAATATAAATTATTTGCATCACCACTTTCATAGTCATTTACACAAGTGATTGTAAATTATTTTGGTATCAAGTATAAGTAATACAAAGTACATGATACAAACAAAATGATCATTTTTGAATAACGAATATGATTTTTAAAAGTAAAATTTTAAACCCCAGTAAAATTATTGTTTTTGATCTGCCAGACTGCCAAAACCTCGCTACTAGTCGAATCTAATTTTTTTATTTTAAAATAAATATTATATAGTATGAATGCCTTGATACTTTTACTTTGCTTATATAGATACATATATAATTAATATATATGTATCAAACAGTTTTAAAAAATTTATGATAACAAACAAGAAAAAAAAAAAACTCTAAAATTGCAATAAGTAATGCAGTTGTAATCATTGTATGTATAGTACCTTGGAGATTGGGGAATGCATGTGGTGGGGGGACTATGTATGGTCTTTCCTCCGTACACATGTCTTATTTTCACCCAAAACCAAAATTGATTTTTCATAAAAGATAGTAAAAAAAATATTTTAATGAAATCATATTGTGTTTGATAATAAAAGTTTTAAAAGAAGGTTTTGTCATTATTTGTCTTTTTCTTAAATATATTGGTGTTCCTAGTTTTTTTTTGTTTTGACAAGTTTTAGTACAAGGAAAATAAAAAAAAAGAAAACTTAAATATAACACCAAAAATATATAGGAGGTAAGAATTCAAATTTTTAATCAACCACCAAGCAACTAAATTCCAAATAGCCAATAAAAAAAGAAAACAGTGGTTTCTTTAGTAGTGGTGCAAGAAAATTAATATTAATATTTGCCTGTTAAAGGAAGTGGCGCTGGCATGGAATGTGATATTTATATTGGAAAATTTTGTAATATATTTTAATAGAAAATATATTAATAACAGCAAATAGATAAATAATATTTTTGAACAAAAATATTATCTTAAGGATATTTTAATAGGAGATATTATTTAGACAAAAAAAAAATAAAAAAAATATATATATGTAGGTATATTCGGTATACTGTAAAGTAGGGACATAAAATAGAAGTCTGAGCCCACATTGTTTTTAATAGTGGCCCGCTGCTGTCTCATTTTGGAGTTTTTTTGCCAAGTGAGCCCCCAATTTTTTTTTTTTTTTCTCTCTTCAGAGATTTCAGAACTGAAAACCCCAATACGTTCAACTTTATGGTAAAAGATTTGCACAGGAGGAAAATAATTTAATCAAAATGTGTGGTGAATAATAATATTATTAACATGTAATAGTAGAAAAAAGCCAAAAACAAAAGTAGGAAGAAAGGTGAAAAATTAAAAAAAAGCCTTGTAAGTTTTGCACGCTTGGGGTCTTAACTAGTTCCACTAGCTTCTATTCTTCTTCATCATCTCTGTCTCAATATTTTTATCAAAGCAAACTCTGTTTACTACATTTTTTTATTTTTTTACTGCTGCATCTGCTGAGGATTCTTCTGACCGATAACATAAATACAAATAGAACCGATCATATAAGAAACTCGTCGTGAATACTGTTTCATACTAAACATTATACAGCCCCAAAACTACATTTGCCAAACCTTTTGTGAAACGTGCACGTAGTAAGCTCGTTGTGTACATCATCATAAAGGAACCTAAAATCATCACCACACACTCAGATAAACTCAAACCTCTCCACAAAGAAGAATGAATAAATATTCTTAAAAATTAGAGCTTCAGTGGGTTTTTTTTTTTGGAAATGAAACCGTAGGTTCCTGTCAGAATAATATAAACACTAATTGTACACAATGCTTTTCAAAGCACCACCAACTCCAAAAAATTGTCATCCCCCCCCCCCCCCCCCCAAGACTCCTAATAAGTCCTTTTCTTTCCATCTCGCCAGCCCAAGCAGAGCTATACATAACCGGAACTTCCCAACCATTCAGAGTCTTTTTTTTAATTACCAAATGGTTTTTCTAAGGATCTTTCACTCACCCCCTTGTTGCTTCTGATTCACGGGTTTCACCTGAACCGCAGAGGGAACAGCATGCACATCCGTAAACCCTGGAGGCCCCAGCTGATGTTGCTGCGTCTTCCCCATACCACCTCCTCCTCCTCCTCCTTTCATGTTATTTGCAGCAGTTGCTGCAGCGATCGCTTTCGCTGGATCTGAAGTTGCTGTAACGGCTCCCGTGACTGGAGGACATGTGGCTGCAGGTGCTGAACCTGACTGTTGCTGATGTCTTTGAATGTAATACCCACCAGAAGGAGATATTGTGATCTGTTGCGGTTGCTGTTGGTGTTGGTGTTGATGTTGAGCTTGCATGTAAGGGTTAGAGAAGAAAAGCTGTGCTGGCTGCTGCATCCCATGCTTTGGCAACTGCTGCTGCTGTTGTTGCATCTTCGATCCAGAGTTCGTCGTGGGGTTTCCGAGAACAGAGGGACCGTTATTCCTCCCACCAGCAGATGACGCCACGGATGCAGACTGTATGTTCTTAGACTGCTGAGATGATGAATGAGTAGAGGAAGTTTGCCCAGCTTTATTCCCCGCTGGGGAAGCAGATGCAGTTGTTCTTGGGCTTCCACTGGCGTTTTTGGAGACTGAAGACGTCGAAGGCGACCCAACTACCATTGGTGGAGATGGAGCCTGGTGGTTGGTACCTCCTTGCACCTGCTGCATTTGTGAACCAGAACCCATTGGTTTTGAGTTTGCTGCAAAAGATATCTGCGATTGCTGGGGACGGCTTTGCTGTTTATGCGAGACGTTTCTTAGGGACGATGCAGCTGCAACTGATGATGATGGTGACAGTATCGAAGGAGACTGAGCTTGGGCAGTATTCGTTGTCCTGGGTGAATTGTTTTTCCACTGAGACTGCACCTGATTGCTGCTCGACTGGACAAGGTTTTGCGGGAACCCTGAATTAGCATTTGCAAACTTGGTAGTTCCCATAGGTGATGTGGTCATATTGTGATCAGGGAAACCACTTCCATTACTCGCCACGGGCCCTTTGGTTCTGGCAGCAGAAGCAGCGACTGAAGTTGCATACCGCTGCTGCTTCTGGAGATACATGGTTGTATAAGGTTGCTGCGATTGACTCCGTTGCATATGCTGCTGCTGCTGTTGTTGTAGTTGTTGCTGGTGATGATGATGAGATGGGGGCATAGAACCAGAACTCTGTGGGAGAGCAGAACCAAGGTTGAGCAAACGGGAGGAACTATCAACGATGCTACCACTCGTGACAGCGGAAACAGATGCATCAGTTAAATCGTGTTTGTTGGAGAAAGCAATAGACTGCCCACCATTCCCACCACTTGTTTTTCCTGTTGTTCCTCCTGACTTCCTTTGTTCCTCAATGGTATTAGAAGCAGGACCAACAGACCCAGATTTTCCATCTTCTAGTGAAGCACTGTAGTTCATTTTCTGCTGAGCTGCTTGAGCAACTGCCATCATCTGATAGCCTTGCCTTGCCGCTTCTGGCATGCTGTGGAACATAGCGTGATTATGAGCAATTGAAGACATGTTCAGGGCAGGAGCAGTGTTTGCCCCATTGAATGTTGCAAAGGTCATAGCATAACCCTGTGACTGGAAGGATTCTGCACCAGCTTTTGAAACCTGCTGTTGTCCTTTCTTTTCACCATGGCCGCTAGACGATCCAACCACTCCACCACCAGGTGCTGCTGAACTCATCAAACCTAAGTTGGTTGGTTGCATTGCCATACCATAGTTCTGGCCGCATGCGACATTGGAACGAGAACCCCGGCTATCAGCAGTTGATGGGCTATCTTCCCCAACTGTCTCACTATGTTGAGTCGCATTTTCTCTAGGTTGCTGCCTCTGCTGAAAACTCAAAGGTTGAGACTGGACTTTATGAGTTGGAAATCCTTGGGAGTTCCCGTGATTGATCGGTGGCCTCAGCTGTTGGTTCTGCATATGCTTCTGTGCTGCTGAGGAACCAGTGGAAACACTCCCATTCTGGTTGCTAGGAACATGGCTATGGAGTATTTGACCATTTTGCTGCTGTTGTTGCTGCTTTTGTGGCTGATGATGTGGAGGCTGGATCATTTGGGAGGAATAAAATGAACCATTAAAAAATGGCATCGGTTGCCCAGTAGCTCCTCTATAAGCAGGTGGTGCACCAACATGAGCTGGGACTGGAAATGGATAGCCGTTATTCTGCAAAATGGCCAGGTATTGTGTTTCGTTTCCTGGCATGGCCGGATAACTGAAGCTCATTGTTGGCGCACCAGCTGGAGTAGCTGATGCAGAACCATTCATGGAGGTAGAAGTAGGTGTTGCTCCAGAAGGTGTGATGCCACTATTCGGAGGTCTGACAGATGCAGCAGCTATTGTGGCAGCTGCATGAGGCTGTTGGCCCAAAGGGAAAATGAACGTGGGTCCATGCTACAATGGAAGGAACAAAATAAAAACAACATTCAGCTCATAAGGACGAAAAAAGCTTGATATGCATGCGAGATAAATGACAAACAAACTAACCAAGATGTTATTAGCTGCCCCAGGTGGCAGAGCTTGTTGAAGCAATATTTGATTTCGTTGAGCTGTATCAACTGAACTTTTAGAAGTAGACTGAGAGTTCTTATCTTGAACAGGGTTGGAACTTCTACTCATAACACTCCCCTGAAGTTCTGAGGGAGGCATGAGACTGAGATTACAAGCCTTAGCCCCATACAATGGAGCTGAACCTGCTGCTGCAGGCCAGAAAGGATTCATCTTTGTGAATTGCTGATGAGATTGAATATTTCGAGCAATGTAGCAGTGTGTAGCACATCGCTTAGGCCTGGGCTGATTAAAAAGTAAATGTGGAGGAGGCTGCACAAGATCAAATTTAAATCATTAACGGCAGGAAAAACAGTGAGCAGAGGAGGCACATCCAAACAAAAATTACCTGCATTGCTGCAGCTGACAAAGAACTGGTATCCGTAGGCACAACTCCTTGAGTAGGTGCCATGTATCTGTTTCATCACAGAGTTTCCATTAAAGCAAGGGGTAAAAAGGCAACTATGCAAAGTTTCAAATGCTAAAATTACAAAAAGTGTACCCCATTGTAGGAAGACCACCAGGCCAGCCAGGCATTGACATATGCAGAGGCAAATGGCTACCTTGAGCTGGAAATTTCAGAAAAAAAAAAAAAATGAGGGGACTCGATTCAATCTAAAACACCATAAACATAAAATACGAAAACTAAAAAAGAAGATGAAAAAAAAAATACACTTTACCTGCTTTATCAGGAACAGATAGTTGTTGTAGCGGTGGCTGTTTCTGGGCAAGATGATGCTTGTTTACTAAACCCGCATGATCAGACTTATCAATGTCGAGTTTGAGTTCAATGTTTCTCTCTAACTTATGGTGCTCAGCTTCCGCCACCATTCTAGGTCTCTTCTTCTCCTCAGAATCATGAATCTTCGCATCACCTCTATCTTCCTTTAGCAAAGGCTTTGCTTCCTGCTGCTACATGCATTAGTGTAGACACGGGGAGAGAATTAAAACAAAAAAAAAAAAGAAGGGGGGAACTAAAAAGAAGAAGATAAGAAAAAGAGAGCCAGAAAAGCAAAAGAAAAATGATGGATATCACCAATTATCACAATATCACCAAACAAAAGTGGGTCCCACTCACCGTTTCCACTTCCGTGACTTTAGGTTTAGCTTCTGCTGCCACACATTCCATCATCTCTCCGCCTCTCTCCGATGAAGATCTCACCGGCGGTGGCGCCTGAACCGATTTAAATTTTAAAAGTGAGGATCAAAGCTTTCAAAAAAAAAAATTTAATTAATTAATTAAAAAATTGACACTTACCATCAGATCTATCTCAAACTTCTCTTTTTCCGGTGAACTCCTGCATGATTTTTTTTTAAACTATTTTAGCACCAAAAAATGGGTAAAAAACTACAGAAAAAAAATGTATAAGATTGAATGCTTACGATTTAGCTTTATCACCATCGGATCTAAATCCTGAAGAAGACTCCACTTTCGGCAATATAGTTTCGTCTTTTGACAGATTGTTCTCTTTTTTCTCAGTTCCTGATCTTGAATCTAACGATGCGTGGGCGTGTGTTTCTCTCGGTTGTGGGTTGGTTGAATCCAAAACGGAGCTAACTCCTTCGCCGGATCCTGAGCTCTTTAGCTGATCACCCAACGGAACTTGACTTTTCGAAGGAGCTTCAGCTTCGGATTTGATCGTAGTCACTCGTGAACTGTTATCGTCTTCGTATTTGATGTGTCTCGGCTTCTTTCTTTTAGGAGCTGAGAAACCAAAACGATAAAAACAAAGTGAGAAAAAAAGAAGAAGAAAATATCAAAACAGATCGTTTTTGTTTGTGAATGGAGAAAGAGGACTTACCGATGGCTGAAACGTTTGACGAACTCGAATTTGCAGCAAGTGTGATGGATGATGATTGAGCAAGAGTTTGAGGATTAGAGATCGGTGATGATACTCTAGATTTGACTTCTACAGTTGGTTTCGCACCTGCCTCCGTCAAATCATTTCCGGCGGATTCTTGTTTAGCTAAAGGCATCCTCATCATACCGTATAACACTTCTGCTATCTCGATCTCGATCTCATCTTGTACAGCCACCGGAGATGATAACTTACACGATGATGATGACTTAGGCGGTAACGGTTTCTGTTTTGTTGTCCCCGACGGCTTCAAAAACAGAAGCAAAAAAATTTCATAAGTCAAACAAGAAGAGGAGAAGATGGAGAGATTTAAGAGAAAGTTAAGAGAGACTAACCAATTTTTTCCGGATAGAAACGCTTGAAGAAGAAGGAGATGTAGGAGCTGGAGGAGACGGAGATGCTAGAATCGAAGCCGGACTAACTCTATTAGCTGGAGACGTTGATGATACTTGCCGATGGATTTGTTCACCGGAAGCAAAAACACCACCGCCTGTAGTACTTGACGCCCATGATTCATGCGGTCTCTTTGTACAAGCTGTAAAGAAGAAGATGAAGATATTAGAAGATCCATGAAGAGAGATTTAGATCAGCGAGAGATTTGTTTATAAATGTAAATTTCCACCTCTCTACCTGACCGAGCTTTTCTAGGAACCGAAACACCGATCATCTCGTCAGCGGCTTTCCAGGTCGAAACGAGAGGTGAAACCGGCGCCGGAGGAGTCGATCTGAAAACTTTCGTCGGCGGGAAATTCTTCCTCTGATGATGGTTATTATTGTTGTGACTGTGATGGTGGTGATGGAGATTACCGCTACCACCGTTGTGGTGATGATTCGAGAGAGACGAAGAAAACGAAGCGGCGGAGATATTATTACTCGTCGGAGGAAGCATCTTCAACGAAGACGGTGGTCCTACACCTCCGTCATCATATTCTTCGTCATCGTTAACACTCTCTTCGGAGCTGTCGTCACCACCGTCGTCTAAATTGCCGTGAACCATCATTATCCGGTCTCCTCTTCTCCTTTTACTCCGGCTATTTAACCGATCTCTCTCCCTATCTCTTTCTCTTTCCCTCTCTCTGTCTCTATCACGTTCCCGATCTCGATCCTTCTTAATACTCCCTCCTCTATCTCTCAACCTCGCCGCCTCCGGTAACTCCACCGGACCTTCCTCCTCTGAAAAAACGAAAAAAAAAACATCAAAATCAAACGGTTTCTCCCAGATCTGAAGAGAAAACCACAAAAATGAAATGAATAGAAAACACAAACCTGGAGAATCTCTGAAACTTCCGGCTCTATGTCTCCGCCGTGAAATACCATTTCCGGCAGCAGCCATAGGTACTCTTCTAGCTTCTCTATTTCTATCCATCTTCTCCTTTCTTTGTTTCTTTCTCTATAGCTCTCTTCCTTCTTCTTCTTCTCCCTAAAATCGTAACCCCCTTTCTCTCTCTTATCTCTCTCTTATCTCTCTCTTTCCTCTGTCTCTCTACTTGCTTCCCATTATCTCCTTTATTTGTGCTCCTCATAAAAGGCAGTAGCGAATAAATCCACGGCTCATATCTCCCTGCCGTAAAACATTTTCTCAATCTTCACCGTCGGTGTGAATACATCCAACGGTCATGATCTGCTATACACCAGCGTGACAAAATCTTAGCCCTCCGTTAATAAGAGATCTCATATATATATAATTAAAAAAACCGATATTTCCTCTTTTATTATTTTTTTGGTTTTACCACCGATTATTATAAAATAAATTATAAAACGTATTCTTTTTTATTTATTTTAATTAGTCAGCATCCTAGGCGGGATCCACACTAAAATGATATCTTAATTTGTAAATAATAATTAATTCATAAAGATTTATTAATTTTAAAAGAGTAATATAATTCTGAGTCGGATTCATGAGAAAAAAATTATCTTGGACTGTTATAATTTGAAAGCATGAGACGCCACGTGTCAAGAGTTTGACATCACACGCTTCCGTCTGTATTATCGCTACCAATATTTTATTGACTTTGCTCTCTGTCTTGAAATAAACCAAAAAAAAATAAAGATAAAGAAACAATAAAATATTTTGAAAGTCGGGCTAAATATTTTAAATTATTATTATTGAAATAAAAATAAAATACGTTTTTTTATATATATAGAAAAAGGCTCCTGGGGGGTAGTGTACTGTTGTCCACTAATCGCGATGACTCGTGTGAAAAAGAAAACAAAAATACTGACATATACACGCACAAATATGATAATTATTATTATTAATATTTTAATAAATGTGTCTTGAGAAGATGTATCACCGGTGATAACCGGTAGAGAGAGACATTGGTAAAGGAAATCTGACGATCAGAATGGAATCTTTGTGACCACACCCAACACACACCGTTCCAACCGGTAAATATTAATCATATCAGGTTCCACTTCTCTACATTTACTTTTTTTTTTTTCCTTCACTTCCTTTAAATAAATCAAAATGGCTAATATTAATTAAATAAATAGTTTAATGTTTTTTTTACGTGCAAACAATAAAAGCTGTTATATTAAATTTACCTTTCGGAAGATGCCAGGTTTGCAAAAGTTAATATCTTTAACTTTTAAATTCTTTAGAATCTATCTAGTAATGAAAAAATTAAAAAAAGTTAAAAAAATCAAATCTTGATAATTAGTAGAATAGATGAGTCAAGTTGACATAATTAACTAGTAATTAATCTTTCTATAACAACGAATTAAATCTGGTCATATAAGGATATTTCAAAAATAGTAATAAAACTATATAATAGTGTCTAGATTTTATGTATTTTTAATACTATTAGGAAAGACGAGAGACCCCACCACCTCTTAATCTAAAAGAAATAAATAAACTCATTAACTACAAAAAGAAAAAGAAAAAAAACAAACGGCTGAGATCATTTGTTGCCAATAACACAGCCGTTAGATTAGGTTTCGTGAAAAATCTGACTTGGCAGAAAGCGTAATCACCCGTAAAGAAGGCGTTGAGTTGGCACCCGACCGGTTGATCTGAACCGTTGGTTAAGAAGTAAGAATGAACGGTTGAGATGAGAATAGAGAGTGGGGAGAGTATGCAATGTGGGGACCACTTAAAAAATTCACTCAAGTCACGGTCACGGAACTTCCCAGAAGTGTGAGGTCCACTGTGTTAGCTGCCAATGTGGAATTTGCTCTCTCTCTCTCTCTCTCACTCTCTTTTTATTTTTATTTTTATAATTATTATTACTTTTTTCACCGCTCCCTTTTTTATTATTTCTATTTTCTCAACATTTAAGTGAATATTCACATTTTAAAAAAATGGATTATTATATCATTCACTGCTTTTTATACCCCAACTTATTAATCATTTTTGTCAATAATAATACTAGTTGGCATGTTGCCAAAAAAATAAGTTTGGTATGTTTCGCTATTTTTTCCAGGGTTTATTAATGGTAAAAGGTCATTTGAACAGATATTTTCGAGATATTAAGCTTTTTTTTCTTTTGCCTAATTTTGATTTTCAGATTAGGTTTTAATTTTTCAGTTATATAAAAAGAATTACACAATAAATAGAATATGTTTATACATTTGGAAAGAGAACGAAATTCGTTCGTGAATATTATTTGTCGATTTTAAAAAATATATGGTGACTATGACATGAATTAGTCCCCACATAAAAACGAAATATATAGATTTTGTAATTGAATTTGAAAGAGAAAAAAAAAAAGACAATTGAATTTGGTCAATGGTCAGGATTTCATCATAATAACATTTCATACGACTAGTAAAGTAATTAATAACAGTGGAGTAACTCTCATAATAATACACAAGTCAGTAGATTCACAAAACATTTAATTTTAACGTTAGAGCGCGTGTACAAAGAAGAATCCTAAGAAATATCCACGTGGCCTCACTTCTATTTCCACGTGGTTTATTCTCAACATGACACGTGTAGGATCAGTCTCTCTTTCTCTCTTATTCGTCGCCTTGGATCTTGTTTTTGTCGAAGCTACTACTACTACTAACTTAAGAAAACCCGATAAACTCACGGCCTGTCACGTATATTAAACGTGACAGCGCTTAGTTTGTGTACGTGGTGAGTTGTGACTGGTGAACTTACGTTATCTCGTGCGATGAGCGGTTATTTTTAAAAAGGACTTTTTTACGACAGGTAAAATTGCCACGTCGGAGGGTATAGATAGATAGAGAGTCCCGCCAAATAAACTTGTCGACGAATAAAAAAAAGAAAATTAAACTCGTCGAAATAAATACGTTTGACTATGAACGTGACACGTGGTGACATTTCGAGTTAAATGCTTTTTTGCCAACGTGGCAGTAGTTTTGATCGTTCGCTTAACCCTAGCCGTCAAGAGTTTCTCAAATCAGACAATTAAACATTTAACATAAATAAAAAAAGCGATTATTTTTGTTTTGCCTAAAAATTCGGATTGTTTTTTTTATAATAATAAAAACATTAAATACTAGTATCATTGTAGTATAAACATATCTCGTTTTTAAAAATTGTTTGTCGTATGTGAAGATACGTATATTAAAATATAGTATGTGTTAAACAAAATAATCCCTTCATTAACGCACTAAGTAAGAGCATATCGAAAATGGCGAGTTCTAATTATTTTATTATTTGGGTATTACTATATAGTTTTTGGGGAAGAGTTTTTTAAAATAATAGTATAACAAAGCGAACATGGCACCATGACTGTTTCTTCATTAATATAACCATTAATTTATATCAATTCAAATCTAGAAAATGCAGGAGACGAAAGTACGAGACATTGCCTCCAAACAATATTATTTTATATACTATGAGACTAAATTAATCGTTGAGAGAGTATAAAAAACATTACTTTATACTTTGTTAGAAAACTGTTGATAGAGGCTAGGCAACTGATTAGGACGTATTTGTGTTTATTTTATTTTTTATTAATAAAGAAAAGTCAAAATATTTTATTCAAACATTTAGTGTTATGTATACTTTATTGTTTTTCCCGGTTTTAAATAATTGATGAGAGAAGAGGTATATATGGGGATGCTTTTTTAGCTTAAGAGGCTAAACCAGTTTTGTTGATTATAAAAAAAAAATTGGGAAAAGAAATTAACTAAGGTTTTTTTGGTAAATGCGATTAGCTTATTACTTTGACCTAAACTTTGCCATGATAGATTGAAAAGAATAGCCATGATAGATACCTCTATAATTTTATTATTTTGAATAAATGGACAAAACTATACAAATTAAATTGGTGGTGGCATAAGGAGAGAGTCTCTGATACGTTTGAAAGAAAGTGGTTATGTACACATAATCACCCAAATTATTATATTGTTTTAAGTTTTGATTTAAAAACTTTCTCTATTATATTTCAAAGGTTATAGGCCCCCCGGAAAAGCCAAATAAAGACCCCCCATGCCATTAACAAAGGATCCACATCCACCGGGTTCTCTCTATTTTTTGTTATTCTTTTTTTCTTAATGCGTAGGAGGAAAAATAAAAGTTGAAGCTTTTAGTTATGAATGAATTAGTAGCAACTTCTACAAAAGTATAACAACAATATAGAAACACAAATAGCAGGCCTTAAAAAGTAGAAAAATAAAAGCCCAAAAGCCCATACGTAGGAAAAGTGAAAGTACATTCGTAGCAGATATAACATTCAAGGTAAGCCGATGTCAAGTTTTGGCTCTAGTAGGAGGGGTGATGTATATACAAGAGAAAGAAGAACATAGGTTTTTAAACTTGAGAAAAAAGCTCATCTTTCAATCGAATCAATGATACCCAATTGGAGCTGGAGCTTCCTTTAGTTCACGGCCTTGGTAGTGAATGTCCTGCAAAGTTCACATCATTGACATCAGTCACAAAAACAATCAATGGTTTAAGAATTGAGAAAAGGAAATACACTTACGGATGCAAAATGGTTGACGTCACGGTGATGCGCCTCGTCAGCACGAACAACCATCACAACATCACGGAGTGTTGCATTAGCAGGGAGTCTCCAGTAATCAATGGCAATAGCCGGAGCAGGAACGTTCTCAATATTGCCTTTGTCGAGTTCCTTGAGGAACTCAGTGTAAGAGTGGATTGCTTCTTCTTCAAGGTACCCAACCATACGGTGAGCAAACTTGGGAGAGATGAGGTAACCGAGGAAATAGGCGTTAAAGAAGACTCCTTGAACAGTGATCACAAGCGCTCTCTCGTACCATTTGGGTTTCGCTACTTCCATGAATGTCATTAGATGCATTCTCTCGTTCTCTGCTTCCTCAAGCAGAGCTTTGATCCATCCTCCACTTTGCTCAAAACGACGGAGAGATTTGCAGTGTAGTAACATACCTCCTACCATTCCAGGAACTGCTGCTACAGTTTCAAGCATCATAGCTCGACATCCATATCGCCTCTGAGTTAACAATGGTCACAAAACATCAGTCCAAGCATTTCCCAATAAATTAATCATCGCATTATTATGATAATAAAGAACGGTTTAGTCATTAAATCTTAGCTAATCTGTCTTAATGGCAATAATCCAAAGCACTAACAAAAGTGAACATTATAATATACAAAAAGTTTCCTAAACAAACAAATAAAATATTCGACTTGTTGCCATTTCAGAATGGCTATTACTTATAAACTTATACGTAATCAATGACGATATGTTTCCATTTCAGAACATGGCAAATGAAATTAAAAAAAAATAGTGGTTGGGGAAAGAAGACGAAGTGTACCTGGAAGAAGAGATCCGTAGGCCAACGAAGAGATTTAACAGTCCAATAAGCTATTCTATCAAGAAACGTCGTCGGAACATGATGCTTCTTCAGATCTATTGTCAAATCAGCCTGATACGTCTCCCATGGCTGCGACAATCCAAATAAAATTTTCAATAAAATTACACAAAATCAAACGAAGAACAACACTATCTTCTAGGATTCTATAATAGAAACATACCCTGAAACAGTTCCATTTCCAATCAGAACCATCTTCTTTAGTGATCTTATTAGGTTCAACACCCCAATAGCTCGCGATACCTTTCTCTCCCTTGTTACCACCACCTCCGGCGGCTCCACCGGTGGAATCGTTCTCTGTTTTCTTCTGATTCGCCTCCTCCTCCTTCGGTTTCTCTCCCAGAGTAATCGTGCTGGCGAATCTCATACCTCCATTAATCGTCGGAGCTCTAGTCCTCCAGATCCAAGCCGAAGTAACCTCAGGCTTCAAAAGACGGCTTGCTGATAACGCCTCGTGAGACGAAACCGTAGTGGTGGTCGAGAAAAAACGTGGTCCAGCAGCCGCTAACAGTGACTTCGCCGCCTTGGCTCCACCGCGACTCATCATCATTATACAGATCGGAAAAATCAAATCCAAGAATTTAGGAAAATTGTAGGAGAAATCTTATTTTTTTCTTTTTCTTTCTGGTTATTACTTTTGTCGTCTTATGCTCTTCACAGGAAAGTCACGAGCAATGTATAAATACTAGAGAAACGAACGGTTGGTGATTGAAACTTCTTGACGTATATGTAAGGAGATCACGACACGTGGAACCAGGGTACAACAGTTTCTTGTGTGGTGTATATTTAGAATGACGGTGTTACCCTTAAAGAGATGAGAGAGACTTCGTTTATGACTTTTCTTTGACTGAGGGTGTTTGTGTAAATGTAAAGGCGGTGTAGATTTTTTCTTGGAGACCAAGATGTTTGGAAATGGCTGGAAAGATACTTCCGTGATGGCCAAGAGCTCAATTCTTATTGGTCGAGTTTAATGATATCGTGTGTGGCTATTATTTATGCGGTAGTTGGTGATGAATGTTTTCTTTTTTAATACTCACTTTCTAGACAAAATCAATAATATAGGACTCTTTTTTTTTAATGCCAAATTTCTATTTTATTTTCATTTTTGCTATTATTCTGTTTCAGCTTCCAGGTCAAAATTAGAGAAAAAATTAGTCATAATTCTGTTGTTTTTTGGGTGAATTTTCTAAAATTTTAAAATAAAAATTGTTCAATTTACATTACTAAAAAAAATTATTTTCTTTCTTTTTTAAAAATATTTTAGTATATATTACATTTTATAAGTATTTTTATCATATACATAATTTTTTTTATAGATAAGTTAAGTCACATCTTGTCGTCATTATCATATTCGTTTTGTTAAAAAAAAAAAGAAAAAAAAAAAGTGGGTTTACCATTTGGGGAAGACATTTGTACTTCTAATTAGGTTTTTTGTCCAAATTAGCACATTGTTTTGAACAAGATTGAACCTAATACCAAAATATTCGATTTACTTCGGCATAAATTATTAAAAACCAAATAACCGGTTTACCAAAGCGAACCAAACCGAGTACATGAAATTGCCGCTAATATGGGTCAAAGTACCCTGTACCCGTAAACCGCATTGTCATATTTAGGAACAAAGAAAACAAGAGTATTCAAAACGACAAAACATAGCGAGACTGCGAGAAGCTCTTCAAATTCAATGATATCCGATAGGAGCTGGAGCTTCTTTCAGCTCACGACCTTGGTAGTGAATATCCTGGAAAATTATCATACAAACCATTTAAACTGGATCATACAAAATATATATAACACATACTACTTACGGATGCATAGTGGTTGACATCACGGTGATGCGCCTCATCAGCACGGACCACCATGACAACATCACGAAGCGTCGCGTCCGCTTCAAGCCTCCAGTAGTCAATAGCTATAGCCGGTGCAGGCACGTTCTCGATGTTACCGTTATCGAGTTCTTTAAGAAACTCAGTGTAAGAGTGGATTGCTTCTTCCTCAAGGTATCCAACCATACGGTGAGCAAACTTGGGAGAGATTAGGTATCCGAGGAAATAAGCGTTGAAGAAAACGCCTTGGACCGCGATCACAAGGGCACGTTCGTACCAATTGGGTTTCGCGACTTCCATGAATGTCATCAAATGCATCCTCTCGTTCTCTGCTTCTTCGAGTAAGGCTTTGATCCAACCACCACTTTGTTCAAAACGCCGGAGAGATTTGCAGTGGACTAACATCCCTCCAACCATTCCTGGAACCGCTGCGACCGTTTCTAGCATCATCGCTCGACAACCGTACCGCCTCTGCCGTTAAAATTAGTCCTAAAACATATGAAGCGTTTGAAAATGATAAAAACATACAAACGTAAGACTATATATATACCTGGAAGAAGATATCGGTAGGCCAACGAAGAGATTTAACGGTCCAATAAGCTAATTTGTCTAATAATGTCGATGGAACATGATGCTTCTTAAAATCTATCGTCAGATCTGATTTATATGTCTCCCATGGCTACCATATATTCCAACACAAATTCACATATCAATCGACCAAAAGAGTAACAAATACATATAGTAATATGTAACGTACGTACTCGGAAGCAACTCCATTTCCATTCAGTTCCATCTTCTTTAGTGATCTTCATTGGCTTCACCCCCCAATAACTAACGATTAGTTGTTCCCCTTTGTTACCTTGATCAGCCTTTGCCTTGCCACCGTTTGATCCTTTCTCCTCCTCCGTTGTTGTTTTCTTCTTCTCAAATGTCATCTTGCTGAGATCTCTCACGCCACCAATCGCCGGAACCCTAACATTTGACGCCACCGCTAGAGCAACCCTAGGCTTCAAAAGATGGCTGTGAGTCGTCGTCACAGCAGTTGCCATTACGTTGGCTACATAACGACTCATCATTATTTGTGCAGATCGAAGATGAAACAATATAAATTTATTAAATCAAAGCGATTAGAGAGAAGTACTGTTACTTTTTTTTTTTTTTTTGTGAAAGTGTTTTTGTTTTATTTTTGCAGTTTGTAACTCCTCAACTGTTATCTATTTATAGCAATCACGGAACTCTAGCATCATTGTATTACACGAATATAAAAAAAAAAAAAAACACACGAAAAAATCGTCTACAATTTGACTAAAAGACTTGTAGCACACGAAACGAAGACAAAGGCAATTCCGCAACCAACGTTACAAAAGTTGAAAAAATCCTCTGTTCCAAAACAGAGACATGGTTTGCGTAGTAGGGTCTGCATGAACGACGTAGCTTTTGTGGCTTCAGAATGAAAATTCAGAAACCGTCTCTTTATAGCTTCTTTGATGTGTATGACCGTGCCTAAACCCTATGTAAACTATATACATAAACTGAGTTAATCAGTTAACACAACATGTCATGTCTTAATTATAATTTTTTGAAATCTAAGCCCAAAGCAGGCTCTCAAAGGAAAAGATGGAAAGGCTTATGATAATAGTGAACAACAGAACAAAGTATACAACCAAAGTTCGCTGGCAAGCAACAACAATGACTCAACTCAAGCTTCACTTAGTGCCTCGTTGATATGGCTAATCAGTGGCTTAGGTATGGTCCAACCTACTCATCCAAGAAACCATCCCGTCTTCTTGGTTCCTACCAACACAAAAAAAGAAAAGAAACAAGAATCACTAAATTATTCAAACAAAAAAAAAGAGGACTAGATTTCTTATATTATCGGCTAGATTTGAACCACTTTCTTCTCCTCGTTGATTAAAAGACTCGCCAAAACCTCAGAACCAGTACAGCCAATGGGTAAATCCACCGCAAAGGCTTTGCTCCACCGCAAAGGCTTTGTTTGTTAGTTCCATAAGACCCAAACTCTCCCCAGTCTACTAAATTCATAATTAGAAACCAAATTCCAATCACCAAAGATTTTTCCCATCACCTTACCAACATTGTGCTCCTTGACCTTTGTTTCCAACAAACAACCAAACTGAAAATTGTTCTTCTTGACCCATTCTTTGATACCACATATCAAGTTTTTATATAAAAACTCATTTATACAAATAGTATTTGTAAAATCAATCTAGCACGGTCTAGAATAGTAATCAATCTCGAATAGTGTTTCAAACCTTTTGATCGATCATATGCAAAAACGTTTTTTGATTGATTAGACTTAAAAACATTTTGTCCAAAAAACTTCCCCTGTTCCAGAACAGAGTCGTGTTTATAATCTTGGCTGCGCAATGTTGATTTACGTGTCTTTGATATGTATCTAATGAGAGAACGTGTCATACTCATACATATCCCAAGTATCTCTGTACAACAAGATTCTTTACCTATGGGATATGTCAAAGGAGACGAAGCTAAACATAAGACAAAACACTAATTGTTCCAATCATTCAAGATCTATCACAAAACCAAAAGTGTCAGTCACCTCTTGGGCTCTGTTAAGACTTTTAATTTGTTTTCTTTTTAGTTTCGAACACTAAAAGAAAAAAGAAAAACAGTCTAAATGTAAGAGAACAAAAAGAAGCATACCAAAACACAAAACTTCAAAGCAACCATTTGCCACCAAAAGTTGGGAAAAACCAACGAGCATCCTTGAAAGGTATTAGCGATATATCTGCAAACTGATGAAAGCATTGGACAACCTTGTCGGTTTGAATATCGTAGACGCAGCTATTAGTTCCATAGCATAGACTAATCTCGTTGTATCTATGAAGCTCACCATTACTAAAATATACGTAATTTCTTCTAACTCCATCTTTAGCTTCAACAGTTGTTCCTTGATCCAAAAGCAATGCTTCGTTCCCAATAGAATTGGTTTTTATCCACTTTGATGAACTTTGATCCATCTTGTAGATGTCGAAGTTGCATATCTTCCTCGCGATCATTAAAACCTCCCCGGACAGAGTCACAACAAGACTGTTTTCAAGATCTTTCTGAAAATCCGGAGATCTGAAACTTGCACATTCATTTGGAGTATCACCACCACCACCACAAAACTCATAAACAGTGATTTGTTTACTTAGACTAAGCACGTAAAGCTTGGTTTCTTTTAACACCATGTTGACGCAACCTCGCATGTTTAAAGGTTGAAACACTTTCCAACTATTGTTACTATAACTTTTCTTGTGGTATGCAATAAAGCATTCAAGATTCCACACAACTAAGTAATCTCTACTTTTTTCATCTACCCACAAAACTGCATTCTTTATTCTAACTTTTCTGATCTTACCCGAAGTAAAATGTCCACACTTAGTTTTATAATCCAAGGTCACCTCGAAGTCGTACTCACCGGTCCTCTCAAACCTCATTTGCGATCCATCCATTGCTTCCAGACTCGGAAGACGAATCCTCTCTCGAGTAAACAGATTGAAAATGTAAAAATCAGTTCTGTGGTCTAACATCAAGAACCAGCTACCACAATTCGCCAAACAACGACTCTTATGGAAATCAAAACCTAGATCTTTTACCTCGTATGTTTTGTCATTATGAGGATCAATCAACTTACATGAAATACGGCTAATGTTTGAAAAGAGTATGAGCCATGGAGTTGGGTGTTGTCTGTAACATAATCCAGCAGTGGAGTACCAATCTAAAGAAATGGACCTGGCTCGATGAAACTCAACAAAGTTCAAGCGTTCGAAGACAGACCTAATCAAGTCGGGGACAAGTGTCTGCCACTGAACTGATACTGGTTTATGTTTTTTCACTATTGCCCTAACTTTGATCTCTTTGGCTGCTATGACCTCGTAGGTCTGTGAAACATCAACGGTGGCTTCAAACCACACACATGCAGAGTTGTTGTTGTTACCCGTTTTTGGGGTTTTAGAAGCTTCCACGCTAGAGTTCCATTGGTCCAGAGATATTTCTAGTCTCTCAATGGCTCGTCCAACCCCTGAAACTGCATAACCTTTGATGATTATCTTATTAGGCTTCACTATCTTTACGTCTTCGAGAGAGTATATTGTGCTCAGATCGGGTACAAGCATCGACCACTTCGTATCGCCGTCGGAACTGATCATTTCCTTCTTCTTTGAGTTTAGGGTTTACTTGTAGGAAAATGATTATGATATAAATTAAATACAAAGGCCCTAAACCAGAGTCATTAACCAAACTATACATGGAAAACTAAACCAAATTAAAAGTCTAAACCAGAACACAAAACTTGGTAGCTTTTCAACGTAACCATTTGCCACCAAAAGTTGGAAAAACCGACGAGATCCCTAGCATTGGCGATGGATCAAGACACTTATACGATATATCTTAGCACTAGAAAATACATATCATTAAAACATGACATTTCAATCAATAGAAACAACAAACAATGAAAAAGGTCATACCATATATGACATAACTTCAAAAAAGTTTTATGTTTGTTTTACATAGCTTCACAATTACATATATATAACTCGACTCCTTTGTATCCCGTAGCAACTACTCTACTCAGTCACCGAATCCTTCTCCTAGGGTCAACCAATTATTGCAGGGTCGGGTCAAAAACACTTCTCAGTAAGATCGTTTCCCATCGTTTGACCCAAACCCACCAAAGCTACTCCTTCCGCCTGACTGAGAAGAACGATCCGAGCCAAAGTCCCCAAAACCAGGTGAGCGGTTGCTTGATGATCCGCCTGAACGACCACCACCAAAGCTGCTTCTTCCACCTGACTGAGAAGAACGATCTGCATCGAATTCCCCAGGAGAACGCATACCAAAGCTCCCAAAACCAGAACGGTCAGAATCACCAGAATAACGGTTGCCAGAACGGCCACTGCTTCCACCATAACCCCCACTGCTTCCACCATAACCGCCGCTGCTTCCACCATAGCCACCACTGCTGCCACCATACCCACCACCACCTGATCGACCACCATAGCCACCACCACCGGAACGACCACCAAAGCTTGAACCACGATCCCTCATGCCTCCTCCAAAGGACCCACCGGATCGAGCACCGATTCCTTCAAACATGCTTCCACTACCACGCTCCACAGCAATGCTAGGGAGCTAAATTAAAACCCCAAAAGATACAATCAGTTACTCCAGTCCTTCAACAGAAGAAACATATAGGTAAAAAACAAGTCAGGTTATATAACCTCGGTGAATCGGCTTCCAACTTCTCTCTCGATTATTTTTACTGCCCTGGATTGATCTTGACTGTAGATGAGAATAGCACTTCCTTTCTTTCCTGCACGACCTGTTCGTCCCGTTCGATGAACAAATGTCTCTGTGTTATTAGGGAGCTCATAATGAATTACCTATACATGATCACAAGTCAGAAAGATTAGTTCAGTAAGATGAGAAACAGAACTCGTTCAGAGCAAGAAGAGTGTATTTTTGACTCACTAAATCGACATTAGGTACATCAAGTCCACGGGCAGCAACATCAGTCGCGACAAGGATATTAAAATGTCCATCTCGGAAACCAGCAAGCGTTCTTTCCCTCTGACTCTGGGATATATCACCGTGTAAAGCTTCGCATTTAAAGCTTCTCGCCAATGCATATGAGAGGCGATCAGCATCCCGTTTTGTTTGGGTAAAGACAATGCATTTTCCTCCTTTCGCATGCTCCTTCAAAAAAAAAGATATTATCAACTCTTGAGTTTTGCCATACACGACTGACAACTAAGAAATAATCACAGCAGCTTAGAAACAAAGTAGAGAATGCATACCGTTACAAGAGGACCAATAACAGATGCTCTTCCATAAGAATCTGCTATGATAGAATATGTTGTAATTCCATCTGCAAGTTTCTGATCAGAATCTCCAACCTAAATAACACATCACAGTTAGGCAAAACCATAATAGTAAATATATCACAAATTGTCATTTCATTAACCACTCTGCTAAACCCAAGATCAATTCAGGATTGTGAGCAATTTCAGATATAAACAGGTACGAGATTACTCACAAGATCAATCGTCAAAGGATCATTCAGGTACTTCTTGGTGAGGGATCTGATCCAACTGGGCATTGTTGCAGAAAACATCATGCTCTGACGTTTCTCTGGCAACTTTTCCAAAATTATTTCGACATCCTCAGCAAACCCAACTTGAAGCATCTGATCAGCTTCATCCAAAACCACAAACTGAACTTCTGATAGATTCAAAGCTCCCCTTTTCATCAGATCAATGACACGACCAGGAGTTCCAACTGCCACATCAACACCATAGTCAAGCTGCCTCATTTGCTGTCCAATCGGTGTACCTCCATAGAGACATATAGTATCCAAGCTTGGAGCAGATTCCCTAAACTCCTTCTCAACCTGGCGAGCAAGCTCCCTTGTCGGTGCCAATACCAAGCAAAGCGGATTCCTCCCTCGTCTGTCACATAAAAGATCACATAACAAAACCCCAAAATCAGAAAACGTAACTTAAAATGTCTGAGCCTCAAATGATCGTTCGAAACTCTGTAAACACTAACCCATGTTTAGCGTTATATTTGATGATTTTGTCAATGATTGGAATCCCAAAAGCAAGGGTCTTTCCTGTTCCAGTCCTAGCACGACCGATCATATCACGACCCTGCATCGCTGGCTCCAGCACAGCTTTCTACTCAAACCACGAACCATAAAAACCTCAGTTACCACCCATCATTCAAAATCATGGAACACCAATCCATAATTTGATCTCACAACATTACATACCTGTATAGGAAAGAGTTTCTCAATACCCTTACTACTCAAAGCTTTAACAATCTCCGGAGATATCCCAAGCTCAGATATCGCAAGCCCATCACTCTCCGAATCCCCAATCACTCTCTCGCTACTACTCTCAGAGATCGCAAACCCACCAGAAGAAACCATCGACGCTCTGAACTCCGACGGTCCAGATTGAAAATGAAACCCCTTTCCTTTAACACCAAACGAAAACCCAGGCTTGACATCGGAAGATCCAATTGTAGCTAGATCGGAGACTCCGGTGGCGGCTGGTGCAAAGCCGTGAAATGAAACAGCGTTAATTGAAGTCAGCGATGCAGAAAGAGTCCTCCTTGATGCATCAAGGAGTGATCTACGAAGTACTGTAGCGATCATTTCGAATTCAGGTGTTTCCTGTTAAGGAAAAATGTAAAACCCCAAGATTTGAGAATTAGGGATTCGTTAAAGAAGAAGACACAAAGGTTTTAGTTCTCTTCAGCAAGAACAGTGGGGGATGCAAAAAAATCTCAACTGCAAGGGTTTAGAGTGTTCGAACTACAGGTCGGGTCGGGTCGGGTCGTCTCACTTAAAAAATAGCCCATTGGGCCTTTTTGTATCATTTTAGATAACTATACAAAATAAAGTTTTGGGGTGAAAACAGAAAGTTTATAATAAATTGGGTCACATATGCAATAAATCGTCAATATAACAGAACTGAGGAAAGGGTTCGGAGGTGAAAGGAAAGCTTCGCCGCTTCTTCTTCGTCCTCTCTCTCTCGTTCTCACTTCTTCAACAGTTTCTTCAACCATCTTTGTGCTTTTGTATCCAAACGTAAGCTTTCACCTTATTATCAATGACGTAGCTTCGTATCGATCTCAAAGTTGAGAGATTTGTTATAAGCCTAAAATTGTTTTCTGTAAAATATTTGAAAACCCTAATTTGTGTTATGGTTTTGGTATATCTGCAGTTTTATCGGTGAAGAAGATGTTGACGGAAGAAGAAATCAAAAGACTTTACAGAATCCACAAGACGTTGATGCAGATGTTAAAGGACCGTGGTTATTTTATCGCGGATTCTGAAATTACGATTACGAAGCAGCAGTTTATCAGGAAATATGGAGATAATATGAAAAGGGAGGATCTTGTTACTCTCAAGGCTAAGAGAAATGATAACAGTGATCAGGTTTGTGTATTCTTCAATGTGTTTACACAGGTCATCAATTAGTGTTCTTTAGCTGAGACTTATCATTGTTTATCTAATTTGTTTTATCGGAGTTTCTATAAAGTTGTGGAATGTGTAAGATTGAGAGTGAGAATAGATGTATGTTAGGTGGGTGTCTTAGTTTTAGAGAAAGTTTCATTAGTAAGTAGACATTGGAATGTTACAGACAGAGCTAAGTTGCCAAGAGTGTGTAGATAAATGTGGTCTCTTTAATAAGTAAGAAGCGGTGGAGTTGGTATTTTAAAGCCATAGCATAGAGCAGGTCTGTGGGGTTTGATTCTTCGATGTGTTAGTATCTGATTCCCTGTGCTCTTCTTGCTGTAGCTCTATATTTTCTTCCCTGATGAGGCGAAAGTTGGAGTTAAGACGATGAAGATGTACACAAACCGGATGAAATCAGAGAATGTTTACCGAGCAATTTTGGTGGTGCAGCAGAACTTGACCCCTTTTGCTCGAACTTGCATTAGTGAGATCTCTTCTAAGTTTCATTTGGAAGTTTTCCAGGTAAAGAAATGAAAAGCAGTGAATTTTGTTCTCATGATAATGTATCCACTGTATGCACATCACCTTTCTGACTTATGATTGGGTGGTTGATGCAGGAGGCTGAAATGCTAGTGAATATTAAAGAGCATGTTCTTGTTCCTGAGCATCAAGTTCTCACTTCGGAAGAGAAGAAAACTTTACTGGAGAGATACACAGTGAAAGAGACACAGGTTAGTCTATCTAACATCCTTGTTCTTAGTGATGATAATGAGCTTGTTGTTTTGTGTGATTAAAGTTTAAAACTTTGTGGGTGTTGTTAGCTTCCAAGGATCCAAGTGACTGATCCAATCGCAAGATACTTTGGACTAAAACGTGGGCAGGTCGTGAAGATCATTCGTCCGAGTGAGACTGCTGGTCGTTATGTTACCTATCGTTACGTCGTATAAGCAACAACAAAAAGCTTTGTGTGGATCAGATTTCGAATTAAATGCTGATAGTTGTGAAACATAAGAGTAATGCTTTTGTACTAAATCAAATTGTTGACTGTGTTTTATTCTTGTTTGTCAGATATGAGAATTAAGGCTTAAACCAATTTTTGTATAGGCTTCTATCCAAAAACTTGCACCATCTCTCATCTAAGCAAGAAACCACTAGTAGTAATATATTTTACATTTTCCCTCTAATACACAAATTGCGAATTAGGTGATAATAACTCAAACGGTTCACTCAAATTGATACACTGTAAATTCAAATAAAGCCGTTGAACTTGAATTGAATCAAAGCTGGAGTTGCTTTTGATCATCAACGTTGTTTATTTTCTTTTTATGATGGCCGAATAAATTGAGCCACAATCTAAACAAGAATCATATATGGAAGTGGCGAAACAAAGGAACACTTTTCACTCGAATTGAGAAATACAAATAAATTAGAGAATATGAAATAATGATATAACTTATGTTTGTTTATGAGGCAAGAAGTAGCTACAGATTTATATATAGCTCGACTCCTTGTTAAACTACTCAACTCATACTGAGTTCTACTAAGTCAACTCCATTATTGCCGGATCGGGTCAAAACCAATCCAACACTTCTCAGTATGATCTTTTACCATCGTTTGATCCAAACCCACCAAAGCTGCTCCTTCCACTTGACTGAGAAGAACGGTCAGAACTAAATCCCCCAAAACCTCCTGAAGAACGGTCTGAACCGCCTGAACCAAAGCTTCCAAAACCAGATGAGCGGTCTGAACCACCAGAGTACCGGCTGCTTGATCCGCCTGAACGGCCACCTCCGCCACCATAACCACCGTAACTACCACCACCTGAACGGCCACTGCTGCCACCATAACCACCATAACTACCACCACCTGATCGTCCTCCTCCAAAGGAAGACCCACCAGACCGAGCACCTATTCCTTCAAACATGCTTGCACTACCTCTTTCCACAGCAATGCTAGGGAGCTGAATTCAAGACCAAATAGATACAGAACTGTTACCCAAGCATACAAACAAAAGATAGAAAGAGGGTAAGAAAAAATACTAACCTCATTGAATCTGCTTCCGACTTCCTTCTCAATCATTTTAACAGCCCTGGATTGCTCTTGACCGTGGATGAGAATTGCGCTTCCTTTCTTTCCAGCACGACCTGTTCGCCCCGTTCGGTGAACAAAGGTCTCTGTGTTATTAGGAAGCTCATAATGAATAACCTATTCACAAAGCATAGGATGGGTTAATAAAATGATAAACAAAACTAGTTAAGCGCAAGAAAAAGTGTTGTTCACTTACCAAATCGACGTTAGGTACATCAAGTCCACGGGCCGCAACATCAGTTGCAACAAGAATATTGAAGTTCCCATCCCTGAAACCAGCAAGTGTTCTTTCTCTCTGGGCTTGTGATATGTCACCGTGTAAAGCCTCACATTTAAAGCTTCTCGCCAATCCATATGCAAGGCGATCTGCATCCCGTTTTGTTTGGGTAAAGACAATGCATTTTCCTCCTTTGCCATGCTCCTGTAAATGATAAGATGTTATTATACGACAGGAAACAAAAAGAAGAATCAAAACAAGATAGAACAAATTAAGGAAACCATACCGTTACAAGAGGACCAATGATGGATGCTCTTCCATAAGAATCTGCAGCTATAGAATACATTGTAATCCCATCTGCAAGTTTCTGATCTGAATCTCCAACCTAAATAACATAAGAGTACGTGTCATTACAAAAACGTCACTTCATTAACTACTCTGCTACAGCCAAGATCAATTAGTGCAACATAGGGATTCTGAGCAATTTTCAGATACAAACACAAGCAGGTATATAGTTACTCACAAGATCGATTGTCAAAGGATTATTCAGGTACTTTTTGGTAAGAGATCTGATCCAACTAGGCATTGTTGCAGAAAACATCATGCTCTGACGTTTCTCTGGCAACTTTTGCAATATTATTTCGACATCTTCTGCAAATCCAACTTGAAGCATCTGATCAGCTTCGTCCAGAACCACAAACTGAACTTCTGATAGATTCAAAGCTCCTCTTTTCATCAGATCAATGATACGACCTGGAGTTCCAACCGCCACATCAATACCATAGTTCAGCTCCCTCATTTGCTGTCCGATAGGTGTACCTCCATAAAGACAAATAGTATCCAAGCTTGGAGCAGATTCCCTAAACTCTTTCTCAACCTGGCGAGCAAGCTCCCTTGTCGGTGCCAAAACCAAGCATTGAGGATTCTTTCCACGACTGTCACATCAAAAGACAACATAAGAACTAAAGAAAATGTAAAATCTCTAATCCTCAGATGAACAATAGATTTACAGTAAACACAAACCCATGTTTAGCGTTGAATTTGATGATTTTGTCAATAACGGGAATCCCAAAAGCAAGTGTCTTTCCTGTTCCAGTCCTTGCACGACCAATCATATCCCGACCTTGCATCGCTGGCTCCAACACAGCTTTCTATTCAATCAACACAAACATCAAAAACTCAGTTCAAAACAACGAACTTTTTTGATTGATCTCTATAACCAAATGGAACAGAGAGAAGAAGATATTTATACCTGAATAGGAAAGAGTTTCTCAATACCCCTAGCCTTTAAAGCTTTAACAATCTCCGGAGATATTCCAAGCTCAGATATCGCAAGCCCATCACCACCACTGCTACTACCAACACCTTCTGAATCACCACCATCGCTACTCTCATACGAAGCAGCGTACTCTTGAGCCGCGAACCCAGCAGGAGAAGCAATCGACGATCTAAACTCCGAGGGCACAGATTTAACATGAAAGTCTCTCACTTTAACACCAAACGGGTTCGAATTCGGAAGGAGAGGCTTGACATTAGTATCCCCATTTGCTAGATCGGAGACTGTGGCTGTGGCGGCGGCGGATGGAGCGAGGTGATGAAACAGAGCCGCGTTAACGGAGGTCACCGAAGTCGCGAGGGTATGTCTTGACGTACCGAGGAAAGATCGGCGGAGTACTGTGCTGATCATTTTCAGATATAGGTGAAGAGTGAGTAGTGATGGGTTCTTGTGAGAAGTGTGAAATGTGAAACCCCAAAGCTGAGAATTAGGGTTTTAGGAAGAGACGGCAAAAGGCAAAAGGGTTTAGAGAGATTTAAGAAAGAAGTATCAAAGGCGGGTATAAAGGGGCATTTTGTTATAATCCCCTACGGGTGAGTCTATGGTATGTTCGTGCACGTGCGAGCGTGTTTACTTTCGCTTGAGCCTAAAGGTGTTCGTTCTTGGATGCAAAGCAAAGTCCGAGTTAATGGTTTCTGTTTTTGTTTTTTTTTGTTTAATCTTCATTACGATTGAACTATAATTACTTTACGTAGCCGTTAATTCGTTTCGTGTTCTGTTCATTCGAAATCTATATTAGAAAAAATAGCAAAACCAAATGTTAGAGTTGATGACTCTCAATATTTCCTCCTGCCACTGTTTTGGTTCCAGTGATGGCAAATAAATCAAGCTCTGGTCAGAATAGATACATCAAACCTATACTACTACTATGTGTCTTCAGATCGTTAGTAATGAATGAGTGAGTACTGAAAGCATTATGTCACTGAAACTCAATTGATCTTTAAAAATCGTTCCCCAAAAAGAAAACACGTTTTTATACTAAGCAAGAAAAGAGCTACAGGATCTGATCTGAAGCAAAGCTGAGTTCTTGGGATCACTAAGGTTTCGAAATTATTGCAGAGTCGGGTCAAAACCTACCCGGTTTGCGTCTTGAAAACTTCTTCAAAATTATACCTTCTAGCAACATCTCATTAGTGAAGCCATCAATCAATGTTGCTCAACACTTTAGTCATGTCCAAACGGGTCTTGCAATGGAACTGGAGTTCATACTGCGCTCCAAGAATACGGTAACGTTTTAACCAGAACAGCTTCTTGCTCAGCTCGTGACTCTGAGCTTTGATGACAAGAAGCCTTTTCTTGAACCGCATTTCAAACTGTTCCCTAGACTTCTTATCGACGTGAGGCGACCGTAGCACAGTGTACAGCGTCCTTGTGTCCGGCATTGCAACCTTACGGGTGTGAGGAGGGAGAGACCAAGCGTGCTTTTCCGGGTTATCGAAAGACCGAATCGCTATGCAAATCTTGGTTCCTTTTATCTTTGATGTGCTTTCTTCTGCTGCCTCTTTCTATATTCAATCACAACAACAAATTCCCAATGATTTCAACAACATTAACACCAAAACTATAGGAAATTTCAATTTCTGTGAATCTGATGACAATTTCTATACACAAATTCAAAATTCTAGGACATTTAAGTGAATCTGGTGAAGCAACCATGACAATTCGATGAAAAAGTTTAGAGAATGGATTAGAACAGAAACAATACCTGGAGAGCGATCTCCTTCCTACTTAATGGTTTGACATTCACTGGAGAAATTTTAACCTTTGCGGTTTTGCTGATACCAACATTTTTCGAATCTCTGAAGCTACTCTCTCGCGCAGTGGCGTAACCATGTGACACGATTCCTGCGGGAACAAACATCGGCGGCTCAGATCTAATGTGGAAGTCCCTCGCTGTAATACCAAATGAGTTCGGAGACGATGCGACAGTGAATCGAGGAGTGATTGAGGCTGCGGTGGAGGCTGGAGTGAGATGGTGAGAAAGACATGAATCAAAGGAGGTCAACGCAGCGGAGAGTGTCTGCCCCGACGGCAGGGAAGATCGGCGAAGTACTCCGGTGATCATTTTCAGATTCAACGGTGAAATGAAGAGATTGAAGAAGCAATAACCAAAAAAAACCAAATTAGGGTTTTACTAAAAGAGAAACACACAGAATTGTGAGGATATGATCGTCTGTGATGAGTGTACGTATTCTTACGGTGAGCTTTATTTTTTTCTGACACATGCAAAAATAGGAGTAATCAAAGTGAATAAAATTACAAATAACTCTACTAGTTAACCAGAGATAATCAGAGTTACAAAAGAGAGAAAATAAAATTAAAGACTGAGAGAACATGCAAAAAAACTATATCCATGGATTTCTAGTGTTTCTGAGTAAATGTATAATCCTGGAATCTCCGATGGGTTGTTGTCTCAGGAAGGAAGATGCAAGTTTTGGGATTTGAGAGATTCTTCTTCCTTCCTTGGTTTTACTTTCTCTTCTCATTTGTTTTTGTCTCTGTTCCCCTAGTGCATGCTTCTAGTATTCGTGTTCTTGTTGAACGATTCAATCAAACGGAACATCCAACGATCTAGCATTCCTGTTTGTGACATGATTATGATATTAGGCATATATTTCGAAAGATGAGTGTTGAAACGAGACAACAACCGAGATGAGGCGAACCTGTCAAAGCAAAGGTACCGCCTAATACAGCGCAAAGCCGAGTGATTAGGTGGAGAAAACTACGGCGTTCTTCCTTGATGGTCACAGTGATAGGTGAAAGATCGTATAAAAAGTAGACAGCTGAAAATGGAAGGGACGTCAGCAAACAGAAACAGAGTAATAAGAATTAGGTTCATACTTCAAATGAACTTTGTTCAACTAACCTGGCCATGTTCGGTCGAAGTCAGTCATCGGCGTGTAATATTCAGTTACAGAGTACTGATTTGTTGACAGTACGTCTTTTGAAAGATATCTATATTCTGTGGGAACAATCTGCGCCATACCAGAAACAAATTAGTGATTTGAACTAACAACCAATGACTTGTGTAAAACGAAATGGATCATACCGGTGAATGATATTCAAAGCAACAAATAATGAGGTTTATAAGATAATACTATCAGCAGGTAGACATAAGAAAAAGAACAGTGAAGACTGTTAATAAACACCTTAATATAGTATTTGAATGTTCCACTGGTTTCATGCAGCATTCGGTTGGTGTCATCAAGTGGGTTGTGAATTCCCGGATATTTCGGACCAAAGGATAGATCATGAATCATATGGCTCACGTTTACGTTTTTGGACCCGCCAAATATCTGTTCAGAGGGTGCAGAGATTAGTTATTTACTAGCAAGGGATATCAAATTGTTAGTCAGTGAATGAGGTCCAATTACAAATGATAAGAGTAACTTTGCGTCTATGAATTTTTCTACGTAAAAAATCTGGCTTTACACGTTTTCTGTTATATATCACGGGATTCAAATGTCAATATGATCACATGGTACTATCAACCTACTTCAACGAATCTGATTCTAAACTATGTTCTTGGTTAGTGGTTTCAGACACTTTTGCACTTAAGTCCTAATCAGAGGATGGGTAATTAAGCGAGATAATGATACCAACCATCTGAGCGACATAGATGTTCAGCCCGTGAACTGAAATATGGAAGTTTCCAGCAACCCGTTGTACATCTAGGACACCATAAACCTGAGAAACAGCAAAAGATTAGTCTCTGTTTTCTTAAACACAGATAACACAATATCTCTAGTTTGTATATTGACAAGAGCAACGGTTAATACCCGACATCCTTCTCCATCTGCCAATGCTTGCTTCACTTTCTTAATCATAGTCTCAGCAGCTTGATCAAAGCCTAGAGAATTCAATGTTTCGATTTCGGTCTCATTCTTGTGTTCTTCTTTGCCATCTTCAGCAAGCACAGCAGATAAAGAATGTACATGATTAAGTTCTATTCTTATACCAAAAACAAATTAGCTACCATGACACCTATTACTGGGGCTCTCTTGACATCGACTTCCGATTTAATTTTCTTGTAAGCACAAATATTTTGTAATTCAGTTCTCCAGATTTATAACACTACATTTGAGAAAGGTGTACATCATACTATTCAGATTTACATATAACCTATTGTAAATACAATTTTAAAGTATATAGAACCAACATGCACATGACTATCAGTTCTTCCAAAAGTATCAAGACATGAACATTCAAAGGACAACTAAGGGAAAAGAGCTCAGCAAAGGCTCATAAAATTAAAATGTTACCATGCTTGTGAGATGAGTGACCATGTTCATGACCCTTTTCAACAAGATCGGATATATATTCTGTGCCAATAATATGTCCATGACTGTTGAGACGGAGCTGCAGATACTCGAAATTAGAGAGCAATTAACTCGAATATAAAAAAGTACAACTAGAGAAAAATGCCATAAGAAGTGAGAGATAAAGATAGTAAGTGAAATATCAAAACAGCTCCCTTCAAATATATTGTTTAACCTATATGTGAACAGTATGACCTGCTAAACTGTTTTAGGTGCAGTCCAACAACAGTTCGGTAGTGTGAATAAGGCGGAAGAGAAATCATGTGAAAGACTTGTAATTTGCATTTCATCTTACCTTCCAAATGTTTGTATCGAGATCCACTTCATGCTTCCCTGACATGTCTATAGCATCCACGCTCAATACTACAAAAAAAATAAGCTCAAATGACGAAGTCTACAACCACAAGTATCTGAGACGGTGTGGAGGGAAAAAAATATTATATAGACATGTCTTCTATGTAATCTGCGAATTTCACTTACCATCACAAGGCAAAGATGGAAATGTCATATTTACATGAATTGGAAGAGTTTCTCCACGCTTTAGATCCACTGACATCTAGAAAAAACAAACATGATACAAAATTCCATTTTGATTACAATAGTTATATCATGCAAAATAATATTAAAAAATTCCTACGAGTCATAGAGAATGACTAGGGTATCAATGAGGTTGAATAAACAGAGATACTGCAAAAATCAATATTTTGTAATGATATAGATCACTGCAAAAATTTCACTGGGGCCATTCGACGCAATATGCTTTACTTCTCTCAAAACATGTTACCTAGTGAAAAAATACATAGTTCACAACAATAACAAAATCAATAAGGAAGTGACAAAATATACATAGTTGATAGTTCATAACTAGAGTGGCATCAATGAATCTTAATGATGGCAGATGGACCAATAGCATTCATCCTCGAAATTTTGTAAGACAAATGAAACAGAAGATCATTCACTGCAATTTATACGACTATTCATAGCAATTTAAAGGCTTGATTCAGGGCAGTAAACATAAAAGCATCAGATTCAGCTCGAACTAACTAGATACATACCTGGTGTACTGTAAGTGTGTTAAGATAATAACTCAGCTCGTGCAAGAACAAAGTAGCCATTATAAGCAGTCCAACAATTGATACTACAACAACAATAAATTCAACGTTAAATAAGCATAAACACACATCAAGCATTCAAAAGAGTACTTCTCAAATAACGAGAAGATCGAATAGAATAAAATCCATTACCAACTGCACCCGATTGCGTCTTCTGGAGCAAATGATCCTCTGCTCTAGGAAACGCATCGATGCTCCTTAGAGCCTGCTTCACACCCATCCTAGCTGCTTCCCTCGATAATACTACTTCGTAAACAAATCGAATTCTGAGGAGGACCTACCAAACTACATACCAGCATTAGATATTGCCAAATTCATGCAATTCCACTCCACAATTTGGCAATTGATAGACCAATCAAACAATCAAATATTCTCTTCCTATTAGAACCCAATTCTCTTCTTAAATTGTGAAATTTCTCGATCTAGACAAAGCAGAGAGCTTCCATGGCGGTTCTATCTAAAGGGTCTAGCTAATCAACCAAGCAGATGCAAGTGAATTTCACCCAGAACATATTCATCTACAAAAATTTAGATTTTTCAAGTATGATCTTCACCGGCCCTAGATTGGGAAATTCCCATCTAATGCGTAACAATGGCGTACGAAGAGAAGAAACTATGATAATTCCAAACGCAAAAATCGAGTTTAAGAGATCGTACTCGAATCAAAGATGATGAAGATGCAGGGCACGCCAAGAGGAGAAGGAGAAGAAGAGAGATCTCCGGGTCCGGGGAGAGACAAACAAAAGGCTTCCTCTTCTTCTGCTCTACGGTGATTGATTTGAACGGCGTTCTCTTTTTCCGTCTTCTCTTAATTTATTAATTGCACCCTAAATTTATTAAAACTATTAATTTTGCCACAATATTTTTCTTATTTGCAATAAAGAGAACAATAATCTTCTTATTTACGTATAACCCCTTTATACTCTCTAAACTAGTATTTTTTTAGGAGAAGTATAAATTATTTTGTCGATTTTTTTATTTTATTTTATAGAGATTTTACTCAAGGGGATATAAAACTTGTTCTATGATGATCTCGACAGTAGAAGGATGACAAGCTACCTTCGAATTAGGCACGATCATGACAAATTAAATTTGATGTTTTAGATCGCATTTAAAACGTGTAACAAGAGAAATCATTTGGTGGTAAAATGAGATTTTTATTAATTTTCAAAAAATTAAAATAAGAGATTTGTATATAAGTTAAATAGTTAATTTAAGAGTTTTGCAGCAAAATTTATTCATTTTTTTTCCATCAAATAACATTATTTTTCTTCTTCGATCGATAGAAGATCCAAGAACAAACTTTCCACTTGATCAAAACTCACTTAGTGAAAATTATATCTTTTGGTTTCAGTGGCTCATCTTCTTTTCTTTTCTTTTCTTTTTTGTCTTTTTATATTGCTCACAAAGACAAGTACAAGAGTTGGCTTTTAGTACAAAGAACTCCAAACGATTTAAAGTAGATTGTGAATAATACACCATTCCTTGCCTAACTTTTCTAAATGTATCGACTTGTGTGTTTTGTTCTCTTGTTATGTTAAAGCAAATCTTTTAATAATACCACCACAGACACCTTAATCAGTTTCTCATGCTAACATTGATCTTGATATGTTATGCATAATTTACACATGGGGTTTATACTTTTGACGAAAAGGGTCACTACGATTGGTTGACAAAAAAAAACAACATGCAACGTGATTGGGCCGTCGTATCAACAACGCCTTTTGATTTTAGATAGCAATAGGGACCGATAAGCCCAAACTCAAACTTCTCAGTTCCCACCAGAAACTAAATTCCCAAAAGGGTCCTTTGTTAAACAAAGCAATCACGTTTTACACAAGATTTTCAGACAGACAACAAATATATAAGATTGGGTGCAAATATGCAATCGCTTTAATTGATTCAAGCAATTATACAATTCGTCTTAAGGTCGTGCCATAGTGTAGTGGGGCAAATGGTCCGTGTCGTGAATACTGAAAGCAGACTAAACATCAAAACCCTTATCACATCATTTCAATACCTATTTCGATCAAAAGTCATATTAATCACCAATGTGTCCACTTCCAAGTTCATCATAATCATGTACTCATGTCTTTATTTTATTTTTAATTTTTTTCTTTCTTATAGAAAATGAAGAAGGAGAACACGTGACTTGTGTGAGTCGTGAACAGTCTGCAAAACATGCTTCACGTGTCTTAATTCATCCACTAATATTATCAACTTTTTTCTTCTATACCTAACTTTAATCTTGCTTTCAACTAAAATGTATTCCATAATGTCTCAAAAATAAAATAGGAAATCCACTTACCACACTCTTTTATGGATCGAGTTTCTATTTTTGGAAAGTATATTACACCAAACGGCTTCAAAACCTCACATGGCATAGACAACTACATGTGGCCGATCTTTTCACAAACCCTCAAAGTCAGAATCTTAATATTTTTATGTATGATTATTCAAATAACATCGTTAATATCATAAACACAACACTTATCAATAAAAAGAAACAAAGCACACGTTATAATTTTATGCATGCATAAATATAGCTTATGTATTCATATATCCATTGTCAGTTTGTCACTCATATTGAAATCATAACACCATATTAAATATATATATATTGTAAACAAACCACACAAAATCAAGTAAGAATTAGATTCAATTCACATTATTCTTTAGATTCTTCGGACACAATTCACATTATTCTTTAGATTCTTCGGACACAATATATGCCGTATACTTATTACCGAAAAAATAAATAAACCTAACTATTTTCTTCTAAAATAATGTTTCCTTGTATTAAAAACATGAAGCACGTGACCAAATTTGCAGATATTTATTTTTTTCCATCAGAAAAAAAAAAGTTATAGCACGTTCTTATTTATACTTTACATGCAAAGTGTTTCTATGTTGATTACTTTGATACGAAGAAGTAAGAATCTTTTCTACGAAGAGAGGATCATGAAGGGTTGCAGCTTAGATCTCTGCCTATCTCCAATGACCACCTCTACGCTTCAATCTTGTCGCCAAGATTCTACGTGAGTGTTGAAATATTCAAATTAATTACTCTAGTTTCATATATTTGGTTTTGAAAATTGAAAATTTTTCTTTTATTGTTAATAGGGTTAGTGATCATTCGTCAGCCATGAAATCTAAGGACATCAATGCATTTTGTAATGGGAGATTAAGTGAATACGATCTTGTAGAGATTCAGGTACATTTCTACCTTCTTGATTTTAATTTATTCGTTTTTCATTTTCATTACCTTAATTATCGATTTGATTATGATATTGATGAGTGAAAATTATAATATATACACGAAGATAAGGGCAATAATAGAGATGGCAAGCAAGGAGCGTGAAGTAACAACGTTAGAGTTAGCTCCGGTGAGATTGGAATCGCCGTTAGGGTGTTCGGTGAAGAGATCCGTCAAGAGGTTCTTGGAGAAGAGAAAGAAGAGAAACAAATCTATTACACTTACACTTACACCTCACACCTCTACCCCTGCCTCATCCTCCTCTCCTCATAATTTCTAAACCTAATTATCAAACCAAAACAAACAAAAAATGCATTCTTCAAATATGGGTTGAGTAAAATCTAGCTCGTGTCACTTTTCTCGATACTCGACGAAGAACTTCGAGTTTTTTTTTTTATATAAGAAAAAATCATTTTGGATCGCTTGTATTAGTTTTCTCTTCCCCATTCATGTATGAAGGAAGTCTCACACTTGTCCTACTATGAATCATGAAGTTAGTTTAACTTTAACCTCAAAATCAATGCTATGTTTCTTTGACGTAGCCCATGGCCATATGTCTTTATATCCTGTTTTTACGATCTACTGGTATATATATATATATATATTTGTTACTCTTCCTTTACAAAATAAGAAAATGCAAGCATTGAGCTGCACAAGATAGTAGGCCTGGGCATAAAATCCGAATCCGAAAATCCGAACCGAACCGAACCGAAAAAATTGGATTAAAACCGAACCGATATTGGAAAAATAACCGATCGGTTGTTAGCTTTCATTATTTTTGGATATCGGATTAAACCCGATCCGAACCGATATCCAATAGATATCCATATATAACCGAACTTATAATATATACTTTAATATCTTTATGATATATACGTTTACCGCATATCGGATTAGAAGTTATTTTTAATTGATTTTAGGATGTTACTGAATTTTGCTACTTTTTCATTAGGAATTTATGGTTTAGTTTGGTTTATTTAAAGCTCTTATGCATCGACACAGTTTTATGCTTCACTTTTATATATTGGTATGGTATTATGTTAGTTGGTTCTTTGAACTTGTCATTTACCTCATTTCTATTTTTTATATATACTTGGATAGCATGGATTATTTGAGAATAATTGGATTTAAAAATATCCGAATAAAACCGAATCCAATAAATTTTGGTTAAAATGTAATTATCACAATTATATCCAAACTGAACCGAAATCCGAAATATCCAAACCAAAACCGAACCGAATTTTATAAATATCCGAATGGATATTAGAATCAATATCCAAAAAATCCGAAAACCGAAAAATCCGAACCGAACCCGATCCGATATCCGAACGCCCAGGCCTACAAGATAGTGTGAATTCAAGTAGTTCATTCACCATTACATAAATTTTGTAGTACTATCTAATTTATATACGGCTTTAATCAAAAATGAGAAAACCAATTCCAATATGATTCCAAATAATCATCACTGGTCAAACCAAAGATTCTATACTAAGTTGGACCTTAGCATTGTACTCTCAAGGCTCAAGCTCATCACAAAAAGTAGATAAGCCTAGAACATGAAAATCTTGAAATAACCAACGAGAGAGGTGAAATCCAAGAGCGTTCAAAAAGAGGGGTTTTCGTGTTCCTATTACTATTACACGACATAGTGTTAAGAGAAAATAACAGATCAGAGAACATACTTCTAAAATCCCTTTCCCAGCTGCTTTCCAGACCTAAACCTGTTAATCGAAGAGGATTAGCACCTATTGTGTTCTTTAGCTCCAGTCTCATCACTATTCTCCGGACAAAGGTTCATCATCATTCTATACAACAACACTAATATATCCTTACCAAACTACTAAACTTCCCTATTTCGTTCCCTAACTACTAGAGCACCAAAATATGGCTCCCTTCGGAAGATCTCTCTTCTTCCGATAACCTACTACTCCATTGTTTCACATTCTTTCTCATCATCATAAATACACAACCAAGCAGAATTTGCATTTGTCCACCATTAAAGAAATACGGAAAATTAAAGGGTTCAAAGTTATAAAAAAAAAGAAGAAGAAGAAGAAGAAGAAGAAGAGCAGAATCTAAAAGCACTTATCACCTGAAACCCTTGTGAAAAGTTTCCCTACACCATCAGGTTACTTACAAGTTTGTTTCCCGAGTCCACACCACACCCCCTTGACTGTTTGATCCACAGCCTAGCAAAACCAAGAACTGGAATCTTCCAAGCCCATGGTTTCTCTTTTCTTTATTAACCCCTCACAGACTCAGAGTTGATCTGACCACCCCTTGCATGAGACGCCGACTCACTAATTGCCGACGGTTTACGACCAAAGTTTAGTAAATAGTTCCTTTGGTCGTCATTGGTGTGACGCAGACTCGCGCGTAACAGCTCAGCGGGCATTTCCCTCTTTATCGCCAGCTCCAAAACATCCGCTGCACTACCTTGGTTCTGACCTCGGATTGTCTCATACTTGCTTCTGCAGTATTTGGTAAGGAGGTTGAAGAATTCATCAAATGAGGCTCTCCACAGACCATCATTAGAATTCCCATGCATGACTCGAGGAACCACCACTACTTCAGCAGCTCTCTCAAGAAGAGATATTAAGACAACTGAAGCACCATCCCCAGCAGAACTTCCAATAGGACGCAGAGGCGGCTGCTCTGAAGAACAAACTACAGCTGCAAGGCAAGCACTCAGTGCTCGGAGGTCCATGGCTTGAACACAAACCGTGACTGCTTTGGCAAGTTTAGCTATCGTCTCTGCTGCTAAAGTATCTGAAGGCAGGCCGCCAAACAGAAATCTCAAGTGGCGAAATATAGCCATACAAACAACTCGAGCAATCTCAGTACCTGGAACTAGAAGTTGCAAATACTTTGTAAGCATTTTCCGACCCTTGGGAAGAGTCGCTATACGTAGAAAGACAACATCATCCTTAGCAGTCATCCCAGATTTCTGACCGGATTTGCTGAACGGATCAGCAAGTTGAAGTGCTGTCGCTAATCCTTCTAGCAGGATCTGCCGCTTTCTCTTGATCTGGGCACCTCCATCCTGAGGTCTTGTGTTTTGGAGAGCCCTGTCAATATCAACTATGTCAATAAGAACTCCAAGAGCATCTTCAATCATAACCCTAGCTGCAACAAGAGGTTCCTGTTCCAAATGTTTTCCTGAGCCCTTATGATCCCCACTTCCATCGCTAAAACCAGGAGAAGAGTCAACTTCGAGCAAGGCATGTGGCCTACGGACAAAAGGAAGTGTAATCTTTCCAAGAGCATCTACATGAACCTGTGGATGCTGTTCAGAACTACTATTACGAGACTTAGGCTGGTGGTCCTTCAACTGAGAAGGATAGAAGTGAGAGACTGCTTTAGATCCGGGAGACTTCTTGGCAAGCCTAGCTTGGTGGTAATAGTCATTGACATAAGGATCATTGCTGTGTGAATTGGAATGCTGCATTTTGAGAATACTCTCTATTTCTTCTGAAGTCATGTGTTTTGATCTAAACTGCAGTCCACTTTCACTTTTCTGACTAGCTGCGTCTGATGCCTGTTGAGAGAGGCCTCTATTCTTTCGACTTCTATGAGATGACTTATGTTTGTGCTCCCTAACTTCACTAACTCCAAAAGGGACTTTACGGGATGGCGAAGGATAGGAACTATACAGTTGGGACTGTAGTGCCGCAAGTTGAGCATATGATTGTCTCTGCTGGAGGGCGAGCAAATGATGCGACATAAGAGCATTTCGAGGAGGCAATTGTTGATGCTGTTGTTGCACCAGACTATGTAGTAAACCAGAATGATCTCCGTGCAGAAGACCCGGATCAGTGACCCAATGAGGTTGCACCATGTTACCAAGTGTAGGACCGCACGAGGCATATCTAGCCAAATTACCACCATACTGGGGCCCTTGTGACAATCCTGAAAGATGAAAATTAGAATTTGACAGCGGTGAAGGTGCAGAATAGGTCAACTGAGAGCCACCAGGAAGGGAAGGAGCACGATGGAGATTTCCAGGTGAAGCCTGCGGAGATCTGCTACCAGGCGGCGGAAATGAGGTAAAATTTGATTCTGGTAAAATTATTGGTTCACTATTGTAGTGCTGCAGTTGTGGTTGCTGCTGAGGATAGGAGGATGTCCTGTACAAAGGTTTTTGATGAGCAAATGATTGTGGCTGTGAGGACCATCTCTTAGCTTCTTCATCTTGATCGTCCAACCAGCTTGTGAGCTCAGCATCATGTGTCCATTCGGTAGCAGAAGAACCTATCACACATAGAGTTCAGTCAGAAAAACCTAATCGTGGAAATAATAGCTCGAACGGGGAATTCGGTACTTCAGATGAAAAAAGTACTGAATTTGCAATTTAAAATGACCACAATACCAAGACAAAAACCACAGGATTTCTTCAATTAACACAACTTATCTCTACAATGCAACCCTTCACCTCAATAAAACGGACCAGCTCACAATATGTGGACTCAGAAAGGATTTAATAATAGCTATACTGACTTAAATACTACTGATTACTCAAGCTCAGTGGCCAGCTTCGTCAAAAAAAAAGACAGGAAGAAGAAAGGAAAACTGAAAAACAAGAAATATACCAGCCTAAATAACACAAATACCAATACCAATACAGTAAAACCAAGTTAAGATTTCAACTCACTCTCTCTTGAAAAGGATCCTGATCCTCTATCACCAATAACTCCAGGGTGTTTGGGTCCGGGAACAACTCTGTTTATCTACACAAAAGTGAATAGGTAGATTAAAAATCACTGACAAAAAGTAAAAACAAAAAACTGGGGGAAAAAATTGAAAGGTACATGCATTAGATGACAAAACAATTATACTCTTGGCTCTTATTTGGAGGAAGCAGTTACTTTTGTTAGCTTGTCAGGAGTAAAAAGAAGATAATGATCACATGCGACCATGACATGGTAATTGAGATATTAAGATTGTAATCATAGTGTTTGTAAATAATAATTATGCTAACCTTTGCAAAAGTTGTGGCAAGATCATCCATGTCAGATAGTGATCCTAAACCTGCACCCTGGAATCAACATGTATATTAGTAAGACATCTTCAACCATTTGTTCCTACATGCATTATCAAGATGTTAGCTTTCAAACAGAGAAAGCATGTTACCTCTCCTTTATCAAACAAGTGATACTCATCATCATCAGTAAGTCCAAGAACAGGAGCGATCACTCCATCATCGTCAAGACCCCCTCCTATCTCCATTTCGTCCAGATTTTGACCAAAAAACTCATATTGTGATGCATCAAAGAGTGTACTGTTTTTATCTGCAGATACAAAAACAGCTGCTTCAGAACCCAATACCACAAACACAAGAGTTAAGTTCAGCCCTCATGACCATTAAAATATGAACTTTTCCAATTACAGGGATAACAACAATATAGGAACAAGAACAACGTTCACATGATTAAAAATCTCTAAAGATAAGTTTTTTCGTATTCAAACTGGTTTATCATTTGTACATTGGAGCACAACAACAAAAAATAAGCAAACCCATAAATCCCAAACAACATATATAGCTCAGTGACCTAAATCATACAGCACACAATCACAATTTAGCATAAATATCCTTCCTTTAAGTGCTTACACGAACCAAGCAACAGACAAAACCGGATCCAAATTAAGCTAAGCAGCAAAATTCACAAAGAGAAGAAAGAAAACATCATCATTTGGGAGAAGAGAACTGACCTAAGGAGGAAGCACGAACAAAGTTGTACAAATCCCTGGAATCGGATCTCTCCATGATCAACAACCAAACAAAAAAGGTTTCGACAAAAAGCTTTAGGAATTGACAGAAGCAAGAGAACAAGAGGACATAAGAGAACCCTCTCTCTTCCGCTGCTCCCTTTTCCCCCTTAGGGTTTCAGATGGGTGCTTTGTAAAGGAAGATGAGAGATTTAAAAGCACAACAACAAAATTGAGAAACTTGAGGCGGTAAGTAAAAAGACTCAGCAGAGAGATTTGCTTCTAGGGTTTTCCAATTTGAAGAAGGGATAATAAAAAAAACAAAAACAAACTTGAAAGAGAAATCTAAATCTCTTCTCTCCGCGATAAAAAAGAGAGAGAGAGAGAGAGGAATGAAGAAGGGAAGGAAGAAGAAGAAAGCAATGGCCTTTATTTTTCGTGTTCTGTTTCCCTTCGCCGTGTGTAACATCGACACATGACCTGACCTTGCCCCAAACCCATAAAAAATACCAAAACTTTTATTTTTTTCCACCTTTTTTTTTCCAATTTTGTTACTTTATAAAATATAGTAGTCTTAAATGGTTACATAATCCAACATCTATTAATTACTTATAAGAAAATTAAAATATCTCAAGATTTTTAAATTTGATTTCCCAATACATTGGTGAATAATTAATTTTTTAGAAAATTGTTTAACTTTACTACATCCACTGCCTAAATGATGCTTTGTAGGAGTCAAAAAGAAAAATAAAAAGTGAAGCTTTGTTGTGTCCGATCCAACTGATTCTTTTATTCTTGAGGTTTAAGACCCATCATTACTTTACTTGTTCCAAACTCAACCATATAAAATTTAAAAATCCAAAAGACTAAATATATATTATCAATATTATTATATAACTCAACGACACGTTTACTTTGGTCCATGTGATTGTATTTCATCCCGGTCGGTTCAAATTGATCTCATTATGGTCCATTTTTTAAAAAAATTATGAATCTTTATTCCCAATTCGACCATCTTTATCAATGATGCAAATGTTTGATGTTAGTTGTATTTTCGTTATGAATAAAGTCAATAGTAATGATTATTATTATTATTAAAAGAAATATAAATCTATATATGTTTATTCATTGTTTTACAACCAAGGTGTTGAAAGAGAACCAATGATAAGCAATCAAGCATACAACAAAGTAAGGTTATAGCAAACTTCACACACGAATCTGAGGGAAGGTTGTTTTACATTATACATATGGAGATGAACTTATATTCCAATCCTAGAAGAGCCAATGCTTCCTTCTGGGTTTTCTTGTTGGTACATCTGGAAGAGCAAGAACTACTCAGATTGAGATTCAGAAGCCATGGAGATAATTAGTGAATGATGATGATATTAATGACTTAATAAGCAGTGTTGAATGCAGAAAACTGAGTTTTACCTCCATTGGCGTATAGCGAATTGTAATGCACTTCGCTCCAGAAGCTAAGCCAAGCCTCTGCAGAACAAGGAAAAGATTCAAACAAGAAGGTTGAGACCGAGTATAGAGTTGGCTTAGAGCGTAAAAGGAAGAAAGTGAGGCTTTGTACCTCTGAGAGGGTTCTTGTTATGAGGAAGTATCTCAATGTAGGATTGATCTCGAAAGGATGTGACTAAGCATATCTTGGCTTCGAACTACAGTAATGCTGGGTCAGCAGCCAGTGATTCAAGTAAAAAAACGAATGAAATGTGAGCTTATAAAAGGTTAAATTTTGCAATAATTCCTCAAGATACAGTTGCTTGCTCAATAGGAGATCTGATCTTTAAGGTGTGTTTATTTAACTATTGTAGTCTAATAGTAAACTCAAAAAAAAAAGATGGTATTTCTTTTACAACTTACTCGATCTGCAGCAGCTTGAAGAGTGACATGATCTCCCCATTCACCCAACCTAGTAACATCCAAAATTTATCAGCAAAAAGAATGAATCACAGAATAATATATCACTCACTGACACAAAACAAAGATGTCTCACTTTTTCATCTTCCTGGTGTAATGTCTGTACTTCATTGGCACATATTCTTCATATAATTTCCGTTGTTGTTTTAACTGAAAAATGCACATGCTAAGTCAGAATAATGGCGGTAAACTACCAAGTAGTATGTGGCCAAGTTTTCGAGAAACCAAGTTCAGAAGAGTTAGCAACTAAGGAAATTGGTGAATCTGAATATTTTCAGGAAATGCATATTGCTAAAGCCAAGGAATACGTTCTAAAAGCTGAAAAACCAAGTGACCAGAGACAAGATTTACAGCTTGAGTGATTTTTCTGGGGGATTCTCAGAAAGCAAAAGTTTACGAATAAAGCCAGTAGATACAACTCAACACATTCAAACTTGAAGGCAATGACTAACGAGTTCGACATTCTTCTCAGGAAAAATCTATAAGTTTGTGAACAAGCAACAGAGTTTCTCTATGGTTCTCAGACAATACCTGCTTTACAACATGCTTCCTTACATGCTTATGATAATCTGCATTGCGAAAAAGCTGGTCTGCTAAAGCGCGAAACTGGCAAACAAGTATCACATATGACAAATCAAATCAATACAAAATCTTTTAAAGAGTGCACAGAAGGTCTAAATAGATATTCCAACCGACGTACCTGACAATTTCCATCTCCCTCCATTTGTAATTCAGCTAACCCATATGTAGCCAACCTGGACAAAAAAAAAGAGACCATCTTATATGATTTAGACTGAAAGTTCAATACCAGTGGTTTAGAGATATTTCGATTCACAGCAACTAGATTTTCCATCTAAGGCGTTTGGCATATGAACAATCTAATTCAGCATCAAATGAACAATACAGTCAAGGAAGACATAAAGGAATCGTCGAATTAAAGATAAGAACCTCCCAGAGAGCAGCTCATGGTCTAATGTTGCATCATTTATATCAGGTATTTCCCTGTTAACCCGAGGAGTGTGCTGCCAACACGAAATTCCACAAGATACTCAAATACTTTGTCACTAATAGGCTCTAATATAAACAATGAAAGCAAGCATTCAAGCTGATATATACGAAGATTACGCAAAAGAAGCTTATCATACTGGGATAGAATCCAAATGAGATAGTCTTTTCCCAAGCTTGCCTTCTCTCCTTAGGCTCTCATCTTCAGCTAGTATACGTGCAATGGTTTGATCATCATCTGTATCCGCCACACTGCTACTAAAACTCGAGTTAGAGCTCGCACTTGTACTACCGCTTGCTCTTGCATTTGCACTTGTACTCGCAAATGGATTCACATTATTTACATCCATAGTATTTGGATCCTATACTAAATACAACCTACGAAGAAATAAAAATAGTATCTCTGATCAGTTTAAATGGCACAAGCTGTCAAATAACCATTAACCAACCAAATCCAAAAGGTACAACTGTTGATATCACCTAAAATGTTGAATCCGTAACGAAAGATGGAAGCTTTGGATTCAATTACACAAAATCACAGAAACCCAGATCAAAGATCACACTCATTTCATTCAAATCAAAACCCAAATTGAAAACGAAAGCCAAAAACAATCTCAATTCCAACCAACGATCTTGAAACCATTAAACCTGTGCAAAACCAAATTTTCAGAAAATTACCAACGAAATCGGGATGCTTGATTTGGCAAACTCAATTTATCCCAAATCGATCAGCCAAAGCAAGAGAGGAGAGGAGAGGAGAGAAATCGTGGAAGATAAGAAACAGACACCTAAGTGAAACTTGAGCGACGAAAGAAGCTAAACAAAAAAAAGTTCCTTTTTCCGATTAGAACAAAAAAAAGAAAAGAAAAGAAAAGGTAAAAATGGATTCTTTCGTCGGTCTCTCTCTGAGATGTTTTCTTCTTCCTGAGATTTCCTCAAGACTTCATTTTTCTTCTTCTTCTTTGGCGGTCAAACAAAACGTCATCAATTTTTGCGTGTCGTTTTTTAATTATTTTCAGTTAATCCTTTATTTTTATTTTGTGTGAGAACTAATAAATATTATTAGTGTAATTTTCTGCAAAAATAAACGACTCAAAAAGTTTATAAAAATAATAATAGTAGAATTGTTGTTTTAATCTAAATGCTACTTATAAATCGTAGAATTGTTTTATTTTGTATTTTAATACATTGTTTTATTTTATTTTATTTTGTGCGAGAACTTATAAATAATGTACTACAATCCTATCAAATCTATTAATTAATGATTCGTAAAAGCCGTGTGAGGAAAACTTTGCCCAAGACCACAATTTTTCTTTTAATTTTGTCAACTACTTTTAATTCAACTTTAAAGATGATTGACATGCGTGCATCATATAAAGACCATATCAACTTAATTAACTAATCTTATATGTGATGGCTGGATAATACTAATGGCTCTCCAATTAAAAGGTCACTAGGGTCAAATGTATTAGTTAATGTTAGGCTTCATATAAGTATTAAGATTTAAAACGTTTAAAGTATCGTTGAATCAAAACCATCATTGAATCAAGTTGTTTGAATTGAACATACTTTACATTTTCACGAGCTTCAGCTTTTTTTGAAGTGAAAACATTCATATAACATTACGTGACTCCTCGCTCACGTCTATTTGATCTCATCTTTAAAAAGAATGAAGTTCCTTTCCGAAGACAAACGAGCTTCATTCCCCATTGCTTTGTCTTTCAACTTCTTCAATCTCTCACCCATGTCTTGATCCTCCATTACTTTCCTTAGCCCATCTTCAACCTCTTTCTCACCAAACCCGCTCATCCTCATCCCAATCTTCCACACGTCCACGATGTATTTACAGTTTACAAACTGGTCTCCGGCCACCGGATAACATAGTAGCCTCCGAGAACTTGCCACCGCCTACAACCAATGAATCATAATTAGAGTAACATACAGTATTTAGTGTGTGTATATATATATAGTAGCTAGGTACCAAAATCATATAATACATGTTACATTTTACTAGTGATATATATGTCAATTTATATCAATTAGTACCTCCATGGTCGAGTTCCAGCCACAATGAGTCACGTAACACCCCACAGAGTCGTTTCTAAGAACTTCAAGCTGCGGAGCCCAAGAGACGATCCTTCCTTGGTTCTTGGCAATGGTGACTCTATGCACAAACCCTGGTGGAAGACCTTCTTGCCACACTCGGTTTAGCGCCCAAAGGAATGGTCTACCTGACGCTTCCAGTGCCAATGCCAACATTCTAATATTTGATTCTCCTATCGGAGAAACCCAACTCCCAAATGAGATATAAATGACTGAGTTCGGGTTTTGTTCTTGAAGCCAACCAATACAAGATATGTCCGCTTCCCATAAACTAGTCTTCGTTATAGCTATATTACTTGTTTCTGCTTGGTAATAATGCAAAGGACCGACTTGTAAAATTTGAGGAGTTTGACAATTGTTTTCTTTGTGGAAATCTTTAAACAACTTGTAAGGTGTTTTTTGATAGTTGAAACCATCATATTCGTCTTTGAATGAGTTTACCAAGATCCAGCGAAGACCTTTTGTTCTTTCTAGTGTTCTTTGCCAGAATTTGAATCGTCTTTTTTGAGCTTTGGGAGTTCCGATGAGCCATGGTAGATCTTCTGCAGATAGAAGTACTGGTTGCTCCGGCAGGACTAGTGGCTTCTCTGGTTGACGAGGACAACCTATACACCAATGTTACAATTGTAATATTGCAACAATTTAATTAGTAACCACAAATCTGAAAAAAGAAATGTCAAATTGGTGGTGATGACGACTGTTCTTTATCGTTCTAGTAAGACTCATGGTTCTCACTTCCCACCACTCAAATGACGAACATGTTCCATTTATCCCATTCTGTAACAGGCTAATATGTTTCGTGTGCCCAAAAACTTGATCGATATATCCAAAATACCAAATACATATTATATTAGATATGATAATTGAGTTCATTCACCACGAAAATGCCACGAGATAAACATTGTTTGGTCCATTCAGTTGGAATTATTAGCATATATAAATCATTAGAGATATTGTTTGCTAACTTTGCTTACATCAACTTTACATACTTTCTTTAATAAAAGAAAAACTACTATACGTACATACTAAATTATATACGGACACGCGTAGATGGGTTTCTAGCTAGTGGGTACAGAATTGTTAATATATATACTGCATTACATGCATGAGATAAACTGTGATGTGTGACTATAGATTACTTACCGTGATCATATTATAACGACAATGTATAACTTAAGATAATGCAAATTACCTTTTCGGGAAACTATGCCTGTCCGTACTAGCTCCGGTATGGTTTGGATCAAACGGTAAGCAGCAAACATCACCGGCCAGAATCCGGCGACGGGAACTCCACACTGATCAGCCACTCTTATAGCCCACGAAGCCAACAGATCAACCACAACACAAGCCACACCTAAATCTTTATCTAGTAGGAGCCGTTCGAGCTGAGAAGGCATGAGGTTCTCCATCGAGTTCTCTATCGAAAAGAAGTCCGAAGGAGGTGCGTCCGGACGATCTTGACCGTCATATAAGGGCAAGAACGTGATCCCAAGATCCTCGTTAGTAGTTGAGATCCGACGGTGGATAGACTCGGGAGTCATAACGACAGGGGAGAATCCACGGCTGAGGAAGGCTGATGCGAGGTGGAGCATCGGAGTGACGTGGCCTTGCGCCGGGTAAGGGATGAATATTATCTTACGCTTTTTTGTTACTTTCATATCTTTTTTTTTCTCCTCTTCCTTTATTTTTTTAGTTTTCGTTTGATAGTTTGCTTATGTTATATACGAATTCGGGTTATTATAACAAGGGAGACGAATTGATAGGAAGATTATTATTATTATTATTATTAATCTATTCTGCATATCATGCATGTGCTATATTGATCGACTTATCTGCCACTCCGTAGATTCTTGTAAATATATATGACTACCCATATAGTTTTAGACTATATAATATATGCATGTAAATATTATAAAAAGGTGACTCAAAGGACAATAATATCGTAAAGAAACTGCTTTCTCATTTCTCTAATACAGTTGTTGAGCCGTTACTTGTGCAGTGATCATTCTAGCTTATTTAATAAAGAAGAATGATATCGTACGTGATCGAAAATTTGATAGTATGGACTATGGACCACATGTATCTATGCACACACACACGTAGATAATGTGAACTGGTAATTTGCTGTAACAGGATACGGTGGCTGCTTAAAAATTGAAAAATGCAATTGTAGCAAATGTTAATCATGCACTTAAATACAATATAAAACAGAACATTAAGTAACGTCAATTATAGTCAATAGTCGCATGAAGTCAATGACTCGATCGTGGTTGATCAATAATCCTCGAAAAGTTAGACAAGTACGTACTGAAGGACATGTTGGTACCAGCGATCCCAAAAAAAGATTCCAAACAAAATGTCGGATCTTGCTAATTAGTTTAGCTAGTTAGTATTCACATTTATACTAAAACATAAAATTTCGTGCAAACCCTAGATATTAAAAAAAAAAAAAAATTGAATGTAAATTTTTATTCAACTTTGAATAATTTTACAATAAATTAAACGCATATCTTTTCTTAATCTCAAATAGAAGTGATTTCAGAAGTTAAACATAAAAAAAAAAAGTTTTCTGGTGTTGAATGAATTGTGAACCACACCATTAATAGACCGTCCGTGTAATTCTTGTCGCCCATATCATGGATTGAGGCATTAAGCTAAGGTTTGCAGCTGATTAACCTAGAGCAAAATTATATAAAAACATTTTAAAAAAAAATCAAAAGGAATATGTTTTGAGGCGAATACATTTGTTGCATCTAGTTAGGCCGGTTTACTTTCTATTAATTAGTCTTGTTAATAATGAATTACAAACTCTAGCTTAAACAGTTTTATATGGATACTTTAAAACAAGTTACAACAAGAAGATGAGGAAATCTTGAAAATATTTTAAGGCTAGTGCACCTTACCATATATATGGTAATGGGTTTCGCTTCCCGCACGTTGGAAATTAAGCTAATCCTCGTCGGTGATCTAATTAATGAGTTTGCCTTACCACCGACCGAATCTGCTCGATCAGGGTTCATTAAACGTACAGTTAGATGTTAGATGTTTAGATCAATATATGTGGGATATGAGGATACACAATTACTATTATATCATAGTTTTTAAACGCTAATCAATGGTCTAGAAGCAAAACTAGTTAAGGAAGCATATTAAATGTTTCTTAAATAATAAAAAGAACAGAGTTTAACAGTTGATTAGCTGGATTAAAGATCGGGACGCCGTTGAAGAAGGAGATCGATCCATAATAGAGGATCAAGGTACCAACATATATTGCAAGTTGCAGTTTTCATTATTAGGATCAATTAGGCTAATTAATTACCACTATATATTGCAACTTGCACTCCTGAATCTTTAAAGACTCTCCCACGCGGTTTCATACCGATCCATATTTATATGTTAATGTGTTTTGATTGTATATTCGATAAATTAAAAACCATTGTTATATGCAAAAAAATTATTTGGCCCCATGCAGATGTTCAAAATAAAACTTAAGTCTTTTTTTTTTTAATCTGAATAATTAAGTTCATGTGAACGAATCAAAATGTTAGGTAAGTATTGCCAAACCAATACGTTTTGAAAAGCAGCCCGAGATTTGTACGATTAGTCGTTTTGTTGGAGATTGATTCTCATCTATTTCCCCAAATTTACAAACTATTTTCCCATTAATTAATTTATTTATTTTTTTTTTTTTGGTAAAAGGTTAAATTAACCATTAATTTATCTTTGTATTTATGGTTTAATATATCACAGTTTAAACTATTTTCCCATTCATTTATCTTTGTATTTATGGTATTTATAAATTAAAAATAAGAATCTTAATCGTTGTCTTAGGAGATATATCACAGTTTCTCATTATATTGACAAATGATAAAAAAACATTTAGAGGTAAATTAATTAATACTCCTTTTTTATAGTATTTCTTTGATTGATTTGATTTCATATGAACAAAGCAAGAATAATTACTTTTAGTGAAAAGAATATTGTGTTTGAAAATTCATCCCAACGATAATCAAATCAGGTAAAGTACATATTTTAGAAAAAACCATAAATCATGTGATAATTTTTTGGATATATAATTGACAAATAATTAGTGAGAAGCAAGAAAGCCATAGAATAATGTTACTTTCAACTTTCAAATCCACCATAAATAAGGTGACGCATATGTTTTACTAACATTTTTCTTCTATTGTAATAAATTTTTGGATTAGATTCGAACTCCTTTATAGAATGGGAAAGAAATTTTAAAACAGTGTGGTGCATGTATATAATTCAAGTATCACGGCACCTAAAAAATGTCAAGAAAATGCGAATATAGTGCTTCTGTGGTCCAATCCCCTATTTATAAACACATTATAATATTCTCAAATTTATTTAAATAGTTCATTATGTTTATATTCAATATTAAGAAGCTCATAACACTTGGGCAAGTAGCTCTTTTTTTTTTGGTGAATTGGGCAAAGAAAGAAATTATTTTAGAGAAATGGCATCCTAATTAACTAGCGACTATTATAGTATAATACAAAACTATTTTAAAATTAATAGGAGATGTTAACTATATATAAGATATAGTAGATGATAATTCAACCAACTCCATTACGAATGCTAATCAACGTATGACGTTAAGAAATCGATATTGAGCTCTAATAGCAATGTAGCATTGAAGATTATAATAATATAGTGAATATAACTTAACACTATATAAGTGAAAACTGATTTTTTTTAAAAAAATTCAAATAAGTTGACGACGCCTTAACTTTAAGGACCATGCCAAATTTGATTATTCGTTTATGTTCAAACTTCTAACACAACGTGTGTACTTGGTTGTCAAAGACATAAACTATTGAATTATATATATTTGGTTTTATTAAGGGAGTTATTAACATTAATTTGATGAAATTATAAATTACATATTGCATTACCTGTATATATCTCACTCAAAATATAAAAAGACACTAATTACTTTTCCATATATACGTATGCATGCATATTAAAATTGTAGCTACTTGTATGTTCGTAGATATATACAAATCATAAAGTTCTATAAAATACCATGATACAGTTTCATATATAGCGTACTTAATTGAACTCAACCACTCCAATAATCTTAATTAGAAGTCAATACCTGCTTTTGTCGTCCGCATCTTCATAACCTCTCTATTTATATATATCCATCACCAAACCTCTCTTATAATTATTCTTTATAACAAAGCTTAGATAATATTCGCCTTCTTTAAATCGTAGCCACAACACTGACTTCTTGTCATCTTCATAACCCTAATCAGCTCCTCACTTGTCTCGCTAACTCAGAATGAATCAATCCGAGCAGAATCACTTCTCCGGTAATTCTTAAGCTACTCTTATAAATCAAAAATCGATGCAATTATATTCTATTTCTGACTATAATTAATATTTTTGGTCACAGTGGAAAAGCCTTCACAAACGTCTTTGGGAGCGTACACAAGTCCACCGCCGATTGGTTATCCGACCAGAGATACGATGGTTGGTGATCCTCCGGCCGCAGCGATGGAGACTAAGTCTAAGGGCGATGGGTTTTGGAAAGGATGGTATGTTTTCTCTTTCATTTTAACGTACTCTCTTCTCTATAGATAGATATGGTTCTTACTATACGTGTTGCAAGATGTTCATACACAGCTCTTATTTTTAAATGATCTATCTCTATAATAGATTTTTTTTTTTTTTTTTTTTTCATGTGATAATATTCTTTATACTCGTCATATCAGGCAATAATTTTTGAGACTTCCGTGTGATATTTTTTAAAAAAGTTATGAAGTATCTCTAATATTTTCGACTCGAACTATTGGTTTGAAATGCATTATTTTTTTGTGTTTTTTTTTGGTAGAATGAGAATTGAGAATTGTGAAATAGAGTGCTTGGAAAAATAAAAACGGGTCAACATTTTATAGTTTTTTTTTCTTTTCAACATTTTAGTTGGGATTCAATTTAAAATATGGTGTTTTCTAGCAAAATTTGGTGCATTATTGGCATTTTTTTTTTTTGTTTATTTTTTTTAAAAAATTCACCCTTCACTTACTTTTTTTTCTCCTTCATTGACAAAAGATAAAAATTACTATTGAACTTCAGAGCCGGCTTAAAATTTGTTATTTTTCTCCCCAAATGAACAACCAATTAACATGATTTAAATCATGGTGTTTTACGTACGTTGCTAAAATACTTTTTTTTTTTCGATAAATTGTTACGATGCCCTTTTAAATATAGTAAACCCATATATCCTTTATATAAACTTGGTACTAACGGTTAACATGATCTGTGGTCTTGTCTAATGTCTATTGGCAGTTGTGCTGCCATATGCTGCTGCTGTGTTCTGGACGCATGCTTCTGAGACTTCGGTATTGACGTTTTCATGCAAATTATTGCTGTAATAAATTATATTTGATGCTAGTTAATTATGTTACGTACTCTCTTTTTTTTTCGTCGGCTGTTACGTACTCTTTGTATGGAACTAATACGCTCTGTGGATGGTTATTATTTGTTGTTATGTTTTATGTTTTATATTAAGTGATATTGGTTTGTCGAATGGATTCATTGAATGATCGAACCATCAGTTACACTTAAAAGGATTTAAAAATGAGCCGTTAGCTCGCGAGTTGGCTCAACTCAGCTCATTCTTTCATGAGCACGAATTCTGTTTTTTTAAATTATTTAATAAATTATATGATCGAGCTTAATTTAGATCATAAATTATATAAGCGAATTTTAGTGAATACGAACTAGCTCATGAACTCGAATTTGAGAGACAGATTCATGAACAAAAGAATTGAGATTACGTCACGTACGTGTACGTCATGTACGTGACGAAAGCTATATATCTCTGCATGAAACCATTCGGGTGTTATTAACCAAATGTTGCTTCAGAGACATGATTCGAGAGATAAGGGTTTTGTGTAGTATGTGTTCCTCTCTCTCATCTCAACCGTCGGTGTCGCTCTCTCCTCGGCTAAGGTAGGTCACTCCGGTGAGTTGTCCGTGAGTTGGCTGTTTTTATTGTTCAATAATAATATTGACTTTTCTTTAATTTCTTTTATTTTGAGCATACCCTAACTCTATATATATACGCGACGTCCTTATATGTAGAACCACACAACACTCTCTCGTCTTCATAATTCTCACTTGCTCATTCCTCAACTCCTCTAATCAGAATGGATCAATCCGAAAACAATTCCTTTTCCGGTACGTAATTCTTCAACTATTTTCTAAAGTCATGATCAAATATTGTCCGACATATATACAATTTTTTTTTATAAATATAATTATGATCAGTTACGTTATTCTACATACAAAACGTACACAAATTATATAATCTTTTTGGGCACAGTGGAAAAACCTTTACATACTTCATCAGGTCCCTACACGAGTCCGCCGCCGATTGGTTACCCGACTAGAGAACCGATGGTTGGTGACCCTCCGGCAGGACCAGTGGAAACAACTTCCAGGGGCGTTCCGAACGCAGAAGCCCTAGACAGCGCAGTGCAAAAAGGAAGGTATATATATATATTATACATTTCATTTTATTTACTCTCTTAATTATATATATACTATATATAATATGTTTATACTTCGGCTCTAATTTAATTACCCGGCAATTACTAATTATTTTTGCAATATATTCATCCGGCGTTCAACTTTCTTTCCTAATGATCTGTCTGTCTACAGTTCTTTTTGCTGTAGTTTGTCTACGCTTTGGGGTTGCTGCTGCGGAGACGACGCGGCAACATGAGACCGAAGTCGCTTGACCAAACCAGGAAAAAAAAAGCACTTATAGAAGATCCATCAATATAATATATTATCTTGACTTAGAGTCTTCCAAGTCTCAAGATATTATATGTACGTATTTTATTGTTTAATCCGTTTGTAAGGAGTCTCACGTTGTATTGTTTAAAGTTTATTTGCAAGTTTTACATATATCTGTAATGTTTTTTTTTTTTGTGTATTTTGTTTCTATATAAATCAAAGGAAAAAAAAAATTAGCTACTCTCATACGTGTACCTCTCGTAACAACCAAAAAAGGAATGAAAAGTAAACTCGTACGTAATGATCCTTGCATGGGACTCCTTAACTTCGGAAGAGAATCCCTAAACCTTAAAAAAAAAAAAAAAAAAAAAACTCATTGATTTCGGAACTAACGATTTCATACAAATTAATATTGCTGTACGATTTTGAAAATATTTGACAATAATGAGGATGTCTTAACAATAGTGAGATGGGTCATGGCTGTGTTTCGCTTTACAAATTTTACTTCAACTATAGAAATCTCTTAAATTAGAATATAGGTTTATTTCAATATATAGTTACTCTATTTCTTACTCTAAAGTATAAAATAATAAATTTATTTTTTTATTTAAATGTATTATATATTTTTATTTGTTCTTAATTTCTAAGATAACCCTTTAATATTAATTAAAGTCTACAAATAATATCCTTATTGTAACAAAAAAATCAATATTATTAAAATATTATTAAAAATTAATCTTGAAAAATAATTTGTATTCTATCTCATAAATACAAAAAAAAAAATGACTAATACATTTTTATTTAAACATCATCATTAGTGAAATTTCCCCACAAATGATTAATTAAAATGTTTTAGAGTGAAAATGAGTGTTTTGATCTTTAATTAATTGCACAAAGGAAAATAATAATGAGTGTTAATGAGCATATTTCCTAAAGGAAATATATAGCTTCTTTAGCTACGTAATATCGCATTACATTCCTTAGAAAGAACTTGAGCTTAATTAAACTAGAGAAATACTATCGAACTTTGTGTTAATAACAAGAAGAAAAACTCACATAATAATTGAAATACTCCCTTTCTCACCTTTTAATTTATTTACTAAGAAATCTTAAATTAATTAATAATCAAAACATGTTATGTAAAGGAATACAAAAAAAAAAACACAACGAGTGTTGAAGAGGTGTTAAAAGACAGATTCATGAACACACAATAATAAAATGATATTAATTACGTCACATACGTGACGAAAGCTATATATCTCTGCATGAAACCATTCGGCTGTTATTCACCAAAGGTTGCTTCAGAGACATGATTCGATAGATAAGGGTCTTTTGATATATGTGTTAAAAATGCTTCCGTCCATTTCTCACTGTCATCTCAACCATCGGTGTCGCTCTCCTTGGCTAAGGTAGGTCACTCCGGTGAGTTGTCCATGAGTCAGATGTTTTTGTCTCAACCATCGATGTCACTCTCTTCGGCTACGGTAGGTCACTCTGATCCAGTGAGTTGTCCGCGATATGTTTTTTTTCTTTCTTTCTTTTGGGTTAGAGATAGGAGATAATGTCTTCTACAATTTATTCAAATAAAATAAAAAACTAGAAACGGATATTTTGTGGGTATGCAGCCCCATTTACATTATATAACAACTTGCAAACTAACAATGTCAAAACATTAAAATAACAAAATCAAATGGTAAAGAAAACACATAATTAACTAATCCATATGTGAGATCATTAACTTTTCTATACATGTGATTAATTTGGACTATAAACGAAACATAGCACAACCGTACTAACAACCACAAAGGATAAGAATCGTGTATGCCTATCTTTAGAAAACTCACAACCAGTGGTAGATCTATAGAAATGGGTAAGGCACGTGCCCAATACTCACTTTTAAAAATTCTTCAATTGATTAGTTTACAATAATGTCTCTTAGTTCAATTGTTTTAAAGTGTCATATGATACACTCTGGTAACTGAGTTCAGTACCCTTTTTCTGCAATATTTTTCATTCTTTTCTTTCTAAAGCATTCGTTATTTTTCCAATTTTATCGGATGTCGGCGAAGGGACGCATTTGTTATTTCCCTTTGATGGTTTTTGTTACTGAAAACAACAAAAAAAAACTCATTGGCTAACTATGATTAGTGTCCTAGATACAAAATTTTCCCTTAGATCCGCCGTCGCCCGCAACCATTTCCATGTCCACCTCGCATTACACTCTTTAGAAAGAACTTGAGCTCTTAAACTTAAACACACAGAAATAAGTGTCCCTTCTCACCATATTTATTTATTTTATGGAATGTTAAATCAATTAATCATCAAAAAGAGGTTAAAGAAAATACAAGAAAAAAACACAGCCGAGTGTTGAAGAGGTGCTAAAAGATAGATTCATGAACAAAATAATTGAGATGACGTCATGTACGTGACGAAAGCCATCTCTGCATGAAACCATTTGGCTGTTGCTTCAGAGACTTGATTCGAGAGATAAGGGTCTTCTGTAATATATGTGTTGTAAACGCTTCCGTCCATTTCTCACTCTAATCTCTCTACCATCGGTGTCGCTCTCTCCTCGGCTAAGGTAGGTCACTCCGGTGAGTTGTCCGTGACCTTAGATGTTTTCATTGTAATTCAATCCCATAAAAATATTGACTTTTCTTTCTTTTATTTAGAGCTTACTTCAAAAAATTCCTAACTATATATATATATATATATATATCCGTCGTCCTTAACCTTAGAATCACAACACCCTCTCCTCTTCATAATTCCCACTTGCTCATTCAGCAACTCCTCAAATCAAAATGAATCAGCCCGAGACTAAGTCCAATGGCAACGGCGAAGAAAACAGAGAATCATCAGGGTACTTATATATATATATATTTTCTTCTTTTATACATGCATGTTTATAGTTTAGTTGCGTTAATTTCATAATGCAATGTATATATTGATCTGGCGTTCAATTCTTTCTTTATAATGAACTGTTTTGTCTACAGTTGTTCCACCTTTTGCCGTTATATGGGAAAGGCATTTCTCTGTTTTTTCACGTGGTGTTCGTGATGATGAGACTGATCGAAGTCGTTAACCAAACCAGAAAAAAACAACACGTTGTAGAAGATCCGTCAATACGATCCTCATCAAAATATATGTGGTTTTTATAATCCGTTTGTAAACCATATATATAAGGGTACTCCCATGTTGCAAGTTTTTTTTATATAAAAAGTTTATTTGCTTCACTTGTTGAAAGTGATCAATGATCTCATTTGTAATGTGTATTTGTGTTTAAAAACTGTGTTTGAGACTTTGATTGTTCTTTTTTTCAATTGTCTTGCTTCCAATCAAGATTCAATGATCCTTGCGCATGTGGATCTAATCGCCATGCAGTAGTTATGACTACATATCCAAATATATTATTATGTATCAGGTAGAAGTCAAACATGTCTTTTAATTTCTTTCATTTTTTTTTTCTTTTCGTAATATCATGGAAGCTATATAATAAGAGACTGCTCTATGCATGGCCAAATATTACATGTTGGATATGCAAAATTTCAATCTACTCAGTCATCTCTACTCTCTACATGCGGAGGCTCTCGGATTTCAATATGTTTTTCAATTGGATTGCTCGTTGTATATATGATCTTCGAAATGTTTTGTTTGAAGTAGATATATATATACAGTATATATATATATAATTTTGCTAGTCCAAATTAAATCTCTCCGAAGTGTTTTGTTTGAAGTAGATATATACATTACAATTTACACACTAAAACCATATATTTCAAAATTAATTAAATAAAACAAACTTAGAATTTGACCTCTGATATTAGATTATTTTAAATATTGCTTAAAGTTATTAGCAAACCTACAATGCTTAGTCAATGTCTAAATACTGAGACAAAGTTCGATATTGAATTAATATTTAAAATATATTATTTAATCAAATCACTATAAGAATAAAATATACTAACGACTAACACCAACAAAGTTTTTATAATTTAATTTTTGTAAAAAAAAAATCCTGAAACGTCAACACAAGTTATTAATATAGTAGAAAAAAATTCCCACAAACAAAAATCTAGTAGAAAAAAATAAAGTACGACAGCAAAATCAAATGATATATAATTTAGGATGTTAATAATAAAAGAACAAGTAAAAAAAATAAACTTCGGTTAATTGTGAAACAAAACTAAAATTCGGTTGTAAAGTTTTTAAAAAAAAAACATATTAAATGGTTTAAAGAAAAACATATAAACTGGTGTTCAAAAATATTTGCGAATTTGCTGGCTTCAGGGCCTTAAAATGATTTCAGAAAGTTATATGGGCCTTTTAGATCAGCTCATTGAAAATGGGCCGAATCTGATGTAGAAATGATCAAATTAGGGTTTTGGCTCAGCCATACTATATAGTGATAACCATCTCTTAAATTAGGGTTTCTTCTCTGCGGTGTGTGAGAAAGACCCGAAACAATGGTGAAGTTTCTGAAGCAGAACAAGGCCGTGATCCTCCTCCAAGGGCGTTACGCCGGAAAGAAGGCAGTGATCATCAAATCCTTCGACGACGGAAACAGCGGCCGCCATTACGGACACTGTCTCGTCGTCGGACTGAAGAAGTACCCGAGCAAAGTCATCCGCAAGGACTCAGCGAAGAAGACGGCGAAGAAGTCTCGTGTCAAGTGTTTCATCAAGCTCGTGAATTACCAGCATCTGATGCCTACTCGTTACACGCTCGATGTGGATCTGAAGGAAGTCGCGACCATCGATGCTCTTCAGAGCAAGGATAAGAAGGTGACTGCTCTTAAGGAAGCTAAGGCTAAGCTCGAGGAGCGTTTCAAGACTGGGAAGAATAGGTGGTTCTTCACCAAGCTCAGGTTCTGAAGAACCTTTGAGATTTTATCTTTTATCGGATTTATAATTTACTACATTTTGCTTTAGTTCTAGAAATGAATGTGGATCATGGTGGTGTTGAGACGTTTTGGTTTGAATTGAAGCTGGATTTTGTCTTTTTTGCTTATGATCATTTGTTTTATTGATGCCTTCATCGTCACTGAATGTGGAAATGTTGTTTAAGATTGTCAAATCTTGTTTCCAGTTTCTAGAGTGTGGAGTAAGTATTGAAATGGGTTTCTCTGATGATCAGTTTCCTTCAATCGAATCAAGAATAGTCTTAGGTTCTTCTTGTGTACTTAAGCAGTAATGGCATTGTTTGTAGTTTCTGTATACATAGTCTGTAGAAGCATGTTTGAGTTGTCACTCTCGATTTCAGGTTGATCCTATTGTGTTCTAAATAGAGAGTGTTTTACCCAAATAGCCGCACAAGAACATAGAGATGGTTAGGATGGGTGAATATAAAGTAAGTTAGGAGATGGTTATGAGTGTGTGTAGTGTGTGTAGTGGAGCTGCCATGTTATGTAGAGAAGTAAGCTAGGTAGCTGTGACTGTACACTTAAGTTCGACCAAATCTCCTTGGACCAAATCTCCTTGGACAAAATTTATGCGACTCAGTTGAAAAACTGTATACCAACTACTCTCATTCTCTTATTCATAACGAATTTCCAAGGTAAAATACCAAAACAAAGTTAGTGACTTTGTAGGAATCTCTTACAGCAATCATATCAAAAGATGCAGTGTATAAAATACCAACTGTTTTTAATCTCTTCATCAACGCGAAAATTAGAAATTTTGACTCTCATCAAAGCCCCTTCTGAGCTCAATGCCTCCGTTATACCTTTAAGCGTTGAATCTTCTCTGTCATGAGCCAATTTAAAAAGCTGCTCATCTTGTAACTAGCCTCCCCTCAGATTCATTCATTCATTCCTTGCGACTAGGACTGCTTGCTGGAATATTGTCAGTGTGCTTGAATCTGAAATCAAATGCACTATGAATGAGCTTATTCCTGATCAAAACACTGCATTACATATCTTTATAAAGCCTGTAATTATATGTATCTTCTCTGAGATGAGATATTTTTGTTAAATGTTTTTTTGTGAGTGTGGCAAAAAATGACTAGATTGTTGTTGATAGTTTAATCAATTACATAACCTCAACTCCTCAAAGATGTGTTAAGGAGTTTACTGCATACGAAGGAACTGACCTGCCCTTGTATCAGTTGCTTTTTTTAGCTTAGTGCAATCGATTTCGAAAATGACATTACTAAGTATATCACAACACTAAAAAGGTTGTGTACTCACTTCATATTCGTCACTATGATATTATCTTAACATTTGGCTCAACATTAATCCATTGCTTATGACTTTTCTGTAAAGGAACAAAAGATAGATGTACTAATAAGATGTAGAACAAGGACAAATTTTATCTTTGTCAACAATACTTTTGTTCCTTTACAGAGAAAGCTATATAGCTAAAAATAATAATTGAATTAAAAATCTATTAGTTATAGATTGTTTAAAAAAAAAAATTCAAATGTAGTAAATTTTTTTTTTATCTAAAAAAGTTAAGTACCAATTTATAGCTAATAACTAAAATTATAGAGACGTCCACAAAAGTTCCATTAATTTATGAAATTTATTATTAAGTTTAATTTAATAAATTTTGTGATAAGACCAAAAAACAAAAACAAAATATCACCTCTAGTATATATTTTTTTTATACCCAAAATCATGTTTGAAAGGACAAAAATTAAAAGAAACCCCACATAAAGTCAGTTATCATCGTATCAGACCTTACACTTTACTTAAATTATCACTTTAGTCCTCAAATTAAAAACCGATTTAACCACAAAAACAAGTTTAACCCAAAACAAGAGATTTAGATTTAATTTTAGAAGAAGAAGACGTCACAAAAAAAAAAAAAAGGTGTCGTTTTTATAAACCAGAAAAGCTGCCCAACTTGTTCTTCTCTCGAACCCTAAACGAGCCGGGTCATCTCAAAAATTTCTCCGACATTGCATTCCTCCGTCGTCCACAGATCCTTCTCCGCCGTTCCTTCAACTCTTCCTCCCCGGTCGATTCCACCTTCTTCTTCCCCGGAACCGAAGTCCTTGTACCGTAATTTGATCCTGTTTTTATTTCTTCTACCGAACCGATTTGTTGCGTAACCAACCCGGTCACAAACCTGCAAACCAAAAAGGTTTGTGCTTTGTTCTTATGAGTTTTGTTCAAAAACTCAGAAATTTATGATTTTGGTGCACTGGGTTTTAGAATTTCGATTTGTTAAAGCTCTTTCCTTGATGGGTCGATTCAATATAATCCGATTTGTTTCGGAAAAACGAAAATTTAACATCTTTGTTGCGAAATTTGCGAGCTTTTATGTAGCTGAGCTGAGTTCTTCTTATAAGTTGTGATCTCGTAATGTTTGGTTGGAGGATCTAGGGTTTTGGGAATTAGCAATGTAAATTCATGGGTTCTTTGTTTTGTGCGAGTTTTGCAGGATGGATTCCGATTTGGAGCCTGTAGCTCTTACACCCCAGAAACAAGACAGTGCGTGGAAGCACTGTGAAGTTTACAAATATGGGGACAGAGTTCAGATGAGATGTCTTTACTGCCGGAAGATGTTTAAAGGAGGTGGTATTACTAGGGTTAAGGAACATCTTGCGGGTAAGAAGGGACAAGGCACGATCTGTGATCAAGTTCCTGACGAGGTTCGTCTCTTCTTGCAGCAGTGTATTGATGGTACGGTGAGACGTCAGAGGAAGAGGCGTAAATCTACTCCTGAACCCTTGCCTATAGCTTATTTCCCTCCCTGTGAAGTGGAAAATCAGGTTCTTGCTCCTTCTGATGTGGACAACGGGTTTAAATCGCCGAGTTCGGATGTTGTTGCTGGTCAAAGCACAGGGAGGACGAAGCAGAGAACTTACAGGAGTAGAAAGAATAACGCTTTTGAGAGAAATGATTTGGCTAATGTTGAAGTTGGTGGTGTGAACAATATGAGTGACTTGATTGGTCGAGATATGGACAATTTGATTCCTGTGGCTATTAGTAGCGTGAAGAACATTGTGCATCCGTCTTCCAAAGACCGGGAAAAAACTGTTCACATGGCCATGGGACGGTTTCTGTTTGATATTGGAGCTGATTTTGATGCGGCTAATTCTGTTAATTTCCAACCGTTTATCGATGCAATTGTTTCTGGAGGATTTGGTGTTTCTATTCCCTCACATGATGACCTCCGAGGTTGGATTTTGAAGAGTTGCGTAGAGGAAGTGAAGAAAGAAGTTGATGAATGCAAATCTCTGTGGAAAAGGACAGGCTGTTCCGTTCTAGTTCAGGAATTAAACTCCAACGAAGGCTGCCCTAAGATCCTCAAGTTTTTGGTTTACTGCCAGGAAAAGGTAGTGTTTCTGAAATCCGTTGACGCATCAGAGATAATAGATTCTGAGGATAAATTGTATGAGTTACTTAAGGAGGTGGTTGAAGAGATAGGCGATACCAATGTTGTTCAAGTTATTACCAAATGTGAAGACCATTATGTCGCTGCTGGGAAAAGGTTGATGGATGTGTATCCTTCTTTATACTGGGTTCCTTGTGCTGCACACTGCATAGACAAGATGCTGGAAGAGTTCGGAAAGATGGAATGGATAAGCGAAATTATCGCACAAGCTCAAACTGTCACAAAAATTATATACAATCACAGTGGTGTTTTGAATCTGATGAGGAAATTCACTTATGGAATTGATATTGTGCAACCAGGCTTTACCAGTTCGGCCACAAATTTTACAACAATGGCAAGAATTGCCGATCTAAAACCCCATTTGCAGGCCATGGTTACTTCATCCGAGTGGAACGATTGTTCATACTCGAAGGAAGCTGGTGGATTAGCAATGACTGAGACTATCAATGATGAGAATTTCTGGAAGGGATTAACATTGGCAAACTTTATAACTGGTCCTCTTTTGCGGGTTTTGAGGATAGTTTGTTCTGAAAGGAAGCCTGCAATGGGGTATGTCTATGCAGCAGTATACCGAGCAAAGGAAGCAATTAAGACACATATGATACACAGGGAGGATTACACAATCTACTGGAAAATTATAGATAGGTGGTGGTTGCAACAACATCGTCTTCCTTTGCATGCTGCTGGTTTCTATCTTAACCCAAGGTTCTTCTATAGCATTGACGAAGAAATGCGTAGTGAGATCCATCTAGCGGTGGTTGATTGCATAGAGAAGTTGGTCCCTGACGTCAACATTCAAGATATAATCATTAAGGACATAAACTCATACAAGAATGCTCTTGGGATTTTCGGAAGGAACTTGGCAATCAGAGCTCGTGACACAATGCTTCCTGGTACACCAATAATTTTGTTATTTGCTGAAATCTCATTAAGACTTCATATGTTCAATTGTTTTGTATGTACTTAACAATTTCATTTCCTTTAGCTGAATGGTGGTCTACATATGGAGAAAGCTGTTTGAACCTGTCACGTTTTGCTATACGCATCCTGAGTCAGACATGCAGCTCAACGATTGGCTCAGGGGGAAACCTGACACTAATCTCCCAGATATATGAATCAAAGAACTCCATTGAGCGACAACGGCTCAGCGATCTTGTATTTGTACAGTATAACATGCGCCTCAGACGACTGTAAGTTGAAATTCTCTTACTCTTCTGGATTAGACATTGTGTTTCTTCAAATCAGAACATGAACGGTTTTTCTGTGTCTGTTTCCTCTAGGGGCAGCAGCGAAAACAGCGGAGATGACACTGTAGACCCGTTATCACACAGCAACATGGAAGTTGTTGAAGACTGGGTTTCGAGAAACCAAGTTTGTATAGAAGGGAATGGAAGCTCAGACTGGAAGTCACTTGAGCCGATTAAGAGAACAGAAGAAGTAGCTGTTGTTATCGATGAAACAGAAGACTTGGCTTCAGGTAAAAAGCTTCACATGCAGAATCTAGTTTTTGATAATATGTTCTTGCTCAATATATTGGTGTGAGAGAGTTGTTGTATAAAAGGTTTTTGAATGAAATGTGAACAGGTTTCGATGATGCTGAGATATTCAAGTTGGAAAAGGAAGCTAGTTATGAAGGTGGTTATTCGGAGAACCTGTTCACATGAACTTGACCTCTCTCTTTGTAATCAATCATCTTAGGGTTTAATTTGTGATACCTCTTAGAGTTTGATTTGTATTATTAATAGAAGTCTTTACCAATTTAAGTTGTATCTCAGAAACTAATATTTTTCAGGATTCTTCTTCTCCTTCTTATGATTGAAATGTTGTTTGGACATAAGCCAATCTTGATTCTTAAAACGGATAAGTGAAATAAAAAAGACTTAAAAATTCAGATACTATATAAAGAAGTCTTATCCTCAAAATAGCCTTATCTTCACGTTTGGTCCTGAGAAGAGAAGAGAGATGGAAGGGATAAGCCATATTGCACTCCCTGTTCTGGGAATTGTGGCAGTCTCCGTCGTAACCTTCTATGCCGTTAGCTTTGCCGAGATCAGAGAGGTTCGTCGTTACTTATGAAACAACTCCTTGATTTGTTTGAGTCAAGATAGAGAGCTCATTAAGCAAATCGTGTTGTCGTTATGCTTTTCTTATGTGGGCATTATATAAGTGTGAATTGTGCAGAAATCGTTTAAAGATGTGTATGACTCAGAGAACAAAGACGGAGCAGGGTTCAAGAATTCTTTAAGTTCGAGGGAGCGAAGATCAAGAAGAGAAGCAAATAAAAAACGTCCTAAATCTTGATTGCAAATGTCTAGAGAGCAGAGACCAAAATATATCGTAGTCAATATGATACTTTTGTTATTTTGTTTTTCTGGGTTTCCAATCAATATACATGATCAAATCTGGAACATCTATGCCTTGTCCTAATGTCACTGATGTAGCTGCGTATGGTCATGTGGCTAACTGTTTCTGCATCTTTGGTTTGCTCAGATATTGGTTCTTCTTGTGAGAAGTCCCATTCTTGTCTATTATTTTCTGAGTGATGACTTCACCAACGCACGATATGATTCTGCTCCAAAAACTCAAACTGAGACTTAAATTGAGGTTTGTTAGCCACTCTCTCCTTCAAACCCCGCACGAAATATGGCAAGGCATCTCTTTTTTTTAATTTGATCATACTTAAAAAATTTAGTCGACGGTAGAGTCAGTCATGTGAAAGAGCTCGAGTAAAATAGGAACTAGTAAAGCTGGAACCTTTATTATGCATATATATTGAATTGTGCAAAGCTAGTGACAAACAATTCAAGGAAAGATGACAGAATGTAAGAAAAATCTTTTTCATCAACATCATTTAGAGACTCTGCTTCTTATTTCTTTTGCTGAGCCTTTAGTTCTGCTACTTTCTTTTCCGTTTCCTTCAATGCTTTCCCGTAGATGGAAATCAGCTGGAAAATGATCAAACCCCAAGGAGGAAGAAGAAGAAGCAGAGTGTGTTAAGAAACTAGTCACAAGATTTAGCAGTAAAAAAAAAAAGCCATATACTGTGTCAAATATTGGCGATTTTCATTACCTCGTCGATCTCTTCAGGTGAGATAATGAGTGGTGGAGACATCATAATGCTATCACCTGAAACACGGACTAACATCCCTCTCTTTTGGCACTCGGCTCCAAAGTATGCGCCAACACCTGTGAACATCAATTGAAAATTGTGTAGAGATTTAGTATGGTAATGAGTTTAAAAGAAGAGACTTTTTGTTTGGTCGTGTGAGAGATTTTACCCCATTCTGGTGGAAATGGCTCGTTCGGAGATTTATTGTCTACAAACTCAGTCCCAAGAATCAATCCTGTTCCTCTTATCTAGCAACCATCCCAAATGCCCTTAGTCAAATACTTCTAAGAGATAATAACTGGTAAGTAAAGACCAAGAGAAATAGTACCTCTCCAATAATAGGACTACTAGAGGCAAAAGCTTTAAGACCATCTTGAAACCTTGGGGAAACTTTGGCGACATGCTCTGGTATGTTCCTCTCCCTGTAATATGAATATGAACGTCAAAAAAGTGCACCAAGAATTGAGAGAAACTTAATCAGCTGTGTGACAGGTTCGGAGTTTATGGCAAATTCCAATCCAAATAAAAACTGGCTCACTTTTGCACAAACGAGCAAAGTGACAAACTTACTTGTATATCTTTAATGCTTCAATTGCTACGGCACATGAAACTGGATGACCAGAATAAGTAAACCCATGCGAGAAAGCACCTGATATATAAAAAAAGTTTTAAACCCGCATCTAAGATCAGAACGTTGGATTACTACCATGGAGAACATTTATTAGTTTACAAAAATACCTAGCTTGTTGCTTTGGGAATAGATGACATCTGCCACTTCTTGACTCATAAGAATGGCTCCAATCGGCATATATGCTGAAGAGAGTGCCTGCATTTTTAAATAACATTTACAACATGTCAGTGAATTTGGCCAACAGAGAGAAAGGTTACTATTCAACATGCAAAATCTCACCTTAGCTAAGGACACAAGATGTGGCTTGATGTTGTATTTGTCACAGCCAAACATTGTCCCGAGCCTTCCAAATGCACATATCACCTTAGGCCAAACAAAATGGAAAAAGGATAATGATATATATTCTTCTTTATCGATTTTGAGGTCATGGTCCTATGTGAGGACTGATAGTTTCATAGGCACATACCTCATCAGCAATGAACAAGATATCATATTTCTTAACAACAGCTTGGATCTGCAGAGCATAGAATGAGAAATTAAAATGGCAAAAACATCTAACCACTAAACCACATAATCATTCTAGTGGTACTTAATACCAAGAAAGTTTCAGAAAATGACCTTTTCAAAGTATGTAGCAGGTGGAGGTATCACACCCCCAGCACCCATAACTGGTTCAGCTATAAAAGCACCAATCTAGTAAGAAAACAATTCTGTTAGCTTGAGATACCAACATCATCTTTACCGCATAACGACCGAAATTTTCATAAGTAACTATAGATTGTTTACAGTTTCTGGCCCCTCTTTGATGATAAGATCCTCTAAATTTTTGGCTAATCTGGTTGAGAATTCCTCTTCTGATTCACCTGCACAAACAATTCCAAGGTTAAACTAAAAATTATACTTTGCTTTTTTTTTTTTTTGAACTAAAAATTATACTTTGCTTTTAAAATGGAAGGGAGAATCACTCATACCTGGAAGATGGAAACGCCAATAATGAGGGCAATCTGTGTGCAGCACAAATGGTGCAGGTAAATCAAAATTTTGGTGTAGCGCTGGAAGGCTGGAACAACAGATAAATTTTGTTTAGGGATTTAAAAAGAATCTTTACCACAGCTAAAAAGAATATCTGAGGAACAGTATTATATATATATCCTACCCGGACAAACTTGCTGATATAAGAGTGGAGCCATGGTACCTGAAATCGTAACACCACACTTATAAACACTTAAGATCTTATAAAAACAGACAAACGAGAAATGACAAGCAAATATCTTTTCTCACGATTTCTTTCTAGCGATAAATTTTTTCTTCTCGGGCCTTCCAAGTGCGTTATTGTAATACCAAACAAGCTTTACCTGCATTATACATACAATAGATTCAGAAACAGCTCTTATAGGCCAACAGGTTTGGAAATAGGAGATCAAGGTACAACGTATAGTTATAGAAACCTGAGTATCGTTGGCCTCTGATCCACTGTTTGTAAAAAATGCTTTGGCCATTTTGTTGGCCGTGAACATGTCTAAAAGATCCTTAGCAAGGTCCTGTTTTGGCAGGAAAAACAGCACAGTGATCAAATTCAATTTGATTGGGATCAAGTCTACTGCCCTGAGTCTTAACAGGGCAAAGAAATTAGCAGCAGACTGTAGAAAAACATTGTAATAATGACACTGAAAGGAAAAGTCTGAGTACCAGAGAAGGTTTAGTAGTACGGTTCCAAAAGGAGTGATAAAATGGCAAGATCTTCAACTGCTCAACAGCTGCAGAAACAAGCCGTTCCTCATTTCCTCCTGCAAAATTTTGAGTATCAATAACATAATGGTAACAGTAGCACAAATGTCCAGGTATGTATAAAGAGAAACATCAACACATGTATAGTAGCACAAGGATGAGTATACCTAAGGCAGTACACCATAGACCAGCGAGAGAATCAAGATACTTTTTACCATTGTCATCATACACATAACTTCCCTGTACGAAAATTAAGAGGAATGTCACTCTTAGATAACTGTTTGAATCAACATTAGCATAGTATAGCGATGATGACATAGTGATATGTACCTCAGACTTGGCAATGATCAAGGGATCTACATCAGCACTCTGCCATCCAGCAGTAAAAGGTGCAAGCATATCATGTCCCTTAGACCTGCCCTTAAGAAAAACATTTCCTCTATTCATGTCTCATCGAACCTAAGAAACCTTTAGTTTCAACACTCAAGCATCATAAAAATCACTCACCCAGCTACGTTTTGCTTCTCAGGTGATGCCTCAGTAGTGAAGATCCTCCTAGAAGTAGAGTTCCCAGACATGCATGTTGTTGCATACCTACTGTGCAAATTAACCTGCAATGAGAAAGGCAAGATATTTTATTTGCATTGATGTTTAAAAGCCATGAATCACATCACTCACTATACAAAAACATCATTCACCACAAGAAAACTTGTTTCACTTTATAAAATAATAATATTTGAAAACTTTATTCCTTGATTGCTGGAGAATCCCAAAAAGTATATACTATACACACAAAAAGATACGACCTTTTCATCTTGATCCAGGTCAATTTGATGTTTCGAGAATAAAAATCAACTTTTTTTTACTACCCTCAAGTTTTTTGGAATTTCAATCCTGATCTACTAACCGCAACTAAGAAGATAAGAGTTCATGATCAAATGACGAAAAACGGAAACACGACAAAATCGAATTGGTGAAGAACGAGTTAAGAAGTTGAAGAACCTGAGTGGTACGAGCCAAGCGTCGGAGGCTGTTGATCACAACCATTTTTTTCTGGGGAAGAAGATTGAAGGAGAGAGTGAACAATCTGAAAAATCCTGGAGAGCTGAGATTGGTTTAGAACAGAGGAGGGTGGCGTTATGAATCAATAAAAATATCTTTTTTAATTATCTCTTTGAGTTCCATTTGATTTTGATAAGTGACGTGTCAATGAGTCATTTTGTTACTATGATATTTTGATTTTATTTTATACAAATCAATTTAGATGCTCCTCATTTAGCCAAATTCCTTACTATATCAAAATTCAAAATTGTACCAACTAGGCCAACTAGAAAAAAACAAAAAAAAATTATAAGTTTGATTACATATTTCATTTTAGTGTAAACATATTGTTTAGTTATCTCTAACAGAAGTACTAAGAGAAAATATATTTATGTATATCTATATTTCAATGGAGATAAAATTTTGAAAACATTAATTTAAACAACAAGAACATAATGATCACATTACAAGATAGGGGTATCTATGCACAAATCAACTTAACAATTAATAACAATTAATTAGGCTAAGTAACTTAGTTTTAAACTTTTAACTCATCCTTATTTACCACCATTTTCACCACCACAATAGTTGATCTAGTTCTTGAAAATAAATAATTGGACTACCTAGAGAAATAGTCCTAAACTGTAAAACATTACAAAATAGTCAGAATGTCACATCATATAATAGATGGACAACACATCACATAAGATAAATATTTTTTTGGCTTCATCGAAATATGAAATATCAGGGTACAATAAAGAGAACATTTAATTATTTGAAAACTTACTACTATACATAAATGCATGCATTAATTAAAAAGGAAGAAGAGAATTTAAAACTCAATACTCCAATTTAATAAACTGCTTGCCGTTTTAAGAGTCAATAAACGCTGATAAATTACGCAATAAAGCACGCGTACGGCGTGCAATCTAATCCATCATTCAATCAAAGGCGTATCTGACTGAGGAAGAAGAGGGAAACGAAACGATAATTAAAAAATAAAAATCCAATTTTTAATTAATAAAGCAAGTCAATCAATTTCCCTATCTATCTATCTGTAAAATTTTGTCACACACATAGCTTAGCTAGCTAGAGAGAGAGAGAGAGAGAGCAAAAAAGGAATGGACTTTTTTGTAGAGAGAGAAAAAGTGAGCGAGACAGACGCTCACTGAGACTGGAAGATCAAGAAGACGACGACACTCACTAGTGACCGACCACACTCTCTAAAGATCCGATCTTTACATCGCCGACGGTAGAGTTTTTGACTTTTGCCTTATTTCTCGATGTTGTTGTCTCTTCGTGTCTCAATTTGCCAAAGCTCGGGCTTTTGTTAGTGTTCATCACTAAATTCTAGGATCCTAACATTAAAATTTCCATTTTGTTGTTGTATCTGTGTGGTTTTAGTACTCTGTCCTGCAATCAAAGTTTTAACATTTAAAACCAAAAAAATAGAAAGGAGAAAGCTTTTTACTTCAATGATTGAATAATTCAGTCGCTAAATGCACGACCTTGCAGGTTGTTGATACAATGGGTGCTTCAGGGAGATGGATTAAAGCATTGGTTGGTTTTACGAAATCTAATAAGTCTAAGTCCTCGAAGAAGGATGCAAATGTGAGTTAGTTTATACTAATTTGATTACAAGAGTATCTCTTTTTTCTCTTAATTATATGCCAATGTTGTTGGTTCATGTCTGTATTTGCATTATATGCTTGTTTGTTTAACTGATGAAGGGGAAGGTGGCGTCCAAGAGTAGGTTTGGGAGAAAGAATTCAATTGATTTCGATTTTGAGAAGTTTCAAGATGGATTTGAAGATTCCAATACGCGTAGTGTGATGGATACCGGAGTCTCTACATCAACTTCACTACAATCATACGGGGGACCAGCTTATGAGGAACAAAGTAGGGAACATCAAGCTGCAACGCGTATCCAAACAGCTTATCGGGGATTTCTGGTATCAATTCACTTTATGGAGTTGATCCTATTTTTCTTTTCTTATGGTCTTCTTCATCGCATGCTTTACTTATGGTTTACTATTGATATATATTATGTCCTAAAGTGCTTATTACAGACCTATGTATGCTTTAATACTAATGATGATATTCATGCTTGGTTATTAATGGTTTATATAATGTCTATGTACCATTGACTGGACTGAATAAAAGATTATACATTTCTTAGGCTAGAAGGGCTTTACGAGCGTTGAAGGGATTGGTTAGACTTCAAGCACTTGTTAGAGGACATGCTGTGAGAAAACAAGCTGCTGTAACTCTTCGATGCATGCAAGCGTTGGTAAGAGTTCAGGCTCGTGTACGCGCAAGACGTGTTCGTCTGGCCTTGGAATTGGAAAGTGAAACGGGTCAGCAGACACTTCAGCAACAGCTAGCTGATGAAGCCCGAGTTCGAGAAATAGAGGTGATGGTCACTTGTCTCAGTTATTTTACAGAATTAGTATTTGTTTATTTTGTGGTGAACCTTAAATTTCTCTAGAAAATTACAGTCGTGCTGACTATTTGTTATTATCTCTCAGGAAGGTTGGTGCGATAGCATTGGATCTGTTGAACAAATCCAAGCGAAGCTGCTAAAGAGGCAGGAAGCTGCAGCTAAGCGTGAGAGGGCTATGGCATATGCTTTGACTCATCAGGTTACTCACAACTACTATTCTAGTTGAGAAGTAATTGTTGAATTTGTTCATAGCTTTCCTTGAATTGTCAATCTGGTTTTCACTGGGTTCTCTTCCTTAGTACCAAGCCTTGACCAAGCACTATGACTTGCAAAACTGAAGCTGCCTACTTAAGTGTTCCTTTGTATGATTTTCTTAACTTTCTTCTGCTAAGTGTTTTTGTCTGGTTTTCTTAACTCTCTACTGCAAAGTGTTCTTTTTTCTTCTGGACCTTTTTGTTTTTCTTTCCGAATTAAAGTGTATCTATTTATCTATGCGACTGGCTTCATCCCAGCCCCATTAATAGTGTCCACTGATGTAGTTTCTTTGTGAATGTAAATGATTTTTCTCTTACATAGAATTGCTCTCTTGTAGTGGCAGGCAGGAACTCGGCAGTTATCTGCTCACAGTGGCTTTCAACCTGACAAAAACAACTGGGGATGGAACTGGTTGGAAAGATGGATGGCTGTTCGTCCATGGGAGAACCGGTTTCTTGACAGTAACCTCAGGGATGATGCGAAATTAGGTGAAAACAGTATGGATCAGTCTGAGAATGTGCATAAAACACAGATGAAAAGTGCAAGCAAGATTCCAAACACTTCAAATCTTGTATCCGGTGTTTCAAGTCAGATGACTGGCCCATGTCTGTCGGATGGTAATTCTTCTTCTCCTGGAATATCTTCAAGCATTCCAGTGGTATCCAGGGCTAAGACAAAGTCTGCTAAAGACGATCTTGCTGTAGAAGTTAGCTCAAGGCCTGGAGCTGGTCCTAGATCGCACAGCAATCCAAAAGAAAGATCAAGGGAGCCAATTAGATCTTCAAAGGAACGATTATCTCTGCCAAATAATGGTCAGATTTCTTTCTATATATATGCTTAGGAAACAATTCTGTTTCTTATTTCCAATTTTAGAATTGAGACTTGAGAGGATAGTCTATCAACTGTTGCTAGTGATAAAAGAATCAGTTTGCACTGGTTATAAAAGTGGAAACCACAATTTTGATATTATGATAGCTAAGTTTTTAGTAGAACCCACAAATCTGATCTAATGTGTCAGTAGAGAGCATGACCAAGCCTCAAATAAATCTGTTTGTTCCCATTGTCCTTCCAAGTCTGAATTGTGAATATTCTTGAACAGGAAAATATTTAGGATCTCAGCCAGCTAAAGCCAACCGAGCTGGAAAACTCATGCCAACCTCTCATAAAGTAGTTGAGGAAAAATCTGCCCAAAACCAGGGAAGACGTAACTCCGACCCAATAAAACAGAGGCTTGCATAGCTTTGTTAAGTGTGTAGCCTGAGAACTGTCAGCCCAATTCCCTCAACCATCGTTCTGTACATACACAGCTTCGGGTGAACGGATAGGAAACGGGAGAAACAGAACACAATGGTTTCCAGATGAGAGAGTTGCTTGGTTTATCGATCAATCAAGAAGAGAAAGATGCTGTATTGGCGTCTCTCTCTTGCCTTCATTGTTGTTGTTATTTATTATATTAGCCATCCTTTTCTTCTTGTCCATGGTTCTCTGGAGTGATTTTGGATTTCTTATATGGATCGGTAAGTAGTGGTATACTGGTATTACTTACGTTATATGATCTCTCTCAAGGTGTACATTTGTCAATCTTTTGCAGTTTTTGCTGGGAGTGCAGACCATGGCAATCCCTATGTGATTATATAGTTCGTTGCCTTGTATACGTTTAAAATGTTACCAATAATAGTTTTTGAGTGAACAGTTTTATAGACATATAAGTGCAGCGTTGAAATTAGAATTGCCAAAACGAAAATATAAGTTGAAGAAGAATACTGAATTTACATGAATGGTTTTTCTGGCAGAATCAAAAAGCGAGGACATTTCGGATTTTATGAGTTTACAAGAAGCACCCATCAATGAAGCTCAAATCCATAAAAGAAACTAGTCCTACTCTAACACTGAGAAATGACTACAAACTTCGCACAAATTCCAGTGACTCAGATTCAAATCTCAGTCCTCAAAAGTTCCAGCAACAGAGCCAGAACCCATTGATTTTGAGCCTCTTCAAGAATTGGGAAGGCGTTTTGTAGAAGATCAGAGCCTTTACAGAAATACAATCGATGTATCTACTTGATGTTAGAACCGGGTTGGGAGTTTGTCCCAAGACCTCCGGGGGAAAACACCGGAAGCTGGTTTGAGGTTGAACTCCTTCTGAATCTTGCATCACGATGAACTGTTGATACCAATCTGTCTTGTACCTCTCTTATCGACCCCCTTCCACTTCTCGGGGTATCTCTAGTCGGAATATTAATCAATGGGCCTCCATAGAAGATAGAATCACCTGTATATGTCAATCTTCGCTCGGCTTGGAGCAGAGGAAGAGGATCCCTTAGTGCTGTCGACCCAGAAGAAGAATCTTGAGGTGGAAGAATGGGTCTCTGATTCTGAAAGTTGGCTGTTTGTGAGCTCGGATTTAACAATCTGTTGCGGACCTCAGATGTTGTCGTTACAGGAGCTGATACATATCTCCCGGCTTCTGGATCCCAAACAACTGATGTCTTTCTCACATCCCTCAGATGAGAAGTTGCAGGAGCAGAGAGAAATAGTGGATCAGCGTCGTTTCCTCTGTGCAGCACCTTATCATCAAATGTCGAGTGCATGTGCTGGGTTGTTGCGGTGAAGCGATGGCCAACTACTGTAGGATTCTGAGGGAGCGGAGCAAGTGTGACAGACTCGTGAATATGGCTTGGACTGCTGAGATTGCTCATACCATGGCTGCCTGTGTCATACTCATCCCGGCTACCTTGGCTTGGAGCAAACGAGTTTCTAGAAAGAGAGGACCTTAGATCATTGTTCTGTATCTCTTTACTAGCAGCCATATTTGCATCTGTGCTTACACTACTGATGATACTAGGCGTGCCAATAGAACTACGTTCATTATCAGGTAAATGGCGATTATCTATTGGTCTTAGGACAGATGACGAAGCTCTGGCTCTGGCAGCTGCCTTTGCAGCTTCATTTGGATCCAACTTTGCAAGCTTCCATGCATTACGTTTGACAGGTCTTTTCAGAGCTTTGGTGCCTCTCTCTGATCCAGGTGCATCTGGGTCTACGGTCGATGGTACCATGCGAGGGTCTAAATGAGGAATGACTTCATCCTACATAGAGATAATGAGTAAAACTGGCAAGTTGATACCTGAACATAATCTCAGATTAAGTAGCACATGTATGCCAACAATTAATGCATTTTGGGGAAAGCTTCGTCTTTCAAGTTCATACTAGGGATTGATCCTATGGATAACTAGACATTCAAATGCATATGAATTACATAACACAACTACTGCAACCGAAATTCTAGTGAGTTTCACAAGAGATTAGACATGCGATGAAACAAGAATAGCTGGATGTTTTGGAAAAGATATAGTTACCTGATTATCAAACACTCTAGGTGGAGTGCACCAGACCCCCTTGTATGGTAGACCAAGAGAACTTCCACCACTAAAGCCGGTTGTGGCAGACCCGGTGGGAGAATAGAGCACATTCTGAATTTCTTCGTCAACAGATGCTCCATCTGGCGCCTCGCTCATGGCTCTCATTGCCACAACATACTCATATGTTGTAATTCCCTGCCAGTATTAAACAGGATAAGTTCACAAATGTATAAACAAAGTTATAAACAAAGTTACTGACATAAGTTATATACAATAGTTAGAGCTTCTTAAATTAAGCAACGATTCAGGGAAAATATTTCAGATGGGCATAATTCGGTCTGATAGAGGTGACATTAAGATATAAACAAAAATAATCCAAGTTCAACCTCACCACTATGAAGAGCATTGATCTTTTGTGCTAGTCACTTCTATCTTTTTAAAAAAGCCTAAGCACAATATCTTACTGTAAGAAATTCTGAGTGTTATGAGTGACTGATATCAGAAGTAGCTTCGTTCCCACTGACCTTTTTAATGAGGAGCATGTGGAAAAAGAGAAGTTCACCCAGTGGAAAACATGCCAGAATGGAAACAACAGTGCAAAGACCCTACATAATTTGCAGATATACCATTAGGAACATTGAAGACAGGAGCTAACCTCAAAGCAATGGCATAACACCAAGAATACTTACAACAACCGCCGCGAAAGGTGCACGAGAGAAACTGTTTCCAAGTCTATTGACAATTTCAGTTTCCATGCTCTTCTTATTAACAAATACACGCACTATAACTGCAATTCCAATTGCTGCTTCAATAACAAGCTGACGTGGGAATAAGCGTAACCTGTTAGTGGTTAAGTGAGAAATAAGTATAAGAAATAACACATAGGTATATACATACCCAGAGAAGACTGGCACTCATCAGAGAGACAAAAGTCATGTAGTTTTTACGGCCGACGCAATTGTTAAGCCACTGCAGCAATTATCACAACTATGTCATCGACTTGAACCCATCAAAATCCAGCCAAATGTTCAGAAAGGAGGAACTGATTGCAAGAAAACATTTGAAACATCAGAAACTTCACCTTGCAATGGTGGTCGAAACCATCAACACATTTATCACAACTCCGACAATGCTTGCTGAACTTGCGTACCTGTGAAACATACACACTTCAGAACAAAAATGCATACACATCTAACTTAAAAATAAAGAAAAATTCTTCCCCTAGAGACTTTCTAAAGTAATTTAGTATTACCTACTTCTCATAACATCATCAAGTTTTATATTAGAGAGCATACATGTACACAAGACATAAACAACAACGGGGAATTGATAAAGCTTTGTGAAGCTTGGAACCATGTTTCTATACCTCAGAATTGCACAATGTGCAAAACAGAGCCTCTTCAATGTTTCCTTGTTCTTCAGCCGTCTCTTCCTTTCTACGACAGTCTTCAAGAACAAACACAAAACAGAAGATAGCCAGAGGATTATAGCAAGATCTTCTACGAACAGGTTCCACTCTTTCAACATCTCCTACAGAACCTTTAACACTAGAGTTTGCAGCAAAGTTAGAACTTCTGCTGACAACAGAAGGAGAAGCCTGCAAATGACTCCCAGTTTCATCAAAATCCCTGGATAAGGCACGACCCATGTCATCCCCATCCATGGCTGTATCAAATATTGACATGATTCTCGGATCCGCAGGATTGATTGCAGTACACCGAACATACAAAACGAAAACAAGAATAGCCTACAACACACATTATACATGACATTAACCTCTCAAACATTCATAAAGCATCCATTTTTAATATACAGCATTTGTGAACAAGCATTAAAACATACCACAGGAGAGTAAACACCGATCAAAACGTATTCCCAAATACGACCTCCAACAAAAGGAGCGAAGAAAGCATAGTAAGCGACCACCAACAAACAAAACACAGTAATCGCAATCACCTGAGAGAAATTACAATACACAGAACCCAATTGAAACCAGAGCCATTGGTAAATTATTCAATTCACCAGATTCTAGAAACCAATCAAGAAAAATTGAATCTTTAATTGATTTTTTACCTGAAGTGTGTGAGCAGGAAGTTGCCAACCGTGTTTCCTCACCATACCTTTCTTCTCCAGTAGCAAGAAACAAACAATAAGCCAATATAAAAACCCTAGTTTTCTGACAACGTCTCCGTCACGTTGCCGTCGCCACCGCTTGAAGCGATCAAGTGAAGAAGAGAGTGTTGCTCGGGGAGAAAGGAAAGGGGACTTGAGAAGAAGATTTGGTCTCTCTTTTACAGTCTTACTGTGTTTAGTTTAGTCAAGTAATTAAAGTCGAAATGAATTGACCTGACTTTTCTTTTAAACATATTTATAGTTTTTTTTTATGGCAAATTATATGTATAAATTAAAACCATGTCGGAAATAGAAAATTTATGATTATTTTAATGAGTCAGTTTTTCATATCTTATTAAGCTAATATGGAAAGAAAAATTAGGAAAGAAAAATTTGACCATCAAAGGTTAAAAAAACATTTCTTTATGAGTTTATGAAAATAAAAAAATTACATAAACATGTCATATACTAATTTGTCATAGTCCCAATTCAAACATGATAGTTTGTGAATCATAGTCCCAATTCAAACATGATATAGTAAAACCTCTATAAATTAATAATGTTGGAACCATGAAAATCTATTAATTTATAAAGATATTAATTTATAGATAAATTACTAATTATTAATTTATAGAGAGATTTTCTTAATTTAGAAAGTTTTTTCAAAAAAAAATTAAAAACAATTTAAAAATAAGATTTAATCATGATTATTATGTATTGAAAGAGAATGCTAACAATTTTTGATATAGTAAAATATTAGTTATATTCTAACAAAAACTGATGTGTCTATATATACATATATTTTGAAAATTTTACCTAATTTATAATATCGATGGGACCATATATTTATAAAGGATTTTCAAAAAATTATTATGTTATTATTTTATCGAAATGTGTCTAAAATTACACATATCCTAAGTTGGAACCGGAGAAAATTTTATTAATTTATAGAAATTATTAATTTATCGAGTATTAATTTATAGAGGTTTTACTGTAGTTTGTCACTTATATAGCAAACATGTTTAAATATAATAAAAAAGAAACACAAACTAAACTAGTTTAAAAATCGTAATCGTATAGTGGACCAAACCGGACCAAACCAATTTTAAAAGCCTAATAAGTCTATAGACGATGCACCTGTCTAGACGTCTAGTAGTAG